TGCAGTCGTTATCCACAGCACGAAACTCGCTAGGTGGCGAGATATCGTGTCCATCTATGCCACGCATGACCCCCAACGATGACTGAGGCCGAGAGGTATTGTTCGATCCACTGCGAACTCGCTCCTTGCCTGTGCGTGCGTCGACCAACTTCCCGGCAGCCTGGACGCAGCTGCCGTACGCAAAGCGAATGAGAGAGTCGCCTGTGAGGCTGCCGATGATGAACACGTCTGGCGCGATCTCTATATCCTCATATACATTGCTGCGCAAAGACCGGGCAGAGATGATTGGACTCGTTTCTGTGGTCGCATCGTGGTCGAGTACTTCGTTGAGGAGAGGACGGTCGAGGTAGTCGAGGGTGCCTCGTCGGCCAGTGGCATAGACCATCCCGCGGACGGCACGGGTGATGGTGCTCCCGTCAGGCTGGCGGAATGTAACGAGGGCCTGGTCCTCTTGCATCTCAACGTCGACAACTTCCGAGTTGGGCAATCCTTCGTATATATCTTCCCACGAGCGAAGTTCTAGAAAAGGGATCGAGGTAGTGCGTCGCGGCTTTACTCGCTTCTTCGTAGGGTCTGCTGCAACGGCAGCTCGTTTCATCAGTCGATAAACTCCGGCGTATTCGGGATATGCTTGGTGATGGCAGCCACGCAGCGGTGACGACCGCCCTTCCGGATCCCATTTGAACACATGGATGATTTTCTGATCCGCCGGCGCAGAGATGATTATATCCGCAGCAGAGAACCCAGAGCCGATCACCAGCAGCGGGGTCTGCGGAGTGGGCTGGAGTGACGTCAAAGGCTGCAGCATTGGACTAGGCTGGAGCACTTGAGTGAATATACCACTAGCCAGGACCAGATGCTTGCAGTGTATGTTGTGCGAGTGGATGTAAAACCCATCGCCTATTCGTGAGATGCCGGATATGGTTTCATTGAACCGGAACACGTCGTCGATCTGAACCGCCTCGGGGTACGTACGGAAGTAACTTGCTGTTTCTTCCCGACTGGGTCGGGTATATGCCGGAAGCTCCTTGCCCGTAATCTTCCGGTGGTGCTCAGCAAACGAATAGCCCGGGAGAGACAGCATCGACGCATAGCTTAGGGTCTGGATGTCCCAGCTGGCAGGCACGGGATTATCAGTCCACTGACCCCCTGCATGCTGAGCATTCCCGAACACCAAATGGGGAACGGCCTTTTCGGGCACGAACCGCCATTCGACATTCGTGATGGCTTCCAGCTCCTCTACATCCACGCTGGGGCGCACCAGCGTGTCCAGGAGCACGTTCACGGGGAGAGCCTGTGTGGAGTACGACAGTCTCGAGGCGGCGAAATGATCCATCAAAGCGTGCACGTCCACATGGAGCAACTCCGGGGAACCCTGGAGCTTCGCATGCAGAAGCGGATCAGGATGGGGAGGATTGGAGCAGTAGTATGGAAGATGGCCATGAAGAATATACGACAAGATCATGGCCGACGGCCCGTTCCCTGTGGGGGATCACATCAGCACGATAACACGGACCAGGGGGGAGAATTAAAAGTAAAAATCTAGCATCTCTGTTGGCACGAAATGGCGACATACCGACGATAATGGTGTCAGTCTCCAATGAAGGCATCTTTTGCGCCTTCGTCCGCCCAACCATCGTGGGGCATGCTGTTTGCGACATGCGATAGGAATCCTCTGATAAGTCCCAACCGCACAGTATTTGGAAAATCTACAGTTAAGCCACTACCTCCAGCTTAAGGCAGAGAACCGGAGGGCCATCGAGTGGCCGTTACATTGACAAGAAGAAGGAAGGATTAAGCTTGCAGGGAAACCATAGGAAGAGGAAGGGGGAGAGGGGATGCCGATTCCGCGAGCGGACGAGGCAGGCCTGGGGACGCTGACAAACTGACAAATGCAGGACCCTCAACTCGACTATGTAATCCTTACTTATTTCAGTAAAAATGGATCCAGCCAAGGGACGTGGGGGGGCAATTGCTTGTCAGCCTCCAATGATGGCCGTTGCTCCGTGCTACCGGCGCATCCGGGGTCGAGAAGTTGGGAAGTTTAGCTGCCACAGTCAACCCGGCAGGCCGTGGTGAATGGATCCCGTCAATCTGGGTTTCGAGAGACTTTGTTGAAAGGAAGAGCACATTCGTGGCCCTGTCCTGTCGGGAGCGATAACGACATTCCCGGATAATGATTACTGTTCCTAATCAATGAAGAGATCGACAATGCATGACTTTTGACGTTGCGGGGTCTGCCTCTTCAGGAAGGTAGGGCTTGGGGCCTGCACCATATCTACCCTATACCCTACCTTCCTGTTCGAGACGCGGCTGACGCGTGGAACCCCCAGGCCATCAATCTATCGCCATCGGCGCTGGCCAGGGTCCCTCCCAATCGAAGCGCAAAAGACAAATCAAGCAGCAGGTGGAATATCTCAAGAATCCAGCCTTCTGCTGCTGCCATGATTCTGTTACCTGAGCTGTCGTCCCGCCGGTTCTAATTGGAATTCCGAGGCTGCGTCCACCGGAGGTTATCTGGTCTAGTCTCCGCAGTCCTTCTCCGCAACCATGTATCATCTGGCCAAGTCCCTGTATATGTACGCTACTAGCAAGGAGGGTGAGTAGATGTCTTTATCCTAATCCCATCCTCGCGCACTAATATTATGATAATAGAATACTCCGTACTCCTCCTTGGCCTTGATAATGCCGGCAAAACTACCCTCCTGTCGCAAATCAAAGCCCTCTATCAACCCCGACCAGATGGCGCTCCCGCCCCTAACCCCGGCAAAACCGTGCCCACGGTCGGCCAAAACGTCGCGACCATCTCCTTACCGGACATGTATCTGAAGATCTGGGATGTGGGGGGACAGATCTCCATGCGGAATCTCTGGCAAAGCTACTACACCAGCTGCCATGCCATTATCTTCGTCGTCGACAGTGCCGACGTCGGACAAGACCCAGATATCACCCGGCTCCCTAGTCGGCGGCCTAGCTCTGCGTCCGGTCCATCAGGAGGCCACTCGGGCGCATTCACCGAGGAAATGGTCGGGATCAATGCGCCCGGGAGCGATTTCGGTCGGCTCGACGAGTGTCGGCAAGTGCTGGAGTCGGTTCTGCAGCATTCGGATGTGGCGGGTGTGCCGATTCTCGTGCTTGCCAATAAGCAAGATCGCGAGGATTCGGTGGAGGTTGTCCGTATCAAGGAGGGATTCGTGCGCAAGGTCTTCGAGGGAGAGTCTGGGGCCGGGGTGAGGGATAGTCGTGTGTTGCCGGTCAGCGCGTTGATGGGGTCGGGGGTGCAAGAAGCGGTGGAGTGGGTGCAAACGCGAGTCAAGTGGAATAAAGAGGGACGGCCGCCGTTAATGAAGTGATAGACTTGGGAAGATGGTCTGTTGCGAAGATTTCGATTCTTTTCATGTTCCTTCATCGTGTCATTCGGGCTTGAGTTCTGGCGTCAAGAGGTTATGTGAATTGGGAAGATACCTTGATTGCATTTGTTTTTTTACTTTGGTCTTTATCCAGTTGGCTTTCGCTGTAACTGTCATACATAAGCGCATGTTGTACCTCAACCATGTAGACAGCTATCCATCCAGCAATGACCATACCCCAGTACAACACACACAGAACAAAGCATCAACACTGCAAAGCACCTACTACATCATCATCAACTCCAAGGCCTAGATCAAAACAAACTGCCAATTCCATGCACCGGCATCTGACGAAGACGCCCCCCATCATGCAATCTATCCCACTATAACGGATGCTGCAGAGTTACCGCCAAACCCATGGAAGCACACGACCAAAAACCGGACTGATTGGACGCACTGAACATTCTCGATGCTAGTGCATGACGTCTATGCCAGTCAAAGCAGTGGAACGATGAAAGTGAAGTGATGGAAAAGCATGCAAGCCATGAAGTCAACGCCGGTCACCTTGACGTCATTCCCGTGAAGCCCTAAAGTGACAACCCAATGTTCGGTTTGTATATATAGGCGTTCCAGTTACGGTCTGCTTGAGTTCTATTTAGTATCCATTTCGACAGTGTTTAATCTACGTTACTACAGTATCGTGAACTGAATTTCTCTCGAATTCTCACCAGGCAATAACAACCGGACATATACATCAACCATGAGCCACTTCAACAACCCCGACTCCGTCGCTACAAACAAACAGGGTGAATTCCACCCCTCGGTGAAACCTACGGCTCCTATGGAGCAGGGCGGTGTATGTATCCCATTAAAAAGATGGATGTCTGGTCATGAGGTTATACTGACAGAAACAGCACCAACCAGGAAGAAAGGTCGCTCCTAGCGACTTCGTCCCCGAGTTCCGCGCCGAGAGTCATCCCCCTGGTACCGCGCCCGCCAGCAGCTCCTACCAACCTAATCCTACTGGCGAGGTGGGCAGCCAGGCACTCAACCCCAATGTTGAGCGCAGCCATGGCAAGGAATCTGTCAAGACCAACGCCAGCGATACCTTGATGGGCGCTACATCGCAGGACGTACACCGCGGCCTAGGCCACCCTGGTTCGGGCCAGACTAGCAACGAGCTTCATCATGATGGACAGCATGGACGCAAGGGCCAGAGTGCGGGCCTGGAACAGGTTGGAGCTAGCAGCGGAAGTAAATTTGAGAGATACATGCCGAGCCAGCGTGGTTTGGAGCGCGATGAGGCGCGCCCTGGTCAGCGCGGTGATAAGGGTGCTTTGGCTGCAGAGGATCGCGTGCCGGAGCCGGCAGAGACGGCGGCCGCTGAGTGGAAGTACGAGCCTTCGACTAAGAGGGATAACACGCACAAGCATTGAGCGTCACCACAGGCTGGACCTTGATTGGATTTCAAACATGCTTGAAGATAAAGAAAGTATTTTAACGGCAATGTATTAATGAACAAAATATTCCTGCGTCTATCGGTATGGGTATCGTGCTCTGTCTGTATCATAAGCGAATCAAAATTGCAAGTCGAGAAAGAGATGGCGTGGTCATGGTGTAAAGGAGAATGTGGATGCAGCCAGGACCATGTCAAGATGCAGGTCCCAGACGGTCGCCTTTATATGTAGACCCCGGCCGTTTGTTTTCCTTTCGGTTAATTTTCTTGGGCCAGCTGCGCGCAATGTCGATATTCGCACGGGGAAACCACATCTCCAAGAACACATAAAGTAAGAAGTCGATCACCACGCAGAGGCAAAACAGCTTGCCTGCCCACACTCCGCATCCATAGTATCGTTTTAGGCGATCAATGAGGGCAAAGCTTCGCACCCGATCCCGGCCGGCCTCCCATCCCTGTCCGGGGTAGTAGCCGTAGAATTCCTCGGGGCTAATGTCCCCGGAGATGCCTTGGTATACACGTTCCGTACGCTCAGCTACATCCGTCCAAGAATACATCATCTTGACCTGGTCATGGAACCGATCCGTGCGGACTTTGTTCGAACGTAATGCTGCGATGGCTTTTCCAGTGGCGAGCACGATATCGTCCTCCTCCGGTTTCGCAAAAGTTGTCATGTGTTGAGGAAGCACCTCAGGAATGCCACCGACGCGTGTGCACACCACGTAGAGACCACAGCTTGCAGCTTCCACAAGGACAGTACCAAACGCTTCAGTCAAACTCGGATGTAAATAAATGTGGCCCCGGATCATCACGTCACGGACCTCTTCGTGTCGCACCGAACCAAGCAATTCAACCTTGTCCTGCAATACATTCCTTTCTAGCATCTGTTCGAGATCGATGGCCTTGGGTCCTGATCCGGCAATGATGAACCGTACATTCGGATGAGAGGCAAGGATCCGAGGAATGGCGGCAATAAGGAGATCGGTTCCTTTATTGTAGAAAAGACGAGATATGACAACGATCGTGATAATATCATTGGGCTCCATAAGTCGCGCGATTGGCCGTGGTTCTGGTGGTCGGAAGTTCTCTGCAACCACCGCATTGGGAATAACAGAGACCATCAACGGGTCTAGCGAGGCTCGAAGCACCGTGTTCTCTTTGCTAGCCCTTAAAGTTAGTATGCTTTCAGTATAATCCATGTAGTTGACGTACCATGTATGGCTGACACAAATAACATGGTCTACGTCGCTCAAAATGAACTTGAGCAGCTTGTTGGTAAGAATTGATGCTGCATCTGCGAATCCAAACAGCGAATGGTCGGTGAAAACCGTACGGAGGCCCATCGTCCGGGCATGAAGAATAGCTTCGTGACAAAAGCTGCTCAAACTTGCATGGCCATGTACAATTTGAATTTGCTCACGAATCACTATGTTTCGAAAGATAGGGAAGAATGAGAAGACCGTCGGCATGGTCGACTCCCGGTAGATCACGAAGAAGGGGACATGGTAAACTTTGAGCCCATTGGTGAGATAGCGAACGCCAGTGCGTCCCTTGTAGGCATGGGTGATGATGATGACTTTATGGCCGCGATCGATAAGCTTCTATAGAGCGATAAGCGTTGGCTCGAGCGAGAGGTCTAGCAATCTTACGGTCGATAGCTGATAGATGTGACTTTCAATCCCGCCTGGGACCATCAGTAGCTGGTCGTCGGAGAGACAAGAGAATGAGACAGAACGACTGACCTGGTTGGGGAAAGAAAAAGTCACTGACCATACTGTGGGCCGTTGATTAGTAGGCCAACCTTGATTGATTGATTGTTCAGAACGCAAGCAGGCACTCACGCAATGTTGTATGTCATAGTGACAGTCGGTAGTCGCTAAGCTACCCAAATGACGCCTTCAACAATAGCCATGAGGGGGCTGTTTCCAGCATATCCATGTTCGGACCAGACCAGCGTCAGGGGGATGAGCAGATGGCCGTCGATCGAAGCTGCGGCGATGGATAGACGCGATGAAGCCCGGATTGGTCCAGACCCGGGCGGCGGTGGGGGCGGTGGGGAGGTTCTGCCGGGAAAAGATTCCCCGCTGGAAAAGAAATATTGATGTTTAATCTTCGGAGCTGCTCTGGCAACACCGACCCAACCTTGCAGTCCCCTTTTCCCTTGTCAACCTCGCGCTGACCCTGCGCTACCGCCGCGATCATGGCCGGTGATCGCTCTGCATCTCACGATCCTGCCCGCATAAGCTCAGGAACTCCGTCGAGCGCCAAGAAGTCCCAAAAAAGAAAGAGAGATCTTGATGGCTCCGCCACCGCTATATCCACACCGACCCCGACCAAGAAATCCAAGAAGAATCAGGGTTCTCCATCCAACGATACCCCAGTCAAAGAAAGCCGGAAGAAGAAAAAGCACTCGGGAGCTGCAAGCCGCAGTGCTGTTCAAGAGACTTCGCCCCAGAAAGAGAGTGCTGTCTCGCCGGTCGGCGGCCAAACGACTACTGCAAACCAAGACGACAGCCTCACTAAGAAAAAGAAGAAGTCGAAGGATGGAAAGCGGAAAAGCGGAACAATTAGCGATGCAGTTGAGGGAGATGTCGATATGAAGGATGCGGACGACTCTGAAGAAGTTAAAGAGGAACAAGCCAAAGGGACAAAGAAAGGCCGAAAGAGTTCTGAGCCCGCAGCGACAGAGAATGACGACGACAAACCTACGAAGAACAAATTTGCCGGCATCCTGTCCAAGTTTGAGAGGTCGAAGAAAGCACGGGAGCTGGAAAAGACAAGAGAAAGCACGAAGGATGAAGATTCCACTGAGCCAACGACAGCAGAGCCAGTTATAGCACAAGGTCTGGAGCCGTTACCACAACCAGAGGCAGCGCCTGAGCAGGATGAGATGCCAACTTACTCCTCGCTGCCGCCGTGGCTGGCCAATCCCCTCCGTGCATCGGCTCAGGAACGACGCAAATTCGCCGATTTAGGAATCGACTCTAGCCTCCTCCGAGTTCTGGAAGACAACGGCTATCGTGAAGCATTTGCCGTGCAGTCAACCGTCATTCCTCTCCTCCTGCAAGGACCTACGAACCACCCAGGAGACCTTTGCATCTCCGCTGCTACTGGTTCAGGAAAAACTTTGTCCTACGTTCTACCATTGGTCACGGCCTTGAAGCCGCTCCCTGCGCCTCGGTTACGAGGACTCATCGTGGTACCTACTCGAGAGCTGGTGAAGCAGGCCAGAGAAGCTTGTGAACTCTGTGCCGCTGGATCCGGCCTCCGCGTCGCGTCGGCAGTTGGAAACGTTGCGATCAAAGACGAGCAGCGGTCGTTGATGCGCGTTGATCAGGTCTATGGCCCTGCGACATTCAAGCTTCGCCAGAACGTGCAACTGACAGGTGATGATTGGACGAACTTCAATTTGCAGGACTACATCTCAGACGCTGGTGATCTAAGCGAGTCTCTGCCAGGCTACGTTCACCGGTCAGAGCCTAATGTCGACATCTTAATCTGTACTCCCGGTCGTCTGGTCGATCATCTTCGCTATACCAAAGGTTTCACTCTTAAGAATCTCGAATGGCTTGTCATTGACGAGGCAGATCGACTACTAAATGAAAGTTTCCAGGAATGGGTGGACGTCGTGATGACCTCCCTGGACGCCCGGAAAGCCCCTGATGCATTCGGGTTTAGTGGAAACTTTCTGTCCGGGCTTGGCTTGCCGATCCAAAGCAAGGAACCAAGGAAAGTCGTTTTGAGTGCCACTATGACTAGAGATGTGACGAAGCTTAACTCTCTGCGTCTTGCGAACCCCAAGCTAGTCGTCATCGGCTCCGATGCCGCTGCAACAGAAGATGAGAGCGGTGGCGTTGCACCGTCAGACGAACAGTTTACGCTCCCGCCTACCCTAGAGGAGCACACCGTATCGGTTGGAGATGGGTCGCAGAAGCCGCTTTATCTCCTGCGCCTTCTGCTGTCCCACATCAAGCTTGAGACTAAGAGTATCAAGCCTTCTGTGCACGACGCTTCTGAATCTGATGATTCTGATTCCGACGAATCAAGCTCTGAATCGGATTCCGATGACGCGTCGGACGTGTCTAGCTCTGAAGATTCCGATTCCGACTCAGACTCGGATTCTGACTCTGATACAAGTTCTGACTCGTCCACAGACTCTGAGGATACCTCGGAGGACGAGTCGAGCGATGATTCAGAGTCGTCGGACAGCGATTCTGAATCAGAGGACGAAAAGTCGGACCGACAAGGGCCTTCGCAGACCACAGTTCTGGTCTTCACGAAGTCATCTGAATCCGCATCACGACTGGCTCGCCTGTTGGCACTCCTCGAACCCTCCCTCTCTGACCGCATTGGCACGATCATTAAATCCAACAAATCGTCCGCTTCGCGCAAGACCCTCACAGCTTACCGCCGGGGCAAGATCTCCGTGATTATTGCAACGGACCGGGCCTCGCGTGGTCTAGACCTACGGTCACTGACCCATGTTGTCAACTACGATGTGCCAGCTAGCATTACTACCTACGTGCACCGAGTTGGTCGTACAGCTCGAGCTGGTCAGAAAGGATCGGCATGGACGCTTGTGGCACACCGAGAGGGCAAGTGGTTCGCAAGCCAGATCGCCAAGGGCTCGGATGGAAAGATCACTCGGTCCACCAAGGTTGGAAAGGTGCAATTCAAATTGGACAATATGAAGGAGGTCAAGGCACGCTATGCATCTGCATTGGACCTGCTGGAGAAGGAAGTGAAGACGGGTGGGACTAAGGCCTCCAAGCCCAGCGCACAATGACATTGATGTTAGGTAGTTCTCGGACAAAGTGTATATAGTTATCCCGAACACATGCAGGCCAGTCTGGTGACCCTTTCGTCTTGAAAGAGTGGCCCGGGCTGAATACATAACTATCAAAACCCGCCGCAGATCATGCTCAATAGCGATTTTCAACTATCTTGTGCTGTATTAGACTTTCAGGAAGCATTGCACTGTTCGTGTTGAGGTGCCTTGCTCGGCCTAGTGTGGTCAGGTGCAGTCCACTTGGTTGGACTTGCCATCCTTCCTCTCTCTTTCTCTCAGTTCCTTGCTTCTATCATTGGTGAGTAGTACTGTCCAGTTACCGTTGACTCAGTATCTCCTATGCTTTACTGTTGGTATGCCAAAAGGTATGCTGATACAATATATATATCTACTCGTGAAGTACATCAAATCCTATCTCATATGTTGATCACAGTAGCTGATCCTTCTACAACACCTACTAGGCAGCGAAATCTTACCAGCGTCCGTACCGCCTCGCCAACATGATGGTCAATTCCTCCTCACGTCATTTTGTATATCCCCATCCGAGCCGCTTGAACCGCTGCGCCAACAGAACGGTGGTGTAGGCCACCTGTGTCAAAGCAAATTGTTGTCCGATAGATTTACGTGCCCACCCCATCCAAATTGCAGATACGTTCATCCAGGTCGCAGCTATGTTCCTTCGTCCTGGTCTGAACCGGTCCTTGTTCGGGTTGTAGCCATCCGGTCTCCAATGAAGCCTACGCACATCGAAAGTGATTTTTACGTCCCGAGAGATGGCGCTTACCCATCTGGCCCGCCACCTTTTGGAAGCACGGTGTCGTTGACTGCCCTACGAAAGTTCCCATTGAGAATATGGTAATGACCCAAAGCTGTACAAGTTTCGTCAGGACAGGTCGCATTATGGGAATGAAAGACTGATAGGAAGAGCGCGCTTTCACTGACCACCTACGACACATATTCCAGGCCACGGAGTTCACAAAGAGATGACTGCCTGCCCTCTAAGTTGGCTACTTCTGCGGGCACCCTCGACCTTGACATCTAGACGACGAGCGACGACATGGAACATAACGGAGACCGGCAGTGGTGTCACGGCCTGCAAGGATCACACTGAGCAGCTGGTCAATAATTTCGGTCCTGTCGCTAGTGAGTCCGCCTAGTCGTGAAAGGAAGTTTTTCAGAGCCTGGGCATTCTGCTCGCAGAGGATGTTACACGCTTGCACGGCCTCCTTCTCAATACGGAGTACATAGGCCCTGGACCCAGCAACAGCTCGCTGAAACCGCGTTCGAAAATGAGCTGCAGATCAAGGAGCGACCTCAATTGTACGCGAATAGTAACGCGATACTGGGCTTTCTGGTAGTCATTCGAGAACTCTAGCAGCTGGTGACCGCCCACTTTGAACACTTTACCAAAGAAGGAAGCCAGTGGCAGAATCAATAGCCTGCACTATTAGTGAAGCTATCATCTACAAGAAGGCGTTTCGGGAGCGTGAAAAGGAGGAGAAACGATTCGCAAAAGCTGGTCTTGCAGATCAATTGTCGTGGTTGAAGATCGGACAGACAGTACACCCAAATCTTCTGGAACCCCATGTTAATTTTGGCATTTCTGGATAGGATGTCAGCCCGTATGCAGCACTTCATCATACGGAATACGAGATTCGAAGTGTATCCAATATTACAAAAGTGAAGTTGCATCTAGTTCAGCAGGTGGCGCTCGAGCGCGGTGGCGACTGTCTTGCGGAGAGCGTCGGGGCCTAGCCCAGGGTCTAAATGGTACCCCTGCGGCGGTGAAATGCACCCTTGTCGGCGCGATCTGTAATGGTCTGATACCTGTCAGATGTGTTTCCCTGCAAAGAGAACCGGATCTACAGTGTAACGGCATGGTGGATTTTCGGATAACTCGCAGAAAAGAGAGGGGGGAAAATATTGCCGGCAAGTCAAATGTTTGTGACGACGCGTATCGGGGATAATTCCAAAGCAAAGAAGAGGTGCTACTAGAAGAGGGAGCATCATGACTATGGGTTTCAGAGACCCACAATACCTTCCCCAATTTCCCGCTATTGCCCTATTGGATTCTACTCATCTTCACTACCTCGGAGGCCCTCCTGCGGAGTATTTCTCGGCGTGGGTTTAATCCGCGCTTTGAAGCTTATCGAAGCCCATGGCTTACAACACTGATAGATCGGCTGCAGGAGGATCACGAGAAAAGGAGTCGCAATGCAACCAGGGCCAAAGCGCCAGACAATTTAGGAGAATACCGCACTCATCGGCAGTACCAGCTTATACTATTGGGCTTAGGCCTCCTACTACGCTTTTTGGAACCATTCTCCGGGTGTCTGACGAGACCCTGGACGCGCTGGCTGTTATAACGCCACTGAAGAATACGGTAAATATTGAGTACATTGATATTCTGGGCAAACTGAAGGTGGTGGCTGGCGCTCAATAGCGAGAATGCTAAACTATTCGTTTTTCGGAACTTGAACAAATTTGCAGCCAGAGACTGTACTTGAAGAAGCAAATTGTAGGGGTCGCATTGCTATCACACTTTTATCATGCAGGATCACACCCACCGCACATCACATCACTGAATTATACTAATCAAATTGATCATACCGGTCTATTCTCGACCGGGTTGATACTATATGCACTATCGTTCCAAAAACCCAGCAGCGAAGACTCGCCAAGCTCGTCAAGCTCCTGTCCAAAATCCACCTGTTCCCGTACTAGCGATTAGTAGCGATCATCGGCCCAGCAGGTCGACCAATCGATGCACCGGAAGTTTGTCCTGATGGATCGCGTCGATCACCCGGCTTGTCTCCTCGGCCGTGAACAGGCCCTGCATGTTTCGCTCAAACTTGGCGCGCACCTTAGGCAAAGTATCTTCGTGCATCGGATGCCCGATTGGGTATTCGACGACTACTTCGTCTAACTGCTCCCCGTTGGTCAGAAAGACGGTGAGTCCGCTGGCGGCCGCCTTTTTGTGGTGGTAGCCGTAGGTGAACTGCGGGTCTTCGGCCATATGGATCCGCTGGCGTAGGGCCTCAACACGCGGATCATGGGCCCACACGCTCGAATCGTGGTAGTCCTCTGCTTCGATGATCGCGTTCTTCAACAACACCACCGAGACCATGTACCGCATGCAGTGATCGCGGTCGGCCGCATTGGTGAGCGGGCCTTGCTTGTCGATGATGCGTACAGCCGCTTCATGCGTGCGGATATCGATGCGACTGATTTCAGTAGCAGGATCGATCCCCCTGCTGGCCATGGTCTCAGCCAGCGCCATGGCCGCCTGAACTGCGGAGATGCCGTGGCCCTCTGCAGTGATGAGTTTGAAGAAAACTTCCTCCATCACCCGGGTCTTGAAAGGACGTGGCAGCTGCAGCTCTTTGCCCCCAAAGCTGACAGCGAGAAACCCCCATTCCGGCTCAGTTAGCGCGCTGGGAATGCCTGGCTGGCCGGCGCGAGCTAGTAAGCACAAGTGTACAGCACGCATGGCGGCATCTCCAGCGGCCCAGCCCTTGCGTGGCCCCGCATTAGGACTTTGACGGAAAATGCGCAGAGGGTGGCCATCAGCCCACGCATGGGAGAGCGCGACGGCGGCTTGTTTCTCCGTCAGACCCATCAACCAAGCTACAACAGCTGTGGAGGCGATCTTCACGAGTAGCGTATGATCTAGGCCCACCTTGTTGAAGGCATTGCGGATCTGGTAGCAGCCTTGAATCTCGTAGGCTTTGATCATCGCGATCAGGACCGTCCGGACGGTCAGTGGCTGGCTGGTGGCGCCTGTACGGCTGAGCCAATCTGTGACCGCCAAGATGGCGCCCAGGTTATCTGTTTTGTCGATCGGTTAGCCCTATATTCAACCAAGCTTCTGGGAGCGTAGATCCCGCAGACGGGCATACCAGACGGGTGGCCCCATTCAGCACCAGGGTATGCATCGTTGTGGTCCAGGAAGCGAATCAAGGTTGCCATATCAAAGGCACCCTTGACTGGATCAAGTTGGTGGCAGGTGCCCGGCAGCTTGAACCCATAAGGGGCGACCAGACCTGGTGTGTATGGGCCGATCAGAGCGCGACACTCGGGGCTTTGCTGAAGAGTCTCCAGCGCGCAACCAAGAGCATCCATGAGGGCATAGCGGGCCCGTAGGATAGCGAGGTCGCTGGTCACTTCGTAGTGATAAACATACTCAACTAGGCGAGTTATCGTTTCGTCATACTGTCGATCGGAAGTGGAAGACATGGTCCTCGGAGTGTGCACGGAAAGGCTTTTGAGTAGATAGGTTTCGGAAGAAAAGTTTGGATTGGCCCAGGAAGTGACGAGAGTGATGGCGAACGAAACAGACCGCAAAGGGAACCGCCCTTTTATGCTCCGTCGGGCAGACCGTGTCAGCCAGATGCCTTTCGATCGCCGGTGATAGTCTCTGTGGGCTGTCACTAGTCGATGGACCAAAGCTTGACAGTCTATCTCGGCGTATCCATTCGTCCTTTTGAACTATTCCGTCCGAGACTGCATGGTCTCGGACAGATGGCTGCTGCCATGCCAGACAAGGTACAAATATGTGCTTCAGAGCCCGACAAACCCCAACAGAATCAGGACAACAGCAGCGACAATCCTTCGCAGACTCATCCGATTCCCTTCTACAACATGGCATACACACTGGCATCTTGGCTGGGCCGTCTCTTCGATGCAGGCAAGAGCCTGTTGCCCTTGCAGGGTAACTACATCAACGCCCTACTGGAGCAGGAACTACCTGGCGAGCGTGAAGGCACATTGACAGTGCGGGATAACCGGACGGGATCGAAGTATACGATTCCCATCGTGCGCAACTCGGTACCGGCTATGGGATTCCGTCAGATCTGCGTTGACCGTGCAGGAAAAAGCCCGCGGCAGCAATTCGAGGATGGACTCAGGTTGATCGACCCAGGGTACCGCAACACAGCCGTCAAAATGTCCAGTATCACCTACATGTATGCTTGTCTTTTCTTCGCTGGTCAATCTTTGCTTTACTGACTGAGGTAGCAATGGCAACGAGGGCGTCATCCTGTACCGGGGCCACCCCCTGGCCTCGCTCATTGGAAAGAGCTACGAGGAAATTACCCACCTTCTCATCTGGGGCTCGCTACCCACACCCGAGCAGCGTCTGCGCTTCCAGCGGCGAATTGCCGAGGCGATGATGGTGGTGCCGGAGAACGTGAAGCAGCTTGTGGCCACTTTCCCGTAAGTCCGCCCCTTCTCTTCGCTACGCATGCCACTAACCTTGAAGCAGACGCAACACTCCTCCTATGGTCATTCTCTGCGCGGTCTTGACGGGGTATCTGGCAGATCAACCCGAGCTCATTCCGGCCCATGCGGGTGCCAATTTGTACAACCGACGCCCAGAAATGGTCGATGAGCAGATCATCCGCACACTAGCAGTCACGGCGATAGCCGGATCGATAGCCCACTGCCACATGAAGGGGGAGGAGCTCCGCATGGCCGACCCGAACCTGAGCTACATCGAGAACATCTTGTGGATGGGCCGGTATGTGGATAACAACCCAGCCGTCACGCGGGAGAAGGCAGCGGAGATCCTGACGAAGGCGTGGTCTCTGTATGCGGACCATGAGATGACCAACTCCACGTCAGCTTTCCTTCACGTCTCATCCTCCCTGGCAGACCCACTTTCGGCAATGGCCGCGTGCTGTATGTCTGGTTACGGACTATTGCACGGAGGTGCCATCGACGCGGCGTACCGAGGAATGCGGGAGATTGGTGGGCCACAAAATGTGCCCAAGTTGATTGAGAAGGTCATAAACAAGGAGTGCCGGTTATCCGGGTACGGCCATCGGATCTACAAGCAGGTGGACCCGCGGGCGAAGTACGTGCGCGAGATGCTGGACGAGCTGACGCGGGATCGCGACATTCGCGAGATGGACCCTGTGCTCCAGGTGGCCATGGAGATCGACCGGATTGCCAGCACACACGAGTACTTTGTCAAGCGTAACTTGCAAGCAAATGCGGACTTGTACGGTAGCTTCGTGTACACGGCACTGTAAGTATTCAGCCAGTTTTTCTTTTTCAGAGAATGTCTACTAATCGACGCAGGGGCATTGACTCCCAATTTGCGACGGTGCTGGCGGCGACTGCACGGGTGTCGGGTGTGATGGCACACTGGAAGGAACAGACTGGTATGTTTTTTTTTTTTTTTTTTTCTCAATCTCATTCTCCCAAAAGAGAGAAAACTAACGAATGTAGAACGTGCACCGGATTTGTGGCGGCCACTACAGGTGTACGTGCCGAACTAGGGATAGGGGATAGGGATGGGATTGTACAGAATGGGTCATCATAGGAGTCTATTGTTTTCGGGTCTGGGTCTTGGTTACTTCATAGTTTGCGCTATACTCATTAGTGGTTAATACTTTTTCAACAGACTGCTCCTTTTCTTCTTAAATACACTGGCAGTTGGTGCATTTTTATTTTGGAACAATACATGCAGTGATAATCATCATATTGACTGTCGATTAGTGGTACCTGAAAGAACAATACTATCGATGTAAGTAGTTTCTATGTCTGAGGTAGCTGCTTAATATCCATATTTGGCAATTATAAGATGATACATATGAATTATGTTCAGAATCATAGTAGACTGGCAGTAGCCGATAATCAATGTTTGCAGCAGCAGACATCCCAAGAGCACTGGTAGTGATATAAAGTAAAATAAACTTTGCAAAGCCAAGTCCACAGGACTCTCTCTGTAGTCACTCTTGCGTTGCTTCGTAGGGGAAGAAGCTTCATAGTCTCAATGAGTAGTCTTCATGCCCTATAGGGCTATACAGGAAATCTCTCTTTAGATCATCTTCTGCTTCGTCAACTTTAATTGTTTAACCAAAAACGCCTAACCCACCTCTCCACGAACTACAACTTGCCACCAGCCTCTTACAACCGACCTTTTGACTTTAGTTTCAATATATATTTCCATAACTAAGCAACATATAGACATCAGAATAATGTAGACCATCGGTATATGCCTGCTGGGCAGAAACCACCGCCAGAATCCATCCCATTTCTTTTGTTTCCAACTCCACATAACCCAAAAATATGCCTGTAGTCTTAAAATTTAATTCCTAAGCTCGTCGATAGTGGTTCTGCATAGGTAGCCTTATCTCGTATAATGGTAAACTTCACTAGTTCCAATCGGGCGGAAGTGATCGACACGCCGGAAACAAGCAATAAGTGACCCACAGTGACAAGTCAATTCTACAAAACAAATACTAATCTTGCATATCAATTGGACTATTGCTACTTAAAACGTATATATGTCACTTATATAATTTAGTGGATAGCTGAACAGTCGATCCGGGCATTTCTGAGCCGCGTCTAAACTCCGTGCCCGAAAACTCCTAGATAGTAGATTATAGTTCAAGAAATAGTTTGGAAAGAGTATCCAGAAATTGAACCGAAATATTGAAGATGATCGGAATCACCGAAAGTACCTTACGTACAGAGTACATTGTTTCTTCCGTTCTTTTTCTTTTGTTGTTAGGTATCTTATTCATATTCCCCGTAAGGCTATAACTAACTTCCACTTTCCCCTCGCCAAGCATTCTTCCCAGCAGCATCATACTCTTCCCGTTGTTTATTTCCATCAATCATTTCTCATCATTTACCTGCCCTCCAGTCACTTGATACATAATAGAACCCAGCCAGAATGACCACTCTCACACCAACCCCCGCCAATTCCACCAGCACTCCCATAACCCACACTCTCTCCACCTGGTTGGAAGACCTCACTCCGGAGTCTATTCCCGTCGAAGTTCGCGAACGAGCCAAATACCTCATTCTCGATGGATTAGCCTGTGCTCTACTGGGTGCACGACTCCCCTGGTCCGTCAAGGCGCATGATGCTATCACTACCATTGAGGGTCAGGGAAAATGTACCGTTATCGGATGGAATGAGGTATTCCATTCCCTTCTGATCAAACTTCCCTTCCCAAACAGATGAGTAAAGGACAAGAAACTAATGAGACTGATAGACCCTCTCCCCCAATGCCGCCGCCCTCCTGAACAGCACCTTCCTCCAAGGCTTCGACCTTGACGACATCCACGTCGAGGCCCCCATACACACCATGTCCGTCATCCTCCCAGCGATCCTCGCAGCTGCAGAGCAGGAGCATGGCGGCTCGACTCGCCCTATCAGCGGGAATGACTTCATTACCGCCACAGTCGCTGGCTGCGAAACTGGCCCTCGCGTCGGCTACGCCCTGGGCGGAACGCACATGCTCACCATTGGATGGCATTGCGGTGCCATCTTCGGTCCTGCTGCCTCCGCAGCAGCCGTCTCCAAGCTCCTGAATCTTCCCGCCGCGCAGATCGAAGATGCACTGGGCATGGCGTGCACGCAGGCCTGCGGGCTCATGTCGGTGCAGTTTGAGAGCATGGTGAAGCGCATGCAGCATGGGTTTGCATCGCGGAGCGGAGTACTCGCCACCTATTTGGCGAAGCAGGGGTTTACGGGGATCAAGGAGATCTTTGATCGCGAGTATGGTGGGTTCTTGAAGATGTTTTCGTACGGGGCGGAGACGGAGCGCAAGTATTACCCGGAGGAGGTCTGCAAGGGATTAGGGGAAGTGTGGCAGACCAAGAAGATCAAGCAGAAGTTGCATGCGCTGTGCGCGGTGTCGCATTGTACGGTGGATTGTATTAAGGACCTGCAGGCCATGTATCCTGCGAAGATGGGTGAGTGGAAGAAAATCGTCAAGATTGAGGCGGAGATGGCGAGGGCCGCGATGAAGAAGGGTGGCTGGGCACCGGAGAAGCCAGCCACCGCCACGGCGGCGCAGATGAGTATACCGTATGCGGTGGCGTTGCAGGTTCTGGATGGGGAGATTGTGCCGGGGCAGTTTGCGCCGGGCATGTTGAATCGGGAGGAGTTATGGGATGTGATTAGGCTGGTGGAATGTCGGGAGGCCAAGGAGCTGGATAATACGTGGGCGCAGAGGGTCAAGATCACGTTTGAGGATGGGGAGGTGGTGGAGAAGTTGTTGAAGGCTCCGAAGGGAGTCCATCCTGGGGTGACGAATGAGGAGGTGTTGCAGAAGTGGCGGGCTGTGACGAAGGGGGTAATTTCGGAAGAGAGGCAGAAGAAGATCGAGGAGATTGTGTTGAATTTGGAAGAGGTGGAGGATGTGGCTGGTGTTTTGGGCGAGTTGTTGAGGGAAGAGACGGTGAATGTGCTGCAGTAGACGGTTACCCCATTTGGACGGGGATGGCTTCATATTTCCCAAGCGATGTCACGCCATAGAAAGGGCACATTTACCCGGTGCCTGAGCGAAACTCTACTTCGAAGACAATGCCAATGTTTAACTATCTTGTTTTAATTGCTAAATGCAAACATTCCAGGTTCTTCCTAATGCCGGCTAAATCATTCAGGCTAAACCCCCGCGATGAAGTCAATCGGTCATTCTCCGGCGCATCTCCGCATCTCCGCAAACCGCTATAAAATCTACCCCAGATTCAGTCCCCGGCCACCTTTCTATCCCCCCCCCACAGACTGGCTCAACCATGGCGCACTCAATGTCTCGTCCCGTGGCTGCCACTGCCGCTGCTCTGCTGGCTCTGGCTCTTCCTCAAGCTCTTGCCCAGGCCAACACCAGCTACGTCGACTACAACATCGAAGCCAACCCGGACTTGTATCCTTTGTGCATAGAAACCATCCCACTGAGCTTCCCCGACTGCCAGAATGGTCCCCTGCGCAGCCATCTCATCTGTGATGAAACAGCCACCCCCTATGACCGAGCAGCATCGCTCATCTCGCTCTTCACCCTGGACGAGCTGATCGCCAACACCGGCAACACCGGCCTCGGTGTCTCCCGACTGGGCCTCCCTGCATACCAAGTATGGAGTGAAGCTCTTCACGGCCTCGACCGTGCCAATTTCAGCGACTCAGGAGCCTACAATTGGGCCACCTCATTCCCCCAGCCCATCCTGACCACCGCGGCCCTCAACCGCACCCTCATCCACCAAATCGCCTCCATCATCTCTACCCAAGGCCGCGCCTTCAACAACGCCGGCCGCTACGGCCTCGACGTCTACGCCCCCAACATCAACACCTTCCGCCACCCCGTCTGGGGTCGCGGACAAGAAACCCCAGGAGAGGACGTCTCTCTCGCCGCCGTCTACGCCTACGAATACATCACCGGCATCCAGGGTCCCGACCCAGAATCAAACCTCAAACTCGCCGCCACGGCCAAGCACTACGCCGGCTATGACATCGAGAACTGGCACAACCACTCCCGCCTGGGCAACGACATGAACATCACCCAGCAAGACCTCTCCGAATACTACACGCCCCAATTCCACGTCGCCGCCCGCGACGCCAAAGTCCAGAGTGTCATGTGCGCCTACAACGCCGTCAACGGCGTCCCTGCCTGCGCCGACTCCTACTTCCTCCAGACCCTCCTCCGCGACACCTTCGGATTTGTCGACCACGGATACGTCTCCAGCGACTGCGATGCCGCCTATAACATCTACAACCCCCACGGCTATGCCTCCTCCCAGGCTGCCGCTGCCGCTGAGGCCATCCTCGCCGGCACCGACATCGACTGCGGTACCACCTACCAATGGCACCTGAACGAGTCCATCGCTGCGGGAGATCTCTCTCGCGATGATATTGAGCAGGGTGTGATTCGTCTCTACACGACCCTCGTGCAGGCCGGATACTTCGACTCCAACACCACAAAGGCGAACAACCCCTACCGCGACCTCTCCTGGTCCGACGTCCTTGAGACGGACGCATGGAACATCTCCTACCAAGCCGCGACGCAGGGCATTGTCCTTCTCAAGAACTCCAACAACGTCCTCCCCCTCACCGAGAAAGCTTACCCACCATCCAACACCACCGTCGCCCTCATCGGTCCCTGGGCCAACGCCACCACCCAACTCCTGGGCAACTACTACGGCAACGCTCCCTACATGATCAGCCCCCGCGCCGCCTTCGAAGAAGCCGGATACAAAGTCAACTTCGCCGAGGGCACCGGTATCTCCTCCACAAGCACCTCGGGCTTCGCTGCCGCCTTATCCGCCGCACAATCCGCCGACGTGATAATCTACGCCGGTGGTATCGACAATACCCTTGAAGCGGAGGCACTGGATCGAGAGAGTATCGCGTGGCCGGGTAACCAACTGGACTTGATCCAGAAGCTCGCCTCGGCGGCCGGAAAGAAGCCGCTCATCGTCCTCCAAATGGGCGGCGGACAGGTCGATTCCTCTTCGCTCAAGAACAACACCAATGTTTCTGCACTTCTCTGGGGCGGATACCCCGGCCAATCTGGCGGCTTCGCTTTGCGGGATATCATCACGGGGAAGAAGAACCCCGCGGGTAGACTAGTCACGACGCAGTACCCTGCCAGCTACGCGGAGGAGTTCCCGGCGACAGATATGAACCTTCGTCCTGAGGGTGATAACCCTGGTCAGACGTATAAATGGTACACCGGCGAAGCCGTGTACGAGTTCGGCCACGGGTTATTCTACACGACCTTCGCGGAATCCTCCAGCAATACCACTACAAAGGAAGTTAAGCTCAACATCCAGGACATTCTTTCCCAGACACACGAAGACCTGGCGTCGATTACCCAGCTCCCTGTGCTGAACTTTACCGCCAATATCAGGAACACTGGAAAGCTGGAATCGGATTACACCGCTATGGTATTCGCCAATACCTCTGATGCCGGGCCGGCGCCGTATCCCAAGAAGTGGCTGGTCGGGTGGGATCGGCTTGGGGAGGTGAAGGTCGGGGAGACGAGGGAGTTGAGGGTCCCCGTTGAGGTGGGGAGCTTTGCGAGGGTGAATGAGGATGGCGATTGGGTGGTGTTTCCGGGAACGTTTGAGTTGGCGTTGAATTTGGAGAGGAAGGTTCGGGTGAAGGTTGTTCTTGAGGGTGAGGAGGAAGTCGTGCTGAAGTGGCCGGGGAAGGAGTAGAAAATACTATTCTGTTGATGGCTCTAGGGGATGAGAGTCAGCCTATTACTGGATATGCATAGTGGTGATACGATGTATATAGCTCTATGAAGTAATTAGTTCAAGTGGGAATACCCCTTTCACACATATAGTATGCTGTTATTCCGAAATAGGGATCATTTCTGATTAATAGTAGCGGTAGCGATGGTCACACACGACTTAATGTTCCCCATTGTACCGGAAGTAACAATTCCAGTGACCTCTTAGAAGAAAGACAGCAAGAAAAAGTAAGAAAGGGAAATTGATCAAAAAATAAGGCCATCTACAGCCTATTCACATTTAGCCGGATCTGCAATACAGCTACAGAAATAAAGTTTGTTAGGCTGCTTGCTAGCATAGCTCCTACTATACTAAACCAACACAATGGGACAATACCCCAATTAACCAGCCCTCACTCAACACAAGTGAATCCTACCGACAACATGCATAAACCACTGCTTCCCCACCCAGCACCCTTCTTCACGATCAGATCACGGAGAATTACCAACTACTCTTCGCATAAAACGTAAACAACGGCCTCGGGCCAGGATCCGTCCGACTCAAAAGCAACAAATCCCTCGTTCGCATACTAGCCACATGAACCTGTTGCTCCGAGACCTCCTCAACTGGGTCTTCAAATGCCCAGAAGACGCTTTCTTCTCGATATCCATCGGATACTCGCTGGCCGCTTAGACATATGAACGATGAGTCTCGTCTGCCAAAGGAAACAACCGTGTTCCCGAATCCAGTGTCAAAGTCGTAGGTCTGGAATTTGAAAAGTGTTCGGGCGTTTCCTTGGAGGGTCGGGAGTGCGACTGCAGAGTTATATATTGTTATTTTCTTTGTCGATGGTTCAGTGGGGGTGGATGGGGGCTGGGAAGCTTACTGTCGCTGAAGCTGCCGTTGTCGAGGGTTCGTTCTTGTGCGATCATGGTTACTGTTCTGATGGCCAGCTTTTTTTGGGAGTTGAATTAGTAGAGGATATAGGAAGATACGGGGCGTTGGTAACTTACCAGGACTAGTTTCTTGTAGTCTTCTGGGGAGGGATATGAAAATGGGGAGTTTATTTCTTCTGGGTTTTCGTTGACCGCTTGGACCTGGTGTTCCTGTCAGTGATGATAACTATTGGATCTTTACGGGTGTGCAGGCTTACTTTGGTGCGGATGCCTGAGAGTATGTTGGCCCCTTCTTCATACAGTTCAGCCTGTTGCTCTCTGCCGTTAATGAACTTTTGAACTGGGACTAGAACATAAAAGTTTGGTGAGCAGAACATTCCCAAGCGATGATCATGTGTAGGCCATACTCTTCCTAATGAGTTCAAGGTACGCATCATATTGCGTAAAATCTCCAAAAAGGTACCAGCTCTGGTCCAGTTAGTTGCATTCCTTGAATAGTCTCCCAGAAGGTCTCACCCTCTGATTCGCAAAAGCATAGTCAAAAGGCGTGAATGCATTGTTGAAATTCGGCACGTTGGTGTATCTCCACAGGAGTGCACTACCTCGACGTAAATATCCTATAACCGGAGACGTATTAGGAGTGGGCGGGAGAACTCACAATCGTCTATATCTATGCTTCCCCTCCCTCAACTCCTGATAGAAATCATCTGCGCCTTCTTTGATTGCAAAAAGAGGCGAGTCTTCACCGTCGTGAGGTTCTGCGTGGATGACTCCAGATCGCCCTCCGCCTCCAGAGGTATGGATCCAGACTGTGACGCGAGAGTGTCTGTTGATTGTCTCCACGGCACTTCTCACTTCGTTAGTGACGGAGCCAGTGACTCCGTACATTGAGAAGGCAACCTCGGATCTATCTCCATGTTAGACTGTAAAGTCAGCTGAAGCGCTTAGCGGTAACTTACGCCTGCCTGATCTCTTGGCTGGTGGATTTGTTGACCGCAGAAATGGAGACGCGGGCAAAGTATTGGCCACCTCGGATGAAATCTACCGCAGCCATATTAGCATTTACAAATGGCTAGAAGAATAAATAATATGTCAGCTATCTTACCTGCAATAAAACGATCTCCGTATAGTCTGTTGGGAGTGTCGGTGCTAATCTGATTAAAGGAATACGAATTCCCGATTGATGCCTGCTGCCTGGATGACACCTCGACTTGATATGTCACTGTACTGCTTTCAAAACTGTAAACATGAAGATTAGCTAACTCCCAAATTAACAAGGCAGAACAGATACACTCACCTTAGCCGGTCAAGATAGCCAGCGTCGATTTGGGAGGACTGTCCCCAGCCGGAAATAGCAGCGCCAGCACTTATCTCCAAGGACTGCGCAAGTTTGCTGGATAAATCGACAAGAAGAAAAGTCAGCACTACACTCTAAACAGAGGATTTGGGTATGCGGACGTGTATTCATCGATTCTTTCACTCCTATAGAAGAGGTCGTAAGTGGCGGACTCTGGTTGGCCAGGGGTAATAGTGACAGCATCTGCTACACCAATCTGTTGAAGGTAGGTATTGTATCTAGATGAGGGATGAATTGTTCAGTATGTTAGCAAGCATCACAGCTATCACCGAAAGGACGAAGACATCGATCGTACCCCTGCCCCTGCTGCATCCCATCGAAATATGGAACGAGTTCGGCCATCTTGGACTGTCCGGTTGTTCTAACCAAGTGATGCAGTATGAAACGTCTGGAATATGATTCTGGAAGCTGAATCTTGACTGATAAATTGCATCGCAACCCGACCAAAGGCTGATACTCTTATATGCTGAAGCACCACTGCATGAGCAATCCTCTGCCCTATACAGACATCACGTCACTCACATCAGACCCCGATGCAGTGTCCTCAGAGTGCAACTTCGTGGTGGCAATTTCCAGCATCCAATTCTCCATATGAGGCATTTTCTCTGGGAGGAGTGGATTCCATCGGGTGACAACGATGGCTGTCCATTCGGCGAAGCAAAAGCCGTAAAAGATCACAACTGCAGTGTCAAGGATACAGACATTAGAGGGCGTAACTATTCAAGCCGGTATCTGAGTCTCGCAATCGAGGTCTGATTCGTTATCGGGGACTCCGAAAGGCCACCGGACGGGCACTGAAGCGGGGACATAATATAGATTAATTCATGAATCTATCCAAAGAGTCAAGGAAGAGTTCGGGGGAAAGTGGTGCTGCGTGTGCTCAATACTATTGTTGACATTGACTGCTCGGGGACTGCTCTATACCCCTGTAGTGGCAAATGCAGGTCATCAAAGATGCATGAGCTGAACATCGCCGAAACCCCGCCCCCTCATTGTTGATCGCTCAGCTTGCCCTTCAGCTCGAGGTTCTACTCCACTTCAAACTGCTGGAGGGTTACATCGCTGAAATTTTCTTGTAGTTCTCAGGGTGGCTTTGTATGATGTTCTTCGATGGGCAAAGCACAGGGACGCTCGGCGTATGTGGATGGGAAAATCGGGCTGCATAATCCCTGCTACTTCTGCTACTGCAAGTACGTAATGGGATGCTTCAGCAGAATCCAGAATCCAGAACGGACATGCAGCTAGCAGTGGACAATTACATACACATACTACTAAGCTCAGGATGACGATGATTGTCGGCGATTGCACCTCTCTGCAGCTATCAGAATGATATAAAGAATCCCTTCCGGCCGCTCAAGTCAGAAGTCTACCAGAAGCAAATCTTCCACAGTTCAAATATCTGAAAGATATATCTACTTTTCTCTACCACCGTCCTCTATACATCACCCCTCCCGTCAACACCATGGCCGAGCGAGCAGAAGCCCAATGGGTGCACATCCGCGTCGTCAACTCTCTCTCCTTCGACACCCTAAGTGTCAGAAACACCTGGCTGGGCTGGTAAGTCCAAAGAAACGATGACTATATCTCCCACCTTTTCCTCCCTAACACATCATCAGGGGCAAATTTCACAAAGAAAACAACAAGAGCGCTGAGATCCCCGTCTCGGACATCAACGCTCTCAGGGCAGCTCCCGGCGGGTCCTTCAACGTCTTCGCTTGTGGCCGAGCACACTCACCCTCTGGCACAGAGGGAAGTTTCGATGTGTACAATGGAGATGTGCGAGTCGCTTATATCTACTGGGACTGTCCATGGGGATCAAAGCGCAACCAGTTCCGCGTCGACAGGATCGCTGACGATTACTGGGTGGAGACGGGGTATTGGAATCAGTCGGGAGGTGCTATTGGTAGTGTTACGGTGGAGATTGGGAGGAGAGATCGTGCGATTCGGTCAAGTCTTTAAGATAAGATGAACAAGGGGAGATGTGTTTGGTTTGTCCTGTCTGCCCTTTGCAGTTCGGGAGTGGTTCGATTGTTATTTTTCTTTCATGTGTGGAAGTTCATGGATCAGAGTGATGATGATGTATATGGTGGTGTCGAGTCTTATTTATGATGTTGAGACTGACGCAAGAGAAGATCATATTATCGTCTTCAAGCTGGCAATATGAATAACCGGCCCAGAAATGTAGAATTGGTGGGATCGACAATGATCCGCCCACACATTGGGATCTGCTCTGCATTAGCGATGGCACTGGGGTGAAAGACTGTCAAATCAACTGAAGGTAGTCTATACAGTATATCAAGACTACTTGAAATATATACGATTATCCTACATGATCATTCCCTGGATAGCGTTCTCTTTGAATAGCGTTAATAATGCTCTTTTTCCATATGTGGCAAGTACAACCTAGCAGGGTGCATTCGGATAGAAACATCGACTACTCAATCACAATGACAACCACCACAATACAACTGAGACAAAACTGCAAGTATAGCATTTACTGCACACAAGTGAACACCTTTCCTGGAGGCAAAAAATAATCTGAAAAACAAAAACGACGACAGTCGGATTTGAACCGACGCCTCCGAAGAGAATAGATTTCTAGTCTATCGCCTTAGACCGCTCGGCCATATCGTCTTATATAATGAAGGCTCACAAATATGCTATAGAGAGACAGTCCATCGATGAATGCAACATTATGTCTTATCATAAATCATTGCTGCCATATTCATACTAATCATATACATCTATGCACTATTTACTCTCCATCATCGCAATCAGTTCCTCATACTCGCCCGTATTCCGCACCATTTCCCAGAATACGCCCTTTTTCGCGACCAGTCGCGCCGGTGAATCATTCCTATTAGTACCCAGTTAGCTCAGTATTTCATGATAATTAATGAGGGAATGACGGATTGGCATGACGCACTCGATAATCTCCCCATCCGCCATCACCAACACCCGATCATAGTCCATAATCGTCCTCAGCCGATGCGCAATCGCTATGATCGTGCAGTCTGCAAACATCGTCCGCAATACCTTTTGCATATGCGAATCGGTTTCGTGATCCACCGACGCCGTCGCCTCATCCAGCAACACCACCTTCGATCGCCGACACATTGCCCGCGCCAGGCTCAGAACCTGTCGCTGACCCTGGCTGAAGTTCTCTCCGTTCGCAGCAACCGGCGTATCCAGCGCCAGCGGCCGCATTGTCCTGCCCTCGCCCTCGCCCTCGCCCTCGCCAGGAACATGGACTGTCGTGCATGCCGACAGCGCCGCACGCAGCTCGGTCTCGCTGGACTCGCCAAACGGGTCGAGGTTGGACTGCACGTCACCGGAGAAGAGCACCGGCTCTTGCGGAATCAGCGTCACGTTGGTGCGTAGCCGGTTCAGACGGATCTGGTTAATGTTGACTCCATCGATGGTTACGCTGCCGTCGACAATGTCGACGAACCGGAGAAGTGATAGCCCCAGGGTGGATTTGCCACTGCCGGTCCGGCCGACGATGCCGACGCGCTCGCCTGGGTGCGCGACGAAAGATACTTTGCGGAGGACATCGGGCCCGTCAGGTTGGTAGCGGGCAGTGACGTCGGTGAATTCGACTCGACCGGATGTTGGCCAGCTGGCGGGTAGAGCATCTGCTTTACGTTGCTCTTCGGTTTCTAGTTTCTCCTCTGGCTCGATGTCGCCGTATTCTGTCATGCGCTGGAAGGAGTTCAGCTCCACCTCGAGCTCGTTAAGCGTCCGGACTAGTGTCAGAATGGTCTGGCTGAGGCCGATGGCGTTTGTCAGGGAGAATCCCACCAGACCTGCTGATCCAGACCAGAAGTATGCTACGCAGCCGGCTGCAGCTGCCACGGAAGCGGCGCAAAAGTCTGTCCGGACCGAGACCCAGCGGTTGCAGTTGTATTGCGCCTCGGATGAGCGGGCGTGAACTGCCAACTTCTCGGCCAGCAGGTTCTGGAACACCTGGTCCATGCCGTGTCGAGCTCGGATCACGCTCAGTCCCGACAGTGAGTCGGTAAAGTGGGAGAAAACAGGGGAGTAGTTGATGGAGGTCAACCGCTTGATTGATACTTGAGCGCGAGTGTACATTTCCCCAATGACGAACCCTGCAGCGCAGATAACGGCTGCAGGGAGAGCAAAGATGGGCATTATGGAAGCGACACTGGCAATCCGAAGCAGGAAGCGTAGAGTGTTCTCGATCGACATGCGCAGCCACTCAACAAGAACAGTGTCTAACGACCGGGTATCATTTCCGAACCGGTTGATGGCGCGCCCGATCGGATTCTGATCGAACCAGGCAATCGGTGCAGACAGCACGGCCGTCACCAGCCGGCGGTGCGTCTTCTTGGCAGCCACCCAGCTGCCGTACTGGTAGATGAGATTGTTGCACAACTGCAAAGTCAAAAAGGTGATGATGCACGCTGCATATATCCCCAGGTAGAACAACGTGTTGGGGTGCTCGTATTTGTCGTACGCCCCGGTCCAGATGGACAGCCAGTACGTTATGGCAAAGTAGGCAAACTGCACGGAGATGGTTGCAATCACGACCAGCGGGACATAGGAAGCGCCACCGAATAACACCATATAACGTAGCGCTGATCTGTTAGCAATGCTCGAAGCCATCTAAGTCATCAGGTTCTTACCTAGCGTGCGAGGCACTCGTCCCGTGGCAGACGTCTCCTTCGCTATGCGTTCCTCTGCGGGCGGTTGCTTGCCACCAGCGGCAATTGGTGGAGGCTCCGACGGGGATTCCAGAGCTTCCTCTACCACGCGCACATTGCTCTCTGACACCGAAGAGTCCGTGTCAGTGCCCGGTGTGGTGCATCTGGACGACATCAGAGACAGCGTAGTCTTGGAGATAGCCCGAGCGGGGACAATCCTGCCATGCTCCAAGCGGATTACCAAGTCGGCGTCCTGCAACGCAGCTGGATAATGGGTTATTAATACAACCGTGCGGTTCTTGAGCAACCCGCTGCGGAAGCACTTCTCATAGACGAGACTGGTGGTGTGGGTGTCGAGTGCGGAGAAGATGTCATCAAACAGCAGCGTATTGGACGGCGAATACAGCGCCCTTGCCAAAGACACTCGCTGCTTTTGACCGCCGGAGAGTGAGGTTCCTCGCTCTCCAACCATGGTTAGATCGCCTGCCGGAAGCTGTTGCAGGTCTTGGGTCAGACCACTGGCTTCGATGGCCATGGCATAGCGGGCTTCATCGAACGGGCTATAGAAGACGATGTTCTGACGGATTGTGTCGTTCTGAAGCCATGGTGCCTGTGGAACGTACGCTACATCGCGCGGGCAAGTAGCAGTTCCAGATTCTAACACAGTCTCGCCCAGAAATGACAAGAGCAGCGATGTCTTTCCGCAGCCAGTGGGCCCCGTCACCACATTAAGAGCGTTGGACTTAAAGCGGAGAGTGATATCCTGCAGCCGGAAGGCAGCAATTGGGGTGCGTCGGAAGGTTGCTTCCTTGAATTCCAATGGGCCGTCTGGATGCCGTTTGATCTCACTAGCAGTGTCAAAGAAGCGGTCGACACGGCGCAGCGACTCTGATCCTTGCGCGGTATAGCGGCTGATGTTGGACAGCCAGATAAATTGAACGCGCAACGTTTCCATAATAGACAAGGAAGTGAAGGCAATGGGTGCTCGCAAAGGAAGATCAGTAAACAATATATACACAGTAAACATGACTAAAAGACTGAGCAGCGGCAGCAGCTCGCCGCCCATAGAGATCAGGGCCACAAACACGCTGCGTCTCCACAGATGGCGCTGCTCGACACGGCGAACGTCGTTAATGTTGCTCATCGCGGCATGCTCCCACCCAAAGTATTTCAACGTGCGGATAGACCCTAGATACTCAGAGATCTTGGACAGCCGAGCATCCGTAGCCTGCATAACGGTGCGTTGGATGCGGGATACTTTCCGAGACGCCAGTGCAGGAAGCGGAGACAAACACAGCAGCATGAGAACACCAAACAGCGACGGCCATCCTAGCATCTGATACAGAAACACCAGAGCCAGAGTAGTCGAAATTGGACCTGCAGTGGCTATATAGAAGATATCACGAGAGTTGTAGATAGCGTCAACATCGTAAGACATCAAACTGGTCAGATTGGCCTGGCTTGACTTGGAGGCACCCTTGGACTCGGCCCGGTGCCGCGACTTGGCATGCTTGCCTGAAGAGTGGCCCACAGAATCATCGTAGATGTACGACCGCATCGCGGTCTGATAAAGCTCCTGGACGAGTGACACATTCACTCGAACCAGGAGCCGGGTTGCGGTGAAGATATACTGCTGGTAGCAAAGCGAGCGCGTCGCTGGACCAGCAAACAGAAGCGCGATCCACAATGCAGGATGGAGCACTGCACTGCTGGGGTTCTCCAGATAGGCCAATAGCCGCAACATGGAGTACGGCGCAAGGAAGTCCACCACCGCCGTAAGGGCTGCCCAAAACATCATGGTTTTTATTTCTGTCTTGAGCATGCGGCACAGCGTGCGAAAGGTCTTGCCGCCTTTTAGCCGCTGCTTCTTGATCTTTTCTAGCCACTTCAATGGCTCATCGTATGACGGCAATGGAGGCAGATCATCCAAGGTTAGATCCCTCTGGCAGCCTCGCAGGATCACATGGGTGATCCACTCATACGAGCAGTAGTAGGAAAAGAGGGAGCATGTTTCTTCCGGAGAAGCTTTCTCTTCGACCACTAGGTCATCCGTCTCTGCGTTACGAACAACTGAGCGTCGTGGGCGTGGCGTAGCCGCTGCAATTGCCACAACCGCAGCCAGACAGGCCACGATAGCAACTCCCACAGAGGTTGGCCTATAGGTAGCCCCGATCACCATCATGGGTACTATATCCTGAACCACTGCCAAAATGAGAGCCGTTGTCGCCAAGGCATTCATATGCCAATACATATGGCGTCGATGGCCATAGCTCTTAATGCAGAGCCGGCCAATACCCAGCAACACCACATAGGTCAACAGAGCAGACCGCTTCCAACTCTTACCATTGTGTACGTCGACCCAGGCCAGACAACAAGCCGCTATCGCAACAGCCAGATGTGCAAACGCGAACGGCAGAGATACCACGATTTCGGACTGATCATGCGGGGTAGTCTTCGGCGATCGTGATTTATCCCGGTAGGAACGGATGTAGCGCAAACATAACGACAACAGCACCACAATGCATGATGCTAGTATCGCCGCCAGGTGAAGGTTGCCGGATCCAACAAAAGTTGACGCCTTCAGAGTCCGATACTGCCATATTTCCCTAGAGCAGCCAACAGTTAGCCGTGCCATTGTCCATGGTCTTGCTTCTCATGAACCCACCTCTGCACCAGACCAGGGTCCGGAGTATAAGCTATCTCGCCAGCGCCGCCTTGAGTTGCTAAAGGCACCACGGCCGCGGGCACGATGGCCACGAGATGCTCCATCGTTCAAATTGTAGTCTGCGACGGGCAGACAAGCTCACTCATGGGCTGTTCGCGCTTTCGTCATAACCAAATGAGAGCTCTCTGGAAACTGCCCGACAGCATTGGAGATTGGCGAGGGTGGGGGAGGCAGTTATAGAGCACGGGTCGAAAGGACACTACCCATTGTCTAAAGACTCCGGTAGTGAGAGGCTGGACAGAAGCCGCAGGTGCAAGCGAGGGGCCGGGAAATTGGAGCAGCCGGAGGAAGCGGTATTAAGAGCAGGGAATAATTTGACGGTCATATTGCCGATAGCGGTGGACCTTCAATCTTTGGATCGGACGAATTCTGCCCCGGATCGATCCTTGGATCGCCTCGAGGAAATCCATCTGATAACATGCAGCTGAGTCAGGGTGGTCGCCTGAGGCAGTCATTCTTTCATTATCAATCTCTGTCGGTCCCATTCTTGCTGCCAGCACATATGGACAGTATCAGGGCAACTACAATACTTTCTCAACGATCTGGTATTGTCTAGCGGCATACTCCGTATCTGACGCAGGATCCATTGACAAGCTTCGGCGAATATCACATCATCCACTCTCTCACTGGCTGTGGAATCAGCACTAAACCCCCCACTTTCATCGCTTAGCGTGTCATCCGCAATAGCCACCGCCTGATAACGATAGGGAAGAGGGCCGATGCGCTTTCCTCGGATTATAGGAGGCTTAGCAGACCTTATCAAATAATAAAGCAACCAGATTGTAAGACATTCATGGTCCCTGAATAATCTTGTGAAGATCGAGGTAACCTATCAGACTGGTGCCCTTGATGCCTTTCTTTCATGGTGTCAATGAAGCCCTTCCGTAAGAAAATCTTCCCATCTTGCTGTGATGCGCGATCAATGGTGAACAGGCGGAGTCTCCTACCCCGCATTGAGTCACCCACTAGATTTAAACACTTTTGATGTATCTCAATGTGAAAATATTTTTTCCTCAAAGAAACAGATACCATCCATCTTACACGTACCTTTGCCTATAATCGAGTCCCCCAATTAGGGAAATAAGTGTGGTGTCTGGCTGCAGCCTCCCGCTAATCAGTCCCTTTCCGACCTTCCCGCCTTATGACTCAAACTTCAGTGCACGGATACGTTAATTGATTAATTAACTACATTCAAGTTACCACAGCTCAACCCATAGTGTCATTCCATGTGCATGAATATTATCCAATCATAATCATCAGTACCAAGATGTCAGTCATCGAGCTAGGTGACTCTATACCATCGCTCACATCCCATGTAAGTAATCCGTTCATGCAGATATTTGCATTCGTGCTTGTCAGTCAACCACGCTTACGCTTTCACAGGCTGTGAGCGTGTCCTTGCCAACATGGGCGGACAATGTAGGTTACGAGGAGGGTGACAAGCGAGTCGTAGACAAAATGTCAACGGGTTATCCACGGTACTGTTCAGGATATACTATGCATTCACAATTGATTTATCGAAACTAATGTCGCAGCCAGATTCTTCATCCACAAATCCATCGGTGCGTTAGCAGATGCTATCATTGCCAGATATGGCAGCGCAAACCAAAAGGCCATGTTGTTTCCATCCACAGCATCTGCCCACAGATGTCGCGACTTCATCAAGGCGAAGGGAGAGCCCAGTCTCACTAAAGATGTCGAGGTAATTGATCTGATCCTTGATAAGGGAAAAGAGTCTTCAGAAATCGTAATGAAGATTTCCCCCTCGATATCAGCTGTAATCTATCACAGCGACCTCTTCCCAGTAGCGAAGCAGTATTGGCAACACTCTGGGGACGGAATCTCAAGCAGACGTGCTGAGTTTTGCCACTCCCTCTTCTCGGACGGCAAGCTCGTGGCTGCGGCAACGCCGCAACCCGTGATCCCCCAGAAAAAGGGCCCCAGGCGATACCAACGAGGCTCCATTGATCTTACTTCCTCCCCGACAGACAACAAGGTCAGCCCAGAAAGAGTCAAGGATGCAGCAGAGATTCAAGAAAGCACGCAGTTCCTGGAAGATCGGTTCGGTCGGAATCTCGATATATCTTTCATTGACAACGCCAAGGTATCTCTCCGTCGCCGCATAGCTAGATCCTTAACAGGAGAAGTGAATCTCGCTACAATCGAGTCAAATAGCCCCGAGAACACCTCCAACTCCCACGGAGTGACCCAGGACGACGTATATCTCTACCCCTGTGGAATGAACGCAATTTTCAGCACCCACCGAATGCTACTACAGTCTAGAGGTCAGCTGAAGAGTATATCATTCGGCTTCCCATACGTCGACACCCTCAAAATCCTACAGAAATTCGGTCCCGGATGCATCTTCTACGGACACGGCTCCTCAGAAGACCTGGATGACCTAGAAGCTCGTCTCCAAGCCGGAGAAAGATATCTAGCCCTCTTCTGCGAATTTCCCGGAAACCCTCTATTGAAATGTCCCGACCTCAAACGGATCAGAAAGCTGGCCGATACCTATGACTTTGCCGTAGTGGTCGACGACACGATCGGGACTTCCATCAACGTCCACGTCCTCCCCTACGCAGACGTGGTCGTCAGCAGCCTCACGAAGATCTTCTCCGGAGACTGCAACGTCATGGGCGGCAGCGCTATCCTGAATCCCCAAGGAAGATACTACGAGTCCCTTAAGAAAGCCTACGAAGCAGATCAGACAAACAACAATAACTACTGGGCCGAAGATATCATATTCATGGAACGCAACAGCCGCGACTTCATCAACCGGATTAAGAAAATCAACCACACCACGGAAGCCATCTGCGACCTTCTCAGGGGCCATCCTCTCGTCAAAGACGTATACTATCCCAAGTATAGTTCAACGAAGCAATTCTATGAGGACTGTCGCACACCGGAAGGTGGATATGGCGGGTTGCTCTCTTTCTTCTTTCATAAGAAAGAACACGCCATTGCATTCTATGATCGCATTGAGACCGCAAAGGGGCCTAGTCTGGGAACTAACTTCACGTTGACTTCCCCGTATGTTCTCCTGGCTCATTACTGGGAGTTGGATTGGGCGGGAGGATTCGGGGTGCCACCGGATTTGATTCGCGTTAGTGTTGGCGTGGAGGATACGGAGGAACTGGTTTCGAGGTTTGTGGTGGCGTTGAAGGCTGCTGAGGGGGTTGATTCTTGATTTTTCTTTTGCTTTGAGGAGGGGAGGGCTTTGCATATACTACCTGACACTTCAACTTGTCAAAATCTTTTACCATATCTATCATTATATTCAACCATATCGAGCAAGTACTACAATACCAATTTATTTCAGAGCACACACACACACACACACACACACACACACACACCTACTCACCCAAAGAGAGTATAATTAGAAATGATAAACCCTATAGAAAACACACCCCATATTGGAAACAAACGAAACCAACCATAAATCCAAAAAGCATTGGCTTATCCCACCCTCCCACTCCACACCAAGTATGAATTTCCCACCCCAAACCAACCATAATAAACCCCACTGCATAATCAAGGTAGCACCATCCGAAATCTTCCGACGACAACCCACCCACCGAGCCGCATACTTCCTCTACCATACCAGAAAAGGGTCCAACCCCGAGACTCTGCTCTCGGGCATTGTGTAACTTCCCCAGTTTAATCTCTTCACGCTTGGCGGGAGGTAAATCCCTGACTCCAGAGCGAGCCAAGAAGAAGACGACTTCGAGATTGGTCCGTCCTGTTGTGTGACATGCATGCTGGGTGACGAGCTATCCGAGCAGAAGTACTAGTATGGTAATACGAAACTTAAAGCTATTCCTGCAGCAATGAATGATTGTTTTAGGAAGCTCGAGATGATATCTCGATGGGGTAATGTTGCAAACGATGTGCTGTGGATATTACTATGATGTGTTGTGTTGTGTTGTGTATTATAGGTAGGGATGGGATATTGATTCAGTTGGCTTGCGTAGTGTTATTCCGGGAGTCTTGAATGATGGACAGTCAGGTGAGTGTGCTTGTATTTCAATGTAAGTCAACTGCGGGTTTGAATAGTAGAGATATGGAAACTGATCTCGAATATATTATCAATTATCATAACTTAAGGGTGGCTATTCCCTACCACGAGCAGATGCATGCGCTGCACTGCCCTGCATCAGTCATTGATCCCAGCTCCAATCCCTGCCACAGAGACAAAATGTAACATGAAGCATGCAGCTGCAGGTCACAACCACCAATGGAGTAGCACCACATTATTAACGGAACATCCCGAGAAAGACATCTGTCTCTCGGTGACAGCCCTGCCATGTGCCACTTTTGATTGTCCAAGCACGGAAGTTTCCTCATGCCATCCGTTTGGTTGTACAAAATGAGGGGGTGACACCATCGAGACTCCCCACAGCTGCACGTTCAACAGTCAAAAGTTCAGCGAAACTTCAGTTTCTAGTGGTGGACAAGCTTTGTTGTGAAGTTGCACAGACTGTTGAGAGTTGCTCAAGCCGAACAGCGTGCAGAATGACAATGTCATTCTCCGCAATAAGAAACTCATCGTAAAATTGTCTAGGATGAGTATAAAAGACCCTCCACAGTTTTGAGAAGCACTGTCTCTATTTCTCTTGTTGCAGACCACTATCTCTTATCCTCATCCTGCCGTTGTTGGCCCTCGACCTTGTTGCGCCACAATCGTCCACCACAACAAACGTATGTCCCGCTCACCAGGCAGATATCATGCCCAGGAATCATGTCGAGCGTCGCAACCGGATTATCTATCCATTATCGATCACCCAGCTCGACCAGCGGGATCTGACTTCGATAATTGAGATCCTCCTTATCGATAGCGAAACGGACCGTGCGAAAGTCGCGTACCTGGGCCAGTATCGAGGCTATAGAACGTCCAAGGCAATCAGGACCGGCATTCACACTCTCCGATGGCCATTGCAAGCAAACGCCCTGTTCCGATTGCTCTTCGGCCCCTCCAAGGTCGTGCTCTGCGAGGTGCACAAGGGATTTAATCCCTGGATTATCCACAGTCTCTTCAAATTACTGGTAAAGGAGGTCACAGCCTTCTTGGATGAGCTGTACTGGTTCTTGGAGTATCTCAAAGACGATGTCAAGGAGATGCTGCGCGCTCTTAATTCGATCGCCGGCATGTGGTGGCGTCCCAAAAGCAGGCACGACCTTCCTCCTTTCCATGCGAGGTATTACCAAGAGAATCGTTGCGAGGCATGTATGCTTGCGCGTGTCGTTACCAAGACTCCCGACTTGCAGAATCTCCACGCCACCCTTCTGAGTCGCACAAGAGAAGATAGGTCTGAAGAACACCCTGAGCTTCAGAAGTTCGTTGATGCGGCCATCAGTTTAACCGGATTTACCCCTGATATGCTCCAAGATGGCATGGGATTGGCGGCCAGAGCCAGAGCGGCCAGAAAGGCAGCACGCAGATTCGCGAGAAAACAAATGAAGGGGCCAAGACCAATGCACTATAAAGGAAAAAAGAAGAGATCCCATTGTATAACCATCCAATTAAAGGCAGAAACGCCCGAGGAAGCGAACAAAGAGCGAAAGGAAATCCTGGAGATGTTGGCGCGTCTTAAAGGCGAGCCCTCCGAAAAGCTGGACGATCTTGCTAACGACATGGCTAGAGAATTCAAGTGCGACGTGGAACGCACAGTCAATGCTAAGCCTGAGGAGCTCCCAGACTATGCAGACACCGAGCAGGTGTCAATGCCTGCCCCTAGCTATCATCGTGAAAGTCTTGAGAGCGAAGCGGAAGCCAGTGATAGTCTATCGGAGAACGACCTGAGCATCAACGGCAGACAAACGGACTTCACGCCTGCACCCAGCTATCATTCTGATCTGAATCATGTTGGGTCGCAAAATCCTCCGGGTGTAAGTGCCACCAGTTTAAACAGCTCAAATTACCGGTCGCCCACTGTTGCGACTGGATCATCCACTCCAGATCATGCTTCGGACATTCGGTCGCGCTTTGGTGACGACGAACCTCTACGTCCTATTCTCGAGGAGGCTCGCAGAAGTAGTGACACACTGCCGATGGAGGCCAAGACCAATGGATCGGCAATCCCCTCACTCATGTCTGATATGCCAGAGAAGAAATCTGTGAAATTTGCGGCGCCCACAAATGTTGCACCTGTGCGAGGGAGCCGCCTGCCGCAGAACTTGTTCAGGTTCCGAACGTCGACATGATTATGCCAAGGGATGCATATTCGAACCACCCAAATATGTGAGTTGCTGAAAGTTTCTCATGCCCGCATAACGCTATTCCAGGTGCCTGATTTGCAATTACTCAGTTTGCTGTAAGTCATCAGAATGTGAAGAAGTGAAATTTATACAGATTATTTAGTAAAGACAAGGATTGAGTGGAAAGAACAGAAGAAAAGTGCTCGTCAATTTTCCAAATCTCCATGGTCATGCAGGATGCCCGATTAGTAGATAACCCGAACAGTAGGTAGGCGGGTAAAAAGACATTGTACAAGTCCGTAGCAGGTTCTTGTCAACCTGGCTATTAATACAGCGTAAAGAATAATGCAGTGAACAGACAGCGAAGTCGGAAGTAGGAGACGTCCCGCAACTCCAAGGACCCCCGGTGGGCGTCGAAGACAAAAAGTGAAAGAATTATTACAACGAATTATGAGGGCAAAAAAACCTCACTATAGAACGCTGCTGGCGACAGGGTGGTTTACGCTTCGGAAACCGTCGACATGAGGGGAAAGCGTGACGGTCTTTCTGCGGCGAGAGCGAGTGGACTCTGCCGGTACTTCCTGGGGAGCAGGTACCGGAGTGACACTACCCGATGCCGGAGTATCAGCGCCCGAATTGGTGGCGGAGCTAGCATCATTGTCAAGCTGCTTCTGAGCGGATTCACGGGAACGTTCGTAGCGTAGCTTCACATCGCCCTTCCACTGGGTACCGAACCAACGATCCCAGATTGTGAAGAAAGGCTGCGAGAAGTTCGTCTTGATGCCCCAGCTTTGGTGGTGAATGTCATGGTAAGCGGCATTGTTGGATGTGAAATGCTGCAGCGGATCCCAAGGGAAAGCATAGCCGCAGTGATCGTCAACCGTCTTAATGGTGGAAAAGGTGAAGAACCACATGCTCTGGCGATTCGACATCCGGGCTGTCAGGAATGCGACGCCGGTGCCAGCAGTATCGAGAAGGAACCCTTCAACGGGATGGTTGTAGAGAGCACCGAAAGCATAGGGAACGTATAAGCGATGGTGGCGGGAATGGAAGGTTACTGGAGACTGTCAATCCACTGCTCAAAGCCGGAATGACTAGAAGAGACAATGACTTACCATAAAGCCACCGGTTCAGGTGCATCGCGCGATGCAGGAAGTATTGCCAGGTATCGACGACGCAAACGCCCCAGATGAACTGCAATGCGGGGATGAAGAACCAGTAGATGAATCCAGCCGTAGAAAGTTCCCAGCTGGTGAAAGCAGGAACCACCGCTTCGACGCCACTATCCAGAATAAGGGACTGAGTAAATTCAGGATAGTGTCCGCCTGCGATGGCACCTCCGAGCATTGCCCAGCCCTTGTGCGACAAATTCTTCCCCAAACCCGAAGCATCAATACCAAAGAGAGCCAGCAGGTGAGGCAAGCCTCTTTGCAAGAGGCGAAGACGGCGAGCCCAGACAGCCACATCATATTCTTCTTTACCCAAATATTCGGGTTCATCGCAATAGCTCACCGCCATGCCGGCGAGTGTCTGGACTACTTGCTGTAGCAGGACATCTCTCACTACCTCCCAGCGCGTGACTCGGTTTCGCTTCAGCACCTCAGCGGGGGTGTGTAGGCGGTATTGAGGGAAGTAATCATTGACATCGATAAAGTGATATACCATGGACAAGGCCCAGTAGGCAACGATGGGTAAGATCAGGGCGAGGATGTTGTCTGGGATCGGAGCAAGAACCGGCGGGCGGGGAGTCAGAGTGTAGGTCGGAAGAGGTGGGAGGTCAAAGACGACCGACGCGTTGGTAGCCATGATGGGATGAGGACGATCGATCGCCAGGACTATGCAAGTCAAGTATTGGGAAAGGTTATTCGACAGACCTACCGCATCAGTCGCGGAGATCAAAGGTGGATAGGAGATTCAAAGATAAAAGAGAAATCGAAACCGAAATCCCGATCGAATGCGAGTGAGGCAGCGAGAGGTCCCTGACGCAGGCCAAAGATATAGCAGGAGATTTAAGGGCCCGTGGGACAACGCAATGATTATGGACCGGCGATGGCGAGATATCTGATCGGGGATCCTGGTCAGGTCAGGCCCACCAAAATCAGGGGACGCAAATGGCACCAAGTGCCGAGGAACCGATGGGGTAGTTGTGAGGGATTAATTAGGAGGGAGGGTTCAAAAAGAATGACCGCAAGGTTCAGATACCATCTACTGTAGAAGTAGTCAAGGTATCCGACACCAGGATGAAGAAGATAACAATAGTAAAAGGCTAGCCAAAGGAGTGTCTGCAGCGAGTTGAAGGTCATGAAGAGAGAAAAGTCACGGGTGGAATGGCAAGCAGGAGTGGCGCCACGGGATCCTGAGGCCGACCGATACTGCATAAGAGGTACTGGTATGTATTACGATATATAATACAAGAATCTGAGTATAGTGCTACGCTGATAGATTAATGTTATGTATCAGTATTATAACACCGTATGTTACCAACAGGAGAACCCCCTTAGCCACAGCTCTCATGCCTCAGGCACAAGAATCTCTGGAGTGGGAAGATCGGAGGCCGGAAACCCAACTGACATGTCAGCCGAACTAGAAGAACCCCAGCATCTACAGAGTAAAACGCCCTTAGTATTTAAGAAGGTATTGCAGCTGTAGTCTGGACTCCCAACCTAGTCCTCCAAATTTTGCCTCAACCTTTTTTTTTCTTCTCCATCTCCTGTCAGAATTTGCCATCGGAGCATTGGACGAAATAGAAAACAAGAAAAGTTGATTGGGATCTTCTTTTGGGCCAGACGAGTCGACCAGTCCCAAAGAGGACTAGTGCCAGCGGTGCCCCTCGAGCGACGGAAAATCGACCGTGAAAAAAACCCCACCACGAGAAACGGAGAGGGAAAAGCGCCACTAAATATTAATCTTCATTTTTCCCCTCCTTCCCCTTCTTCTCCTCTCCCTCCGTCTCTCTCCTCACCTGCCACTTCTCTCCTCCTGTGTCTTTTGTCACTTTCCTCTTCATCCACCCGCCAAAATGATCATTTACACGGTCCGTATACCCTTCCCAGTCCACTTTTGAACCTGTTGCGAGCGTGCAGCAATAAAAGGATGCGTGAAAAAAGAACAACAAACGGCTGCATTAATCATGCAGCCTTGTTGCGTCTCTTCTGCTTCCTTACCTGCAATCTCTATCATCATCATCATCATATCCTCATGTTAAACATCTACATATTCCAAAATTACTGACGTTCTTTCTCATAGGATATCGTCTCCGGTGACGAGGTTCTCTCCGACACCTTCAAGATCCAGGAGGACAGTGACAGCAAGCTCCTCTGGACTTGCGACTGCCGCAAGTACCTCAAGAAGAAGAACGAGGACTTCGAGCTCGAGGGTGCCAACCCCTCCGCTGAGGGCGGTGATGACGATGCCGGTGGTGAGGGTGAGGCCGTCATGGTCCACGACATTGAGGACCAGTTCCGCCTCGTCTGGCTCAAGACCGAGGAGGGCATGAAGCCCTCCAAGGATGCCTTCAAGTCCCACCTCAAGAGTATGTTTTTGCACCTCTAGGCATACAGCTTTGTTATTACGCCCCAATGCTAACGAGTCTACCCTGTATAGACTACATGAAGAAGGTCCTTGCCAGACTCACCGAGACCGGTGCCTCCAAGGAGACCATCGATGAGTTCAAGGCTGGTGCCCCCGCCGCCGTCAAGAAGATCCTTGGCAACTACGACAACTACGATGTCCTGATGGGTCAGTCCATGGACGGTGATGCTATGTACGTTTATCTTGTCATATATTTTTTGGTTGCAACTGAAACTAACTTGATGAACCAGGCACATCCTGATTGACTTCCGTGAGGACGGTGTCACCCCCTTCGCTACCCTCTGGAAGCACGGTCTCCAGGAGGTTAAGGTCTAAATTCAGACACTGCAGTCATGCGAATAAATGTTGTCATGAATTGAAAAAGAAAGAGAAGAGACACTGAAGATGCGATGTCTTAATACGAGCAATTAAGGGTCCCCGGAAAGTAGCAGTCCAGGCTTTTGGAAGCCTGGGATCCCGCTATCGCGTCCCTTCTGGCTATTGCTAATTATCTTTCCCTTCACATCTTGATATCACATCATGCTCCTGCGTCGCATATCTTCTGCGTCCTTCTTGATTAAAGTCACGCCTCATGAAATCCATAACTGTTACGTCTTTTTTTATTTCTGATCACATATTATTCCATCGTCTGGCGGTTTTTCCGTTTGACGCATAATCTTTCTACATGAGCCAAAATCACTCTGTATAAACGTAAACCTCAAGCATGGGTATGAGTGCAATCAAAATGTAGGATTATAAAATCATTATATACTAAAGAGACCAAATATATATCCCTTAAACCAACCAGACACCATAGATTTGATATACTCCGTACACATCAACAATAACCCACCCAATCAGACCCCCTCACCTCCCCCATCCCAACCTCATTACCACCACTACCAACACTCCCAAAACTACCTCTTCCCACACCACCACCACCACTACTACCACCAGGGACCATCCTCGAAGGAGAATTCGAAGCATAAGCAGCACTCCCCAAATCCCCAAACTCGAATCCCGTGACCGGGTCCAACTCCATCAATTCATCCGCCACCGGCAGATGCTGTCCGAAGACAGCGTCCCACTGGTCCCAGTCGAAGTTTAAGTTCGGATCCACCATTGAGGGCGGTGTGGGGACCCCCGTGATGGGTTGACTGGTGGGTGAGATAGCCGTGTCCATGAAGGATGGGAGGGGAGGAGCTGCTTGCATAGGAGGAGGGGTATTGGTAGGTAATTGCGACGCTTGCTGGGGGGTATTGTTGAAGGTACTGGCGAAGATATTAGGGTTCAAGGGGGTGATGCTTTCAGGGGAGGAGATGGGGGAGCCGCTGGCGAGGGGGGAGGTGGTGGTGTCCATGGGGTATTTGGGGGGTGTTGGGGATTGAGGGAATGGAGGAGGAGGGACGGTTCTTGATTGCGGGCTTGGGAGGATAGGGACAGGTGCTGGAGGGGGTAGCTGGTAGCGGAGAGGGCTTGGACGGGGGTTATTAGTGGTAGCTGGGTTGGGAAGTTGGTGGGAGCGTGTCATGTTATAGAACATTTTGGAGAAGTCGGTGAGTTGGCGGCGGGTGGTGAGGGGAGGAGGGTAGGTTGAGGGAGAGGCAGCGGCTGTTGGACTGCTGCTGGTGTAGCAGGGGTCGTTGTTGGCGTATTCTTCGGGGAGAGAGGTAACGCCTGCTTGGATCTGGGCTTGTTCGGACCACAGCCTGTGAGGGTCCAGGCCGGCTTTCTGCCATGCTTTTTGGCGTAGGCGTCGGATCATGTCCCATGCTTCGCGGCCGCCGTCTTTCAGAGGCCGTTGCGTTGAGACGCCGTCTTCGCCACCAACGACGCCGCCGTCTGGACCGGTCATGGAGAAGATCTTGTCGATGTAGGCGCGGGATTTGGGTGCCTCGGGGCTGTAGGGTCGTTCGTAGAGGTCAATGAGCATGATCATGGTCGCGTGCATGGGTTGGTGATTGCCCGGCCAACTCCACTGGAAGGGTTGGAAGTCGGGGTCGGTTGCGAGCGAGACGAATTTCTCCATGAAGCCATGACAATGGCGGAGTGCGCTGAGGCATGTTAGTCATGTTGGTGTTCTTGGATCTATGACAGTCAAACATACCTTTGCCGTGCCGCCGGCCAGATCCGGCTTTTGGCGTTCTTCAGGAAGGGCTGATAGGCGACGCAAAAAGCCTGGTAGGCTTAGTTAGCAGGGATCTCGGTACATTTTCAGGCACACTGACTTTATCGATGAAAAGGGACATAAGTATCCTTGCCCATTTGTGGAAGGATACAAGGACAGGCGAATGGTACTGCTCTGCGCATCCATTGGGTCCATCCGCCGGCAGTTCCGTGTGGGATTCTGCTTGTGATGATAGAGACCATGATCTAGTAGATGATACTGGAGACGATGTGTCGAGCGGGTTTGCCTCCGGTATCCGGTTGATGATAGAGTTCAGCTTGTACTGCAAATCGACCAATATTGACCTCAGCTCTTCCATATCCCTTCGTGTGACGGGTTTTGTGCCAAGCTGTATCTTCATAATCCGGCGAACAGCGCCTACAGTGACCGTTAGATCCCGTGACTTGTTAATGTTTACTTCAAATACTTACGAGCCATTGTATACTTGCCCTTGGCCGAAAGGTAGTATACATTGACCATAGAAGGCCCTCCACATACGGTTGGGTCATCGGGATTATCCGGTGGCCTCATGCCGGTCATAACAAGCCTCTCATATTTCTCAGCAGCAGGAGTCCCAAGCAACGTGTCTTTGACCTCGCTGGTCTCGCGAACATCCCAGTAGTTCTCATCACTGACCAGGGGAGGCAGACCACTGGACATGGCCACCACGCCGTCCATGTGTACAATATGCCACCATATACGGCGACGGTATTCAGCGTCGCTTGGGCCAATGCCAAACTTAGCAGGGTCACGATGCAAACCCATAGTCTGTGCCACCCTCATGGCAAGACTGATGAAGAGACTACTGGTTAGAGGTTCTTCCTCCTTGGAAAGAATGGTCTGGACCAGCAGATATGCAGATAATCCTTGCATGGACGGACTGCGAGGGAAAGATATCTTGGATAGCCAGCGCGTTACCTCCTCGCTGTATGCCTTGGACAGGCCCGAGCGGGATGGCACGTTGAACTCAGCCTTGATTGTCCGTAATGAGACAGTGACGGAACCGCCATACCAGATAGCATAAAGCAAAGGAATAAAGGATGGGTCGGGGCAAGACTCCCCTGAGTAGCTGCTTGAATCATACCAATCCCAGAAGGAGTTGTAGAGCTTGAGGATGGTTGGCGGGTGCACAACCGGGGTAATGGCGTGTATTCCAGACATGAATCCTTTGTACAGTATATGGCTCTGTCGTTTCGTCGGCATGTTCTCAAGCATTTCTGGCTCGACTATCTTGCCAGTCACGGAAGGGGACTGGCTTGACGGAAATAGGACAGACTTCTGGAATGTCTGACCTCTGCTAAGCTTCTCAGCAGGCTCGCTTACACCATCAGCCGACTCTTTCCACTGGCGCCCCGGTGTAGCAGCCATAGGTTCCGTTCCAGCATCGTCAACGGGGCTCTCATTGAAGGATGGTTCGTTATGCGATCGATTCTGATCCCTGAGCAACTGATTGAGTTCGTTTATCTAATGATACTTAGCATAGATACTAAATGAAATGCTGAGGCTTTGCCAACGTACCTCATGAGAAATATAAGCCCAATACGTCGTCCCGACGTATCTAACCCAAGGTCAATACAGAGCCCTCCCAATCACAGAACAAAACCATACCTTGATCGCCCTCCATCCTCCAAGCTCAAATGGCCAAGATTCAGGCTCCCTACAGGATCCACTAGATCAGTAGCATGGCCCGCGGGGATTGGGAATTCATCGCCACTAGATTCAGCCGCGCGACGCGGACTATCCGAACGGGAACCAGCAGCCGGCTTTAGGGCCGCTATATTGTTCAAGCGCGGATCACTCTCAGCCTGCTCGATTTTTACATTTGGTGCCAGCCGTTGCTTTCCCGCGAGATCCAAAGGCTGATTCGTTTTGCTGAGCCTCTCTATCATCGACGTAAGTTTGTCCAGACGCGCCTCAATCGCTTGCGACCGCTGCTCGGAAGCTCCACTTTGCTTCAAATGACCGTATATAGACTGTATATCATCGATATCCTCCTCAATCGGTCGCGATGATTCCCTCCTCCGCTTGACGCCATGTCCGTTCTTGGATATGCTGGCGCGCGACTCGTCCTTCTGTGGCGCCGCATCGTAGACACATTCGGTACCGTTTTTTACGCAGTTGCCGCAAATTGGGTGAACCTACGGTTTTGCTTGTCAGTCTGGTCCAAATATCACAAAATCCCAGGGTCATGCACCTTGTCGCATTTGACCTTCCGCCTCCGACAGGTGTGGCAGCTGTAGCTGGCGCGATTGCGGGTGATCTGACGGCCCCCAGGCTTCCCAGTCTTGGGAGCAGCAGAGGCCGAAGAGCCTGACGCAGGGGAGTCATAGCTGGAGCGAAATTGAGATCGGGGAGTTCCGTTCGTCTGCCCGTAGCCGGGCAGAATGCTCGGTGGGCTTGTATTCATGGTCCGTCGGTCGCAGTGGCGGGGTTCTATGATCCATCGACAGGACGCACGGAGGGGTTCATGGGGAGGCGCACATGAGTGTCAACCCATGTGGGTGAGTCGCGACTATTCAGGTGCCGATCGGACAATTATGCACTTGATGTGAGAAAGACAATGAGACAACCGCGCAGTGATTGAAGCTGAAGCTGAGAGGAACAGCGGCGGAGGATGACTCTGGGGTAAAAGAGGCCGCGGTTCTACTTATCGGCGAGTCGTCCGGCTCGGCCAATGACAGCGACCATATACGCAAGACGGTCGGATGGTCCTCCCGAGAAATTCGGAGTGACTTGGATTGACCCATGATTGTTTACTGAGAGAAGCAAAGTCTTACAGAGCATGGTCTAGGTATGCTATAATTTTTCGAATGATCTCCGCGGGATAACCTGGAGAAGCTACGGCTGCCATCCGCTGCGGAGACGGCAAATGGCACCTATCAGCCACATCCAATACCATGATCCAGATAGTATGTCTCCACTCATTGATCATTTCATTCGACTTGGTATCAAGAGAACAGCAGAGATGCCCTCTATACATGAATCATCATAACGCCTTTCGCCCGTGCCAATGCAATCAGAAGCCTATGTACCACATGAAGAAACATCGACAAGTGCTTCACGCCTTGCCCTTCTTCTTATCCTTCTTCTTCTTTTCGCTGCCTCCAGCAGACGGACTTCCACCCATTCCTCCCATTCCTCCCATCATTCCTGCCAGATCCGGCATTCCAGGTATCTGGGGCATTCCGGGCATACCCTGCATGTTCTGCATTTCAGCCATGGCGTCCTTGAGCGGGTTATCGCTGACTCCACCACCGCTGTAGGCCGGAGAGTGTATCGGCAGGATCTTTCCGATCTTCCATCCGCGGGGAGCGGCAGGCGCAGCAGGCAGTTTATCGGGCATAGGGAGTCCTCGAATTCTAAGACGGTAGGGGGATTCTTCGGTGGTAGGGTGAGCCTTGAGGTATTGCGCCACGAGGATGTAAAGGTGGTGCTCTGTAGTTATGGTCAGACAAAGGAAACTGTGATCAGGCTATATCAAAAGACGTCGGCTTTGATAGTAACCTGCGAACAAATTGGGGTACACTAACTGTTCTTGATCCTCGAGTTAACCAATTTGCCATCCTCGTTCTTCAGCAAAACGCGCACACGTCCAGGGTTGGCCCAGTCTTTCGGGTGCAGCTTCTCAGGCTCGAACCCGACATTCAGCCCCAACATCTGCACCGCATCGACAATGTCCCTCGCTAGCGGGTTCTCAACCGCCAGCTCACCTCCGACCTTGCGGCCCTCCGCGCGGGTCCGCGACTTGTCGAAGTATATCGGATACAGGCACTGGTAACGCTTGGGGATTTCGCGCTGAGGTTCGGGAGCGGGTCTCATGGGTACTGAGCCAGACATAGGTACTCCGGCTCCAGAAAGGAGGGACTCATTGGCAAAGTTGGCGGGCGAGGAATCGGAGGGAGCAACTTCCTCCGGGTCGGAGTCGTACACCTCCTCCACTTGGGCGTGTCGTGACATTATTAAGATTCAGTATAGGTAATAATAACACTGTAGAAAAATATGTATAAAATTGAGACACGGTAACGTGTCTGAAGCGGAAGTTGAGCAGGTGGGCTGTTGTAGTGAAGCAGTGCTGGCCTTTCTGTGCGGCAGGGAGATTTAGTGGCCAACCAACTGCGGAGCGGAGAGCTTTGTCCGCCCACCGCCCGCATCGCAGCGGAGATGCCCGTCACTACTAGTTACTAGAAAGCTAGTATGAACATACAGCTCTTGATTTATTTCTGAGCGACAGGTCTATTATGTAACTACACAAACCTTACCTTGAGCTACTGCAGGTGGTGCACATGACTCTGCTTTGACACTGTCGCTCTAATAGGTCCTTCACGCCGAATTCCCTCCTACATTGCCTATCTAGGCGCGAGGGTTACAATGCGTTAGGCCAGCTTGTCACCTCTATTACTCCTGCACGTCTGCCTAGACATAAATAGGTGGGCGATGCAAGAGATCTCCCAGAGAGGGGTCTATTCCAGCATAGAGGGCATCGTAGAGCACCAAGCCAGGATGGCATAACTGGCGCGTTCGCCTGGTGCAGGGGCGATCAACACCTTCTAGGGGAAGAATGCAGGGTTCAAGGAGATGTAAAGGAGGAGATGATCTTGATGCTTTACGTAGAATTGGTTCAATCTGATTCTTCATTCGATGTTAGATACAAAAGAAGGGGATGCAAAGGTGCGGAAGAAAACGGAGTAGGAGCCTATGTGTTCCTACGTTGCAACGTCCCCTTTTCCTTGAAGGCGGTGTCCTCAACGCCGTGTAAGAGGTAAGATAGTAGAAAATACAACGTAATAAGCTATAGGACGCATCGATGAAACTAAAAAGGGAAAAACAAGGCACGCGTAGAACGCAGAAAGCGGAAAAGCAAAGCACGAGTAGAACGCAGCTAACCGTTAGACGGTGTCAGGTTGGAGCTTGCCCTTGTTTGGCGTCGCGGAGAGCGTCTTCGACCGTTTTCTTGCCAGTCGTATCTTCCAGATACAGAGCAGAAGCCTCTTTTACGGCCGCTTCAGCTATACTCATAGGGTTCAAGTTATTTAAGCTTGCAGCAACTGCTGTCAAGCCAGTCGCATATTGCGTTACGTGGTTGAACAGTCTAGTAATATGTCTCTTAAGTCTGCTGTGTCTTTGATAATCTTCAAGATAGAATATGTCCAGTTAGGTTGGGGAGCAGTCAATGCGGTTGAACTACTAACTTAGTAATATTGTTATTTAATATGATAGAGTTCGCTCCGGATCCCATGCCGGGGCTGGTGGTGGTCTTTGCAGTTCAGAAGTTATAGTCTTTCTTGCTTGCTTTAGATAGTATCTTGTTTTTCAGAAAGTATCTGGAAAGAATGTGATGTTGATTATGATAGGGTACTTACTCTTAATGAAGAGGTCGAGCGTAGTGTTCGGGATGTCAAAGTTGGACTACTTTTTCTGATCGACATTTTAGATGTTTGCAGGCTTCTCCGCTTCAGCGCCAGGTCTGACTATAGTGATACTGTAGATGATAGTCTTGTCTTTCATCGGATTCTTATAATCAATTAACGGATTCTTTGTTAAACGCGCTATCTCTTTTCTGAGTATACAATAGCCCTGAAAAATAGGGTACCAGCGGACACTCTTTTCCTCTAACCAGACTGTAGGACCGCGAGGGGTGCGGCTAGGGCAGATTTCTCTTTTTCTGTTTAAATTGCTGGCCCATCTCTGGCCATGCGTAGTGGCTGTGATACTAGTATAATATAAAATTATGTAGATCTATGTGTCGGATAGATACGTGCAGGATGGCGGCTTATTCCATTGCGAGTTGTCTCTGTTAATAGACCAGTAAGCTTGGATGAACAGTTACTGGTAGGTAACAGTTAAGTTATATCGGCGTTTTCCAGTGGAGATGTTCGGCGCAAGGGCCATTTTATTGTGCCAAACTGTATTTTTATAGTACTATATTGTTCATGAGTTCCTTGTCAGTGTCAGTCACTGATCGGTGATTGATTCTGATCATATCGCTGTTGCTATTACTTTTGGACGAGGTTGTGGAGGCCATGGCTTTCTTTTGATATTATTTACTTCGTGGGCGTATAGAATAGTTTAAGAAGAAGGGTGCGATTGAAGAGGAAGAAAAAACGGTAATAAGTAAGATGGAGTAGATGAAGAAGAGAAGTAAAAGTTGTGAGGAGAAAAGGGCAGATAAACAAAATTGGGTGGATGGAATGAGGAGAGCTGAGGTGAAGTGAGATACAAAGTGAGGGTAAGAGGTGAGGTGAAATGAGAGATAAGGTGAAGTATGATTGAATTGGCTTCAGAGAGTATTATTCAATACTGCTGACACGGCCGAGAGCAAGCTTGCTAGTCACGATGATATAGGAGATGTTCTTGTCCTCAGCGAGGAGGGGGATGGCAAGGAGGATAATGAAGGAAGGATATGGAGGAGAATATCGAGGAGATAAAGAGTCTTGGTGGCTTCATTAGTATCTTTCTTCAGCTGGTGGTGGTGACTGCTTGTTTACTCCCGTTGCAATGTATGATGCCTCCTCTGGCTTTCCTGAATCTGAATTTCAACTGACGCGCTTCTCGTCGTGCTTTGACAGGTTGGCGTTTGAACTCTCTCTCTCTCTAGCTTGTTGTACTAGACATCTATGTCTTGTGCCTTGAGTTCCTGCAATTTATTAGGTAACTCCGTGTACAGGTAAGAGCACGGCCCTTTAGATAAAAAGGAAGTATGATCAACACCGGACGTCGGTCTTCTTGAGTGATGATCAAGCGGGTATGTCTAATAAAGAATTTCACGTCTGTTGTCTTTGGGTTGAAAGTCATGACATTATCTGGTTTCAAGCGTCACGGTCTCTGATTTTGATATATGTTGTAGTTAATATAAATTTGACCATGATCATGTCTCCCGAGATCCTGCGATCTGTTACGTGAGTTATCAAGATCAAGCTGATACAGTGGTTCCATAGGTAAGGTGATATAGGAGATGGAGGGGTGAGAGGAGAATATAGCTGGAAAAGTAGTTGAAGGATGGTTGTCAGACCCCTTCTACCCATAACAGCAGGAAATCGCGCGTTAGGAAACCTTGTCACGCTCGAGTCCTGGTCACGCAATCGGTCTGTTCAGATTTGGTGGCGGATGAGGATTCAGACGTCTTCGCGGTGCTGATTGGTCGATGCGTGTTGTAAGAAGGCGAATCAGTAGAGAAAGCGTGTGCTATTAATCTTGAAACTGCAAGACTTTGCAGAGGGAAGTCAATCTCGTGCAGTGTCCGAGGGGCTCAAGGACATGCTCCTAAGCTGGCGTGTTCGTCTTGTGCAGGGGCGATCAACATCTTCTAGGGGAAGGATGCAGGGTTCAATGAGATGTAGAGAAGGAGATGGTCTTTATGTTTTACGTAGACTTGGTTTAATCTAGTTCTTTATTTGATGCTAAATACAAGAGGAGAGGATGCAAAGGAGCGGAAGAAACGGAGTGGGAGCCCATCCGGCAGTGGAATCCTGATCACCATATCCAGCAAACTCCGATCATATAGATAAGCCGACAGTATCCATGTATAGACGTTGTCATGTGCCTGATGTACGCTTGAAGGCACGATGTTAGCAACAGGTGGTCACAGGGTGTCTCCTTCACGATCTATCGTCAACAAAGCCAAGATGTTGCATCGAGTCTTTCCTAGTAGAAACCCTCGCAGAATATCATTGAGGCAGCCAATCAACGCTTGCTGCATGGCCGTAAGCCAGGGAGGTTGGTCCTCTCCGCATCAACAGTAGATGGAGTGACGGACGACTCAAACGAGCACGATAACCACCGCCGGAGATCAGCCCGTCGGCGGGCTCAGCCAACCATTCGCTCGGCTTCTCAGGATTGGCTTGCCGACTCCCCGCCGGACTCCATCCCCGCTCCTCCCCACATCCTGAGTCACTGCGTGATATCAAGAAGACGGGCAATCGCCAGGGCTTATCGCAGCCATAAATAGCCCTGGCTCCTGCTGCAAGTATGGCTTCTGAAATGCATTCTCAGCTTTATTACACTCAACTTACATTTAATCTACTCACTCGGCTATCTATATCCTGATCAACCATGACGAACTCAGGTACGTTCTATATAAACCAGACAATCTTGAGCCATTGCTCTTAGCTTATAACAAACCAGACACCGTCACGCGTAGCTCTGTCCTCCACCGTGATACCCGCTTCGTCCCCAAGAAAGCCATTGGTGGTAAAGGCAGCTACATCTTCCTCGAGGATGGCACCAAGTTCCTCGACTCGACCGGCGGTGCTGCCGTATCCTGCCTAGGCCATGGCCACGAGGAAGTCAGCCAAGCTGTGATTGATCAGATCAACAAGATATCGTACTGCCATACGGCATTCTTCGGAACAGAAGCATCTGAAGAGCTAGCTACCTTCCTTACCGAGTCGACTGGAGGCAAGCTGTCCAAGTTGCTCGTCGTGAATTCTGGTAAGTTCACACGCCCAATTTTCACAATACTATGATCAAGTATCAACATCTTTTCAGGCTCTGAGGCCGTTGAGGCCGCATTGAAACTAGCCCGTCAATACTTCGTCGAGCTGCCAACCCCCCAACTACAGCGATCCAGATTCATTGCCCGAAAGCCCTCCTACCACGGCGTCACTTTGGGCGCCTTGTCAGTGGGCGGACACATGATCCGACGAGAGCCTTTCGAGCCTATTTTATCAACCAACACGTCCCACGTTTCGCCTTGCTACCCTTACCGGGGTAAGAAAGCGGGCGAGTCCGATGCGGATTACGTTGCCCGACTAGCAGCAGAACTCGACGCAGAGTTCCAGCGCGTCGGACCAGAGAATGTCTGTGCTTTCATTGCAGAGCCAGTCGTAGGAGCAGTAAGCAGGCATCCCTTTCCAAAATCATCATAATGCCTCAATAGATGCATCTCTTCTACCCAAGAGCTCAGCAACTAACGCAGCCAATCATCAAATCAGGCCCTAGGCGCTGTCCCCGCCCTCCCAGGCTACTTCCCCGCCATGAAAGCAATTTGCGAGAAATATGGCGCGCTCTTCATTCTAGACGAAATCATGAGCGGCATGGGACGCTGCGGCACCCTTCATGCCTGGGAACAAGAAGACGTAGTTCCCGATATCCAGACCATCGGCAAGGGACTAGGAGGCGGGTACGCGCCCGTCTCTGGTCTCCTCATCAGCGAGAAGATCGTCGGGGTTCTCGACAAAGGCACCGGAGTGTTCCGACACGGTCAAACGTACCAGGGACATCCTATCGCATGTGCTGCCGCATTGGCCGTGCAGAAGGTCATCAAGCGGGATAACCTGCTCGAGAATGTCAGGAACATGGGTAAGTATCTCGAGGAACGGCTGCGGGGCAGCTTAGAGCAACATCCTAATGTGGGTGAAATCCGAGGGAAGGGGCTGTTCTGGGGTGTAAGTAGTTCCCCTTGTTCCACGATTTTTTGTCGAATTTTAGTGTATCTGAGGATCGGATCGGATGAAGACTAATGTGCCTTGTATCTGCAGATCGAATTCGTGAAAGACAAAGAGACCAAAGAACCATTCAGTCCGGACAAGGGCGTGGCGTTCCTGATCCAAGAGACCGGGTTGAAACCGGAGTATGGGGTGTCGTTGTATGCTGCTAACGGGACGGTGGATTGTATGAAAGGGGACCATATCATTCTGGCCCCGCCGTATAATATCTCCAAGGAGGAGATCGATATCATCGTGGATACGGCGGTCAAGGTGCTTGATGTTGTTTTTGCGAAAGTTAATGCAGCTTAATGATGGGATCTGGATTCCGTGCGCAGTTAACATTGCTGCTAATAGTAGGTATATGGCTGAAGCCATTGTCTGACTTTATCAGCGGTCGATGCGGGGGATGGTCTATCTTGTTGAATGGATGAGGGGATAAATCACCAAGCAGCACCTAATGAATGTTGAGTATTGGCCACACAAATGTGCCAAGACAATCTGATTCAAGTTATATATCCTTTTATCTGATCGAGCCCACTAAGATGCTATGCAGGTGCTTCACTATCTGAAACAAAGAGTATGGCTCTTAACACAATCAAACTCCTCAAAGTCATGTAAATCCATAAAAAACACATACTGTGTGGTAGGAGCGTCGGCGCCTCAGCTGAATACAACTAAGTATACCAACAAAAACCATGCAAAGCAAAGCCATACAACAATGTATAAATATAAAAAGTATTGATGATTATTTAACTAGTTCTGGAACCTATGTATCGCTATCCTCATCTTCTGTTTATTTATAATCTCTCTGCTTTCTATACACATGATGTGTATATCCCTGCCCAAATAATTCAATCCGGAGCGTGTATAGTTCCTTCTACTCAGTGTCTTTAGTATTTATTCGATGGTCCTGAGGCTACATGTTCTTGGCTCAAAATGGATTTTGATTTAAGAACTGTTCGAGCTGATATAAGTGAATCATTGGCAATGTTCTCCTCAGATTAATATACATAGAAATGAGTTCTAACATATATTGGCACATCCTTCTGAAGAAGGGCAGCAACCCATCGCAATGACGCCTTCCCAAGACAAAGTTTCAGTGTGCCTTCCCAGCCAAACTTTTTACCGCAACTTTGCACAGTCAACAAGTCTACTAAGTACATTTTGCTTCTTGTCTTATCCCACTCCACTTTTACTTCTTGTCCATGCAACCACTTCACTTCCACTTCACTTGTTAAAATTATTTGCACGGCACATAGCAGAGTTGAGGAAACGTTCATAAATCCTAATAGACCCTGCTAATTTCGTGTTTAGCAGAAACGAAATATCTACTGCCGTTGTAGCAAGTACGATCAACTTCATGTCTGGGCCTGCCATTGTTTTCCGGTGCCGAACGTGTTGAACAGCAGCGCAAGGGTAGTCAACAGCTACGCAAGTATGCTGCCTCGCTTCAAGCCCAGCTGTTCAAACTTCACCACGCATTTGATCTGTTCGGGCGACGGACGAACAATCAGTTCGACTTTGATTTCGCTGAGATCAAAGACAAATTCCTCTCTACGTACCGAAGAGATTTATGGGCGATAAGACGGTGGATAATCAACGACTCATCTAATTCAGGATATATTAAGGCCCTTGGAGGCCATTTCAAGGTGGATCCCTTTCTATACCAGGAAGATTCCCGCTATGTCGATAGAAATGGAAAGGTACACCAACCACGCACTAAGGGGATACCTTTCGGCTTCTCTATGGGGCTGATCCTAGCCTTGCTGCGAGATTCAGTAAGTTTTGATATATCATCGGACCCGCTTGATTTCTTTCAAGGTTCTTGTACTTCTTGTTTATCCAGGGGCTGACCTTAACTACCTTAAGACTACACTCCGACAGTTCTGGTACTAGAAAGACATGCCACAGTCATGGCCTCTGGCAATCGTGAAGGAATTAAGGTGTTCAAAGAACGGTTCAAGACATTTTTACGTGCCTTGGAATCAGCTGAATACGCTGGTGATTATTTGGATTTGATGCGGGCAAAGGATCAGCTTGGAGAACTTCTATCAACCTACGAAGAGTTCTGGGATGCTAGCAAGTTGGTGCGACAAGCAACATTGATAGGCTATAAAAGAAAAAAGGACTGCGTGAGGAACGTGATGGCTTTGGCTTGAAACCTTTCTCTTATACTCTCTTCATATATTAATTCTAGCAGGCGCTTCTCGTATAAGTGAGAGACACGTCTCACATTAATTACTCACAGCGATTCTACCTAAGCCAAGCTTATAAGTAATACCGTTCTAGTCTGTTAGGTTTAAAATGCCTCTCATCAAGAACGAGATTGTTCGGATACCTAGGAGCCCACAGTTTCTCGCTTTATTCAATTATACAGCTAGGGATTCTTGGATGGCGAAAGAAACCTCTTTGTCGAGCTTAGTAGGACGCACGAATCCGGGGTCCGAGATATACCGACAGGCGACATGAGTCATTGACGATCATTTGCGCAAACATGGTGTTCACTAGGGTGCCTTTCAGAAGCAGGCGTGGATGCCTGTCCTGGAAGGATTCATAGGCCCTTTCGAAAATATTGCCTGACCCGCAGAGGCCTACAGAAATCCATTTGTTGTCGCTTCTGGCATCGTAGGCATAGAAGTCAAGATCCCAGCGTGTGTCACTGCTGATTGCGAGACCAAGGAGACTCTGTTGATAATTGTTGGGCACTACAAACATGCCCAGATCCCAGGGAGCACAGTACCCAGTTTTAGACTGTCTTAATTCAACGGAATCTTTGAGCCTTGACACACGAAGCCAGTCTGGGCAGAGCCCATGCACTCGGCTGATCTCAATGACCATAATAGTATAAGAGGATTTTACCATCGCGGTATAGCCCCGATAAATGCATAAATAACCGCGTCACTGCTACCTGAAACTGGCATGCCACATCCCTCCCATCTAAAAATGATAGGAGCTGGGTACTCTGGGTTGTATGGTTTGTAGCCACCTCCTGTTTGGCCTAATTGGAGGCTCTGAGGCTGCATACGCAATTCCGGATTGATGGTTTGGAAGACGGGAGCAACATGCGACCCATAATCTCATTTCGCGACATGCCCAATTTAGGACAATTCTCCCAGTATCCCCAAAGAACGCGGCAGTTATATAGATAAGGACGATATTCCAGCGCTGGAAAGCGGATTCCAACATGTTGCATCTGTGAGGCACTTATAAGTGTCATGTAGAATGACTGACGAGCATAGTAAGACTTACCGAAGCTGGTTGGGTCTGAACGGCCTCAGACTTCCCAATATGTCCCTTTTCGGTCGAATTTATGCTTGTAGTGACCAAGTCCGGGCCCGTTGGCTCAAGGGGAGTTGTTCGAGCAGTTTCCGCTTTGAGAAAGCTCTGTACTGTGACTGCTAGCTTTGCATGAAATAATGCAATATACTGTTATAGCGATTCTGAACTTCGCGTTCCAGAAAACTGGGAAACGGCACGCGTTGATCTCACGCACGAGTATGTCCCCATAGCGCGCGAGAGGATCTTGACGGAGGTAAGGCTCGTACAACTGCATGATAGTATGTAAGGTTACCATAGTCGCTTCATGTCAAACAAATGTAGAAGGACACTTACTGTTTCGAAGAATCCACGAGGTTGCAGGGAGTTCCTTATTCTTTCGTGATAGAACACCGATACGCTCAGGCGATCGGCACCAGAGATGCTGTCGACTTTGAAAATGCATTGGCAGCATCGATTAAGGCCTCGAAAGCTGCTCTCTTCCAGTCGCCGTCCGCCAGGGAAAACTAGAAGTAATTAAACTTCTCATCACTTGACATGCCTCAAGTCCCACGTTATAGCAAGCCTGGGGTCCCATGGCTTTGCTGAGAGAGTTTGACGCGTGAGACTACATGGTTAGGACCCTGACTGGGACGAGAATAAAGACAGTTGCCAAGTCAGTATGGCAGATGCCAACGCGATAACCAGTAGACCAAAAACGACATATTGCGTCTATCTGGACAGCAGACGAAGATGAAGTAGAGTGGGTGGATGGTAAGGAGGAGAAAGAAGGAGGGAAGAGGGAAGAGGGAAGAATTTATAAGGTTGTTCAGAAAGAAGAAGGCAGTGAAATTCCCAATCATCATTCACTGTACATTCACTTGTTGTGTTACTATTTCACTTTACTTCTACTGCTGACTTCACTTTGTTCCACTCTCATTCCATTATCCATCTTCCCTTGTCTTCCACCTACACTTCCAACTCTTCCAACAAGCCAGTGAACCTCACTTCCCCCCTCCCCCCGTGTCTTCTCGAAACCACATCCCAGAGTCCACTCATTGACAATGGATGCGTAAGTCTTCCACTCTCGTTGAAAATATAAGATACTAATACTACTCATGTGAAGGTCTAAGGAAAGCACAAAGCTCCCTGGCTCAGAGAGCCTGGACAACTCGAACGCTGAATTGAGCGAGCCTGCCACACACAGCTCGGCTTCTGTTGCGCCTACTGTCTACGACGCTGATCTACTACTTCGGATTTGCCCAGCTCATCTCATGGGTTCTCGATGCAATCACAAATTATGGACGGGGGTCAAGTGCGATCGGTTGCTCATCTGCGAGGTAGGCTGCTCACAAATTGATTGGAGCTTAATGTAAGAAACAGTGCTAATCATGGCATTATTATAGTACGTCAGGGATTATGTCTGCGAAGGAAACACGTGCCAATACCTTCACAGCATTCCGAGAAGCTGTCTGACCGTCAAGCGGCATCGCAAGTGCAGAGAAGGTTGCACAGATGCACATGATTTTATGGATGCAAGAACGGAGAACGCCAAAGAGTTGGTTGACCATTGCCAAACTATCATGCGTTAAGGTACTGGCTGGGAGGAAATAGTGACTAGTTCAAATGGGACATAACAGGAAGCTTATAGTTACATACACCAATTATAGCTTCATATCACGCTTTAGCCTCAAATCGCTGTCGCCTTCAATCCCGTAGAAGCATCCTGATCCTTGCTTTCTCCATTTGCGGCTACCACTGTAGCAGGCGCAGGTTCCTCTGCCCACATGCTCGCCACAGTTTCCACGGCTCGTTCGACGACGACGCGGACCCGATCCCTTAGCGCAGGGTTGGCGCACTCCACTTCCAAATCTTCCAGCCATATCCGGGCGATGTGCTTGTCGACCTTGATTTCGAGCCCCGGGAATGGAATGCCTAGTGCGTGGAGACGAGAAATCTCGGCTGCTTCTAGCTCTGTTAGGTCATCTTCGTCTTCCTCCTCCTCTTCTTCTTCCTTCACAGGGGTCGACATGTCGTCGGAGTCAACTTTGTTGGTGGTGCCGTTCGTAATGCTATTGGGCGGTAGGCGTGGACGCTCGATGGCTGTGATCTCGGAGCCGAATTGTGCTTGGAGCATCATGAGGAGACGTCGGAAACGCTCTTCTGGTCCGACGTTGGAGTGGGGGTTGGGGATCTGATGGGCGTGGTCGTCGTCGTGATGGTGGTGGTGATGGTGATGCTTGTGCTTCGCGGATTCTGTATGATTTGTAGTTAGTAGGATGGTTCTTCCTGGGTATTGTTATAGGTGATTGTCACTTACGTTTCACTGAAGCAGGGCTGCTCTCAACAGTCAGGAGGACCGCCATGACTGCATCAGCAACTCCATCGTTCATCATGTTCCCTTCCCATTCAAGTTCGACTTCGCGAGTGCGAGGATAGTATCGGATGAGCACGCAACCCATGACCAGGTAGGTTTGCGTATCTCCCATGGGGATTTCTTCATCGGCGGCTTCTTCCTTAAACGTCTCCCCGTTGGCTTTATCCATTTCATCTTCCTGTCCCTTCTTGACAACCTCCTGCTGGGATTTGCCGACTTCTTCGATGGCACCAAAGGTACCTTCGAGAGCCCATTTAATCAAGTCCATGCTTGCAGAGCTCAACGTAATATGCTGCTTGCATGTGATAGCGGTGGTTGTCAACCCAGCATATTCGCGGAGATCGTCAGGTGCCATTAGTGATAGGTTGAAGCCATTCTGGACGAGAACACCGGACATGAGCTGGCCATCGTCTTGCTCCGAAGGAGGCGCGATTTGAGCCAGTTTCCCCACTACCTTCGCGATCTTGTCCTTCTTGAAAGGGATGCGAACCTCTTCGCAATTACCCGGCGTGTAGACCTTGACTTTCACAGTCTTCTCGGCATTGAGACTGAGCAGCTTCGACTTGAGTCGCATCATTTGGTGTTTTTCACCGTGGACAAGGATCTAAGGAGAATGAGTAACCCAAACATATTGTGACGGAAGGTCGAAGGGGGCTACATACCACGACAGGTGCAGAGACTTCTTCAATGAAATTTCTGTTCTCGACTCCATCTACATGGGCCGCGAAACTGACCTCGTCCACTGTACATCTTCTGGGGATCATAACCTTCTGCTCTTCTTCATTCCCGGCAGCCATGCCTCGCCTCACCAATCCCGTCGTTGCTCTTGACATGACCGCAGGGATTTGCTCTGGTTCGTTCAGGATCTGCTTGGCCATTGTGCCCTCAACACTGTAGCCTGTCATGACCACACCATTGCGTTCGTTCGGGGCCCACCGCTCCAGAAGCTCCCTACTGGTTCCTGTCTGGAGCATACCTGGTGAAGCCAGCATAACACATCCTCCTACATCATCGAAACGTTCCAGGCTGCGCAAACTTCTGACGAATCTGAAGTCCCAGGGCCCTGCACTGACACTCTTGTCACCACTAGCTTCCGCTTCCGCCATACGCTGACGGAAGAGTCGCTTAATGTTATCGTTCATTGCACCTATATATGTTTGATACACGACCATACATCTGCGAGCCGTATTTCCGATATAGTAGATAGGTATCTTCTGAAGTTCGGGATGTGTCTCCCAGTATTCATCCAGAATGAGCAACAACTCCTGGGCGCGACCCAGGGCAAACACCGGCATTAAGACCCTGCCTCCGCGATTCAAGACTCCGGTAATGGCTTTCATCAGGGCCGCTTCACGTTCCAGGCGGGGGGGATTCGACGAAATGCCGAACGTTGACTCGGTGATAAGCACGTCGATTTTTACACCTTTGGGAACTTCGGCGGGGATCAGGTGTCTATCTTCCTCACGAGAATAGTCACCGGTAAAGAGGATGTTGAGGCCGGCAATTGAAATCAGAAACATTGCTGCACCAAGGACGTGGCCAGCAGGGAAGGGAGTAATGCGAATGCTATTGATAGTGTGCGTTGTGTTGAAGTCGATCGTCTCGATCAAGGGAAGCGTGGACAAATGGTCCTGCTCGGTATACAGAGTGGTGCGTTGATCCGAAGACGAGGCCGTGCTGCTCACACGCACATTGTCCTGAATCAACCATTTGTAGATGGCCTTGGTGGCGTGTGTCATGAATACACGGCCCTTGAAATTGGTCTTGCTGAGCACATAAGGGAGCGCGGAGGAATGATCAACATGGAAACTATGAGGTAAGGAGTGTATCTATCAGCCGACTGTCCGATTGAGATGGCCGAGCAAGAGTGAAATTGCAATAGTGGAGCAGAGACTGCGTTAAAAGGCACGGATACAGAGATACAACGCAAAGACCAAGATGAATAACTAGCATATATTGTATTGTGTCTCTCAGTACATGAGCAGATGCAATTATTATGACGGCAGAGAAGAACTCTGCCACCATGCTGGGAAACCAAGGAGAGATGTGGTGTGGGATGCTATCCACGGCCATGAACAACCCCAGCTTGCTCAGGGGCGACGGTGTAGGAAGGGTGATTAGGGGAACGCAAAAGAGAGACTGTCCCACATACTGGCTGATCAGAAGAATATCTACCGTGCTAAGGTCAAATTCGTCAAAGAAGGGCAGAGCCGAGAAGCCTTCTTTCGCAGGATGCATACCGGCGTCAAGCTGATGAAACCAGAGTCAGTAAACGGTAAAGACAGCATTGGGTCGCGAATGACACACCATCACTGTTTTGCCCTTATACTGGATTATATGACATGATCGCCCGACTTCATTTCCACCTCCTAGACAATAAAAGGCCAATTCATCCGTTGGATCGGCCGGCTCATCATCCACCGCGGCATTTAAGGCCGATGCCTTTCGTTTTGTGGCCATGATTGGGAGGCTTCGGATAAGCTACAAGTAGCGATGCGGAACTGGTGGAAGTATTCAGCAAGCCGGTACGGATGCGACGGGGTCAATGAATAGGTGGTGGTGTTCCTGGAAGTGCCGATATTCCTAGACTGGCTGCCTTTGCTCCGTAGGATGTCAGTTGACGCGGAATTCACTACCCATGATATGTACTGCAAAGAACTTGATCCGGGATCTGCAGGAGTTTAAGTAGTCAGTGCAGCCGCCGCCGCCGTAGTATCTTGAGCAATAGACAAAGTGTGTTATATCTCCGGCATTTCCTGCAACTGGGCGCAATAAAGACACGGAGAGTCGCGAAACCAAGAAGCGCAAAGGTCCAGCATGGCGGGCACTTACCTAAGCCAGCCACGTGATGCTCCCGGGCGGATCGCCGCAACAGCAAACCTCGTCGGTGCGAAGCTCCCCTTCGCCGTTCGCGAGAGTAACACCGACGAACCCCGTTGACCTTCTTCCCTCCCTCCGGTGCTCACTTCTTCACCAAGACCCCCCGTTCGATTACTCTACACCATTCATATATCGCTTGCGATGACCTGAGATGGTCTCACTTGGTGGAGGAGGCGGTTAAAGTAGTCCGCCCGGTTTTCCTACAAACATACATACAACGCGAAACACCTTCCCTTTTGGCGTCCAGCGCAACCGTGACTCGGTCTTGCCTTTAGTTCTTCAATTTGGAATTTTCATCGAAGCCACAATATCCATTCACCATGGCGCAGCCCCAGCAACAACACTTGACGCAGTCATTTTCCCCGCCGGTTTCCTCACCTTCACCTGGTGCCCCATCGCCTGTAAATGGTGGTGTCCCTCCACCTCTCAAGCGTCAACGTCTCTCACCTCTCCCTCAGTCCCAGTCCCCTTACGCCTCACCTAGCTTCGGGACTTTACAACTGCCACAACACCAGCCCGCTCCTATGACTACACCGACCATGAACATGAACGGCGTCCCCCAGTCTCCCGCTCCTCCTCCACCTCCACCTCCAGGCGCGATGGGGCCTCCTTCTCGACCGGCAGACAAGGCTACCGATGCTGCTGAGCTCACAGATGTGCTAGCATCATCAGGAATTGATGTCCGGGAAGAGGAGGCCTACTTGACGAGCAGTTACTCTGGTCCTCCGGTGCAGGCTCAACAACCACCTCGCCCTCAACAGCCACAGATCCCGCAGCAACAACCTCAACAGTCGGTGCCACCTGCTGTCAACACCTCGTTCACATCACAAGCATCGACAATTGGGAGCGTTCCTACGACTCCTAGTTTTGAACAACCCTCCCCATATAAGCCGGCGACGACGCAGGATTCCTTCTACAGGGAGCCGTCGACGCAGCCTCCGGCGCCTTTCAAGGATCCCAATGAGCCGACCCGCGAAGACACTGAGGCAGCTCGGCGCGCGCAGTATACTCTACAAGACTCTTTCTTGTGGACTAAGGTATTGGAGCAGAGGCTGCAGAAACGTGGATTCGAACTCGGTGTCCGTATACCGGCAGAGGGCCTGTATCATCCCGTGCCCGGTCGCCAACAACCTATCGAAGTCACTGGACCAGATGGATCATCGATCATACGTTCCGGGCAAACAATCTTGAACCAAACCGGCGCACCTCTATTGGACATTCTCAGCTTAATGTCCATCGCATGTGAAGAGCGGTTGCGAACGGTGGTCGATTATTCTTCAACACTGGCTCGAAGTCGACGCGCGCACTCACACGGAATTGTCCCCACCGATTGGAAAGACGTTGCTACATCGGCTAATGCTGTCAATGGGAATGTGGAAAATCCTAGCACACCACTTAAGCGTAGGTTTACCCCGAGATATTAAGAAGTGTTACAAACTAATCAATTGGCAAATAGGCCCGCTATCAGCAACCGAACCGCAGGGTACCAAAGCACTGTCGGAGAAGTATCGTCTACTTATGGACAAGGACAATTCCAGCGAAGAGGCCCGTGCTGCAAAACGTACCAGGCGCAGCACGAATGCCATCCTTGGAGAAGGGGGAGCGAGCCGATCGGAATCCGTGGATATCCCTGGCTCCGGCGCCTCCACACCGATCGGAGAGAGAGCCCCTAGTATCGATAAGAAGGGAATGTCGAAGAAGGAAGCTAAGAAGCTGATGGATGCCAAGGCGAGCGAGGCTCAGCAACATCAGCAGTCGGTAGAGACCGCGCGCCTGGCTACTAACAGCATGCTGTCTGGTCGCATGTTTGGAACCAAGAAATCTTACTCGTGGCTAAATCGTGGTGCAGCAGCTGGCAGTGGATTCTCCACGCCGTCCCGCGTCAACACTGCCACGCCGCCTGCGAGCACGGACAAACCCGGACGTTCCGGTGAACCTGCCGCCGTGCCTGCAAAACGTCTGGGAACATGGCGAGAAGACAAAGACAGAGGCGCCGGCATTCAGGTCCGGGATGTTCTGTTTATGCTGGAGCTGGATGGCAGAGGCCCTCGACACGTACAAAAGGCCTACTCGAAGGATGTGAAGGAGGATCGAGCGGACTGAGATTACCTGGCATATGTCGCTCCAGCGGTTTGTAATTCCGTTTTGGGTTCCATGCTGTGACTGCGCAGGATCGTGGTTACTTGGCAAGGTGGCATACTCCGCAGTGCTCGCAGTTGGTGTTTTTACCATTCATTGTATGTGCATTTGCCCATTTCTTTTCGCATCCGATCGTGAGGTCCCGGACTATTGTCTGAGTGATACTCAAGCATCCGAATCTCTTCCTTTCTTCTAAGTTTACTACCCCCTGTTTAATTGCCCCGGGTCTCTGCCCGATATTTTATGTGGATGTATTACCTTTTTTCATACCCGTGTGTTACGGAGGGACATTAGGGTATTGCTATTGCGATCCGCTTGCTTCATCTCCTGACCGACGGCAGTGAGCAGCCAACGCCATTTTCATGATGTTCCTGAGAATTGTCGGACAATCCAGTGACGTATTGTCTGGAAAACGGCAATTTGACGCCTCGTGAATATTTGGCTCTGCCAGTGTGCCACGGGGGGAAGAGAGCGAAACGAAAGAAATGAAAGAAACGGCATGGGCAGACTACGTCTCTCCGTGTAGTACTCGGTCACCGCATTTCATACCTTTGAAATGATATGACACATATTTGCCTAGCAGACTGACCGTCTTCCATCCCTTCTTTCCCTACTATTCCCACGTAGACTAGTTGTAGTCTGTTCGTACCTGAGGCCATTCGTGCTGCATGCCAAGCCCGAGGTTTCCCAGAGGAGTTTAGGGTTGACGCCTAGATCGTTCGGGGCATCAGGTGGGACCAAACACGCAAGTCTCTTTCAGCCGGACAACTGAATCTGACTTCATGGTTAGTTGCCCGGGGGGAGTTGCCAATCAGCTTGTCCACCAGACCTTTCAGCCGTTGTTCCAGTCACACTCAGATCATCGCCCTCTCATCCTACGATTGATCCCTCTTTCTACAGACCAGAGCAGCAAAGCGGGGTTCCCCAAGAGCATGATCAACTCAGCGGGGGAGGGTACCACCCCAACTTCAAAAACAAGAGGATCAACTTCGGGGGAATGATGTCAGAGATCAGGGACTAAAGAATTGGGACGAAGGGAGCACAAGGCCGAAAAGCGGAGATTCGCCGCCCCCAAATCCAATCAAACGCCTCCGCGGCGTCATCACCCAGAGCATCGTTCTCTCGGGTTATTATTAAACCTTCTCCCAGGGCAAATTGGCGGTACGAGGCATCTCTTCTCACTGCAAACGAGTCTCTTAGTTTACTTCCCACCAGGTGGAAAAACGCATGTCATGCAGCAGCCCTCTCCGGTGGTCTGAAGGTGCCCGAAATGCAACGGCAGCCACGACGACATATTGCCACCAGACCATCACTACTAGACTAACACTGCACGGCGAAGACTGCAGACGAGTAGAGCGTTGACAAGAAAAGGCCGGTTGAACACATCCACGATGGCACTCAGACCCATCATCATCATCGTCCTCCTCTTTCTTACCTGACCATTTGGGTCTCGCAGGGTAATTGGTAACGTGTTTCATATCTGACATTTCGGTTCGCGGAAGAAAGGACCTCAACCGGTGGGTGTCATCCAGAGCTTGGAAGCCTAGACTCGCCTCAAACTCCGGCGCTATGTTTTGCCTCCGGGGCTGGTTGGGTTAGATGAGCCTTGCGATCTGCGCCTACAAAAACCGTGCCAGATCGTTGTTTGGGATTGGAATTACTATTATTGATAATCACCAATTCCCCTTCCATGGGATGTTACCGCATAGAGAAAAGGGGGAACAGCCAAAAGGGCAAGCAAGACACACGGCATCGAAGACGGTGTTCAGCCGAAGAATAGGCTTCTTCGGAGGATTGATTGATCCAGAAGGCCCAATAACACCGACTGGAATGGAGGATGAAGAGGGCGAGTTTGTGTGTGTGTCGTAACCGAATAAACCTTCTGTGGTGGTGCTCGTGCGGCGAGGCGCCATCATCCACCATGACCCTTGAGACCGCCGTAATGGTGGAGAGGAGATTCTGTTCGGTCTGTATTCTTTTTGGTCAGTGGTGCGAGGCAGAAGGAATAGTTCAGTTCTGCACACTGCCATTTTGATCTTCCCCCTCATAATATAAGACGTTTTGTAGTGTTATTGTCCGTCTTCTTTGTAGTGTTTGTTGCTGTAGGCCCATCATTCTAATCCAAGCAAGAATTGAGAAAATAAACTGGTCATTACCAACTACTTCTTGGGAAGGTTCCCAATTTCCCTTGCTCTCTGGCCGCTGGAATTTCCCGTTCGAGAGCGGACTCGCAACTCAGTTGCTCTCTGGTGTCTGTCTGTCTTGTCTATCTGTCACCAGGTCTCATCGCCTCTGCCATTTCCAAATTCCAGTCTTCGCGGAGCACCATCACTTCTTGCTTTTCACCCCCTTTCATTGATGCTCACCATTCTCTGATAAACCCACCACCCCAAGCTGATGCTCTCCAACACTTCAATGGTTTCTATCTTGGCTCACCCGGTGACCCAATGAGTCCTTCGTGAGCTCATCCGTACCATACGAAGCGTTCTCGGACGCCTGCTGGTTCCCCCGACCGACCGCCTCGCCATCCATCCATCCCTCCAGCCAGTGATCCCCACGCCTCTCGACTCTCTCTCTTCCTTTCCTTTGCCCGGTGTTAATTCTTCTTGACTCTTCTTTTTCCCTTGCAATCCTTTTTCTTTTTATTCTTTCCTATACCCCGTTAATTTCCAATCCCCTTTTTGCTGGAATTACAACACAAGAATCCGCGGGTGAACAAACCCTGCTCCCAGGTAGTTCGCAGAGATTAGGATTACTACGACGAACGATTGCCGCTTGTTACTACGACGATTCGGACGGCCGACGACCATCCGGCGACTGACTGTGAATCTCCTCCCCTCCACCACACCCTCTCTCTCTCTCTCTCTCTCCTTTCCTCTTTCTTCTCTTCTCCCTCTTCACGTCCTTATCTCCTTTCCTTTCTCTCTCTTCCTCTCTTCCCCTCCTCTCTCCGTCATCTAGCCGGAATCCGCCGTGAGGACAGCCGGCTAGTATACACTTTTTTCTTTGCATCATGTCCACCCCTTCCACGGCTACCGCGACGCATCCGCATCAGCAACACTACGGATACCCCCATCATCAACCCTACCAACCGAACGCATCGTATCCCACCACGTCCGCTGCAGGCACTTCTCGCCTCATCCCCTCTTCATATCCCTATCCCGTCTCCGCCCCGACGCCTGCCACCCTTCCCTTCGTGCAATCTCCGAAGCTTATGCCAACCGCACCCACCCCAACGACTACCACATCCACCACCACCACCAACAACACAACCACTGCCACCACAACAATGCCTCCAGCCCACAACGCTGTGGGCGCTGGCACAACAGCGCAAGGCAGCCGGAGAAGGAAGCCCAACTGGGGCGAGTTCTACAAAAATGGGATCCCGAAGGAGGTGATTGTCATTGATGACACGCCCCCTCCGGAACAGTCCAAAGCCTCCTCGCGCAGTCTCGCGACAGCGTCCACCGTCACGGCAGCCAACGGCAACGGTCCTCAGCCCGCTGGGAAGAAACGGCGCACCGGCATCGAGTCAGCCTACGACGTTACGTATTATGATCGGCCGTCGTACTCGATCAATCCACAACACTATGGCGAGGAGTCATCGGCTGCCTCCCTGTCGACCGATCGGACAACCTCTCTGCACACCACGGCTCCCACATCTCTCTCCCAGGGGAGTTCGGGGGCCAGTAATGGGATCATCTACGAAGACGCCAATGTTGGCCAGAAACGCAAGCGCGTAACCACCCGCAAGTCCGCTCGCGATGAGCAAAAGCGGCGGGAGTTGGAGAATGCAGGTGATGCGTTCTTGAGCTATGTCCCGCCGCCGAAGCCGCCCATCAAGGCAAAGGACGTTCCTGTGCCTGTGGTCCGCGATGTATGTGTTAAATCATCAGCCCCATCCCCGCGTTACTTTTTTTCCCTTGCTAACCGACTGTAGTATGCAAATCGAGGCGAAAAGTATGATGACGACGATGGCCACTATATTGTCAACCCGAATACTCCCTTGACTGAGCGGTGTATGTGATGCCTTGGTGCTCATTTAGAATACAATTGATACTAACCTTTCGCAGACTCGATCATCAAACTCTTGGGGCAAGGTACCTTCGGAAAGGTGGTTGAAGCGTTTGACAAGCAGCGTAAGACCCGCTGCGCCGTCAAGATCATCCGCTCGATCCAAAAGTACCGGGATGCTTCGCGGATTGAACTTCGGGTACTGTCCACACTGGCCTCAAACGACAAGCAGAACCGCAACAAGTGCATCCACCTACGAGACTGTTTTGACTACCGCAATCATATCTGCATCGTAACGGACCTGCTGGGGCAAAGTGTCTTCGATTTTCTGAAGGGAAACGGCTTTGTGCCGTTCCCCAGCAGTCAAATTCAAAACTTTGCCCGGCAGCTGTTCACCAGCGTAGCCTGTGAGTACTTTGGGCCATATGCCTATCACTGGGAATATTCAGCTGACATGCACAGTCCTTCACGACCTCAATCTCATCCACACCGACCTTAAGCCCGAAAACATTCTCCTCGTCAGCAACGCTTACCAAACCTTCACCTATAATCGCACCATCCCATCCTCTTCGCATGCCATCTCCCGGAGTGCACGTCAAAGACGTGTGCTGTTGGACAGTGAGATCCGGCTGATTGACTTTGGGTCAGCCACGTTCGATGATGAGTATCACTCGTCTGTGGTGTCCACTCGACACTATCGGGCCCCTGAGATCATCTTGAATCTGGGCTGGAGTTTCCCCTGCGATATCTGGAGTATCGGTTGCATCCTCGTGGAGTTCTTCACTGGGGACGCCCTTTTCCAGACGCATGACAACCTAGAGCATCTTGCCATGATGGAAGCTGTTATCGGCGATCGCATCGACACTAGACTAGTGAGGCAGGTGATGCAGGGCGGTCGCAGCGCAGGCCAGAACCAGGCCGCCAAGTAAGTCACACCGTGATTGCACCCGTCGGATTACGCTGACAGTCCCAGATATTTCAACAGGAACCGGCTTGAATACCCGAACGATCAGACCACTCGTGCCTCACGAAAATATGTCAAGGCAATGAAGCAGCTTCCAGTACGAGCCTCTTCCACTTGTGGCTTAAACCCCGGGACAACATTGCTAACCAGTCGCAGGACTTCATCCCGACCAACACCAAGTTCCATAAGCTATTCCTTGATCTCCTTCAGCGGATATTCGTGTATGACCCGAAGAACCGTATCACCGCCAAGGAAGCTTTGAAGCACCAGTGGTTCAAGGAGTCCTTAGTGGATGACGGCACCGAAGCCCTACGGATTGGGGAGCAGCTGCAACGCACCACTCAGCGGCGTTGATTGGAGCAGTCTTCTGCTGGATACTTGTATCGGGTGTGATCTAGCCTCGCGCTAACCTCCAGACGCTGCGGAGCCTTTCTATACCAAGAGGCTGGTGCGTCGAGGTACCCCCCTTCGACAGTCACCAGGCGTTAGCATGTATGGGTACAGCCACATTTGCGATAGAGGGATGTTGTTTTTCTGTTTGGATACTCTTTCTCAGGGATGGCCTGGCGATAGCGCTAGCCGATTGATGATAACTGGGTAATGGAACTGACGGAGGGTACATGGATGGGATATCCCGGAGTTGATGCCCGCAGTCGGGCAAGGTGTACGGGGTTTTGCATGCTTCATTGTGAACACAAGAAACCATTGGTCGGGGCCTGATTATTCCAGTCCCCGACGAGGACAAAAAAGCAGTACGACATATATCGATTACCGGAGGGACATACCATTTTATATTTATGTGACTTTTATACTGTCCAGGCGGCCTGGACTTGGGGCTTTGTGGGCTTGTGGGAATTCTGTTGTGCTTCACATCGTTTTTATATCTTCCTTTTCTTTTTTCTTCTTTCTCGCAGCATCGTTCGATGTGATTTTCTCATACTCGGAACTTATTAACGTCTACGGGCGCTGGTGACATGACGATTTATCTCCTGCATAGCTTCGACTATGATTCTTGACCTTTTGACTTGTTCTTCGACGCGGTAGAGCAGTACCCTCTGGTCTGTCTGTCTGTTCTCCTCGAATGGACCGAGGTGATGATGATGCATAGACATGTGCATTGTGAACTACTACCCCTACCGATGTATATATATTATACCACTTGATATTACCTTACCTGCTTACTTTCATGAGCTCGTTACGACTGATCAACGGACCGGAGTTCTCTGACGCTACCATTTACCATCTCATATACCAATACCACACTTCACCTTGATATGATGGACAGATCATTTGAGACCTAAAGACAGCATCATGTTCACAACCATCACCCCTACTTATTACATGAGTATATGCCACAATAGATATAAGACAGGTATGGAAATTCTAACCCCCTCCAAAAGAACAGAATGGCTACTACAATACTAATCCATCACTTCCCCACTGCTGCTACTACTATATACCCCTCAAGCATCGCATCAACTCTACTACTACTACTAGCATACACACCCCACCTCCTCACTTCTATTTATTACTCAGTTCCACCGCTCACCAAGTCACCACCAACAAGGATCCTCCGCAAAATCCTCACCCTTGTGCATGCACCCACATTCCACTCCAATTAAAATCAATTAAAGATTCGGCTACCACCTCGTTCCTCCTTACACGAAACGACATTCACCATTTTCTCCAATATCGAAAACAAATCAAACACTCGACCTCCCAATGATACTCATCTCCGCGGTCACAGTGTAAGAAATGACTGGAGGCGACTGAGGTGGTTGATGGCAGCCGAGTGTGGGGAGTGTTATAGATCACTTTCTTTGTACTTCCCAATCTACATTCTCATATTAATGGAGATCTCTCAATAACGGGCTCTATTTCGACGAAATATAAATGGAAATGAATCCAGTCTATGAGATAAGAGAGTCTGTTCGAGGGAATGCCGTTGTCTTTCTGGTAGGAGGGACGGGACACACATACTAGTATTAAAAGGTCTACCTTCATAGGTGTAGTACCTGGAGGGTATATCGTGAAGCCAGTTATGCTTCTCTTATGAAGTGATGCATGCTGTTTGATGAGTAGTTTGCAAGTAATGACAGGAGTAATTCTGTCCTAACTAAATAGTACTCGACGGCGAGATATATATAGATATTTAGAGTAGAATACTGTGGTGGTAGTGAGGTTCAATTACAACTATTCTACAACTGTGTTGTAATGGTGTATAATTGGAATTGGAATCCATTCATAACTTCAATACAACTATTCACTAGAGTATCATTTTATATATATAGTACTTGTTTGTATACTATGAAGTATGGAATCAATCGGTTGTAGGAGCATACGATCTGAACCCTCAGGCCAGTAGTACTCGAGTACTATCATGTGGATTCGAAGAGATGATAGTACTAAGTACTAGTATATATAGTATCATGAGTTTCATTGTAAACGAAGGAATGATGGACGAGCTATGTATATTCGTTGCACTCAATAGAAATTCCCTTTATAAAGCACAAACTTCAATTCAGCACCAAAATTGCTCACCGAGAATATAAATATATATGCAACCACACGATCTATCCACAAACGGTCTAACGATCTAGTAAGAAAAAGGCATCGCAAACTATGAACCGAAGACAGAAAGCTAGTATCAACAAACGCCCCCCCGCCCAACCAAGGTAAACTTTTTAACTACATGCCCCGATTAAACTCCACCTGACCATTCTCACCACCCTTCTCCCAGAACTCCGGCTCCAGAGTCGTCGCGCTAATAGCCTGTCTCTGGGGGAACGCTCCCAGCGCCAACGGCAACGCAAACAGCGAAGTCGCGAGCACCAATCCCAGGTTCAAGGGCATGATCATGCGCGGACGAGCCTTCAACCAAGCGGTCTTCTCCAAGCGCACCAGCACCAACGGCGGGACCACCATGATAGGGGTAGCATTCAGCACACGACTGATAGCCGTCTCGCCGACCGCGATAGTAGCCGCCTTCTTACTCTTGCCCAGACTCTGCACCGACTCGCCGGACTCCTCGAGCTTCTTCTTCTCCACCTCCGACAGCACCGGGTACACGTCAATGCCCTGGCGGATCTCCTCACCGCGCATGAGGAACACGTTCAGGGCGCTGGCGCTGGACACGGCGGCGAAGGGCACAAGACGACCCAGAATGAGCTTCGCGTTGGGCGAGATGCCCTTCAGGCGGGGCACGAGGGCATTGAGACCCAGAGCGACGGAGCAGGAGGCCGACACGGCCATGAGGTAGGACTTGGCGATCTGGGGGACGGACAGCGGGGTGGATTTGTTGGCGTTCGCGTTGTTAATGGCGACGTTGAGGGATTGATTGGCAATTTGCCAGAGGAGGGTTCCGGTAGTCTTGTGTTTATTGGTCAGATTTATGACCCATATAGTTGGGTTGGATAGCTGGCGTGTCTTGTGTAACTTACCTGCAGTCCCGGCGTAAGCATACCAGCTGTCACGACCAGATTGGACATAACGTAGCAGGACATGCGGAAGGGAAGGAAGACCGGCTCGCCAGTGTCTGTAAGAGTGTATGAGTATATGCCGTGTGGTTTTTCTCGCAAAGCTACCTGAGGGGAAACGTACCAGGATGAAGGGTGGAATCGACCACCTTCTTCGCGCGCCACAGCTCCGGAGTCATATGCGGAAGATGGTTCTGCTTGTACGAGGAGACCAGCTGCTTAGCCTGCTCCAAGCCGGACGAAGACACGAACATCATCCTAGAGAAATCGGCATCAGCGAAAGACCACACACTTCACATCGAGCGCATTTGCTCACTTACCGCGGGTCGGAGAGGTCAGCCGCATGCCGCACGCGACCCCAGTAGGTTTTCAGATCATATTGAGACCGAGGGAGGTCCCGGCTGCCGGGGAGGGAGGCGGACATCTGCAGAGACGAACGAGGGTCGCGAAGACAGGATGGACAGAGACACTTCAGGGAAAGGAGGAGGATCGGAGGAGTCATCGGCGCCACGGCGAAAATCATTGAGGCGGGACCACACACGTGCCTATCGCGGGCGGTGAGCCGATAAGCGCCAGGTCCACCAATCGGAGTGCGTCAATCTCCGATCTCTTCAGGAACGTTTCACCGCCTTCAAAGCGGTACGGTATTTCCGTTACCGAACGCTACTCCAGGAGTGAAGTCCACTACTTAAGGCTATGAATTTGCTATGAATTTCATGGTAGTTGGTTTCATTTCAGGGTGGCGAACATATAAGAGTACAGGTATCACAAGTCTCTCGCCACACAATTAATAGAACAAATTAAAAACATCCAACATCCACAGGTGATCAGTCATCGCTGGGATGTGATACATGACCGCTCGAAGCGGATGAAATGTACGTCGCAAGGAATTGGGGGTATGTCTAAGCTCTGGCACACAGATGAACAAAGGAAACCCGGTGGAAAAGGGGAAATGAAAGGCGTAGGCCTGCCTGTTGGCGAGACCATCAATGCAAAAAAAGAACCCACCCGGGATGTAGGTCAAGTCGTACAAAAACTCGGTGCGAGAATGGTACACGAAGAATGAAAAAAGACGCCAATTGGGCGCCGTGGTCATTACGTTCATCGAAATCGGTAGGATTTATGAGCTAGAGGCGAGGTGGGTGCGTGTCCAGGAGCCCCGACAGGCACTCGGACCCGATGATTCTTTCGAGTGGGAGTCTGGGCGCAGAAGATGCACACATACACGGATGGCAGGTTGGCCCGCTCCAGTCCGACGCACTTGGTATGCAACCAGTGACTGCATGATTCGCTGCTCATCTATCAGTAGCCGTCCATAGACGTCTAGTTATCGCTATGGCTTACCATTGGATCATGAGGTGGCCACCATTGTCCATGGAATTGCAGACACACCGGGTCCCATTGCTGGGGTTGCTGAAGCGGTCGGTGACGGGGGTGGCTATGTCGGGGTCGGTCATGGTCGTGGGCGATGTGTTCGTGGTTCGTGAGCTGAGGTCAAGCTCTGCACCAAATCGTGGCGGGGACGATCGGAGGTGGGCGAGAGAGCGAGCAGAACGGCTGATCCGTGACCCGTAGCTCACAGTGTGCGGACGAGGGATCCGACCTCTCTCTTGAAGGACCTTCCGGAGTGCATGCTGGGCGTCACCGCTGTCGTCCTCGGGATCAGCAAAAGGCTCGCCTAGGGAACCGGCACTGAGGTATGACAGGTCTGAGTGTAGCGTTGTCAACTGCTTCTTCGGGGTGCGCTTCCAGTCATCCAGAGTAGGCTTGTACTGTGGTCGCCTGGAAGGCCCTCGACCGGCGTCAGCCCATGGCGATGCTCGTCCCGAGGACGACGCTGCCGTAGAGGTATAGGAACCCTTCGAATGGGGCCGTGAACCACAGTCACTACGAGCAATCGTCGCACCACTGGCGTCGGAAAAGGCAAACGAAGGGTTGCGGCTGGGGACAAGTGGGTATTCACAGTAGTCCACCGAGTCATACTCGCTTTCCGTGGTCGAGCCATCCAAGTCCATTCCTGTGAGGGGGTCCGTCAAGCCGGTGGATGCCTCGGGCACAGGTTGCATTTCCGCCTTAGCTCTACCGTCTTTCCCTATTTTGAGGACTACAGACTGAGAGCGTCTGGGCAGACTAGCAGCCACCGAGTTTGCCCTCGACAGCTGATGACGAATGGGCTTGATAGGCGACGAGCGACCCTTGGAGGGACTCTTCCGGATTCCGTTGGAAGCCATCATACACCCAGACGCCGATCGGCTGGCAGACCCTGCAATAGCACTGTGCGTTAGGCTACGAGTCAGAGCAGGCCTCATCTGACGGGGAGTGTAGTCATCGTCATCATCATCCTCATAAACAGGAATATGGTGGTTGACGCTGCGAGCACGGCGGAGCTCTTCTCTCTTGGACTCTTCCGTTTGGTGATGGTAGGGCTGGCGAGTCGGTCGGGAAAAGAGCCTCTTCTCGGGAGTCGGCTGCAGCCCACCAAATCGGCGTGCAGGGGAGCTCAGAAACAGCGCTGGATCTTCTGCTTTTGTGATAGGGCGGCGAGGGGAAGTAGAAAAAGGGGCAGGAAACAGGGCAGCGTCGGTAGTGGTCACCCCAGAGGAGAGGTTATATGTACTACTGTTGAAATCGGGGAGGTCCGTGTTCCCTTCGATTATGGGCAATTGTGGGATGTGAGAATCTGGGGCGGTGGTGTGGTTGACATGGAAGGAGTCATTGGCATGAAGGTCAAACAAATCGAGGTTGTTACTGGCCGACAGGCCCATATTGCTCTCGTGCTGGTTGAAATCATGGTCCCAAAATAGCCTTTGCTGTGGGAAGAATGTAGAGGCTGCAGAATCGATTGCTCCTAGCTGGAATGGGTCTGGGGAGGATTGAAGATCTCCGAAGAGTCGTGGGGAAGCCCCCAGTAACCGACTGGGAGTCTCTAAATGGCCGCCAACCATACTCGAGGCGGACGGCCGTCGACCTGTACCAGTGGCCTCGTCAAGCCCCGTCACCTTCTTCCTAGAAGCACTGCTGGGAGGAGGGGTTTGAATTGTCGCAGCAGATTTGGCTGAATCTACCGTGCGAGGACCGTCATCTCCCACATGCCCATGTGGCCTCGACGGACGACGTCTCTTGGCCGTATCTGTGTCCTGCTCCGCCGCTTTGCCATTCCGGGAATTGTCCTCAGTGTCTGTCGGTCGGTCGGGGGCAGTGTCCGGCAGCCGGAGAGGGTTGATGGAAGGTGTGCTCAGCCCAAACTTCTGGGGCGTGCGGAGGAATTCCGGACTCGAGGCATAGGGGTCCGAAGTATCCCAGGTAACCCGGGGATCGAAGAAGCTGGATTCGAGTTTGGGAGTCTGAAAAGCGGAATCGCCAAAGATTGTGGTTGTCGGGGGAGTCCTCGTAGGGGTCTGAGGTTCACCGTTGGGATAGCTGAAGCTGAACGAGAAAGACGGCTCTGTCAGCATCATGTTGCACACTAGCTATCGCTGGAGGGTCGGAGCTCGGCAGGAGCTCCGCAACCCACAGGATATACTGCCAGATAGGACCAATGTAGGTAGAGTAATTATGTGCATATAAAGAAAAAGCCCAAATTCGAGTAGACAATAAAAAGTAAAGGGACAACAGAGAAAGGAAACAGTGTGAGAGGGAGAAAGTGTAGCTAGTAAGGAGCGTGGTGATAGAGAGGCAGCCCCGCGTGTGCCGGTAATACAAGATGAGTAGGAAATTCAACCGACATACCTGTGAACCGGTTGATCCCAACTCATGTCAGCAACGTTGTGATCCCAGCAACCATACAATGCACAAGCTGCCAGGCAACCCTCTTGTAGGAAGTCCAGATATTTCGGGAGCCGTCAGGAATGTTGGAGGAGAGGGGTTGGTTCGGTAGGGATCGCTGTGCCGACGAATGTGAGCCTCCTCCACAGGGTCATTGAAGCCAAGCAAGTTCGGACTGGAGTTGTAGTAGGTTCGGAAACAAGACTGTTTGACCCTTCGAAGGAAAGGTTGGGGTTGGACGAAGGGAGGACGACGCTAGCACATAGTCCTATCGCCGGTCTGAAGGACGGGAGGTCACCGGGGCTGGTAATCTGGAGAAGGGGACAAAGAAAAGAAAGGTAGAGAGGGAGAAAGAGGAGGAGTCAAGAGGGGAGAGAGAGTAGAGAGGAGAGGCCAAGCAGGCTGGGGTCGAGGGATTGAAGGTTGGGTTAGGTTAGTTAGTATGGAAGGTTCCAAGAACGACAGAGCTCTCCTGAACAAAGGGAGGAGCGGAATGCGTTTAGATCAGGACGCTGTGTCTTTGATGCTTCCCTCTTTTGTTTTGGTCGAACCTTGCCCTTCAACAGGAGTGAGCAGGAAAAAGTGAAAAAAGGAGACCAGGAGAAGAATCAACCGGCTCGTTGTGAAGGAGGAAGAAAAAAGAGACAGAGAGAGAAGAGAAAGTAAGAAGCGAATGGGAAATTTTGTGTTTTCGTTTTCCTCTGTTTGTAATTTGGTAATAAGTTGACAGTTTTTTTGCCCTCTTTTTTTCCTTTTTACTTACATCCGCAGATCCACCAGCTGGGGACTTTTTTTTTTAATGAACTGCTACGTTCCCTGGGAGGGTCAAGGTCCGGTTCTGCTGCAACCAGGACTTGGTACCTTCACTGCTGGTGACAAATGAGGCTGCTCCAAATTATCGTCCTTGATCCTGCCATCTAAATCCCCCGCCATTATTATAGTATTATAGGATTCTAGTATTCATCTAATTCTTGGTCATCAGGTCCCCTCTCGAATCATCGTCAAAACTAACCAACTAAACCTGCCTCTCCTCCCGATCGTCCTCCACTTTTGGCTGGTGGAGCTTCGGGCCTTGGGTGAGATGAACTGGGACCGCTGCACACGACCGACACCTTGGCCTTCCCGCTGCGAAGGGGCAGCCTTCATGACGCACCGGATGGGAACCAAAAGTGAATAGATTGTAACATGAGAAAATAACCTTTTACTTCTCTTTTCTTCTTCCTTATGAAACAGAACATGCGGTGATTACCACTATTCGTGCTTTGGTTGTTCTATCAAATTCCAATGGGTCTGGTTCCGGGGATGGTAAACTATCACACTACTTTTAGTAGTTACTGTGTACCTCGGATGGGATAGTCAGCTAGTAGTGACTTAATTGAAGTACTAGGGAAGGTATACTCCGTTCGAGACTGTATTGTATAAGATGGAGAATAATAGATAGTGATCCACAAATCAAACGATGCTATACTTATTATCTTACCGTCAATGCCGGAGAAACGCATACGAGGTCACCAGCATCATCTTGAAATATCAACGAATGGAGACGACGGGAAGAGACTGGTCCTTTCAGCGCGAGATTATACCACCGAACGTATCCATAATAATCCATGACTAGTGAACCGCGCTCCAAGGCACCAGTGGGCGGTCCCAAGAACAAGGAACAGCGGTCCATTTCCGTGGGTCATATATCACCGTCTCCAGCGTGATCGGTTGGTCAAGTTACTTACTGGTGCTGACGCCGGGCTCTGGACCTGCATCCGTCTTCGATTGTTTCCCTCCCCGTATCTTATGGCTTGTTCATTATTCCTCGGGTGGCCGTCGAATAGACTTCCCACTTTGCTGGAGAGGGTGACCGATATGTCAACATTCACAAGTGATAGATATCGAGGGTTCTGGTTTCACTTTGATCCCAGGATTGTGACCGCCCGTCTCGACCGTTCTCTAAACCACCGATGTATGTAGATCGATTCATACCGGTCAACACTTACTCAATATTTGCTCCATACTGTACTGACTGGAGTAGGAATCAACCCGGACAAGGTTTGAATGTGAGCAGGTCAACCTCCCTTCCCTTACGAAAGCGTCGATCGAGGCCGGATTGGGCGACGGGAGATTGAGCCTTGCGACCACCGCCAACACTAACGACCCTCGGACGCCCTGGGGTTTCTGGTCCTTCATCCCCCCGACTCCGGCCACGACCACCACTAGAACTAACCACTAATAGTCAATCCACTGGGGCCTCTTTTCAGCTCCAGCCTCGATCTCATCCCACGTCTCGCAAAGTGTGTTCTCTCTCTGTGTGTGCCCGGAATATTAATAGCTCCCCGTAATTACGATCTCCTGAGCCTGGGACCGACCCCAATGACGACATTCGAAGCTTTGCCAATCTCCTCAATTCAGCTCCGTGTCTTCTCCGGCATAATCCCTGGTCTCCTTTCCTTTCCCAAGCTAGCTGTCTGGGAGCTCTGTCGACGCTATTTGCACCTGCTGCAGCTATCCATGCTTCAAACTTCGGGACAGGCGAGGTGACAGAAAACGTAGGCAAATACCAAATCGGGCTCGTCTCCAGAAACCGTTGGATTTAAGACTCGACTGATCCCAAGTTATTTTCCTCCCAATTCCCACACACAACCGGTCAGACTTGTCTGATCTAGTCCACTTTTGGGGGAGCATATGTTTCAGCCCGCGAGGGAAGTATCTTCACTCATGGATGCTACTAGATACTAGTAGAGTAAGTGGTAGCTAGGATGGAGACTGGGCAGGGCAAAAGGTAGGATGAGCTTCCGTCCCCGAGAGTAATATTACCCGTTTAAGGAGATTCACCGCGACCCGCCCGGTGGTTCATTGGGCCACGAAAAGAGGGGACGTGAGGCGACCCAACTCGAGTCTAGACTGCTTAGACTAGATACTATCTACGATTCTACTATCTATCTTCTCTCCTGGACGGAGGATTCTGATGCTTGCCGCAACTCGTTTAGCAAGTAGAAAAAGAGATCAATGCTTTCAGTCTCTCGCGATCATTATTGGTCGAGCACTATTGGAAAGGGGAGAGCCTATGGCAGGGGCGGAATTCTCCCCGATCGGCTAAACTAAAGTACTGCTACTTACACTCCAGACTCCAATGGGTAATGCCGTCCACTACTTCCGAACCCAGATTGAGTTGTTGCGTAGTTACATACTTACTCCGTCCCGAACTCATTATTCAACGTTATTGTATTCTGTTTTTGTTCCTTTCTCTCTCCCCTGGGAGCACTGATCTACTGTGCCGATGTTAACCCAGCCGACTGAGATGGAAGCCGTTTCCGATAGGCTCCCAAGCACCCACCAACGATGATTTGCACTCTGAGTCCCTCCCCCTTAACAAGTGAGCAAGCAACCATCCTCAGGCCACCGGTGCTGAACCAGTAAGAGCTGCTGCACGCGAGCGACGGGACCTGCAGCAGTAGTTAGACGCCCTGCGGTGTAACCCGCAGTAGTGTCTTCCCCCCTCCCTCCATTGAGCAGCAATGATTTCAGTTTTCGAGGAAGCCCCTGACATGATGGTTGATGCAGCGCCGGCTTAGTGTCCTGCCAGCCTGGCCATCTCGCAGCTCGTCAGGCACACCTTGGCTGGATTAAGGTTGGAGACATCAGTAAGGAGCAGCACTGTCCAAGGTGAGATTTGGCTCACCCTTCCTCTAATTCCAAAAAGTTTTCTGCTTTGTTTGCACCCTGTGCACGAAATCGCTAGACACAGAGCCGGGATTCTTATATTTCGTGCATTTGAGGTGAGATCTGAGTGCACATGGACTCTGATGACTGCATACCTGGGCTGCACCATGATCTATCTATAACAGCTTTTGCCTCTTCACGATGTGTAAGATCCGGGCCGTGGGCGGATGACCTGACTGGTATGCCGGCGGAGCATAATCATCGATTAATATCTGCGGATCAGATGCACATAATGTGCAGCTTCATACACCGACAGTGAAAGTGGCAAATATTGTACGGATATTGCCGTTTACATGTAGGATTGTTACCATGGGGATACGGGCTTTGAGCGGGTGCTTTGCAGGAGTCAGTGCGATCGATCCTACAGGAGATTCGTAAGGCTATGCAGCGGATGCATAAAGCAGAAGGACTGATGATAGTTTATTAGATGCTTTCAGTATACATAGATAGTGATGACTGGTGACTTGTTCGTGCGGAGTAGTCCACCAAGTCTCGGTAAAAAGGACAATTTGTGCCTTTCGCTCATGGTCAGTATGGCACGTTATTTCTAGATCTTCCGTTCTATGTCCAAAAAGTACATGTTCTGCAAATAACAAGACGGTCATTTCCATAATCAGTGAAGTCAAAGAGATCTCTAACTGATCGAGCTATTCTTGTACACTATATATAGAGTATATTTTTCCAAACCACGGGGACCTGGAATGTTACGCTCGACTACGGAATACTTGGAATCTACGGAGTACTTCTAATTGATTCCTGAAACTGCAGGCTCGAAACTACGCCACACACACACCAGCCACAACCCCGCCAAGATCCACCGCCCGCCGAGAAGAGGAAAGAGTGGATTCATCCATCCAATCCACCCATTCGTGCTGTGTCAAATCACTCTTTGGCCATTGGGCATCAGTATCCTGCCTTTCTTTCAGCCATAACCACAATCATTTGCAATCATTTGTTACAAGGCATAGCCAACTCAGTCCGCATCGACTGTTAAATATAAAGAGAAGGACAGTTAGGCCGTCGTTCTTTGACTATGAATGAGCGTTCCTTTCACTATCCCGACCCATAAGAGTTACCACCTGCAAGCACCTTTCGAGTTCTTTTCCCCCTTTCCACGCCTCACCGTTGTTCCATACCAGCAGAGAAGCAGTAGCTTTAGTGCAGCATCAGATTCCAAGTATACAATAAGAAGCACATTTGGATCGTGTCTTGCCTAGTCCTTACTCAGCCTCTTATCTGAATGGCCTCTCTCTCCCTTCAAAAAGATCGGAGATAATGTCGCCGCGCACGCCAGGGAAAGCCTCCCGCCCAGGGGCCGCCAGAAGGCGGCGTGGGAGACGGAAGTTAACCCCGAGATCGCCCCTGTCTCTCCTGGCCCAGACTCGCAAAAATAGCGTCGTGAAGAAACGTGATCGCGGCGACGTGGTCAGCAGCACCAAGACTAAACTTACGGAGCGCAGGAGTAAACCAGGGAGATCATCCAGACTGAATCTCCTTCCACTGTCGACCGAGCCAAGAGAAAAGGTGAGTGATGACAAAAACCGAGAGACCTGCTTCGGGTTTCTCTTCTGCCCTTGATAGTTATCAGTGGTTGTCGGTGTTGTAGCAGGGATCCCGATCACCCAGCCTTGATCCTTGCATTGCCTGCATATCCTAGCGCCAACTCGGGATACCAATCACTACATACATACTGACACCCGACCCGTGAACAGAACTGTTTTAGACGGGATGTATCCCCTGCAAACTACCGATTCGTCCCCAAGGGCAACATCTACATTACTCGCAATTGCCGAAAACTGACAAAGGAGTCTGGCCGGGTTGTCTACGTGGTTTATGTGAGGATACAAACCCAAATCATTCCAGTATTAGCAACTTCTTTGTACCCAGTCCCTAACCCCTTCACAGGACGATAGAGGCAAGAACACTCTTGGCCTACGTGTTCCAGTCGATATTCACGAAGCCGTCCTCCGATTAGCGGACGAAACGGCTCACTCTCGCGCTCAAGCTATTCAAGTACGTGACGAGAAAGATTCGGCGCAAGCCCGTCAGCTCTTACGCGCCCAGTTTCCCTTGATGCCTGATGAGTCACTGGACACTATCTTAGAACATGCCTTTCTCAAGGGCTCTGGTCGCGTGGGCCGGACATCCAGGTTATCAGATGAAGACAAAGCCAAGTTGGCCGTAGAGGCTCACATCAGACACACCCATACCAGCTACGAAGCACTCCTGAAGGCTGGGAAGACGCGCGGTGAAGCTCGTCAAGCGTCTAAGGAGATGGTTCAGGCTATCAGGACCGCATGGGCAGGTGGCAATGTAGAGCCAACGGATTGTTTGACTATGCGCGATCGAGTGATTGTGATTGATTAAACCCTTGTTGGCGGGTCAACCGACACAACAACGTTCAAACGAAAGCGATGCCCTATTACTGTTCATTTCTGGTATGTTGGAGACAGTACACAGATTGCATAAGGGTTAACATTACATATGTGTGAGGTCGCAACACCTCCACGATTACGGCGTTTTGCTCTTTTTACTTTGGCATTGATGCACAGCGTGATGACTACGAAGCATTCATGATTAGATTAAGCATAGAGCTTAGACACTCACGTTAATATTGAATCTGTTCTTCAAATGTCCTTCCTATCAGAAGATCGGTTGCATACCTCAAACAACAAGAGATAGAGACAGAGGAAGCGAAGAGAAGAAGAAAAGCCCACACCATCAATCATCCCCTCCCCCCCTCCTCCCAAACCCTCAACCCCCTCGACCTCCACCCAACAATCGGCTCTCCAGGCTCATAAAAGAAAATCTCCAACCTCCCACCCCTTCTATACGGAAAAAACCTCTCCTCCCTAACCCCGCCCTCCAACTCCAAAAACACACCATCCAATTCCTCCAACAAATCCCGAAATATCTCCTCCGCTGTATCCCCCCTCGACGCATGCTTACACAGCACATGGTACTTTTTCTGATTAATCGCCTTATTGGCAAACTTCCCCGTCCGGAGACTACGTCTCAGATGCTGCTTGGCTGACTTCAGTATGGCGAAGATGCAGTGCGGGTGGTGTCTGTCGATGGGGGTGTGGGCGAGAGTATCACAGTCGGGCATGTTCGAGAGGAGCGTGTCGAGGGAGAATTCGATCGTTATGAGGATGAGGTTGTCCAGTGGCGTGTAGAAGAGTTTCTTGTAGTATTCGAAGGTTATGCCGGATTCTTTGAGGCGGAGGCGCCGGGCGAGGATGGGGTCGGGATGTGGGGTGACGGGGATGGAGGGCGGGAGCGAGATTGGGTAGAATGGGTAGAGGTGACGGTCGAGGGTCGGCCAGTGGCTCATGTCTAGGTGTGGCCAGAGGTCGCGGAGGAGGGTTGGGTAGAGGAGGGTGTCCATGATTCATTCCTTGTCCTGCTGAGCAGGGGGGCTGGGATCTGGGGGTGAGGTCCCTGAGATTGAGGGGATGAGTAGTGGTAGGATGTGATTCATAGGGGTTTTATGGGAAGGGTGGTACTAGGTTGGTGCTCATGATGGGAATGGGAACTGGAGATATGTTTCTGTTATTGCTGCGGGATTCTCCAGGATAGGGCGTAGGAAGGCTCAGATCTACAAGGGTGGCTGCTCAAGGGCCAGTGCTGCTTGTTAGATACCAGAGTACTTGGCCAATGATGGTTCTCGTCTTCGTCTCCTGTACGTAAAATGATTCATCTGGTCGAGCTTGATCGGCATCTGCCATAATCTTTTGCTTGACGGTACGCCAGCTACCAAGAGTGAATGGGTCTAGAACATCCTTTCCAGGATTTCGAGGTAAAGCTGTCATGCTTAGGCTCCCCGTCATTATTAGTGGTCAGACTTGAAGTTTCAGTTAGCATGCAACAACGCCTACAGTGTCCCTTTGCTTCTGAAAATCTCCAATATCAGTCTGGACTCTGGCAATACTCGCAGGACAAGAGACGTAGGAAACCTGTGGTATGTAGTAGTAGAGTCAAATCTATAGCGCGTGTCGGTCTATAGAGCCGAGTGACGGACTCAGTCCTTTCATTTTCTGATATACTGTGTATACCCATAGGAACGATACTTTCACATGTTATATCATCTTCATACGTAGAGGCGTAAGAGCCGGATTTCTACTGATATACCCTCATCCTTGCAGATTTAGCCACTGAGGTGGAAGTACATACCAGTTTCACAGGAAAGACGTCCAAGGCCTGCGAGAACCCTTCATCTACTTGATATAGAGAACGCTAGGGGAGGTAGTATCTCAGAATACCCCATATATCTCCTCAGTTCACTGCTCATGCTCCGTACCCCAGACCCTCCACCGTAGTCAAGTTGTGACCACGCACTCCTTGTATAAAAACGGACCAGGCCGCCCTCTCGTCGAAATCTCTTCAGAGTGTACCACTACCTGATCACCTGAGAAAAGGACAAAGAAGAAAAAAAGAATTGTAAAGCCCCTGGTGGGGATCGAACCCACAGCCTTAAGATCTCATTCTAGTAGCTGCAAAGATGGTTAGTAAGGTGGTTGGGTGCAAAGGCGTGGTCGGGGTACTTGCAAGTCTTACGCGCTACCGATTGCGCCACAAGGGCTACTTGTGAATCTGCGGCATAGCAAGATTGACATCAATATGCCCATGTAAACTGATGATGATGTATCCTCAATTCCCTTGGGCGTCTGCGAGGATGCAGGTCTCCTTCGATACGGATGTTACGCGACCAAAAGATAGTAACACAAGGCTACTCCCATGGCAGAAAACCTGCTTTTGTAATTTGTGAAGAACCAGATCTGGGGGATCGAAAGGTTCTACTTCCAATCAGCGCGAGAGGCAATAGACAGAGGCTGAGTGGTTGGAACAATTAGTACAATATATACGTAAATGAGCAAATTGAAAATAGGTAAGTGAAGGATGATTCCATTAATCTGTGTGCATAATACCATTTTTATTTTCCAAAATTGTAGAAGAATATTCAATGAAGGTATGTTCAGTACTATACATCAGATCATGTAAACAGACTTCCTCATTCGATAACACTAGGGCTAGCCCCACTCTAGCCCAATGCGGAGCAGCAAAAACGTGACGGTAACTTTTCCAGGCTGGAGCCGTCCATGACTTCAGGTGCTGCAACTACTACAATTCAACCTCACTGCCACCGTTATTATGGAAGGTGCCGATATTGTTGAGTCGCCGCGCAAGCGGCTCAAGACCGATAACAACTCCGTTACCGATGATGCTGCGCTTCCTTCCTCCAACGAGGCAATTGCGCAATCGGACGCCGCTAAACTCTCCGCGGAGGAGGCGAGAGAACTCGAGGTCGGAATCACCGAGTTTGTCAGCGGCGATAATGAAGGGTTCTACGGTATCCTAAAGAAAAGGTATAACTACTCTCTGAATACTGTAATCATGCAGGCGCTTACCGACCTCTTCTACTAGATATACCGACTTCCTTGTCAACGAGATCGTACCGTCCGGCGAAGTCCTGCATCTTCACAACATCCCCACCCCGGAAGCAGAACAGGAGAAGGCTAAGCCCGCGGATACTCCCACGCCCAAACCCGCAGAAAATGATCAGCAGGAAAAGCCAGAAGGCTCCGCAGAGAAGGATGCTGCGCCAAGTGCAGAGAGCACGCCGGACTTCCAGATCCCAGAGGAAGACATGACGCTCCTTGAATCCCTGTTTGGCGAAGAATCTACCAAGAAGATTGTATCGCTGAACAAACGTGCCCTTCTCAATCCCAAATCGAAACCGAGCGACCTACCTAAGATTCCCACTCTTCTTGTCGATGACCGCGACCTGCGCATCAAGATGCACCAGGCCATCCGTCGCATCTTCAAATCGCAACTCGAGTCTCAAACCGACAGCGAAGGGATGATGGTTATTTCTGCTGCGCCAAACCGGAACAACCGTAGTGCGCAGGGCGGGCGTAACAATGCGCGCCCCCGTGTGCCGGTCAACTGGGATGAGCTGGGTGGTCCCTATCTGCACTTCACTCTGTACAAGGAGAATAAGGATACTATGGAAGTTCTCTCGTTCATCTCGCGGCAGTTGAAGATTAACACGAAGAACTTCCAATTCGCTGGAACCAAGGACCGCCGCGGTGTTACTGTTCAGAGGGCCTGTGCGCACCGTTTACATGCTGAGCGCCTCACAAAGATCAACCCTACGCTTCGCAACGCTGCTCTCGGCGATTTCGAGTATTGCAAACATGGCCTTGACCTGGGAGATCTGAATGGCAACGAATTCGTTATCAGTCTCCGTGAGTGCGATATTCCAGGTGTCGACTTCAGCAACCGTGAAACTGCTGTTGCAAAGGCAAAGGAGGTCGTGGGCACAGCACTACGGAATCTCCGCGAGCGCGGTTACTTCAACTACTTCGGTCTGCAACGTTTTGGAACCTTTGCTACCCGTACAGACACGGTCGGTGTCAAGATGCTCCAGGGCGACTTCAAGGGCGCCTGCGATGCCATCCTCCAGTACAGCCCTCATGCTCTAGCTGCTGCTCAGGAGGGCGAGAACTCGACGGCCTTGGTCAGCTCCGATGACAAGGCCCGCGCAGAAGCTATCCACATTTTTGAAACGACCGGAAACGCCAACAAGGCTCTTGAGAAGCTGCCTCGAAAATTCGCGGCAGAATCCACCGTCATGCGTCAACTCAGCCGTGCCCAGAACGACTACCTTGGTGCGCTCCAAGCTATCCCTCGTAACCTGCGGTTGATGTATGTCCACGCGTACCAGTCCTTGGTCTGGAACTTTGCCGCCGGTGAGCGCTGGCGCCTGTACGGCGACAAGGTCGTGGAGGGTGATCTCGTGCTGGTGCACGAGCACAGCGACAAGGATGACACGGCAGCTGCCGCCGCCGCGGGCGAGGTTGACGCCGATGGCGAAGTCATCATCACCCCGCAGGCGGGAGACAGCGCTTACGTCTCTGAAGGCATAACCCGTGCGCGCGCCTTGACTGCCGAGGAGGCAGCTAGCGGCAAGTACAGCATCTTCGATGTCGTTCTGACCCAGCCCGGCTACGATGTCCTTTACCCGCCCAACAAGATGACGGACTTCTACAAACAATTCATGGGCAGTGCTCAGGGTGGCGGTCTCGACCCCTTCGACATGCGTCGCAAGTGGAGGGAGGTTAGTCTCACTGGTAGCTATCGCAAGCTGCTCAACCGCCCGGGACCCGACTTCTCCTTCGACGTGCATGTGTATACTCAGGACGATGAGCAGTTTGTGCAGACTGACTTGGAAAAGCTCCAAGGCAAGAAGGCTGAGACTGAGACTTCCGGTGAAGCGACGCCTTCCTCCAACGCTCAGGAGAAGCTCGCCATTGTGCTCAAGTTCCAGCTCGGTTCGAGTCAGTATGCCACCATGGCTCTGAGGGAGTTGTCCAAGGGTAAGGTCAAGGCCTACCAGCCCGATTTCGGCAAGGGTCGGTAGACGATGGGTGTATATATAGTACAAGCTACATTTTTGTATATACTGGGTATAGATTGACTTGCAACATGATTGAACGCTACGTGATAAAGCCCATATTGTCATCGTCCATTGTAGTAAGTTTAAGTAGTATAGTAGATACGGATATCTGTTCTATCCAGAATCTGTACCGCATCTGAGAAGAGGAGTGGCAGTAGGATGCGGGGAAAGTGATAACCAGTGCCCACTGCACTCCTCGGGCTGACGTGAGGTGAGATGAGTGCCAAACTCGGAAATGTTCTGATCTCACTGGCATATAGTACTACTATTATCGCTCGACCCTTGCAAATATCCATTTATACCTCTTTCAAAATATGGGACGATCGATTTGATTAATAGTAAGACAGTGTGCCAATGAGCAAGTCCAGCGTCAGCAAGACAGTCACTTCAGGGTGTTTAGCTGTGCCACGCGGCTTGAATTGAATTCCCCGGCTCCATTCAACTAGTCACACATCCTGGTCAGGCTAAGCAGGAGTTCTAAATCAACTGTGCCTTTTCCTATCTTGATAAGTCTCATCTTATGGATTGTGAAACCACCGATAAATAGGGCTAGAATACTTGAACGACGCCTCCTTTCGTCCGCTGCTTTCCCCTTGCCCTTTTCTTCCCCGGTTGCCTTTAATACCATAACATGTCCACCCAGCCCCCATCACCACATGTAGGGGTCATTGTGAATCCGTCTGCGCGCCGTGCTGCCTGCGACCAGTGTCACACCCAAAAGCTGCGTTGTACCAAGCTGGAAGACTGCACGGTGTGCGTTCGATGTCAGCGTCTGAACCGGCAATGCATTTGGAGTCCTCCATCGCGGAGTGGCCGTCCGGCAAGGACTACTGCCAAGGAAACGCTGATGAGGCGTTCTGGTCGCTCTGAACTTACTGCGCGGGAGAAGCATCGCAAACGATCGTCTAATATTCTAGACATGACACCAGAAGAGAGCGGTCACTCGGACGGTGCGCGAGAGCATGTTCACTCCAACCCTGGCAAGACTCTCACTCCCCCTTCTCCTTCTCCTCCTGTCGAAATAGCAGAGGTACCGCCGTCATCAAGGCCTCCTTCCAGTGCAGAATGGAACATGTCCGATATTCTCACCTTTCCAAGCCCGCGTGATAGCTCACGGGAGAATCTCTTCCCCCCTTGGTGGGTATCAGATAGCGTTGTTCCTTCGATGCCCAATTTGACCGAGTATTTCCAACTGCCTGTCAATGGATCAGCAAGCCCGGGCGATCAACCCGGAATCCCCGAAGATAGAAGCGCACCCTCAGGACTCGAGTCTCTGCGCGACATTACTCGAGAGCTCTCCAACGTCAACCTGTCGTTATTGGACCTCGAGCAATCCCTCCACGCCGAGCCATGGGGTCCGATGTTCGCATCTCCAGCCGCCGTGATCACCAAACTAAGCGCCTGTGGCAGCGGTGACCAGCTGGACGGCACGCTCGCTCACGGGTATCCATTAATCGAAATATTCAAGCATACACAGCGCTTCATCGACATTGCAAAGCAAACAAGCGTTTATTTCGCATCACTGCCCACCACGTCTGCATCAACGTCGACCTCGTCCTCCACAGCCCAGCCACCATCACACCCAGACAGCAACGACACCTCAAGCCAGGGGTCATCTCCATTCTCCCGTCCAGGAGACGGGCATCTTCCGTACACTGCGTCTTCACCCAGCACGACCCGAGGAGACCGACTAGTCTGCACAGCAAGCAGCTGCGATTCACCCACCGCGCTTCTCTTCACTGCTGGCTACGCGCGGATTCTCGACATTTACCTGACCGTCCTCACACAGACGTCGAATTTTGTTCACGCACTCTCCATGCAGTCGAGGTCCGGGGGCCCGGACTATCGCCAACGAATGCACCCGGTTATCCCACCGTTGCAGTGGGGTGGATTCCGGCCCGCAAATTACGGTGCCTTGCAGATCTTAATGATCATCCAGGTGATCTCCTATCTCCTCACAGAGGTTGAACGGGCCCTTGGCATCGACGAGTGGGAGCATGAGGTGATGATGCGCGAGCAATCCCAAGCTGCGGAGAGGAGATCCCACTCTTATCCTCAGGTGCATGGGCAGTCCTGTCGAAGTGATGATTTCGAGGGAGACCGTGTTGTTCGAACTCGGAGGAGGTTGCTCAGCCCTGCTATGATTGAGCTTGTCGTTAAAGGGGAGGAGTCAGGAAACAATGACTGCCAGAGGGGGAAGATTGGGGCGTTGCGGAGAGAACTCCGACAGCTGAAGGAGGAGATTGAGAATAGTATGCACATTTAGATAGTAAAGTCTACTTACTACTCTTGGTTGTCTGGTAATTAGCACAATTGAAAACAGAATATATCTCTCCAAACGGGAAAGTAAGCCAGACCTTCCATGCATTGAAACTCATAAGCATTGCGTAGATGAGTGAATGAAGTAAAACTCTACCGATGCCGCACCGAGAGTATGTGCTGACGCCGTACAACTCTTGCAATATAGGGATATTAAGACCAAAATGTCAAGAAAGCCTCACAACACCTGCACAAAAAGTCACAAACCATTCATCAATCCAAGGGAAAGAAGTTGGTTTATACGGTTGGAAAGTGATTATTGGCTTTGTTTTTGGCTTGTTGGAGATCGATGTTCATATTGAGAGTGAAATTGTCAGTAGATGCCGAGATACTAGTGTAAAGGAACCAACACTGCTACTGCTTCCCCTTGATATCAGTCACCTCCCACTGCAGTCCTGCCTTCTCCAGCCGCTGCACGTACTGAATCCCCAACGAAGCCGGGGTAAGAATCCCACCCCCCAATCTTTTAACCAATGACACCTCTTCTTCCTTCCTTTCCAGAATTTGCAGCAAAGTCAACCCCGCTTCACTGACCAGTGTAGCACAAACACTATACACATCCGTGTCCATGCGCATGACACCCAACACGCTCGGTTCTCCGCCTCTATCAGCCGCCTCAACCGTGGCCTTCCATTCTACGAAATGCTTCTCCCCATGTTTCAACTGCGGTCCTTTCCCCGGCTGCGGGGCTAGCCACCTCAGCAGCGACCGGAGAGGTGGAAGCAGCACGATCCAGACCAGCGCGACAGACATGACGAGGAACGAAGACCACGCCTGCAGCCAGCCCGACGCGGCGGTATAGCCATGGTAGCTGAATCGGTCACCATATCGCTCGGCGGGGTCCCCGTACCGCTGGAGGAGTGACCAAGTGCGCATGACGACAAGTTGGTCCGCTACTGCGGAGGGGTTGAAGGTGAGGTCGCCGAGGAAGCGATTCCGTTGGACGGGGAGCTTCGGAGCGGTGGGATGAGGCCGATGCGGTCCAGCGTCGGGAATACAGGATGCAAGTGGTGAACTGGCGGCCATCATCTGGCGGGGAGAGTATGTTTCTAGGCCGGCGAGGATGCTTTCAATGGCGCCTCTGCTGTGGCCGGTCCAGGAATGGTGGATTGCGAAGAGCACGGGCCCTAGAGGTTGGCGGATTCGTCGTGATAGAAGGAGTGTCATTAGGTCTGGGGGACTTGCTGCGACGGCGCAGTGGGGGATGATCTGTTCTTGTTAGAATATCTTCTTTTTCTTTTGTATATTGTTCTTGGGGCGGGAGGGGTACGATTGCTCTGTTGGCGATCGCCTTGTCGTGCCACTGTGCTGCCAGCTGCTGCGTCCAGACGGGTTCCCCTGTGCTATCCACATACGCGGTGGAATGCTCAATACAGGCTGCTACAACAGGTGTCCCGTATTTGCAAAAAGGCTATATACTGCCTGTCAGTTATCACTTTGACGTTAAGTTGGTACTAGACAGCAAAGAACATACTCCGACTGTGTTAAGCACAAGGCGTGTTTGGGAGGCCATGTACCTCAAGTCCTTGTCGCTATTGATGGCCACCATGATATGAGGCAGCTGATGGAGGGAATTGGATCGATCCAAGGAGTCGACGAGAGTCGTCAGCTTCTGCTCATTGCGTCCAGCAACTGCCCATCGGAGGGTTGGTGGACCATGAGTCCACAGGTACTGCACCACCAGCGAGCCAACGTAGCCGGTAGCACCATAGACAATCAAATCATATGGGCGGTTCATCTTGCCACAATACCTCAGTGACAATAATTGAAGTAGGAGAGTTGTTGTGACCGAATGTACCCATTAAATAAATGCATGATGAAGGAGATGGCGCTCCTCTCTGCTAACCATTTCGGGAAAAACCCTCCGAATATGCGCATCTGAACTACATCACTGTTGACATACAAGAAGTATTTCTGAGAAATATATATGGCGACAATCATACTACCAAATGCCCTGTGTCCCATGCTGAAGTTGTCTGTTTTATTATTGCTGTATCACCGTCTATGTTGTAAATTTCCCTTCTATCGGTGCGTTTTGACCTAACTGGAAATTCACCGAAGCCGAAACATCAATACTATTAAGTTATTTCAATCATACTTAGTCCCATCGACGCTTACTATGTAACCAATGCGGGCAGGTGCCGTTGGTATCAGAGCCTGGATAAATTATCCTCTCATGTCCGTAGATTTAATTGTTACTACTTCAGGAGAATTCAGACGATTGCCCTAGAACACGCATAAAGCCCTAATTACAGTCGACGAGCATAGTAACCTAGTTAATCTGTTACAGCCACGAGACTCCCTGGAAGGAGAAAAGATATATAGCTAAGCTAGGCTGAAGCCTTCTCTCTTCCGATTAGAGATAGCTTAGTGGTACGTCTGTAATAGTATGAGCAGCTGTGAAAATTGCTAGTTCATCTACAAGAGTTTCCAGATCCCCCTGGCGCTAGTGCTCTTCAGATATAAATTGAAAGAACCATACATCTAGACTGCATTGGCACACCCATTAGTCATCCAGTTAAAAAAAAAAAGATAAACCAAATTCTTGAGCCCATCGCCATCATCGGCAGCTGACACCTTGAGTTCCTGAATCATTCGCCAGCCTCCATGGCTATACTGCCTATGTAGTGTCTTGAGTGATACCCCCCTTACTGCTATACAATCACGTGTATCGGGTGTCATCGACCGGCGACAGACCTCTTGAGAGCCTGGATGTTTTCTCCTTTATCAATTGAGTTTGTAGCTGATTTTGTAGCTTTGAAATCTGTCCCTTGATTAGGGTTCTGGTTAAGAACATCAGATACGATATTTACATCACATAACCTCCCAAGGACTTCACAACGATCAAAGGATTTGGCAACCATTCTCTCATGTCCGCAATCCGAAAGCTCAGCGAGTCGACCTACATTTTCTAGACATTCAAGACCACACACTGGATGGCATTGACAGAGTTTCACAGGGTCGAGATGGCACCCCCCGAGTTAGATCTCAATGCCCGGCCCCCGTGCTATGGGCTGGGGACTCTTGAGACACTCCCCCTTGAAGTCGTCCACTTGACGCTCATCCAGCTGGACATGCAGTCCCTGATTGATTTTCGACGCGTCAATAGAAGGGCACGGCAGGTCGCGGACTCAGTCCCGCAGTTTAGACATATCCTGGCTCAGGTACCAGCTTCGATACGTGCCAGCCTTGGCCTAGAAACAGCTCGATACTTTTCATGCCAGGAATTGTACCAGACACTAGGCACAGCTGAGTGTGAGAGTTGTGGTGATTTTGGTGGATATCTGTATCTATTGACATGTCGTCGCGTTTGCTTTCTCTGTTTCACCGAGAAACCTGACTACCTTCCCCTGTCACGGAAAGATGTTATTCGCAAATTCGGACTGGGATCTGCACATATAGCACTGCTACCTCGCATGAGGAGTCTGCCACGCTGCTACTCACCCAGAGAGATTAAATGTCGGCCGCGAGAGACCTTATTCGATCATGTTGCCGCTCGACAGGCTGGAATCACCCTTCATGGGTCACCTGATGAGATGGAAAGATACACCTCGGCAACTGTCCTTGAGAGACGCGAAGCCTACAGTTCACGAGTTTCCCTTCGCAGATCAGCCACCAGGCGCCTGCGGCCGCCCAGATCTGAAGATCCTTTTGATGGGTGCTCCTCTAATCCCAGGCGTTTCATGGGGATCATACGTGCTCCGTTCCTCTACGGCCAAAAATTCTCGCCTGAGTGGGGATTCCACTGTCTAGCTTGCAAGCCTCATCATTATTGTCAACTACTCCACTGGCGTCGCTTGTACACATCTGAAAGTTTTCAAGGCCATATCTCAGAATGCGGACCGATAATAGATGGGAAACACGTTGGAAAGTAGCCAGCCACAGTCAGGGCATAATCTAACAAAAGAGCTCCTATAATCGGGCATTTCGCCTTCTTCATCTCCTACAGTCCTTCTATCTGCGCATCTCGTCCGTGCCAGGCTTCATCCAAGCAGCAATCCAGCGACAACCAGGCCCTGGATACGGCCTTTCGGTTTAATACAACCACAGGCCATCCCGAGCAGTTCATTTTTCCGTAGGGAAGGGTTCAAGCTCGAAAGAAGACTCATCGCCAATAAATAGTGACAGAATGATTGTGGTATTCATGCTAAGTTTCTGTACTGCTGTGATCATGCGTTTGACCTCAACAATGGTGAGACCTTGCAAGCCTCCGTCCGCACTTTGTGCTCTGCTACCATACCTATACTGGCTACGTAGAGATCAAAGTGCATGCTGAATGCGGGAATAATAGTGGCTGGCCTGCTAAGCCGACATCTAGCCTTCCGTCGTTATCTATGGTGTGAAGAAACAGTGTACAGTGCGACATGGCTATGCAATGATATATATACTAATGATACATGGCCCATCAATGAGCCAAGCGGACTCGTGACACTCATCAGTCTAGACCTCCGCTCAACGGGGTTTGGTGTTCAAGGGAAGGGGCGGTGGCGTCGGGGCTGACCCGGCGACAGGCGTTGAACGCATTCCCGCCTTCTTCGGCGGAGGAGGCGGCGGAGGAGCCTTTCTTTTACTCAACGTATCTGTGTCAAGACTGGATGTCGAACTATTTGCATTCGGGTGAGGTGGCACCGGAGGTACTTGAGTGCTTGGAGTCTTCTGGTCGTCGAAAAACTTGTTGACTCTTTGAGAAATCCCGTACTTCTCATTTAGCCCATTCAGCTTCTGTTTTCCCGCTTGGATCTTGTCATTATGCCTCTCCCGAAAATCACTGACTGTAGAGGAACCACTTCTGGGCTCAGGTGTTGATACAGACTGGGCCGTACTGCCATTCGTATATGTTCGCGCTGGCGGCGGCGGAGGAGCAGGAGAGTTCGACGAGGAGGTCCTCAATTGTGAAAATCGGGTTTGCAATTCGTTCACCGGTGCTTGACCGACGGCGCCTGCAACTGCTGGAGACGCAGTACTAGGAGAACTGCTATCCCTTCCCCACTGACCGGCACTATTACCTATTCCAAGTGCAGGTACTGACACACCAGCTTGGGCAAGGCGGGAAGTAGCGCCTTGGTTTATGTATTCTTCGGCATGCGAGGGTGTCTGCGAATGGGGGGAATAAGCTGGGGGTGGGGTAGGCGGATGCGGGGATGGGGTCGAATTGTTGCGAGACGGAAGTCGCGGCGGAAGATTGGGTTTGGGTCTGGAACTGGGGGGTGGTATGGGATCTGCTGGAGAACCCATGCGTCTGACTGGGGGCGGCGGAAGGTTGGAAGTGTCCAGACCCGTCCGATTCGCACGATATGGCAGCGGTGGGGGTGCTGGCTTTTGAGCAGCCTCCTCCTGTAATTGCATTTGTTGTTGCTGCTGTTGCAATTGAGCATTTTGATGATCGATCTGTTCTTGTGGCAACGGAGCACCTAGTCCTCTCCGATCCGGCGTTGTCTCATTCGGCAGAGCGGCAGCGCCATGATATTTGATATGCTTCGGCGGTGGTCCAAAAGATGCTGGGTCCTTGAGCGAAGAAAGAGGCACCGCAACATGCTCCTCACGATCGTTAGTGTTGTCCTTCCCCTTCCCCATCCATCCTGCCTAGAATGAGGTAATTTCACATCAGCTAGTGGCCTGATAGGAGCCGGGGGGTGGAAGACACTAACCACTTGGTTTATGCCTTTGAAGTCATTCCTCCAACTTTCCTTCTTTCCGTCCTTACCCTTAGGGTGCCAGCCCTCTTTCATGACCCCCTTGAAGCCACTCATGATCTGTAACAGCGGCGTTGAACCAGCAAATGAGTTGTTTCAGGGAACTACTAGGTAGTTGCAATGACGCCGATCCGACCGGGACCGGAGAGATAAGAAGAGCGAGGCAGTGCCGTGCCACTAGTCTCCTTTCAGCAAGCGGTCCGCGTTCCACCCCGCGCCTAACCGGATCCGGCCATCTCCAATTTCTGGGGTCATGTGATGGCCATTCGCTGGATTTACGAACTGCTTCAAGTCATGCATTTCCCTTGCTTACTCCTCTTACATGCTTGAACTGCATAACTAACTTATTTTCGTCCATTCTCGTGCCATAAACACACCGGCTGGTCACCCGGAGTATGTGACGATCTCACATCATCCCCCGGGGTCTCCCTATGCCGTAGTATAACTGGCTGCCTGCGATGGTCAAGGATCCTTTGGCCCCCATGTCGGGGCCACGCAACGCTGCTACGTCTTCGGTCTCTCAACGCGACGAGCTAATGCGTCGATCAGACTAGCGGGCCGATGATTGGAGCTAAGTCACTCCCTCTCAGGGCTACTAAATTCGCGGCCCTATGAGCACCATCCCACCTCGCAGCCAGAGGAAATTATTGTTTGGATGCCTGCTAGGCGCCTTGTCTTTCATGTCTCATAGGGCGGATATTTAAACGGTCCCGGTCCACGACAGCGCTAGATGGAACCCCCCTCCCATACTAAAAAGCCTGTCAATGTCGGCGCCTATCGTAATTACTTACTAACTGAGCCTCGGGGAGGAGTGGCTCGTCCGTTGTTTCGTCTCTGTTGACTAACGGATGCGAGATGCATGCGTGTCGTCCTGGATGGTGGGCAGCGCTTCGTGCTGTGCCGCCAACTTCACTGCTGATTGGCAGTGAGCGACCCTCCGTCCGAATCTATACTTGGTACCCTCAGTAGTCCTTCACTAGGAGCTGCTGCGCCATGTCAGCCTTCCTTTGTGTTAGCTTGGGCGATATTCTTTCCCCATCTTTATTTCCTGGGCAGGATCCGTGCTTTTCTTTCATTTCTCCCCGTATATTCTCATTCCTCACATACGCATAGGCGTGTATAGGCTCTTTGTTTGCCCTGTGACTGGCATGCCTGGGTGTTCCCGACGTACATTAGTATAGGAAGCCTTTTCAACAAGAGCCTGCAGAATCAGCCTGAGGGCTTTCATGTGGTAGGTGCATGCTCATACTATGATTATCAAAAGTCCCATTGTTTAATCATGCTATAGTCGAGTCCAGCATATTCCACCTTGTTTCATTAAATTATCGCCCTTCTATAGGGCCACTACATTCCTTAAACATTATCACCCACTGCCCACCTTCCTTTGTATCTCGGCACAACGCACATATAAAGCCCCCATTGTTCTGCACCACCACGTAGGCGGGTTAAAATCAGTCGAGAACAGAATTTGAGCATTGGCAATATGGCCGGCATAGGCGGAGGCTCTAACTACGGCCCAGGCGGGGATTCAGAATTTACCACCCAAAACCCATGGGGATCGGAGCGCACCACTACAGCAGAGTACTATCCTGGAGAAACCACCAGGACCACTACCCAGCAATGGACTCCGATCACCACCAGCGAATCAAGCTCGCAACCCACCACCACCACCGCAACTACGACCCATTTATCCTCAACCTCCTCGAGTACCTCCACCACCGCTGTTAAAAGCACCAGCAGCGCCAGCAGTTCCTCCAACAACACCAAAACCATCGCTATCGCCGTTCCCGTCGCCGTCGTCGGCGCAGCAATCATCGCAGCCCTACTATTCTTCATCCTAAGACGCAGGCGTCAACAACGCACCCGCTCCATCATACCACAAACCAACAATGACAACCCCCCAGTCAGCATGGGTGCAGTCCCCCGCCAAGTACGTTCACCTCCACAACGACGACCACAGCAAGCAGCGAACGGCGCAACTTGGGAGTTTGCACCCACCAATTCCCACGACATCCCTTTCACAGGTCCCATCCCAGGTCGGCCCGTCCCAGAAGAAACTGAGCATATCATACCTACCAACAATCAGCCCCGCAACTTTAGCCCACCAACTACAAATAATCACAACTTCCATACCGCCGCTACTGCCGCCGCAGCAGCAGGAGCTGGAACAGCAGCAGCAGCAGCAGCAGCAGCAGAAGTCCCCAACAGAGACAACAACACCCACGAGAGAAGCCCCCAATCTACCATGCCAGCCGTCTGGCCCTCCCCCGAAGCAAGACTCGACCGTCCAATATCGCCCTTCGATCATCCACTCGACGACGCCGTATCTGAGATATCGCGCCGATCGTACACCCACGCTAGGGATATGGATGATGTATCGTCTGTATCGTCATTTGAGGATGATGAGCGGAGACCGGCTATGCATCGTTGAGATACCCAATTCTAAGTCATGGCTTTTGTAATTCCCTTGTTTCGTTATTTAGCAGGCAACTGTCGCTTCTGTTTAGGAGGGTGGAGATACCAAGTCGCTACTCATTCGCTTTGCATAGTCTGTCTATTTCTTGTCTCGTTTTGTTAAGATACGTACGTACGTACGTGCGTGCATACATACATACCCACTCTCGCTTTTGTACATACATGCATCTTGGTATCTGGAATCCGGACTCTAGTATTTTGATGGACGAAGGGATGGGATACTGCTTGTGAAGGCGTTCATAGGACAGTAGATGAAACAAAAATAATTGGATAGGAAGCCGCGCTTATTTTATCATGACACTGTTCAGAGACATTTTAAGCTTGTGTCATTACCAGTAGTACTATTAATATGTATCCTGTATTCAACATCGATGCGGAGTAAAATGTGGGTGACAGACCTGAAACTTACTAATAAGATTACTGGAGATGTACGAGGTCTCTCAGTCAAGCATGTAGTCTCCGCTAGTACTCATTGAATTCCTGTCTTTCCCTATATTCCCAATGTTAAGGGGATACAGTAAGCTACGACCACAGAAGCTGCTATTACTCAAAAGCACACGCCAATATGTCGATCCATCTCCCTGATCACGAGCTCTAGGCTCAACTGCATGACTTTGATGATGATCACAGAAAGAATACGAGAGATGTGCGTTCTGACCCGTCAGGCTCAGAATCCTCGTCTGGGGCCAAATGGCTCCCTAGGCAACTTCTTGCTGCGAGGAGTCAATTACAACCTCGAGTGGGACGTAGGGCGATGTTTGGTAGATTCGTTTCTCTACAAACTAACAGTACTTCCTACTACGTACCTATCTACTTGACTTCTGGCCAATGAGGGCACAGCTGCCGCATTTGTCGAGTCAATGATGGTTGAGTGATGTCAGCTGCTGAGTCAGCCCCACGAGTCATGTTGCAGTCACGGGATCCACCCAACTGCTTCTGGAAGGCCGGAAATCAACTTGTTGGAGAAAACCAAAACCCAATGAAATGGGATGGTTGTCACTTCCGCCCGGTTGATGTCATGCCGTTTTAAGGCGACTCAATTCCTTGCTGGTTGTTGCGCATGGTGATTGATAAGAAAGGAAGTGTATTGGGGCAATGGGGGACTATCTGTAGCTGAATGGGAGATGTTGTACCACTGGTTTCATGCGGTTGAGAGTAATTGCGGAGGGTGATGGTTCGGCTTGTCGAGGCGGAGAAATATCCAGTGATCCCGGGCAGGTCATCATATGTGAGATCTTATATCATCTCCAAGACTCCAACAAAGGCAGTCTGCTTGTATAGGATGAGGATGACTTCCTTCGAGGGGCCCCAACCCCTATGCAATTTCCAATGCCAATCCATCATCTTCATCAGCATCTGTTCACATTTCACAAGCATGCCAGAGCTCTCCAGTAACGCTTTGTTGGGCCGAGGCTTGAAGGTCGCCGAGTTCCCAACAAAACGCTGCGCGGCTCCACTCGCCGCGATCATCGCGACTCTCATTGATCCACGGTCCAGCTGCAATCCGGAGATTGACTGACCTCAATTATGAATTAATCACTGCGGCCTTGCTTTAACTCCTTGTCACCAGCGATCACCGTTCGTTCGACCAACCGTTTCCAATCCTCCTCCTCCTCTCCTCTCCTCCACGCTCTCGTAAGGTTTTGGTCGCGCCTTACAATTGCTGCGTATCCCCAGTTCACAGCGGGATTTGCGCGCTCCCCTCCAGTCGTCCGAGTGGACTTGGCCTGGAAATTTTTCTGGTGATTTTCTTCTTTCCGGCTCGGACTAACACAGACTTGTCCCACTCGTCCTCTACGCCATTTATTCTTAAAGAGTCGCCGCTCAATTCTCATCCTCTTCCCTCCTGATCCTTCCTTCTATCTCCCCATCTGTATCTTTTCACCTTATCGTCGCGTCGTCTCAAGTCGCACGAATCGCGTCCCGACCATGTACGACTTCACCGTCCACGGCGAGGCGAACCCAGCCGTCATTCGCGTCGGCCTGCCTCCTTCGTCCCTCTTGAAATTCCCTCCCAGCGAGCTCCCGGCAACCGTCCCCGCTCCTGTGATCTCCGAGCCGACATGGAACCAGCCCTTCAACATCCCGCCGAAGCTCTACAACCAGCTGTTGGACGTGCGCGTTCCGATTACAATCGCGAGTGTGTACGCTGTGACGGTGGTCCTCGTCAATCGCCTTAACAAGAGTCGGGGCTACAAGCCTTACGGATTCAGCCAGACGCGTCTCTTCAAGCTTTTCGTCATCCTCCACAACGTTTTCCTGGCTATTTACTCAGCATGGACTTTTGCGGGCATGATCCGTGCGTTCCGCAGCTCATGGCCCAGTCGGGATGATCCCAACTACGTCGCAGCTGTTGCCGATACGCTGTGCAAGATCAATGGACCCCGGGGTTACGGTAACGCGGCTACGTACGACACTACCGTTGACCAGTGGACCTTCCGCAACCCCGAGTTCAGTCTGGCTGCAGGAGGTGTCCCGGACCCCTCCGATCTTGGTCGTCTCTGGAATGAGGGTCTGGCCTTCCTCGGCTGGATCTTCTACCTGTCCAAGTTCTACGAGGTCCTTGACACCGTCATCATTCTGGCCAAGGGTAAGAAGAGCTCGACCCTGCAGACGTACCATCACGCCGGTGCCATGATGTGCATGTGGGCGGGTATCCGTTACGTCGCAGCTCCTATCTGGATCTTCACCTTGGTCAATTCTGGAATTCATGCTTTGATGGTATGTGAAGCGCGCCCCGTATTGTGTTTGGTTTGTTGCTCATATGTTCTGACCGTCAAATGCAGTACACCTACTACACTGTGACTGCTCTGCGCATTCGCGTCCCCACCGTGATCAAGAGATCCTTGACCACCATGCAGATTACCCAGTTTGTCATTGGCTCTGCTATGGCTGCCTCCTACCTGTTTTTCAGCTACACTCTACCCGTGGGCCAGACCGCTCCGGCCTCTCCTGTTGACACCCCGACTGTGCCGGCGGGTACTGCCGGTGCTGGACTTGTGCCATGGCTCAAGAAGCTCGGGTTCCGCGCTGCGGGCGCGGAAGGTATTGCCGAGAACGTGGGCGTCCCGGAGGCTGCTGCTGGTGTGCGCGTCCTTCATGTCGGACCGATGGTTACCTGCATGGACACCAGCGGCCAGGGTTTCGCCATCTGGCTCAACGTGATGTACCTTTTGCCTTTGACCTACCTCTTTGCCCGGTTCTTCGTTCGTTCGTACCTCTACCGCAAGGAGCCCGGTCCCCGGCAGCCGACTCAGCTGCACGCCGCTGAGAAAGCCGGAATGGATGCTCTGCGAGGTGTGAGCCGCGAGATTCGCAAGGCCGTTGAGGTGAACGGAGAGACCAGTGAAGCTACCGAAGATGAGGCGGTGAACAAGATCCAGGCCCTCCGGGCAACGAAGAACCAGCAGAAGCCTGCCGAGAACTCTCCTATTCGCACCCGCGCAACTGCTGCCAAGCAGAAATCGCGTGTCGCGGGCAGCGATGCCGACTCCGACTCGGGTTTCTCGACCGTCAGCAGCAAGAAGGGTGCCAAGAAGGCGACTAAGGAAGAACTGCAGAGCTCTACCATTGTCGTGGACCCCAAAGCCTCTAACCCGTACGAGGTTCTGGATCGCTCGGCATAAATCTCCGGCGGCACTGGTTATGGGTGACTTGTCTGGAACCCGAAATCAGTCTAGAAGGAATAAAATATTTTTACGAAGATCAAACCGGGGCTGCATAGCATGTCGCCTCGGCCCGAATCGCTACATCGGCCTCCATCGTGGCGGTTCGGGGATGTACGATACGTCGGTCGGTTTCCCAGGATTCCTCGACCATCCTGCATCTTGCAGGACCCGCAGTTTACCCCCGCCGGGCCCGGGTTGTTCCCTATCTGATGGCTCAGTGTATCCGAAGTGGTCGCCGTTAGACTAGCAGCCTATCCACGGGCCCGGTTGCATACGGTTTCCTAATGTACTTTGCTTCTCTTGAACAGCTTCTCTTGGATTATTTGTCTTCTCTGTTTCACCTCTGCTGTTCATAATCATTCCCCGTTTACCTTCAGATAGATTTCTATTTATCGTGTGTGTACATACTTCTTTTTTGGGAACCTCATCCACCGCTGGAGATGGAGGCTGTTGGTTAAGGTGTCGGGACGGAATTGGAAAAGTTTTTGTAATTTACTCGACAGAAACAGCTTGGAATTGACAGTTTCATTATATTATTCGAGTCTCTAATAGCCTTCTCGTGGTAGATTTGTTGGAACTGATGGTGGTGTCGTGGTCATGTGCGCGCTGTCTAATTCTGAGTTGCAATCCTGATCCCGCCATCATCATCCTCTGCCGTGTTTACGACCATTCCCATCTCGAGTCTCGTCACAATTCTTATAAGAAATACAACCTGTTTCATCAACGGATGACCTCACTCAACGGAAGCTCATCCAATTATCTCCTTCCAACTTTCGAGAATACGTTTGCTCGCTTTGTCCTTGGGTTCTGTGATCAAGGGTAACGGGGTGTTGCTTACCTCGGCACAGCATCACTGCGTCAAGACAGGCATTTATCGAGCCATCCGATTCCCCCACAGGAAAATTGCACCCCGACAATCACTCTGAATGGAGGAAAAACCCGGCCTGGTTTCCCCACAGACCAGGTTCACCCCACATTGGCTGACACCTCCGCCGGACTTGTGCAGTGCAAGCTTGAGTCTACAATGGTTTGGGTCCCTGGGTGTACTCCACCACGAACCCTGTCTCATGTCCTCATTAAGCTAGCACTATCGGCACCCTTTATCATTGGCTCTTCGGCCTTCCTGGCCTTTCGAAGGAAGGTGTAGCCTAGTCCTCTTCATCTAATGAACGAGAATTCTGAGCTCGCTTGGCAGTCGTTAATTTCATGACAGAGCCATTGTGGATAGTGTCATTCGGACTTACGCTCTCAGAAACTTTCGGAAATAAACTTGAGTTTATGGATTCTACGCCACTAATTCAGCTAGACAGCGGGGCCTGAAGTCATGAGAGTTATGATGCTAAACATTTTTCCTCGATTGAACGCGGGCTATAAATTAGACCTTATGGCCCGGAGTGTCAAAGATGGGTAATCCTGACAGGCATTCATCCCTGCTCCTACATCAGGTCAGTGCAGGGAGCAACCATGACGCGGATCACCAAGTTATGCGTTCTCCTACTCTCCAGTATAGGTCTTCTGGCCGCTGCCCAGAACCAGACGGAGACTGGGTGGCCACTTCACGATGATGGCCTGACCACAGACGTCCAGTGGGATCATTACAGTTTCAAAGTCCATGGTGAGAGGATCTTTGTCTTCTCTGGCGAATTCCATTACTGGCGCATTCCAGTCCCTGGCCTATGGAGGGATATTCTTGAGAAGATTAAAGCTGCAGGCTTTACGACTTTCGCATTCTACTCGAGCTGGGCGTGGCATGCCCCGAATAATCACACAGTTGACTTCTCCACGGGTGCTCGCGACATCACGCCCATTTTCGAACTCGCAAAGGAGCTTGGGATGTACATCATCGTCCGCCCGGGTCCCTACATCAATGCGGAAGCCAGTGCAGGTGGCTTTCCTCTGTGGCTGACGACTGGCGACTATGGAACGTTGCGCAATAACGATTCGCGGTACACCGAAGCATGGAAGCCATACTTCGAGAAGATGACAGAGATTACTAGTCGCTACCAGATTACGAATGGCCATAATACGTTTTGCTACCAGATTGAGAACGAGTATGGCGATCAATGGCTCAGTGACCCGAGCGAGAGGGTTCCCAACGAGACAGCCATCGCCTACATGGAGCTTCTTGAAAGTAGCGCTCGTGAAAACGGTATTCTTGTGCCATTCACGGCAAATGACCCGAATATGAATGCCATGGCTTGGAGTCGCGATTGGTCCAACGCTGGAGGCAACGTCGATGTCGTGGGCTTGGATTCTTATCCTTCAGTAAGTGGCTTGTCGCTATTGATTGAAACTCGGCTCAGCTGACTTTCCAAGTGCTGGACTTGCGATGTCAGTCAGTGTACGTCCACCAATGGCGAGTATGTAGCCTACCAGGTTGTCGAATACTATGACTACTTCCTCGATTTCTCGCCAACAATGCCGTCGTTCATGCCCGAATTCCAGGGTGGCTCGTACAACCCCTGGGCTGGGCCCGAGGGTGGCTGCGGCGACGATACTGGAGTGGACTTTGTCAACCTCTTCTACCGGTGGAACATCGCCCAGCGAGTGACCGCCATGAGTCTCTACATGTTGTATGGAGGAACGAACTGGGGAGCGATTGCTGCGCCTGTCACGGCCACTAGCTACGACTATTCTTCCCCCATCTCTGAGGACCGCTCCATCTCGTCCAAGTACTACGAAACCAAGCTGCTGTCATTGTTTACACGCAGTGCACGAGACCTGACAATGACTGACCTCATCGGTAATGGAACGCAGTACACCAATAACACTGCTGTCAAAGCGTACGAACTGCGAAACCCTACAACCAACGCTGGATTCTACGTCACGCTTCATGAGGACTCAACTGTCGGCACTAACGAGGCGTTCAGCCTGCGCGTCAACACATCCGCGGGTAATCTGATCGTCCCCAGGCTCGGAGGCTCAATCCGTCTCAATGGCCATCAATCCAAGATTATCGTTACTGATTTCACTTTCGGCTCGGAGACCCTTCTGTACTCTACGGCCGAAGTCCTCACTTACGCTGTCATTGACAAGAAGCCCACCCTCGTCCTTTGGGTTCCGACAGACGAGTCCGGAGAATTCGCAGTGAAGGGCGCAAAATCCGGGTCTGTTGTATCGAAGTGTCAAAGCTGCCCTGCGATCAACTTCCACCAACAGGGCGGTAACCTCATCGTCGGATTCACTCAGTCCCAGGGAATGAGTGTTGTCCAGATTGACAACGACATCCGAGTGGTCCTACTGGACAGGACTGCGGCTTACAAATTCTGGGCTCCTGCTCTAACAGAGGATCCCCTTGTTCCGGAGGATGAGGCGGGTAAGAAATCCCAACAGACTCCTAATATTTCGAGTAACGAGCTAACCCACGAGTAGTTCTTATCCAAGGCCCGTATCTCGTTCGCTCTGCCAGCCTGGAGAAATCAACACTCGCAATAAAGGGCGACTCCATCAATGAAACCGCTGTGGAAATCTTCGCGCCTGAGAATGTCAAGACCATCACATGGAACGGCAAGCAGCTAAAGACTTCCAAATCCTCATACGGTAGCCTCAAGGCCACAATTGCTGCGCCTGCATCCATTCAATTGCCAGCGTTCACTTCGTGGAAAGTCAACGACAGCCTGCCGGAGCGCCTTCCGACATACGATGCCTCCGGTCCCGCGTGGGTTGGTCAGTACATCCTTTACTTCAACCCCTTTAACTCAATACTGACTAGTCCTCCCAGATGCAAACCACATGACAACCGCCAACCCCAGCAAGCCTGCCACACTGCCAGTCCTATACGCAGACGAATACGGTAAGCCAATTCTCTCCCATTCCCTTCCTAACAAACAAAGCCAAATACTAACCCGACAGGCTTCCACAACGGCGTCCGCCTCTGGCGCGGCTACTTCAACGGCACCGCCAGCGGAGTCTTCCTGAATGTCCAAGGAGGCAGCGCATTGTAAGCCCCATTCCCCCCTCCCACCTTTGCACAATCACATCTAACAACAAATCAAGCGGCTTCTCCGCCTACCTAAACGGCCACTTTCTAGGCTCCTACCTTGGCAACGCCTCCATCGAACAAGCCAACCAAACCTTCCTCTTCCCGAACAACATCACCCACCCAACCACCCAAAACACCCTCCTGGTCATCCACGACGACACCGGCCACGACGAAACCACCGGCGCCCTCAACCCGCGCGGCATCCTCGAAGCGCGCCTCCTTCCCTCCGACACCACTAACAACAGCACCTCCCCCGAGTTCACCCACTGGCGCATCGCCGGCACCGCCGGCGGCGAGTCCAACCTCGACCCCGTCCGCGGCGCCTGGAACGAAGACGGCCTGTACGCCGAACGAGTCGGATGGCATCTCCCCGGCTTCGACGATAGCACATGGTCCAGTGTATCATCGTCTTCGAGTCTATCCTTCACCGGGGCGACGGTCAAGTTCTTCCGGACTACGATTCCCTTGGATATCCCGCGTGGCCTGGACGTATCCATCTCATTTGTGTTGGGTACCCCGGACAATGCACCTAATGCGTATCGGGCACAGCTGTTCGTCAACGGATACCAGTATGGACGATTTAATCCGTATATTGGGAACCAGGTGGTGTTCCCGGTTCCCGTCGGGGTGTTGGATTATACTGGGGAGAATACGATTGGGGTGGCGGTGTGGGCGCAGACGGAGGATGGGGCGGGGATCACGGTGGATTGGAAGGTGAATTATGTGGCGGATAGTTCGTTGGATGTGAGTGGGTTGGAGACCGGGGAGTTGAGGCCGGGGTGGAGTGCGGAGAGGTTGAAGTTTGCTTGATTTAGTTATGGGTATATTGGTGTATAGTTAAAAGGTGAATTAAGGTTCTTGTTGATTTGGTTTTGGTTGTATGTCGTTGGTAGTTCAAATCGTATTTGAGGATCATGTCTACTTCATGGAAGTACTGGAGTTGATTAAGTGGTCTTGGAAGTTCTGGTGGATAAGTAACAGGTGATTAGGGTTCTTAGTGACTGTACTATTTGGTAGGATGTTGTATTCCAAACCACGTTGTATAGTAGATCATGTCTTCATTCTATACCCAAACATAATAAATTCTCACATCGTAATGCATCGTGCATACTCGTCATGATAGCCAGCTAATTACGTGACCCAAAATCTGATGAATGCTGTGTGCAAAGGTATACTACCGAACCCATAACCATAACCATAACCATAACCCGCTCGGGGGTATAAAACAAACCATAACAATCCGTAGTCCTAACAAAACAATCTAAACCAAGAAACGGAAGCCCCGGGAGCTGGCCTGGCCCGGGACACCTCCGCCGTCGCCCAGGCCCTCGCCACGATCGAGCTTCTTGTTTAGTCGGACGAGGATGAAGCGGAGGGCGGTGGCAGACAAGATGGCGACGAAGGCGGTGACGCAGTTGACGGTCATAGCAGTGACTAGGATTATAGTTAGTGTTTTTATTTTCATGAGATAGTAGATGGGATGAAGGGGACTTACCGAATCGTGGCGCATCACTGTCGGGATACATGTAACTGGCATAGATACTGCTGGCATTACTGACACAGTTGATACCTGCCAGAGCAGCGGCACGCTTCGAAGCGGGACGAGGAAGGGTGCTTGAGATCCAACCCAGGGCTACCACATAGCCGGTGTACAAGGATGGGACCATCAGCATCATAGAGACGTAGCGGGGAGCGATGCTGGTGGTAGTAGCAGCGAGAATGAAAGCCACGACGGAGATGTATAGGGGGAGGGTGATGTGGAAGTAACGCTCGCCGGTGCGATCGGCATGCCAGGCATTGGCAAAGGCACAGATGACGGCTAGGACGTATGGGGGAGCTGTGAGAAGAAGCGTCTCGATGTTGCCGTAGTTGAGGGTCTTGACGACAGTGGGGAAGAAGTTTGTGACGGAGGCCGAAGAGACAATGCACAAGATGAGCAGCATCTAAGTGTGTAAGCTGAGTGAAGAAGAATGTCTTGGTAACTGAATACTTACAAGAATCCAGGTCTTGATATCGGTAAAGGCCAATTGCACACCGTGGAGGAAGGTCTGTTGTTCACTGTCCACCCAGTCGTCCTCACCAATGTCCTCTTCCAGCCGCCAAGCGGCCAGCTGCTTCTCTTCTTCGGTGAGCCAAGAAGTGGTTCTGGGGAAGTTGGGCAGAATGAAGATGGAGATGGCGGCAACCACGATGGTAATTGCACCCTCGATGATGAAAAGCCAGCGCCTGTTACTCTCAAGTCAGCACTGTCCACGTCTTAGATCTTTTACCATGGGAACTAACCAAGCACGAAGACCCATCTTGTAGTCCATGTTCTCCGTGATACCCGCTGCGATAAGGCCAGAGAACGCTCCTGAAATCAGGGAGCCAGAGTAAAGGGCTGCAGTGCGGAACCCAAGTTCTTTGCGAGTGTACCAGGCACTGAGGAAATAAAGACAGCCAGGCTAGGAGGGGAAAATTAGAAGTCAGTAAAATGTCCCAAAGTAGAATCCTTTTTGAAGCAGCAACGTACGAAGTAAGCAGCTTCAACGAAACCCAAGAAGAAGCGAACTACGACCAAGCCGGCATAGTTCTGAGCTCCCGCCGTGCACGTAGAGATGATACCCCATAGCATCATGGCACCAGGAAGGTAGAGGGCAGGCTTTCCGAACTTGTTCAGAAGCAAATTGGAGGGAACTGGTATCGTCAGTGTCTCATGCCCTGACGTTGAGATGTCTGTACCTACTTTGCATCAACAGATAACCCACGAACAGAATACTGACACAGGTCTGATATTCCACGCCCTGCAAGTTCAAGTCGGTAACGAGACCAGCGAGTTTGGCAGCAGCCTGATAGCATCCAGAATCGTGAGCACAGGAATGAGAGCATCGATAGACTTCAGCATGCCACTTACGATGTTATTCCGGTCCAGGTAATTAAGGATATACATGATGATGATCATGGGTAGAAGACGCAGGTCAATCTTGCGGACCAGGGCCTTCTCGGCCCTCTCACGCTCCTCGGGAGAGAGACTGGCCACATAGGCCGGGGCCTCTTTCTTGGGGTTGGGTTTATCGGCATTGGCCACCCCGTCGGTCACGATCTCGACGTTGTCGACATGACTCTTGTCGAAGTCCCGTTCGACATCTTGAGAAGTTCTAGGGGACATGATTTGTCTCCGACGATCTGACAGTAGCCTTCTATGAGGCAAAAAGGAGGAGACAATGACAATGACAATGACAATGACAATGACAACGGGAGAATAAGGATAGATCAACAGGAGAGGGAGGGAAACGGGTCAAGTAAGGGACGGCAAGGGGAACAAGAGATAGGAAAGATTAGGAAGAGGGAGGGAGAAAGGGAGGAGGAGTAGAGCACGGGATCATATCATGATGGCAGCAGCAGTCGGGACCAGGGGGGCTTTTTGTTGTGTCAGGGAGCAGAGAACCGAGCGATGACGACCCGACGAGGTTCCCGAAAGATGGGGAGACCAACGGGGAAGCGAAGCCGCATGGCAATGGGGATCGGGAATGAATCCAACGATTCCAGTGTCAAGGAATGCCACCCCCGCCAATGGGGAAGACGGAAGCGGGGAGAGAGTCTGGAGATGAGATCAGGATCATTAGGGGAAACCGTCGGGACTGGTGGGATGCCATTTGTGGAGAGGGCCGACTGGCGTGGGGGTTCAGAAGAGAAGAAGAGGATGATGATGATATTATTGTATGGAGGAGAAGGGAAAAGATGGGATGAAGACACAGAGAGAGAGAGAGCGTGGGAGGCCATCAGCAGCATTCCGTGGGGGTTCCCGAGCGAGGGTCCTCTTACTTTCTCCACTTTCTCTCTCTACTCTCTCTTCTCTTTCTGCACTCCATCCAGCCCACGGGGCACACCTCTGCATCTCATCTTAAAACCCCGAGAAACAAGATATACATTTATCCATCGGCTAAGAGCTAATTCCTATCCTCTACAAGCATTTTTCAACTCTAACTTATTCCATCTGCATTCATTTGAGTAACAGAAAACTGCAAAAGCACACACATCCATCCCGCAATCCTCAACCCCAGACCAAAATCCCCCGAGGAAAACTTAAAAACCACTGGACGGTGCCAAGGAACCGGCCCGAAAAAAAGCTCTCTCACACGGTCGACCCCAGGCGGAAGATCCCTACCCTCAACCCCGGCTCTGGCTTCAACCGGTCATTTTCAAAGGATCAATCACATACTCCTCCGTACTTCCTGATGGATGGATGCAACTCCACCATGGTGGATATTGGTTGGTCATACGGGATACCACCACCCCCTCTTCCCCTTCCTTCACGCAGGAGAGTCACCGCTGGTTTGATTGATCATCATAAGTCCGTCAGCAAGTCCATCTCCGTCATCAATGGTAGGTAGGTAAGGAAGTTAGCCGGCGGACGGACCCGACTTTCAGCGAGGAGAGACCATGGCCATCGGGAAAAGAAGAATACGTACTTACTTGTTTGCTTGCTTAGCGACACGGGCATATCTCGCCCATGCCGGCTAGATCATCGATTCGGCCCCGTGTGCTCCCCGCCCCCGAACGAGGAAGGTAATGGAGAAAAGTAACTTTCAACGCCACACACACACAGAGAGAGAGATCAGGCCATGAAGGTCAGTAAGTACTACGGTAGTAACTCGTCCACGGTCCACAAAAGTACTACCTAGATGGAAAAACAAGTAGCACTTCGTAGGAATATCATAACCCGTGCCCATCGGGATCCCCCATGAGTCTAGCAGCCGAGTCTACTTCTACTCGCGTTACCTGCAAGCCTAGCTACATCATCCTCAACCCCAATAGAAAGATCCATAGATAATAACGTCGCAACCCAATCTTCCATCCATCCATCCAACCCTCAGAAACAGCCAAGCAAGGTAGCTACTAAACAAGTATTCAACCAATTTACCGTCCCCAGGTCCACCCCTCGGCAAAATGGGGGAGAGCAAATAATCGGCTTCCTTTTTCTCTTCTGCCAAGCATGTGTTTCCCCTAACTAACTTACCCCCGGCAACATGTGGCAGCTGATGCCGCAGAGACTTCTTTTCTTTTTTTCTTTTTCTTTTTCTTTTTCTTTTTCTTTTTCTTTTCTTGTTTGATTTCTTTCTGTGTTCTCGTTTCGCTTTCCCTCGGGATCTCTCGCGTGGTTTCGGGACCGGGGCCGGGTTTGCATGTAAATTTCCACTCTCTGGCTAACCCCATCGTAGATGAAAGCGTGGGGGTTAGTTACCCTACCCTTCCTCTTCTCTTGCCCCAGGGTTCTTATTTAGTGGCTGTCGCCGTCTCTTTCCAGTCCGACTTCTTTTTTTTACTTTATTGATAAAATACTTGATTCAATATTATCACGGTAGCTATGGTCTGAAAGTAGAATTACCCTCTTTCTTTCTCTTTGTCGGACACAAGAGTCAGAGGATAGCGGAATTGTTCAAGGACGTCGAGGGTTACGCGGTTCCGAATTCATCGGGATACACATCTACGGCCGACGGGTCTGCTGACTGGCCAGGCAACCCAACATAATATTGCGTAAGATGGGGAAAGAAGAAAATTGCATTGATAGTGCCAGTCAATGCTCGATGATGACGATGATGACGCGAGACATTCACTGTGTACCGGTCTCAGAAAGCTGTACACGGACAAAACGTCGATAAAAGAATCGGTGCTTGCAGTAAATAAAAACAGCAAAGGAAGGTTTCACGATGACACTATGAGACAATGTGCAAAGAGATGCTGCCCAATTTTCACGCTTGCAGAACATAACGAGACTTCAAAGAGACGGTGTGGCTTGCATGCAATGGTCGGCCAGGGATCGGGGCTCGAGGGAAGAAGGAAGACGATTAAAGAGGATGCGAAAAAGCACGAGCTGTGACAGGCCGCCGAGGGGGAAGGAAGTGCAAGAGTGAATCGGTGCCCAAATCCTGGGTGCGACGTAGATCGAAGCCAAATGATCCGGGCACGGGATCATTGGCGATGCCTCCCACATCCGATCTACTATTCTTCATTTGCTGTAGTAGAATCCCCATAAATCTCCATGCGCAGAATAACAAAAGAACACGACACAAGACCAGGACCTGAATATTGCTGTCGCCATAACTCCCAGAACGCGTAGCAAGCAAAAGTAAAAAACACAACAAAGGGGCGGCCCGGTGACATCCGTCCACTCGACGGACAATTAGACACCGAGTCAGCATGGGACTGAAGAGGGAAACCAAAAGACTCTCTAGCGGAAAAGAAACAGGTCTAGAAGCCACCAAGGCTCAATACCATGCCGTTGATAGATCCAACACTCCTCCTAAGGGTAAATAACACAAAACACGCAATAAGAACGCCATTCGATATGCAGCGGCTCAGAGAAAGTGAGTATAGATTTTTGACGTCTCGTGGACCTCCATCTCCTGTGCCATTGTTAGCACTGGATCAATTTCACGTCGAAGGGAGGAGGGGAAGTAAATTCCTCACCATTTTGAAGTTGTTCAGCTCCTCCTTGATTTGTTGGGCAAGGAGGGGAGTCAACCGGTTGCACGTGGCGATGTCACCGCGTCGATCGTATTCCCCGCTCGGCCATGTTTCGTGGAACTGAATCCGGGGGCTAAACACAAGGCTTTTCGGCATCATAGCTTGTGGGGTAATAGGCGCGCTCTTGGATTCGGAGGTCTGGAACCGCCCTTCGGATAGATAATCATCCTCGCCAGCAATTTTAACCGCGTCGGATCGCCGGTTACCTGACCGTGTCTGGTCTTCAGGGGTGCTGGGAACGCTGGAATGCGGCGAGTCATTGCTGTTCAAGTTTTCCGATGATTTGAGCACATATGTCTGGTTAGCCGGGTCCGAGTAGGTCTCTATATGGTGTGTTAGTACGACATATATCACAAGCAGGGATCATTTCATCGTAACCAAAACGTACTTTTCAGGATGCCCTTCCTCACAGCTGCCAGAACCTCCGCTCGCTCCCTGTCTCCTCCGACAATGCTTTTACGCGACTTGTCCAGGGCGCCATCTTCATGACTCACGGCGTTCGCTGCATCGGTTTCCACCTTAGAGAACAACGAGCTACCAAGAGCATGGTCTTGCGAGTCTGAGGTGACGGCCGTGCTTTTCCTCTCCGCTTCAATATTGACCACGGACAGCTGGGGTGCCATAGGCTCAATCATTACACCATCGGTCGAGGATGTGCTCACTACCGATTTCGGGCGGAAAAGCCCTACCAATGACCGCGTCGATCGTTTCATTCCCTTGCCCATTTTGCGAAGCATTATAGAGGCGGAGGAGGCTGTCGATGAAACGGAAAGATTGTCGGTGGAGCTGTTGAATATACGACCTTGGTGATGCGAGGAGTAAATGCTCTCGCCCAGGCCGCTCGCTTCCTGTTGTTCAGCTATGGCTGCCTGCTCTGGACCCAGCTCCTCTTGCAACAATTCCCTGCGAGCCCTCTCCGTGGCCATGGCTTCCCTTTTATTTTGCGAGGAAGCTTTGAGGAGCTCTGAAGCGCTACCAAACGAAAAGGCCCTCCTCAGCCTGGATTTCCCTGGTCGCTTGGGGTCGCCTTTTGTGATTTCGGCAAGACGCTGAGTAGCAAGGCTCTCCGTGGGAGCAGGCTGTGGAGTCGTGGAAGGCTGGGGTGCTTTTGGAGTCGGGGGTTTAGCGTCAACCTCGACCGGTTGAGACAGCGGTGAGGGTTTGTTCGGTCGCTTGCTGTCATCGGTCTTAGGTCCGCTCTTGCTGGATGACGCAGATTCGCTGTGCCCTGCATCGCGTACAGACGAAGTCGAAGAATGGGCGGACGGAATGCTTCCTTGAACTTCTCTGTGAGACTGTGCCGATCGGGGCCGCATGCTCTGATCGAAGTAGTCATGGCCACCTGCTGTCGGCGTCGGCGATGATGTGGGCAAGTGTAGCTGCATATTGATGAGACCAGCGTTATCAATGTTTCCCCAACTCCGGCGCCTATACCTCTTGGCTAACTCTGTCTGAGGCTTATCTGCACGAGTAGTATCATCAGCACTGGGCACGCGGACATGCCCAGGGCGACGGGGGGCATCCAGAGACACCCCCGCAAGGCCAGGAGTGCTCATGTGAAGTGAACTATCGTCCGTAGCCAACGTTGCAGAACGTGCAGGTGCCGGCCCGTTAGGCTGCGTAGAAGCGGGCTGGGCGCCCGCAGCATTTTCCGGTCGCCGGTTTCCACGACGATAACGGTCGGGGGACGGACGGGCCACAGTTGGTGAGGATATGTTCATGAAATTCGAAGAGGAGGGTGAGGGAAGGTTGACTGTCGAGAGCGGGCGCAGGGGAGCATCGGTACGTATTTGTCTGGTAGGAATCGCCGAGTCGTCTTTCGACATGTAGGAATGGACGGAGGAATTGGAGGAAGAAGTGGATACAGAACCAGCTGCAGGATGGGCGAAACGCGAGTTGACTCCGACGTTGGCGGGACTTGCAGACCCCTGAGGCACCGAGGGGGCTGAAGAAGTGCGATGCTCTGGCCTCAAATGAGGAGACAGTGACTGACGGGATTGCATGTTGGTTGGATTCGAGGGGTTGGGGGTGCTGGTGAAGGCGTAGGGGGCCACGACCTGGTGGCCCACTCTGTAGTTTCCCGAACTGCCGCTGTTGTTATAGGGGTTCCAGGACATCGTCGAGTTCCGCGGATTCTGTTGTTGCCCGGGTTGCGAGGAAGTTGTGAAGGTGCCCGAAGAAGAGGATGGTCGGGTTTGAAGCACAGAAACCGTGCCACTTTGCTGGGGGATTGTCTGTACCAACGCAGCCATGGTGTTCTCCTCCACTACCCGGAACGAAATAACATCCGACGCGTAGCTGACAGCGTCTCCGGGGAGAGAGGTGTCGACAGGTAAGCTCGTCGAATGTCCGCAGCGCCCAATCCAAAAGAACCAAGCCTAACGTCGATCAAGTTCGAGGGGAGAGGAAACAAGGGTAGAAAAAGGAGATAGATTGTAAGAAGGCAACAGGGGGAAAGTCTGTACTACACACAGTTGTCAGTCAGGATTGCACAAGAACAAGCCGGTCCAAACGCTACTAGTTGAACTCTCGAGGACCGATGTCTCTCCAACGCGAATGTGGTTGCCGTTTCGAAAGGGGGGTGTGCAAAGGCAAGCGGCGGAATGGGCTCGTACCTGTTTCTCAGGAAAGATGTCCCACCGGATTATACTGATACAACAATTAAGGAAAAGCGTTCGGTCGATGTAAAAAACGAATGCTGACGAGGACAAAAGAAACGAAAGGCTCGGATCAGGCGATCGAAGAGGGAGGAGAGCTGGCGACGAGGTACGACGTGCGGAACACAAGGCTCCAGGGATGGCAGAAGCTGTCTAGAGCGGTCGAGCCATGTACAAGAAAAGAAAAAAAGAAAAGAAAAGGAAAAGCAGAGCTAACAACAATGATGAATAGAGACAAGAAAGGAACAATGCCAAAATCAAATAGGAGATCGAGAAGGAAACGATAACCAGATCCTAGGCACCTTGTCTTCTGAATCAAGCAGAAGACGGGCCGCTCAGGGGGGGGAGGAGGAGGGAGGGAGGGAGGTGGGTGGTGAGAGCCGGGAAGGATGGGAAAAGAAAAGCAGAGAGGAAGGGTCAGGAAAGGAAAAAGGAAGAAGAGCAAGAGGGGCTGAAGGTGCGGGAGGGAGTAGATAGAAGGAGAGAGGGAATAGAATAGGGAGGAGGAGAGATAATGGGGGAGGGAGAGAGAGGAGAGGGAAAGAATGGGAATGATGGGATGCTGCGACTACAACTTTCTCTCTTTCTCTCTCGCGCTCTCAACTTTAGGGGAGACCGACTGACTTGACAGGCGGAGACAAGCGGACGGGATTTTCCAGAGAACGCGAGAAGGAACGCCAGGCACACACCCTCCCGAACCGTGCCCTGTATTTCCTTTTTACTTTTTGACTCTTTGGTTAGTATTTCTATGGTTATTATTCCTTTTTTTTATTTTTATTTTTGTTATTATTATTTCTTTCCCTCTTCGCATGTCACTTTTTGTTCTTCAGTGATGGTCTTTAAGAATAGCCCATGTGTATCTATTTCTTTTTCTTTTTTTTTTTGTTCGCTTCTCACGTTCGCTCCCTTCTTCAAACTAAGTTCGTTGAACCGACAAGGAGCAGAAAAAAGTAAAGAGATCAATTTGGGGGGGAGGCGCCCGATTAAAAATCCACGAGGGGAAACCCGATTGAAGTGTATCGTATGGACGTAGTAACTATGCAACATACGGATAGGGAAAGAAAATCTTTAAAGGCTCTGATCTGATCTCAAAGGCTCACGTCCAAGTAGGGGTGAGGTATTCTACGATTACTCTTATTGCAGCTGCAAATCATACCAGAAATATTCAAGAACTCGCCACGATTAAATCTCCCATATTATTAGTATTATCATCTCATGAAAGACCAAGGCATAGGGTGTGCATTTTGCCCGGTTCGAGAAAGTGGCCCTCCTTCACTTATCCTATCATCGAAACTAATATTATCAGGTAGATTAAATGTTCGAACGTCTCCTGAATCTCTTTCTCTCGCTCTTTTTCTCTTTTTTACCCCCCTCTGCATCAGTCAACCGCTCTGATTCGACCAGCTAGGCGGATGAGACTAAGACACCTTTGGGGCTGTACGGTAACTCCGGTTCCATATTGGTAACTGGTACTAAACTTAGGCTGGGAAACTAGCGGGTTGTAGTTCTGCGACCGTTGTTGCCATTCGGTAACCATCGTACCGCACATACGATTCGTCCCCAATAATACCTCCATATTACGTTAAGGTGCGGGTCGACCATTCCCCCCCTACAATGGCCTAACCCGACTCCATCCATGGGAGGTAATCGAAGGCGACGCTACTTGAGGACTTGGATAAACGATGTGCGGGTCTAACTGACTGAAGATGTCTTTGCATTCGCCTCATCGGCCCATCCTCCCTTGTTTGATAGGAGATGTTCTTTGTGGGGGATTTGGCCCTCCGACACGGAGAGTAATAGCTGGACCTCTTGCTTACATTACCAGATCTCTGTAACAGTTGGTATTAGTGGTCAACTGCCGAGTACGCGCAATAGTAGTAGTAAGTGGAGGATTAGAGAGCCGAACTCCTTATCTCTTTTCTTTTCTTGTTTTTGTCTCTTTTTTTGTTTTCGTTCCTTCTAAATTTTTTTTTTTTACCTTTTCTGGGGGGTTCCGTGCAGTTCTTCCTTAGATCTTTGGCGTGCGACCAACATCGATAATTGACACCAGATGTATTATTATTACTGAAGAAAAACAACAGAACGTGCTAAATGCATAAGACCATAATCAACTGGAACCAATTAGTACTGTCTAGTAACCTGAATAGTCCAATCGGACTAGCAAATTGGAAGCTGATTTGCGACCACACGCCTGCTAAAATTCTTAGCTGTCACGCCATGACTACCAAATGGGGTCTGCCTCCAAGGACCAAGGAACTGAGCCCAAGCACGGAAGCTCGGAGAAACAGCCTGGAGAGAGCTAGTAACTAGCACTTAACTAGCACTATGTCTACTTACTACTACTTTTGGTACTTAACTTAGTAGTAACAGTCGCTAGGTAACGATGGTGTCTACCTCGGCCGCTGGCACTGGTCCGAATGCTTAGGCGATCGCGTGTGCAAATAGTAACTATGAACCGTGTGCATGTATCAGACTAATGGTTTAATCTTTTATTTTCCTACATTACCAGTGACAGGAAAACTCTCCTGGCCATGTCCCGACTCAGGGAATGCTGATCTCTACCAGTGGAAACCTCCCGTGAGGGATTCCGCGGTTCAGTTCGTTCCACCGAGAGTAACCTAATCGATAGCCCACGGTCCGTGTGCCCGCCAATGCCGTGAAGTTGAAGTGACCGGTATCCACGGAGTTTCGTCGCAGCCTCCAACACACGTACACACTCCCGGTTGTGTACCATGGGAAGGTTCAGACTCCCGAATCAATAGATAATAACCTTATTAGACCTCTTACTACGGTTGTGTACATGATGTCAGCTATGATACTCGAGACTGATATCGCATTTTCTCATCCCTGAGCCCGGTTCTGAATCCATCTACAGCAGTGCAGAGGGTATGTTGTGCGGGAATCTCAACCCTATGGCCACCTGTTTGTCAGCTACAAGCTATAGCCAAGAAAGAACGTGTGTCTCCCAGTTGGGTGGGAGAGACAACGCAATAGACTTGAATTGGATCTGAGTGATCTGAGATGCCGGGCCAATTGCAAACGAGACCGATGTACAGTCAATCTTCTGATTAGAATTTGGACTATTGATGCAGTGCAATGCAATGCCCAGTATTTGACATACCAGTTTGCTTCCAGTGACACGGTTTGCGGTTCCTCCCCGCTTCGAAAATATATTATCATAGATCTTGGTGATCGCGTATATTACGGAGTACACGCCTGAAGACTACTATACAGTGATAGGGAATAATACGATGACGAAGGTTGGTCAAGCAATGGCGTTCTTAAGCAGAACCATCCGGAAGCCACCCTTTTACTATATTTTCTCACTAGTACTACCGGAATACTGTTGCCGCAGGTCGGAATGCGCTATATGCTTCGGGAGGTTCTGGAATCGGTCAATGCACTCGAATCCTAGTTGCATATATTTCGGCAACGCTTACCCTCGAAAATACCACGACAATCGGGGGCTTAGCATACCTATACTTCGTATATAATCAATAAGCATGCAAGCTGAAACTATAAGGATTTGCTAAACGTAAAGATGGCGAAGCGAGGAGAGCTCAAAAGATTCAATAGCTTAGCCACAAGGGATATCCGCCGTATTCCAATCGACTTGCGACTGTCGGTGAGCAACTCTGCCTGACTGGTCTCACTCAGTGAGTGACCACCTACATACACTTTCCATTAGGTTAGCTCACTGTTTATCGCACGTGTTGGGTGTGCAAGCTACGGCCCAAACCACACAACCACAATGACTATCTAGATGGATGATAGGAGGGTAGTAGTACATCAAGCCGGCTGATAAGTCGCGGGCGCGGGTTGACTCGGTGCGTGCGGAGATTGTAGTGGACAGGCCCACCACTACTAACTACTAAGGTACCGATTGTCATCCACATTCGCCCCTTCGCTACCAGCTTGTCAAGATAATCTACAATTTCAGTCTGACTTTTGGAAACCAGAAGGCAACTGCCATCGCTTGGCTGGCATCATTTTTCAACGGTCGTCGCGAGAAAGACGGGGCGTGAGCTGCAAGTTTCCCAAGAAGTGGATGTATCCTCCATCAATCGTCTATCCCCGGTTTAGTGCCATTGCAGATCCCCTGTAAGGAGTTCCCGCGTGATCGACAAGCAACGTCGCCATCTCAACATCTTATTCGGGGCTTTGCCTTCCAACCGCGTCACTTCCATGCTAACTTGACAGACGGCCCCGGCGGGCGCATATCATCACCAATCTTGCAGTCTTATTCATGGTTGGCGTACCAGTGTACTTGCTCCTAGTAACATCCATCCTTCCCTTTTGCAGAAACGAAGGAAAGAGGAACGTTTTTCGCTGTAATCAGATCTCAGTTCGTTTCAAGTAGTACTATGTTCCGATGCCGCAGTTGGCAAGCACGGGCGATTCCCATTCGCGTGGTTTCCCTTCCACTGCATAAACCATGGATCCTGGGCCAAGTTTGAACTTAGCGAGTCAGCGAGTCAGGAAGCATCAATTTCAGCTCTTCTTGTCAATGCAATTTCTCCAGGATCCACTATCGCAGAGTACCTCGGTGAAAAAAAGTGGGAAAACAATTTTGAGAAAATTATGCATGGACTCGGTAACATGTTGCCTGAATGCTCATCGGATTGCAAAGTACGAAAAGGAAAAAAAAAAAGTGGATATCTTCTGGTTCCGAAATGTACACAGTGACCGGACGAGCATCATACGGTGCGGAGAGTCTCCTCCGTAGCATCGGACGTCAACCGCGGTTTCACCGTTTTAACCCGACTATCATTCAGTCGGACCCAGGTTCATACGAATTCCGAACTGTCGAAATTTAGGTCAAATACTGTTTAGTTATGCTACTAATATTGATAGTATATTAGGCGCAATATAATCAGGACTGTTTGTTGTCCCTGGATGCCGGAATGGTTATCCGAGCATCCGAGCAAAGGCCGACATGGACGCATGTCATAAACCCATCATGATGCCAGCAATTAATTAGCTAATAATTATAGGATATAACTTGTCAATGAATTGCAGTGGCTGGCCTGAACGCCAACGAACCGACCAACCCACCTACGCAGGGTGCCTGACCATTGGTTTGCCTTATGCTTAATTGCACTGCTCGTACCATATTAGTTAACGGCTGTCAGTTACCCCAAGTGGTGTCATTGTCGGCCGTTGGGATGGATCAGTGGCGCTTTCGACTGGTAGCTCACGTTGACGTGTATCTCAATAGCGGGGACAGCGAAAATGCGGAGTTTAGAGATCCAGGTCCAAAAAGCCAGATATCCGGACAAGGTTCCTACCATTGGATGGCCCAACCGCACGGTCCTCTCTAATATAGAGCCTTGGAACCTGGGGAGTAACCTGACACGGACATGCTGGTTGCTACGACGCAAACGGAGTGGCAGATGCTGATTTCTCCAAGAAGTTGGTGGACGAGCTTCCTACCGACGAATTCTTCCTTGATAACTGCAGTGGTTGAGCATCCGCAATGCGTTAGCTATAAGACCCAACATACTCACCTAGGTAAGACGTTGAATCATCCGATTAACCCAAGAAATAGTCACTGCTACTCTCTTGGCGTCCATGGACCAATTGTTAGGGGCCATCAGCCTAGCACGAGCAAAGCGCGCCTGATTGTTCCAATCCCGCCTCAAACGGAGAATCCCTTATATCCGGGGAAACCAAAGTGTGGAGTACATACAGTAGTGGGCAGCACCGAAGGACCGTCTCGTCTACTGTAGTCTAGCCATGCCATGGATCCTCACACGCAAACATGTCAGGTGGCCTTTATCACTGCTTGACTGCTAGTATCATTACAAAGTGCTTCGTAGTGTCAAGCTAGTAAGGAATAGTAAGAGTTCATGTCTGCGGACATGGCTCCTTCGGACAGTCATCGGTCGGAAACGGCGCCTCATTCTCTACCCAGATCTTCCCCTGGTGTTCTCTTGAGTTTAGACATCGTACTTTAGGCAGAAACTGGGAGCAATTACTCCGGACTCCGTACTTTGCCAGCGAGTATCCTGCTTGGTCCGGTCGCAACCATCCAGGGGCTAGAAAATATAGTAGTATTGCTACACTTATGACTACTAGATACTAGTGAGACGGTACTTACTAGTAAGCCTGGGCTTTATATCCGAACCTCCTCAAAAAGGTAGGAACCGTCAGAGCCAATCGATCTCCTTCCCCCTTGGGACCTCTAAATCCCGCATTATCATTCGGGCGCATACCGGCTTATCACGAAATGGTGCCCCTCAAAAGACAACACATTAAAGAGTCAAAATGAAGGTAAGGGATAAGAACGACCACCACAATTATCCCTCACAAGGATAGATGATAACTTCATGATTGGTCACAGGAAACTGAAATTTCCCGCCCGCTCGCCATCTTGGTCAGTTCTGCGGCCGAGATTGAGATCCCCTTCTCCTGTTTAGAGAATGATTAAATAATAGAAAAAATAGAGTCATGATGCCTGAAATTCCTTCCTTCCGCTACTAGTTAGTTGATCGAGCTAAGCAGGACACATCACTCTGCATTTGATTATCGACCTACTGCATGTTCTAGGAAACATTGTAACCGGGATATACCTGAAACACCGAGCGACCCTCTGATCTGTCCTGGCATAATAAGCCGTTTAACGATACATTGTTTTGTTCCCTGCAAGCTGCACGGTAGGGGGAGATAGATACTACCTCGAAAGGGGATCATCGGTACAGGGTACTCCGCACTTCTTTCTGGTCCAGTCTTTTCTTCGTTGTTCCTTTGCTTGGTGGTGGGTTACGATTCCTACGTTGATGTGGTTCGCGTGCCTGTGCCAGGAACGGTCATCTGACTGGATGTCGTATCTCCCTCACCACCATTACCACCACCAAAAGTGAAGAACATTGCCAGCAGTGAGACTTTCCCGCCAAGTATTATGTTCCGTTCGTAACCCCGATCGGGAGTTCCTTGACTGGGTCTATCCATCATCAGTTACTAAAGAGAACCAGTGGAGCACCAAAGAGCTCGTACAGTAAGAAGTCTACGAGAGAAAAAGTAAAAAAGAAAAAAGAAAAAGACAAGTGGTGTAACTGCGGCAACATGTTTCTCGGGCCAAAAAGAAGAGGTTAAGCCATTAGCGGAATCTGCATGTCGCTGCAACTGGAAAGCCACCAAGCGGGGTTTGTGTTGCCCGGTAGGAATCCATTCGTTCTTGTTGTCCTTGGTTTTAAGCGTTCTCTCCGTGCCTACTGCAGTCGCCCTGCGAAGAGGGGCGGCCTACCGAATGTCTGCCGACTCTTATCCACACCGAGTTTGTCTGGTGGCTGGATGGAAAATACTAAAGAAAAGAAAAAAGAAAAAAAAAATCTTATTATTGATAAGAACGAGCCAGATACCAACTACACTTCTTGCACTTCCCTGGCTCTTATCATCAATTCTTGACAACATTGAAGGGGATCAGCAAGTGGAGCTCGAGTGATCAGGGCTGGCTGAGATCAAGGATCCTTCCAATCTCCATCCAACATCAGATTGATTTGCCCAATGCTCGCCGGACCTCGAACTTACTGTCCCAGAGCAATGAGACTTGAGATGCCGCGCACGGGATTATCTCAGACAATTATTCCTATCTCGACCCACTGCGGGGTCCACGGGTTTCGGGAATAGAAGGATTGAGGAACCGGAACCTCTTCATGAACTGATCAGGTCCGGCGATGATAAGTCGATATCATACCATTGCGTGATTTGATGTTATCCTTAGATTGAGATACCAACTCCATTGCTACTCAAAACCATGGTTCACTAACTGTGTTGCAAATATTCCAACACTTGCTTCTTCAATTGGCTGCTCCTCGTCGGGAAATGAGAAAGGCTTCAGCTACGGTAAAGCACTTGGGAGTGGAGATGCTACTCAGTGGAGACCTTCATATTTTTGGTACTTAATAATAGGACATCGTCGCTGATTTTGCTTCAGCTTTCTCAAGTATTGGTGGGAAAGCGTGAGACACGCGCTCGCTCACCGGTGTGGGCATTTGGATATTGTATTAGACCATTGTGCAGGGTAGCAGTAACGAAAATAGTAACGAACTGCAGGATATTTATCTCTTTCTTCCTTGGACCATCGTGTTTATATCAATATGGTAGGCCAAAGTATCATCCAATATCGAGCCGACACTGTGGTATCTACGTATCCGGTGCTCTGAAAGCTGACTTGGCTGTATGATGGCTTCCAATGTGTGACCAATGATGTGATTAGAACAGATGTATGCTGCAAGCCTCCCATTACTCTCTTCAAAATGATTGTTGGATGTATCCCTGTGCATTTCAACAGAAAGGAAAGCAGGTCATGCCTTACATACTACGGCAAGAGTCATACTTCCCTGATAACAAATTTCCTCTAGCTAGCCATGTTACACTCAATATTCACTGGATATATAACCTGGCATCTTATCTGCAGAACGTACACAGTTGTATTCATGAATGAGCAAAAACTACCTGATATAAGCCATGAGATCACGAGAATTCGAGCAGAAAGATCACTATGAACATAGATTATTTCGAACTTGTCAGTACAAGGTATATTGCTAAGGCCGCCTACTATCACGTTGTTTATCGCTAGTCCATAATGTATACATCTCCACTGAAAGTTGAGTACTAGTGGCAAGCCAACATGATGACACTAGATAGTATATTCTAGGTATACATGACATACTACTAATGCACCGCGTCTATCTACCTTCAATCTCTCAGATGACTTTCGAGAGCACCATCATCGCCAGCAGCAACATGTTTGTCTACTGCTCAAACTGCTCATTTGCATTATTGTTCTTAATGTTGTTGTCTCTTCTGTCCTTCACTGCGTCGAGGACCCTCGCCTTCACTACGTCGATAACACAAGATGGCCTTCTTTGTTTCCCATCGGCATTGGAGTTCCTACTCCGTACTGAGATGTAAGTTTCTTCTAAACGCGTTTTCAATCTGCTTCATCTCTCTCATCCGATCTTCATTTCCCCCGGGATACTTTTCATGAACCAAAACTCCCTCGTGTGCTTCAACCCAGTGGTAGCAACGCCAGGCCAGCATGACCCAACTGGTTGTTCACTGGTTCGCGTGCAATCACTTCTACCCTGAATGGAGGTCCAGCACGGTACCTTACTGGGCACCCTCTGGGAGTATCCTCCGTCCCACAGCTGCATTGCACGCCTACGATTGCTCTGTCTGCCTTGATCCACCAAGCAAGATCCAAGAGGCACGAAAGTCCGTTCTGATGTCCGCCAATGCCCTCTCAGAAATCATCGATATTCCCGTTAGCGATGGCGGATTCATTCACGGGGTCATTCGATTCTATGCCCGAGGCGACCATCTAAGATGGCTGCAGCCGCCTACCCGTGATGCTAAGTTTTTGGCTCCCGACCCATATTTACATTCTCTGATGATTGAATCGTGGAGGCAGACGTTGGGCGAAATGCACTTCTGGACTAGGGCTGGCTATCTCTTCGATGTTGTTTTGGCTGAAGTTAAGCGGTCGGAGCCAGACAACTACGAGTTCTTGAATTGGTCGGGGACAAACTATATGCCAACTTGTCCGTACTATTATGTGTCGATGTCACCAATGGTGCAGCCCGTTGTCAGGTCAGCGCAGGGTTCTGTTGATGCAGCTCAGAGATCTTCCCAGATATCACAGGATCCTTCCAATCTAGTACAGACACCTTTGCATTCACCAGAGTTTAGTGATGATTCGACGCGGTCTTCATTCAATACCGCCCAGACTGCTTCTTCATGTCAGAGCTTTTCTTCCCCCGTGAGCCAGAGTCCCTGCCATGAGGATGTCATACAGCAGGTAGGTGCCCAGAACAATGCCACTACGGCTGTGCAGAATGTCCAGACCTCCCAGGTGTCTCTGCCGTTTGTGAGAATGGATCCCTCCGTGACCCTAGATGATCCGTTCGTTATCGAGCCTATTTCGGTATCCCTAAACTCATTTACTTAGATGGTTCCATTACTGACTGTGTGGCAGGCGGAGGGTAGCTGGTCAATGCAAGACCACATTGCCGACATGAAGCGTCAATTTAGACTACCCGGGCCAATGGTGAGGAATGCATCACCGAGCTTTGATTCTCCAACACCGTCAACTACTGAAAGGATCTCTGCGAGAGAAATCAATCGAAGGAGAGATTCGGAGAAGCCCTACGACCCCACGCCGCTGGCTAATGATACTTCTGCGTCTTGCGATGATGAAACCTGGTCTATGGAAGATGCATCCGAGAAAGATGCATCGGAATCATCTTTCAAGGACGCAGTTGAAGCTCATTCCGACTCTGCGTCTTCCACCGCTACCGGCCCCGTGGTGGCTTCGAAGAACGATGATGATCAAAGCTTACCCAAGTGCAATACTAATGATACTCAACCTACCACATGCACAACAGTCAATCCCTCCTTACTCATGTTTGAAAGCAGCCACAAGACGTATCCCACTATTGAACCTTCGTATGAGGTTGCTGCAAGCAGACCTCGATCGCTCTCGCCCGTGCAAAATCTCGAAAATGAGCTCCAAGTTGGCTCCATAGGTGGCAAGGATGCGGAAGATGCAGGCTCACTATCTTTCAATGATGAAATGAAGGAAGGCTCTGAGATGGATCTATTCTCCGCTTCTTTGGACCAGTATACTGCAGAGCAGCTGGCTTCGCGGCAACTCACAAGGACTCCAGAATTAGAAGAAAGCAACCCGAATGAATATGGACTTGGATTTGGGTTTCAACACAATTTGTTTGATGGATTTGACTTTTTTCTACCAGAAGATCAATCTGAACTACCTTTGGAGTCGAATATGATAATGTGAAAGGGATACCTTTTTGTGCAGCAAGTGAGAAATGCGGCCTTGTCCTTCGACTCAGGCAATCATGACATCTATGTTCCTCTTTGGATTTCTTTTGCGTTCACTTTCCGGTCATTGCTCATGCTTCATGCTTCATTCAGGCTCTATTTCCTTTTGCTTCAGTCATCTTCGCTCATGTACACATAAACTTTTCGTTCAGACTTCCTTCGCTAATTTTCTGAGAGGAATATGTCGACTATTGGGACATTGCTTCCTGGGGGATACGGAGTAAATGGCAAGAAGGGAGTCAATATTTCAAGTTTCATTGGACATGATCTTCTTTCAGATTAATGGGATTTTCTTTCATTTTTTGCGAGACAACTGTAATCAAGATCCTGTCCTATATCATCCAATGCTAGTCATGTGATCTATAACTACCCCGGAACCACGTGCCGACGGCAAGCTGAATCAGCTTATGCGGGCAGTGCATAACAATAGGGATTAAGCTGCATAAAACATGCCGAGGAAGAGAGAGAGAGAGAGCACAAGCCTACTAAGTAGTTTACCCCGGGCGATTCCCGTACCATACCGTAAGGGTAACGATTGGTTGCTCCTGGCAAAAAAAGCACCCGCGGTAAACAGCGGGAGACCAGTATTATCATATCACCAGCCACATGTTTCTCGGTTCGTCCGAGGCCAGCCCAGCCCGCGCGGCAAAAGTAGCAGCTACTACTAACTAGTTACTAGGACTCGGCTCCTCCTTTCTTATCCCCATCATTACTACACTCCCCAGCCCCCTCCCTTCCCCTCCCTGAAGACAGAGACTTGCGATGTGACCTGCAGCTCACCGCGACCCCATCCAAGTCTATGCGCCACTATTAAGCCCCAAGTCAGTGTGATCGCGATGTCCTTTCCTTACTCCCAGGATGCTCGCCGCCGGCGGGTCGGAGCCGGCGCTGGCTTCAGCTCCACTGGTAATCGGACCGTCCTGGGATACTGGGTGCCTCTCGCTGTCACTGTGGGCATCGCAACTGTCAGCATTGCAGCCTGGATCTGGAGTGAACGCAGCGAGGACGATGACGATAATAACAACAACAACGACCGCGATGCCAATCCCCCTCCGCACGATGGCCGCTTCCCCGCCCCCGAAGGATACCCTCATGGCGAATATGCGGACGATTACGCCCGATCAACCGCTACGGATATACCTGGGGCTATGCCCGATGATGCTAGCATGATGGCACGCATGCAGGGTGCGCTGCGCCGTACACCCAGTCCTCAGCAGATCTTTGACGGCGCTAGCAAGAAGGTTGCTGCGGGCGTGGCTGCCGCGGGAGCTTTCGTGGGGGGTGCGCTGACTTCAATTCGTGAGGAAGATAGGGGTGACTTTGAGGATCATTCTCGCTGGTCGGAGGAGGTTGCTTCGAGAGCTCAGCGCGCGGAACAGCCTGCGCCGACTATGACGGGGGCGTTGCCGGTTCGCGATGTTGGTGTCGGGGGCCCAGCGTCTGCTACGAAGAAGAGGACTGTTGCGATTGTTGTCTCGTCGGAGTCTGCGCAGGTGGACCCGGATGATATTGTTTCTCAGCATGTGGTAAGTCTTAATAGTGTGGTGGAAGTGCCAATGTGGGTTGTGCTAATGGTTGTCTACGTAGTCTATCCTGTCTCACCTCCCCGAACACGTCAATCTAGATACGGCCAGGGTCTTCATCATGATCTATGCCCCCGGTCTTAAGCACGCCCCGAAGCAAGGAAGCTCCTCTCAGCCCGACTTGTCTGTTGCCTCCTCTTACTCCAACATCGCTCCCGAAGAAGCTGTTGCATCTGGTGAGCTCCCCGAAGGAGAGTCGCCCTCAGAATCTCGCCAGGTTGATGAGGAAGACGGCTCTACACCACTGTTCAAGACATTGTACACCCAGGCGCAGGCACTTGTGGAGAAAGAGAACACGATCATGCCTTTCAGCACCGCGACAGGGTATGTGCATCTTGTTCGCCACCTTTCTCCGGAGGTAGTGTATGTTCAGGAGTCCCTCACGGGGGAGTCAGGAGAGCACGTGAAACTCTTCTCTGGCTGGGTCCGGGAAACGGTGGTGGTTGTCGGAGGCGAAATCGGTCACGGTGGCCTAGTTGACAGTGATGATGAGTCTGCTCTTGCAGACAAGGGCGAGAAATGGTGGCAGAAGGAGGGCGTCACCGGCCTTGGCAAGCGGATCAATGTGGTGGATGTACACCGTATCGGTGATGATTGGAGGCGAAGGGTGTCTGGGCTCGACTAGAGTAGGGTTCAGCCGTTCGGTGCTATTGGGGATGTCGATGTTCAGCGTTGGCTAAACGTCTCGGTTGCCTTGCGTATAGGTGTGCCTCATGTTATTCTGATGAACTTCCCTTTTTGTTATTGATTCCCCTGTCTTTATGAATGAGATGAAGAGGATTTGCTCTTCGTGTTGTTTACCCCTGTGTGAATATTGATTGCATGATGACCGCGAAGCATAGTCTACTTAGCTTCTACGGAAGCAATATGTTGAATGAAATAAGCCCTTGCACATAGCAGTTGATTCTACGGGTATAAACCCTGTATAAAGTTTCGTCATAGGTGGTCAGTACATCAGTGGTACATGATGTACGTATGATATGGGTTGTTTAATGCCTAACTGGCCACTTCATTTCTTACTGCCACAGTACCTCATCGTCTGAATCTCAATCAAAATCACTGCATGGTCGTGGCTCCTGCTGATCCAACATTGGCAATATGGTACGTAAATTGAATAAAGTCCTTCAGACATATATACCCACTGCCACCTTCCCTCAACCACAACCTTCCTCATCTAGTTACTAGCACTAGTGTTCTTCAATTCCCAAGTTAGTACCTCTCTACTCAACTTCGACACGACTCCGCAGTAATAATAACCATTGCCTCATGAAAGCAGACCTCGACCGTGATCAGTGATGCCTACACTATTTTGGCTGGGTTACCAGCATCCTACCAGCAGCGACCATTTCCGTCCTGGAAACAATTACGGAATGAAGTAGAAGCCATTTACACCCAGCTCGAGCAGAACAACTGGTCAGGAAACCAATGGTTAGCTCTCACGGACATGTCACAAGCCGCCGTCAACAAGTTAAAGGAGGACCATGACTTACTAGCAGGCATCTCGGTCCGATTTATGTGGATCGGAACAACAGGGCTTATCAAAGTAGCTGCAGGTGTTCCACACCATTTCACTACATCAGAATTATTCCGCTACATTGACTGCCAGTGTTTGCAAATGGGAGTGCCCCGCACACAATACACTTGGGGGAATGCAGTTACGTTGCCTGATACGCTTTCCACACAGGGCAAGCAGCCTGATTGCTGTCTTTTCCCTCCAACTCGCTTGCCTCTAGGTGGTCTCGAAGAATGGCCGACACTTGTTATAGAAACGGGTGTTTCGGAGTCCTTAGCAAAGCTTCGTCGAGATGCTACATGGTGGTTTCAGAATTCCTCTGGTGATACTAGGATTGTACTTCTGCTCTCAATTGACTCGGGATCCAGGACACTGAGGATTGAGAAGTGGCAGCTCGTCCCTTCTGGGAGATCAGTCACTAGACTATTTATTGAGCAGTTACGTCAACAGCATAGTCTGATTCCGCCTCTTGCTCAACAGCCGGCAAGCATGCAAACTGCCTTCTGTGTTCAGGAGGTAGTCATTACACCTGAGGCAGTTATGGGGCAGCCTCTTGTCATTCCATTCAGGGCTTTGCTTGATCGACAGCCCACTGGAGACGAGCGAGATATAGTTATTGATAATGAGGGTTTTCGCGAGATTTCGCGTTTTATCTAGGTGACCAGACAATAAAGATAAATCTCGGTACATTTGTTCTATATTAGAAAGCCTGCTCTACCTGACTGTTAAAAGCAGCCACTGAGAGTATCTCCAAGACCTAATAACCTAATAGTTAGATCAGGCTTGCTGTACAGTCCAACCGGCCAGATGTAGGGCTCAAATAGCAACCGCCATTTAAGTGAGCCTTGTGCATACTATTTCTACAATACTATCAAGGAAGGACTCTATCTTATACAAGACACTGTGCTCAGTGTTTATGAAGGTATCGCTTAGATGACAAGTATACTCGCTTATTTCTTCAAATCAACTCATCTTCAACCCTTGAGTAACACTGTAGTAGTTATTCTTCTTCGGGTTCTTTGTCCAGAGTAACACATTAGGTATAGTCGTCACGAGCTTCTTTCTGGAAAAATCACAATTCTTATCTTATCTATGTCCTGTAAGTGTTACACAAGAATAGAAGATATGAGCAAGAGAATGAATACCTTGATATCTTCTATATCGGAATCAGCGAACAGGCGCTCGACACTAAACCCAAAGCGGCAGTCAGGTGACCCCGACCTCCTTCACGTCGCCCGCGGCTTGGCATCATACAAACTCCCTTTGCAGAGCCACAACCGACCGTCGACCGACTCTTCCCACTCGCTCCGAGCCTCCCCTGCCTTCCTTGCAGGTGTCTGTTCGATGGACTTTCATACCCTTTGTCTGTAGCGACCCGCGCTTTGTGCAAGTGTCCGCATTGAATCGGGCCAGTTCGTTGGCGTGCCGCCCCCGATCTCCGCTCCCCACATGTCTCGCGCTCCGGCTGTATCATCAACCACGATTCACGGCCTGTCCCCATCCTTCCTGGATCCGGTTCACCCAAGGTCGCATTCATAAGCTTGCGACTATAATCGCGTCGCGGCTCACCTCCGAGACTATGGCGACCGCAATCTCCAAGCCGACCTCCCATACCCCTAAGATGAAGCGACCGCCCCCGCCTTTCGTCCAGACCGGAGTCAACGGAGTCAAGTCCCAACAGTCCTCCTCCTCCTCTCCCCCCTCCTCCGCGAAACGTTTGCCCGGTTCGAATCAACCGGCTTCAGCAAGCTCCGCAGGCGGCCCGACGTCAAATGGCGTCAATGGCGCGGCTAATGCGGGTGCCGGCTCGAACAAGGCTATCCAGAATCGACCTAAGAAGGAAGCGCAAAAGCCCGGTGATCAGGCCGCGCGGTTACAGAAACCATTGCTAAGGTCTTTATCCATTGACAATGATCGTCGCGCAGGGAACAGGTGTCCCGAGCCATATGGTAAGCTCTCAGCCCGATCCACTTGCGGAGCCCCTGCGTACTGACCATCGGGTGCGTCATAGTCAAAACGTCGTCTTACATCCTCAAGAAGTTCTCCAAATGCCCACCCTCGCTCATCCTCCACCTCCACCCGACACATTTCCGCTTCGAGCAACAAGATGGAAGCTTTCCTTATAATTCCGAGATGAAGGTCATCATCGAACATATTCGTGCCGGAACCGTTCCCCATGACATGATGGAGGAGCTGTTGCGGGCTAATGTTCGATTCTATGAAGGCACGCTTCCACATGCCACAAATTCACCTCTACATGGTGACTTGGCTAACCTCTGCAATTCACAGGCTGCCTCATCGTTCGCGTGGTCGATCACAAGTCGGTGTCAGCTCAGGCCAGGAAGTCGACTGCGCCGACCTCCAACGAGAACAACACCCCGTTCTCGATTCATAACTATAACGAGCATGTTACACCATCGGCTTATGTGCCATACCCAAAACAATCCCAATTGAACTCCGATAAGCCGGCCGCCAAGGAAGCCCCAACCGGAAATCAACCCGATGCGAAAACCAATGGCGAGCAGTCCGGCGACTCGGAGAGTCGTGCAAAAGAAGCTACGTCTAACTCCGCTCAATCCAAACAGCCTCCGAAACCCCGTGTCTTCACTACCGTCCTCCATCCGACTCCGCGTTCCTTACAAGCGGAACTCACTCTTCTTGCTACTACACCCGATCCCAAAGCGGCGAAGCAGTCGGCATCAAATGCCACCTCGCGTCCTCAACAGTCCTCGTCTACAGCTCCTCCATCTCCAGGAGGGTCATCCAATCAGACTGAACGTGGTCATCCTGCAAAACGGCAGAAAATGTTGGTCGAACCTCAGGAATTTCTGGAATGTGAAGCGAGATTGACAAGAGCACTGGCTCCACCTCTCTTCTTGGATCCTGTCAACAGTTTCGATGCTGTGCAAGATCTGCTGAAGATCATGGAGAGTCCGCTCCACCGCGATCCGCCACCTTCACCAAAGAGGAGGAAGCGTACCGTGGCTGAGCTGGCCGCTGACGAGGCGCTGGCTGCTGAGGAAGAGAGATTCATGCTCATCATGGATGAGAGACTGGAGCCTACCACTTCTGGCGGCGCTGGAGGGCCGAAGTCCGCTGTTGTGGATGATACAGGTGGTGGTGCACCATTTGAGCCGCGATTCTCAAGGTTCAAGACGCTTGAGAATATCCGTATGCAGCATGAGGAGAAGGCCAAGCGCGAGCATGAAGTCAAGATGAAACAGGAATTGGCTAAACGACAGCAGCAAGAGCAGGAGAGGGAGAAACGCCGCCTTATGGAGCAGCGACAGAATGAAGAGCACGCTAAGGAGGAGGCTCGTAGACAGCACTTTGCCGCGCAGGCTCAGGCGCAACTTGCGGCGCAGCAGCAGCAGCAGCAGCAACAGCAACAACAGCAGCAGCAACAGCAACAGAATCGACATGTCATGGCGCAAACGAACGGGGTTAGTCAAGCGCCGCAGTCTTCGCCGGTTGTCCGTAATCAGACCCCTCACAACACCTCTTCGCCTGTTGTTGGCAACACAATGGCCGCACAAGCAAGTGTTCCTATGAGCATGACGTCTTCTATGCAGGGAGCAGGCAGCCCCCCGAGGCCGCCATCTGCATTGCAGCATGCCCATCCTACAGTCATGAGCCATCCAATGGCACCTTCCAGAAGCCAGCAGGGACAGAGCCGACACGGGACACCACAGATGACTCAAGGAACACCAGCAATGTCTCATGCTACTCCTATCATGCGCAATGTAACGCCAACACAGCGTATGAGCCACGCTAGTCCGAGTCACACGACTATGGCCCCTACACCGGTGATGAACCAGGCTACCATGATGGGAACTCCGCAAATGGGTGGCGGTATGGGCCTCACACCTCAACAGCAACAGCAGATGCTATTGCAGCAGAGACAACAGCTTCTTGCCCAACAAGGTCATATGGTACAAAACCAGTTCTCGCCCAAGCAAGTAGCTCAAATGCAGGCAAATGCACATGCGCAGCAGAACATTCAAGCCCATCAGCAGCAGATGCTACAAGCTCAGCAGCAGAATTTCCAGGCACAGCCCAAGTTCCCGAACCCACAAGCCTATCAGGCTCAGTTGATGCGTGCGCAGCTCGCGCAGATGCACATGGCTCAGCAGCAACAGCAACAGCAACAGCAGCAGCAGCAGCAGCAGCAGCAACAACCGCAACAGCCGCAAGGCCAGCAATCACAGAATCAACAGGGACAGGTACACCAAAACAGCCCACATATGAACCCTCAACAGCAGCAGATGCTAATGGCAGCGGCTCAGGCCAATGGAGGTCATCTGCCACAAAATATGCAAGGAGTAAATTTGGCACAAGGCGTTATCACTCCACAGCGCTACCAGCAATTATTCACTCAGCGATTGGTACGGCTTAGGCAAGAAATGGCGGCTCGATTGATGCCACAGTACGGTTCGCCGTCTCAGTTCCCACCGCATATCCAACGACAGTATACCGCGGGACTGGAACAGAATGCGAAAGCCTGGGTTCATGACATCGTTCGACGAGAGCGCGAGTTGATTCAGCAACGTGCCAACCAAGTTGCTCATGTTCAAGCCCAGGTGATGCAGCAGCAACATCAACAGCAGCAGCAACAACAACAACAGAACATGATGCAGAACGCCCGGGGAAGTAGCTGATTTGCTTTACCTTCTTTTTCTTTTCATTCTAACTACTATACGCCGCAGGGCTATTCTTTCATCTTTACCCTTTTTTTTTAACCCTTACCATTCTTATACCTATCGGATTTGGACAGCGCATGGCGCTTCCCCACGAACCTCCACGATTTTACATTGGGATTTGTCTGTTCTTTTTTCTTCTTCTCAAGTCACCGCTTATTTTTTCTTCATTTCTGAGACTGTGCATAAGGTATTGGGATCCAAGGCAAAAGAGGTTGGCGTTTTTTTGTATGACTCGGGCCTCCTTTTATTCTTTTTGGTATCCTTATTATTTGCTTTGCTTTGCTTTGCTTTTTCTCTTCCTGGTTTGCGCTTGGCGATTTGATTTGCTTGTACCACTCGGGACTGGACTGGTTGAATTTAGGGGAGCAAGGAACCGACTTGATACCATTTTTGTACAGGTGTCCCCTTTGATTTATGCTGATGTTGACGTTGATGTCTGATAAGAATCGAATTGAAGTGAACTGATATAAATGTCTGTTACGAGTAGGACCACCTCCCTGGTCATTGACAAGAGGCCAAGTTTTGGTAATTATCCCAATCCCCATGAATTATAATCCCATAATAGCCCTTTAGACAAGTCTGAACAACGACAGAAGCCTAGCCAATAAACAGCATCCAGCGAGCTGGATTCCAACCCCAGTAGACAGCAACGAACACACTTGCTCAACAGACAGACCAGTAACCACAATCATGCCAGCTCAAACATCAACTGGCTACTATCCTGCACCTCGAGCAGAATCGAAATGAACCATTGTCGCCGTGAATCAGTAACTACTTCCACACCGTTTACAGATGTCAGATGGTAATTGCCTTTGTCAGTGCTCATAATCTCCCTACGGCAAGGCATACAAGCTCCTCCCAATCAAATCTGTCCTCTCACTTGCAATTATCTTCTCTACAGCAGGTTCGCTACTCGCGGAGCAGCCATGCTCGTAATTGGGAGAACTATAGCCGGCATAGGATATGCCTGTCTAATTTCAGATCTCTTTATTCTCCTCATTCTATCAACACCTCTGCACAAAACTGAAGACGCATGGTCACCTGCATGCAGGGAGTCGTCGAGGACCTGACAACGCAGTTCCATTGTGCTGTTACTCGGCTGGCGATGATGTTTCTATATCGCCGTATCTCTTGGTGCTGTTACACCACTACTAAGAATATGTTATATTCCCCTTCCCGCCCCCCCCTCTTCCCACCCAATAAAGCCACGAAGGTAGTATGGGAGTAAGTGGATTAGCGAATGTTGTGGCGAGTATGAGTAACAGCTGACGGGGTAAGAGTCGGAAGTATATTTATATAGTTACTAGTAATGAATACTGCGCTGGACAATTAAGTACTTTTACTGACTGGGTACTGGTGTGGTCAGTAGTAATTTGTGATATATATCCACCCCAACATCATAGTAGTAGTGTGAGCAGTAATGATAACAGAGTTGTTTATGTAGTGTACATTAGGAGGTACAGATTAACAATACACAAGGGTGGGAGAGGTCTCTTGTAGTAGTGATTCTGTTCTTTCATGAAGACTTTCATTTCTATAGTAGTAGTAGTAGTAGTAGTAGTAGTAGTAGTAGTAGTAGTAGTAGTAGTAGTAGTAGTAGTAGTAGTAGTAGTAGTAGTTACGTTTCTTCTCGTTGAACCCAACAACAGTGGCCGCATTCCATACACACACATACCATGTATATATAGACAGTCGAAACTTGCTCTTGATTCTCTCTATTAGTGGTACTGTATTATCTTTATTCATGTATCTATCTTCCAGATATTCAGATACTCCTAGTCTACAGATTCCTGGATAACAAGGAACAGATCACAAGCAGTTCAACATCTCTGTGTGCGGGCAATGGAGCCTGTTATGCACATCGGGGGTGGAAACCTGGGAATATATACATGGGTAGTAGTAGTAGTCGTAGTAGTTCATCACTGCGTTACGGCCTCCTCATCAATGTTATCAGGATACTACTAACTATTCATCGAACTGAGTTGCTACATGCTCTGATACCGACCTCTATTACTGGTATTAGTATAGTGATAGGATGAATGTCTGGCTACTACTAAGTATGTGCGACAAGTGTCAGTGTTAGTACTGTTTCCGATCTATATTATTCCCTAGTATTTGGTTATCCAAAAGACAAGTAAACAAAAGAGACAAGTAGATACTACTGTAGAGCCTTCGCATCTAGGGAATGATAAAATATCAGAGGGCCTGAGTTGTCTATCGTGCACTAATTATGTGGATATGGTGGGAATGGATCTGTAGTCTCTAGACTCGAAGACTGCAGAGGATATTGAAGATCCCAAGTCATGAATTTTCAAACATCCAGATCTTCTATGAGGCAGAGAAGGCGACCACTAGCTACGATTGAGTTACTGTGAAAATATATGTCTCGTCGTCTGGTTCGAATTGCTGGTTAGCATGCACATTATGGTTGTGTTGTTGTTATGTGTAGGCTGGAACGCAGAGGCTGTCAGTTGCAAGACATTGCCTGAGCTGGGACTGTCACATGGCAACCAGCCAAGGCACCCGTGATCATAAATTCACATGAGGAGGTCGTTTTTGAGACCAATATGTGGCACAATAGTATCTTGGACATGACTCGACAGCGAGTCTGTTCTTCTCTCTACCAAATGCCGTGAAATACCATGTTTGGGACTATCATGCTAAATAGCAAAGAGCGCACTGGGACAAGTAAAGAGACCGGCCCACTGGGGTGATCTGCAGATCTACAATGATCTCCGCTGCAGATATACGGTACGTGCGCCATGGTCGAGCCAGCCACGGACCAGGAAAGTGTCGAACTGCCGAAGTGGGAAGGGCCAGGAACGACTCTCCGCGGCGTCAAGGCTGATATTGAGTTTCTAGTTTGTGTCACAGTTGCATGGATGATGTACGGATGTATGTAAATGGGTTAGTCTGCATTAGAGAGGGTGTGTGCGCGTGGTCCGGCCACCCGGTTGGATGTGTGGTGTCCTGAGTAGGATGGAGGATCCGAGCCAGTCACCCCGGCGGAGAGAATGGCTGGTGGATGGCTAGGTTTCAGGTCGTCCTGCACATTCCAATCAGACAATACATTAGAGTACCGCATCACGTCGTAATGAAGCGTTGCAGAGCACTATCGCGGGTTAGGCTGGGGATGCAGAAGCTTAGACGTGGCTTACTGTGATAGTTCAGCCGGTAATCCCCATTCTAGGTTGAATGCTCTATTTCCGGACTATGGAGACATCTAGGGTTTCGCGAATCTATAGTTGAGCCGCCGAAAGATTCGGGAGGGTTCGCGAGAACTTCCGTACAGTGCGGAGGGACGTGGGGGAAAAGAGGAGAACAGCCCCTGGAACAATATATTAGCTAATAATTAACGAGAGCTGAAAGAGCCCAAGAGTGCGGCCAATAGTGTGTTGGTGCCCAAGGGAATCAATAAAATGACGTAGACGAGAATGGTCCACTTGATAAGCAGCTGCGCGAGGACCGTCTCGCACACCTTCCTCCTGCCATGCTCCCCAGACAGCCACCGCCGTTGGACCAGAACGGAAGGATGGTCGTGTTGCGCGCACGAGTATGTGTGGGGTTGGTTCGCTGGTGAAAATCGCTTGCCCAGATAGGCTTGCTTCTGCAAGACTCCATAGGCCAAGGCCAGGAATGGGCCTTCAACGCCAACGCAGTGCAATGCAATGCAACTCAAAATGGCGATATTGGTGGGCTGATTGATGAAATGGCAGCCATCAGCCAATCGTGAGCCCTGAGTCTCTCCATTTATTGGGGGTGGTCTGGCAGAAAAAGGGAAAATGTCGGGACGCAAGGGGCAGACAATGCAGCACTAGCAGAGCTGGGATTGCCCGATTGGGATCCACCCCCTACAGAGTACTCTCCACTCGCCCTCCCGAGCAAAAGAACCGTAGCTGATAACTGTTGGTCGTGTCTTGCATGGATGCTGATGAAACAGGAATAGAACGAAGCACGGGAGGGCTGCGCAGCAGCTGAGACATGAATGGACCTTGTTCAGCAACATTTAATGTTGATCCTGCTTCTTAATGCTCCGTGGACTTTTCCTGGGAGTCAATCAGGTTCTGGACAATTATTCCAGTGGCTTCCCCCGAGAAAGGTCGAGAAAAGAGGGAAGAAAGATGAATTCCTTCCCGAACGGTCGCACAGGAGACATTGCACTGGGATGATGTACCTGCAGCAGGCTTTTGACTGTCCTGTTGACCTCCCGGGAGGGCATGTAGAACATAACCCATTAAACACAGATCTACGCCGACCCAACCGACCATTCCAAACTCAAGCCTTCGCTTACTTAACTTGGACCTGTACGTACTGGTAGATTGTGAATGTTGAAGGCGCTGCGGATGAAGATCTTTGGGCAAATGGAAAGAAGTGCCGCTGCTTGTCAGAGCTTCTATCCGGTCAGACAAACGGGAATGGAGCCTCTAGGCTAAGGGTGGGTATGAACCGGTCGTGATAGATAACGGAGTACTCCATACCCAGGATGTTGCGACGAAGATCATCGGTTACCGATCGGGCAGAAAGGGTGTTGATTGCTGAGCTCAAACGGCTCTTCTACTCTGTCGAGTGACATTTTTAGCCAGGCCTTTATCCAGCCACGGAGACCTGTGGCTGTGCGAGTGGATGAAAGGCTTTGCTGTTGCAGGTCCAGGCGATGAAACTAGCAAGTGGTTACCAATCTTTCTCCTATCGCTATTATTGTCGCTTTGCAGATTTCAGGTTCTGTGGCCCTTTCTCTCTTTGTCTTCCCTAGCCGGCTCACGGACGAATAATGTACCTGTGCCCTGCTTATACCTGGACCATCTCAATAACGCCATAGCCAACTCCTGACTAGAACTAGGAGTTGTTTTCAGATGATAGGGGGTCTATTTGGAATAGGCATCAAGTCTAGCCCTCGTCGCGCCACTGGCCAGAAGTGATGCTTTCACACGTTTGTAACTCAAGATTTAGGTTAGTCCACATATGGAGTAGATCTGATCCATTTTCCTTTGCAATGGGACTCTCACAGAATTTTTGGGGTGGTAGCTGGTAGGAAGCCACAATCGGCCAATTTTCCGCATCTTCATCGGAGCGGATTGGATCTGGGTCCAATATATTGATCGGTGGGTAGAACGATAATAAAGGGAGGGAATATCAAGGATCCGGCTGATCGTGGTCTTGGCAGCATCGTCAATGCAGTGGATTCAAATCTCACCGCAGGAACCCTTTTGAAGATCTCAACGCCCTTGAATTGTCCGGTCAACTCCTTGCGACATACAGGCCCGTGCTGCAGGGGTTCGCCCTTGGGCGACGGAAAGCAGGATTTGGTGAAATTGGCGACGAAGAAACGCCGGGATAGCACAAGGACGCTTGACAAATAATCCAGCAGACTCATTTAATGATCACATCTTCAACAGGAATAGAGGAGTTTGACCATATAACCACACAAAGATAGCGTGTGGAATTAACCCGGTCAACTTAACCCGGCGGTCAGTGTGCCTGTCCGCGGGTGCATGATAACAACACAAGAGTTACTTAGCTCCTAGATACCCGCTCGGGGCCCGATTGATGATCTTAGCGGTTTTCACCTATTGCCTTTTTTCTTCATTAAGGAACCTTCTCCCAATGGGCTTCTCTCAATGGGCGGGATTAAGGGATCTGGTGATCAAAGTTCAATTGAAAATCCGGGGTTTGATCAAAGCGGGTGGTCATAGCTACATAATCTAGGTGTTAAGACAGCCACTTGACGTCGACTACTCCTTTGAGATGGAAGCAGTAGAGTCGCCAGGGTACAAGATTCGGCAATGAATTGATTGGGTTGATTAAGTGACTGATGAATTGTGGCTCGCTGAGCTCGGGCCAGAACAGTCAAGGGAGGCCATTATTTCCGGAAGATTGTCTGTCCGTTCCACTTTGCTTGCTCCGAATGTAGAACCAATCGCCCAGACACCGGACGATGCTGCGACAGGCTTATAACCGGCAAGTCTGCAAGATTGCCTTTGTGCGGCTGACTATAGGCTGCGACGCACGGTTTCTGGGTAGTCGTCAAGATCAGCGGTGCAGGGTGCTTGGATAAGTAAGTGAAGCCTTCGAGAACACCATAGGCTTGGTGAATTGGGAAAGTGGAGGTTTCAACCAGCGGTGATATCCTTCGGCCGAGCCTGGAACGACGGCGATGACAAGTCACAAGTGGCTAGGCAATAGCGGCTGTGGCTCAGTTCTTGCTTTGGGGGTGTGGCTCAGCAGCAGTAGGGAGTGCGGGAGATCAAGAATAGCGATCCTACCGGGCCAGCGACGTGTATGCGGAGTACGCACTCCCATTCTGTCCGCGATAATGCACAAATCCCGACCTATCCCAAAAGGATCCCTGTTGCCCTCGGACCAGAAGCCCGACATGTTCGACCAAGCTCAAGCTCATGATTCAATAGACAAACCCTGGTAACCGTAAGCCTCGGCTTAATACGAGCTCTCAGTGTAGTAAAAGCTAGTCTGTCGATGAGCAGCCAAGCAGGGGAACTGTCAGACCCGCCCACAGACACCCATTCATTAGCGTCGCACCGGGTATAAACTTAGTTTTTTTAGTGGCTTAGTGAAGACCTATCTCCTTTGTTATTCAAACTTCCTATCCAGTCCTAGCGAAGGGCTCCGAGAGAAATTGACAATGAGAGGGGCCAATGTGTTATCATTACCCATTTCACGAAAGATACTTTCACGCATGGGTGTACCTCTCATACACGGTGTTGTGGGCTGAGTAGTTAGTGGAGTTAGCAGCCAGTGGCTAAGTACGATATTGGTAGGTATGGGGCTTGGTTTCAAGTCCCAACACATAGCATAGGCTAAGACATGATGACTCCTAGCTTGCCTGAGTCAGAATGTGTCATTGCGGTGGTTGACCAGGCCATTACATTGTCAAGAACCTCCGACCGCAATTCCTGACCGAAGGCACTGCCATAGATTTTGGGGGTGTTCGATCCAATGTATGGGCGATTAGTTTTTGGAGAACACTAGAGCCCGCATATTCTGACGAGCTTTGATATTTCATTGGAGAAAAAAAGTACACGAGAGCCTTTCAGGAAAGCCGGACTGTTGTCCGCAACTTCATGGAAAGTCCATGATTGCTGGGAAATTACAAGCCACAGTGAAGGTCGTCGCTCAACCCATCATCTGGATAGAGTGTTTCGCGGCCAAAGGTCCCAAGGCAGTACCTTATCAGCACGAAAGTACTAGGGGGGAAGCAAACAACGTGTCCGACCGATTGACTTGTCCGGCTGGTGGTTCTTTTTCGCATGGGAGTAACGGGGTTCATGCCCAGAGAATCGAAGCATTGGCTGACGCGTGACGAGTCAGAAACTGCGCCGCCTCACGGGTGGGGAAAGTCATGACGAGAAAGATTCCATGGGATCAAAATAACTTTTTGGAAATGGCAGTTGAGTGATAGTTGAGTGATAGTTGAGCAATACCTAGAGATTTCGCCGGCTGGGACATTTCGAGTCAGTCAAGGACCATTGAGAATGGAAGAGGCAAAAGTGAGAAGAAGCAGACCAGTCATGGGACGAGAGACAAGCACCTGGTGGGGGAGGTGAATAGCAGATAGGCAGGTATGTATGTAGACCGTGCCGTACGTATCATTCGAAAGACGTGGTACACACCAGCAAAGACCACCCACCAGTCATGCCGGGATTTGAGGTGATGGCGATGATAAGGACGATCGAGGTATGACTCGGTGGGGAAAGGAAAAGGACCTGGTGACGCTGTGAGGAAGACGTTGAGGTGAGTGGCACGACTACTGGAATAGGCTAGAATCGAATCATACCACTAAGTACTGTTATTCTGTGGGTGAGTGAGTGAGTGAGTGAGTGAGTGAGTGAGTGGGTGAGTCTTTTACTTCTACGTACTTGGTTACTTACCAGTGACCACCGGTCGGTACCAGTAAAACCAGGTCCTTTACTAGGCGGAGTTTCCCTACTAAAGCATAAGTAGTACCTAAGCAGCTGGTACTCAGTACTTGACTCAAAAGAGTTGTTGCAGGGTAACATACTAACATACTATACGAGGTACGGAGTACATACTCCGTACCTTCCAAGCTCACGGAACTGAGAAGTACTGGGTACAATCGGTGGGATAGAAGCAACCAACCCCCACATTCCACGGTGACTGGTACAGGCGACTACTGTGCTACGTACATCCAGAAGGTACTGGTGACGGACCACTATAGGCCATTACCAGGCCGGAGCGTTCCTGGGCAAAGGGCCCGAGTGGCTGTTGGCATCTGGCAAGGCTGGCGGGTTTCTGATAGGTGCGGCTGGCCCACCGGGGGCTGGAGGCCGGATTTCAAACCTGCAGGATCCAGCCAGTGTCGACCGCCCGCCCGCCCACTGGTCCAGGCGGATGATGTGCGTACGATCAGTGATCGTCGGCCAAAGCGCCTTTCTGCTGCTCTTCATGCCTCTTCCAGTCGATCCCAGAATGGGGGGAGACGGAGAGGAGGAGAAAGTACAGACGGGGCGTTGATTACGCGATCGCTCCAGTTATACCCCCCTCCCCCAGATGGATAGGTACGTACGTATCTTTCTTTCTGCCTCGTTATTAGTTTCCCAGGCCTCAACAATACCTGCTTTGCTGCTAATCAACATAGCCGGTTCCCAATGCAGCCTTCTTGCTGCACCATTCCGGTGGTGGTAATCGCAGCACAACCCCTTGTATTATTTCAACATGTATTTTTTTTTATCTCAAAGAAATTCCAAGTCTACTTCTGTTGCCTGGATATTGCATCTCTAGTTGTGTAGTGGTCATACGTAGGTAGCCCGCATTGAGGTAGTACGAAGCACTCGGTCGACACGGGGCTTGAATGGCTGCAGTCTACGGGCCAACATGATAGACACTTGGTGGTACCTACAGAGAGGCAGATAAGTGATGATCTTGGAACAAGGAATCTCTTACCTCCCATGAATTTTCTCGGATCCTTGGTCCTGTCACTTCGGATTCCAAACTACTTCCCCGCGGTATGGAAGCCATGTTTGATCGGCTATTTCCCGTGGCAATCACCTATCTAGTGCGTGGCCAACTGGTAACATCGCCTTTCTTACTTCATATTCGAGTTTGGCCAGGTTTGGAATCGGGGTGCGGCCTGTCTGGCAGTCTGCAGTCGGAAACCATAAGAGATCAGGGCTCGTCTGCAATCCAGCCCAGGTTTGCACAGACCAGGGTCTAGCAAACGGTGAATGCCAGTGAACTGTATTCTGGGCATAAATCAACCCCTTCAAAACAGCGGATGCTGGCTCGGTTGACTCGGACCATGGGACCATAGAAAATCTCCACGGTGGGCACCTCCCGCGCGGGCAGTACCTGACCCAACGGAAAGTTATCTCTGGAAGCCCCAGACTACGTTGCTTCTGCGTAGGGGTTTGCATACGATAATCGTAAGAATAGTAGCGGTGTTGGCTTCTCTCGGTACTGTGGCTGGCTCTGTCTTTCTTCTTTTCCACTTTGATCTCTTCTTCGATTTACCTTCCTTTCGGTTCCCTGAAATGCCCGTAAATTGATGGGAACTATTGTCATGCGTGTTGCCCTCTTCGGGCAAAGTTCACCAGATCTCGGTTGAGGTGGAGCCATTAATTTCGACGGTCTGAACGTTCCTGATGGAGGGCTAAAGGGCCTTTGAGTTAGTGTAGATGTGCGATTATCAGCCTCCGGTTCCAACAATGCACTCACTGGCCGAAGATGGCCTAGACGGTGGCGTTGAAACCAAAAGGCGATCAGTGATAGTTATGGAACCTGTGGCGTACGAAATGCACCTGAGCCGTGCCCCATACATACCCATTGGTACTAGTAAGTCTGGCATGGTGTAGATCCACGAAGAATTGAGAATGAGAAAGAAGGTAGCATCGTTGATGTATTGTGTAGTATTCGCAGTGGTGATGGTGGTGATGATGGTGGTGGTGGTGGTGGTGGTGATGATGATGTTGATGATGTTGTGAATGACGGCGGTGGTGGGTTTGTTTTACCCGTTACCGACCTACCAGATCGCTGCGTTTGTTACTTTTCCGCTTCATTTCTTTTTTTGTTGCATAATTGTGTCTGGAAATTAGTATGCGTACATGTTTCATTGCCGAAGCGAAACCTCCAGTCGCTCCACATGGAGGTTCAGCGATGCCGATCACTCAGGGTCTTTGCGGTGCGATGACCGTGGGACAGACCACCCCCCGAAAAGAATCGGTCGTACGACGACGCTGGAGGAGGAATGGGGAAAAGATGAAATGACCTGGTATCTGCCGGTGTTTTACTTTCGATAGCCTACTTGCAGCCATCCCGACCCAGCAGCTGGCAAGAGTAAGTTTGCGGTGGGTTCTTCTGCCCGGGGAAGATCCCGAGATTCTGGACGAGCTGCTGATGATTATGATGATGATCCAATTCCATGATCCGCGTTAAGGTTTAGTTAATCCCCCATGGCCCGCCTGGCCCCAGTGATGTTTCGCTGTGCTCTGACATTCGAACATTCCATCGGCGGTTCTCCCCATCTGCGTCTCATGCATTCATTCCTTTTTCTTTTTCTGGTTTGGTGGGAAAGACAAAGTGACGCTGTGGATATCCTACCTTCCAGGCACAGTTTCGGGACCCAAAAGAAATATGATCGGATTGGCGTGTTGCATTTGGTGGTAATCAACGCACGTCAGTAGGTAGTAGTCGGGAAGAGTAGTAGGGACTAAGTTCTACTTACTACTTACTACTCACTCCTCTTACTTCTCTTCCCCTTCCTGGACAGTGACAGGACAGGCTGAGTATCCATTTGGTATTATTATTATTATTGTTTTCCCTTTGTATGCCCTATCTCAGTACTTTGGAAGAAGATTATGGAAGACTCCTCTGGACTATAATTCCAATTTGATGGGTTGAAAGGGATCTTGTAGAACCAAAGAAGATCCATCCACACCCACTTAATCAGGAAAGAAGGGGCCAATGAATATCAGTTTGTTCAATACTACTTAGGTAGAGAGGGGAAACATAACAACCACTTGCTTGAAACTAGTAGGAAAGGATATTGGGTGTATTGGCGATAACTTTGGGTTACCTACTTAGCTGGTACTCTTACTTGCTTAGTTGCTTCCCAAGCAATAATCCTAAATGATAAGAAGGTTGAACAGGGAATCTGATTAAAAAATCCGAGGCGATCAATAAGGTGGATTTCCTTCGAGGTAGATCGACGTTAGTGGGTTAAAAGAAGAAGAAAGATAAATAGATAAAAAATAATAGGAAAATGAAAATAACTATGGACCCAGAAGCAGAAAGGAAAAAAAAAATAAGAATAAAACATAAATTCCAGGAAAATAAAAATAAGAAAGAAGGGCAAAAAAATAAAAAAAAAAAATCGACGAAAAGAAAATGACTGGAGGTGAGGGATGAGAAATCTGGGTAAAAAAAAAGAGAATAAAAAATAAAAGAACACTTGCCTGGGAAAAGGTTCCTCACACACCCTCCGGGCCTGCTTCTTCGCCCGAAACAGCAAATCGACGATAGACTCACCAGAATGGGATTTAACATTTAACCTCCCACGGACTCCCCAGAATCTCCCCTGTGAACACCCCGCCAGGAAAAGCTTCAGCCTTGGAAACATCCCCATCCCAGCGCAATATTAGACAGATTTACGCTTTCCATCTAATAATCCTAAGACATCCTTCCTTCCTACTTGCGTCCTCCACCCAATTGTATCCAGATCCCCTTGCTGGACCAGCCTGCCTTTCCTATAACTACATCCCTCCGCTGCAACTGAGACATCCTTTCTCTTTCTTTCATTGATTCAGACTGCTCCGCCTTGGGAAAGACAGGAACCAAGCAAAACCGCGTCGCAGGGCGGCTTATCGATTGTCCCCAATTATCGCCATCGCCTTGATCTCGAACCGCACACGCCCTCCTCCCCCCCTCCCCTTCTCTCGAACTATCCTACAACGAACCACAAGGCACCGCGTCTTGTCTTGTAATCCAGAGACAGTCGCGCCTCCTAGGAAACGCTTTTCTTGAGGCCCCAGTCCAACCAGAACTCTCCATCCCGGACAATTGCCCCCCCTCTCCGTTTCTTCGCCCAACGGGGATTCGCCGCGGTTACTCTAGGAACTCTATAGTCTACATTCCTGGCCTTGCGTACTAGACCATCAAAGGAACGCGACGCGCCTCTCTCTTTCTGCTTGACTCGGTCCTTTGCTCGCCTCTCTCCTTTGGGGAACTACTAGGTAATGGCTTCTGGCTGTAAGTGTGATCGACCCTTTCCTGCCTTCCCTGATATATGGCCGGGAGATTTGTTTATTTCACCTCGTCCGTCCCTCCTCCATTCCCCAACCTCGACTTCCACTTCACACTCCCATCCTTCCCTCACTCTTTTTTTCTTTGGCTTGCTTCCCCTCTGCAGAGGCGACTTTCCCTTCATTCTTTCTCTGTCTTGTATGCTACATCACCGTCTGTCGTTCGCATTCTTACCTTCACTGTCCCTCAGTGCCTCTCTCTTGTCATCACTGGTCCCTCGCTGCACCCGCATTGCTCCACCGTCTCTCACTTGTATATCGCCGCCGTTGCGCCTTGCCACATTCCCTCATATACTAATAATACACTGCACCCTCCTTGTGTCATACATCATTTCGTGCACCCGCATACCACCTTCCAAACTTTCTTTAAGCTCATCCCCCTTCAGAAGACCGAAGTCGTTGCACCTGCACAGCACCCCTACATATTGCATTCAATACTACCCACAGACACTAAACTATACCCTGCACAGGTGGAAGAGTCGAAGTACCTCCCGCACCGTCTCGAAAGGATCATCTCATTGAAGAAACCGAAGACATGAGATCCCAGGGTAACATGTCCGATCGCCTGACCATCGAAGTCGACTGTACCTCCTTGGGTTCCAACGAGTGCCCCTCCATGGCTTCCAGCTTCTCACCCATGGAATCACCTACGCCTACTCCAACAAGTGTGTACAGCCAAGGCTCTTTGGCTTCGCCCACCTGGCACGAAGGGGGCTCGTATCCGGGACAAGGCTATGAAAGGCATACCGGAACGACGCCAATGCGCAGTGCCTTTCGACTGGCCAGCATGACATCCAACGATAGTATGGGCATGTCCTATGGGCAAATGGAGGCACAAGAGCGGATGCCAATGACCGACTTTCTCTCAGGATATGATGAGAACGTTGAACATTTCTGGATCCCCCAAGAGGCACAGAAAGCCTATGAACATGGCGTCCCTGGACTCCCATACCCTCAGGCAATGCCTCAGTATTCCACTATGGGCCGTAGCAGCTATCGACAACACGCTGCACCCTACCTGCCCGATTCCGCAACCAACCCCTGTCTGTCGCGGTCGATTTTCCATCAGCCTGAAAGGGTTCCCAACTCAATGTCTATGGGCAATGTGATACCTTGGATGGCCCCGCAGCCAGACTCAATTGCCCCGCAAACTATTGCCCCGTCGCAGGTTGCCCCAGTCACCCCCCCGCCGTCATACTCGGAATTTTCAGGCTCAATCAATACCTTCAAGACGCACAGCCCGACCACTCCAGTGCGTTCCTGCTCATTGGGGACTACCTCTGGGACCGATACACCCATGAGCCGCCTCTCAGGCGGCATGGACTACCTGGATGACTTCAACCAATCGCCAGTTTATCGCGACAATCTCGCCCGAGTCCAGCGCCAGCCCTCCAGGAAAGTTGCTCGGAAGCAGTCGTCAAAGCAGAGCCTGAGCTTGGAAAACCTTCCGTCCATCATCAAGCAAGTCCAATTTAAGTGCAAGGAGCCTGGTTGCAAGGGTCGCTTCAAGAGACAAGAGCATCTGAAGCGGCACATGAAGAGCCACTCTAAGGAAAAGCCGCATGTATGCTGGGTTCCTGGCTGCGAACGGGCTTTCTCGCGCAGTGACAACCTGAACGCGCATTACACGAAGACCCACAGCAAGCGCGGCGGCCGTAATCGCTATGTCGCGACGCTAGACGAGAACAGCCCAGACTACAACCCCGAATACCGCGGCCAATTAACCGCTGATGGGCGACCAGTCTACAACTCCAAGTCCCAAGATCTCATGCCCGATGCTCGTGAGACGAGCGAGGAGGCGTGGTTGGAGTAAGCGGATATAGAGTTTAATACGGGAAGGACCGAAACATGATACCCTTGGGCACCTGAGTTGCCCGTTCCCTTTTGGGTCATTAGATGGGCACAGACACAGGGCCCGACAGACCCCGGTCGGCGCTTCACGGCGTTCTTTGTAAAACATTTTCTGGCTATATACACCGGACGATTTCCTTTGTTAATTTGAATGTTGCATACCTTTCCTTTGTGTTTTCCTTCATGATCTTATATTCTCCCCACCCATCTGGGCCCAAAATCTCTTATGCTTTGGAGAGGCACTTCTCATTCCATTTCTTTCTCTTTCTTCTTTCATTTTTTTTTCTTCTTTCAAAAAGAAAACCTACCATTGGATAATAATGCGTTGAGACGGATTGGCTAAAACGGCATGGAAAGGAATGGTTTGTACACGATGGGAGTGATCTGACTGCGTTCTTTTCAATCTGATTGGTCTCATCCACTACTGAACACTATACGAGATACCTAACAAGTAATAAGAATTCAAAACAATTGCATGACTTGAACCATTCTGGAATAAACTGGGAATTGGAAAGAAGAAACAAGGAAGCCGTTGACTAGTCTTCTGTTGGGCCTACCGGGATTCCGCTCTCTGGTCTTTGGGTCTTCCACCGCGACCTATTTTTGTCGGGTATCTGATGGGTCAGGTTTACGGAGGGGAGGCAGATGGTGCTACGAGGCCTAGCGTGGCTTTGGAGATCCAGCTAAGTGCGATGGAGCTGGAACGTATCACACCCTCCCGGGGAGGCCGTCTCATCCCATGGATGGGTTGGGGCCGTGGGAAAGGGAAGAAGCGGGAGAGCTTACTCATCTACCATCACGAACGAACTAGTTAACCAACTAGCTAACTAACTTACTTTTTACTGTAATTAGAAGTTGATGTTTCCTCGCACGGACTGACAGGACGAGGAATAGCCGGGGGGGGGGGGAGAGAGTCTCTGGGGAGCCCTTCTGGTTGGTTAGTAGTACTTACTCCGGTTGACCCCGGTAATTTTGTTAGTATGGTGGAGAGGTGCAGGGGGTTGAATCCTTCCAGCGGTGAGTCTCCTAGCTAACACCGCCTGCCTAATATAGCTAGCCACGCGTTGAAGTTGAAGCTCACAAACGCGAGAATAATGATGCATTCTACTAATTCTTGGTGTTTCAAAGATGCCTTCCACTCCTGAACCTGCCTCTCCGCAATCAACAAATTCAAAACGTCTAGATCGTGATGATCGTATCCGTGTTCTTACTCTTCGTGATGCTGGTTTTACCTATCAACAAATAGTTGATCAGCTGCAGATTAGCTATCGCCAAGTTCAATATACGTGTCAAAATCAACAAGCTACACCTCGAAAAGCAAAAGGCAATACATCAAAGCTCTCAGATGAAGAAGTTGATCATATTATACAATGGATATCGAGTTCAAAGCGTACGCGTCGGCTGCCATTTTATCGTGTTATTGAAGAGCTTCAACTTCCTGTTGGAGTAACAGCTTTAACACATTCTTTAAAAAAGGAGGCTATACACGCTGTAAAGCACTTCGAAAGCCACCTCTTACCTCAGCAAATAAACAAGCAAGGTTAGCCTGGGCTTTTGAACATCTATACTGGACCCGGGATCAATGGAATCGAATACTCTGGACTGATGAGACCTGGGTAACTTCAGGCTTTCATAAACAGATATACGTGACTCGCAAGGCTGGTGAAGAGCTTGATAAGACCTGTCTCCGTACAAATCCACCACGTAAACGTGGTTGGATGTTTTGGGCATCTTTCTACAACAATTTTAAAGGGCCATGTCTCTTTTGGGAGAAAGAATGGGGGACTATCAACGCTGAAGGTTATATTGACCGCATCGTTCCTATTATTGATGGTTATGTACGCTTGGTTGAACGCAATGAACATCAACGACTTCAGATAATGCAAGATAATGCTCCTGGTCATGCAAGTAAGACCACTATTCAAGAGTTTAATGAGCGTGGGATCTTTCCAATTATTTGGCCAGCTTTCTCACCAGATCTTAACCCAATTGAAGCCGTTTGGAACTGGATGAAAGACTGGATTGAGCGTTATTTCCCCCAGGATGAGCAGTTATCATATGATCAACTACGTGAGGTTGTACGAGCTGCGTGGGATGCTTTACCAGAGGCATTCTTGGATGGTTTAATTAATAGCATGCCTGCAAGATGCCAGGCAGTGATCAACGCGGAAGGTGGCCATACAAAGTATTAATAATTATTAATAATCATACAAACAGCAGAATTGGAAGGATTCAACCCCCTGCACCTCTCCACCATACCAACAAAATTACCGGGGTCAACCGGAGTAGTACTCCGTAGTAGTGGACGAAGCGGATGGATGTATCTGAAGTCAGCCAGACGGGCTGGGAGGGACTAAAGTAGGTACATACATGCATTAGCTCTTCGTCTTTTCCTTTTTCCCCCGTCGATCTTCCTCCCCACCGAGTCCCACATTCCTGGAGTCTGGCATTATCCCTATTGGCGGCTATCCTACCGCTCTGTCACTGGCTCCAAGGTGGAGTATCCATAGTATCTATCCATGGATGATTACGGCTGACGCTTCCTCCCCGTCTATCGATCTAGTAGCTGTCGACTCACACGCCCTGAATATTTTTTTTCTAAAGCCACATGAACCTGAAGCAGCAGTTGAGCTGCTCAACTAAGTAAGTCATCAATTGAGGTCTAACCCACTACTTCTTTAGTACGCATGTCCTGGAAATAGTACTTAGTTTTGCTCTCCACTAGGAATTCCGGCAACCGGGATGCCACCTGAGCCTAAGGCTTTAGGAACAATAATTCCCCACATGCCAGGTCCCGTGAATGGTTACGAGAAGAAGCCCGTGAGTCTGTTGTAAGTACTGTAGTTTGTTCCTGTTCGCCATTCCGGCCTTCCCGTGGAATGACTTAGTATTCTCAGCTGCTCGTAACTAGTCCCACCACTAAGGTATGGAGTAGTTTGTTACCAGTAAGTGAAGTCTTCTCGGATAACTCAATGAGGTTCACCGCTCATCAACGGCTTTCCCCGTTATGTCTCGAGATCTCCCCTTCTCCTACTTACGTGCAGAGGAAATGAGGGCCCATTCCCCGTCACACGATAGCATCATTACTCTGCCGATCTTGCAAGTATGTCCATATTGAAAAATCTTTTTGCTGTTTCCAAAGCTAGGACCAGATCACATCATCGCCTCATCAGGCTAGGTGACCTCTAAGCACCCATCTTTCAGGTGTCAGCTGTTGGCCAAGATTAACATTGCAGTGGCACCTTATCAAATCACCTTTCTTCCATGCAAAGGACACTGCTGTCTCCAAAGGCTGGTAGGTTGCACTAATCCTGTGGACCTCATCCAGCTCCCCTACCCCAACTGATCTTACATTTGATGTCCTGCCGGCCCTGGATGGACTGCGTCTCACAGTCTTTGACCCCGAGGTAGTACAAGCTGAGGCGGGAACCTGTATCACAGAATGCGAGACGAGGTTGGCTTGCTCGGCTATCCTCGGCGTTACTCATGCTCCACACGCACCCTCGACTGTATGTGTGGTTCCCACAAGCGTGCATTTGGACGTCGGGCTGGCCCTCTTTGCAAAGATAAAATTGTTGGTTTCGTTTCCATGCACGGGTATCAGGAGTGTTGCTGGTGATATGCAGCATGAACTTAGACCGCCTCACGCGTTCTCGGACTACTAGCATGGCCAGTTGAGTGTTTGTACTACAGTCTCGCTAGCCGATGTATTATGGTACAGGATCCAACAAATCAACATGTGTAGCTTCGTTGGCCAACCTACAGTGACCATGCCTAGGAATTTGTCTTTGCAGCCTTCCATTTCCCGGCAGCCGATTGTCTTGTTGGTTAAGCACGATCGCCAGCAGCGGTAAGCTTTACCTCCGCACTGACCTTCTAGAGTACGTCTGGAATGTGAACACGTCTCTCGACTCTCTGAACCTCCAAGATTCGCCGCAGAATGAGGATCTATACCACTTCACGGTCTAGATCGCTGCCCCAAAGTCCCAAAAAAAAGCACACATCTAGCCTTATCTCGGCATGAATGCTCAACGGTAGCGTTACCTTCTACCTTCTCCCTTTCATTCCATGCATTCATCTTGCAGTGCGCCTCATTTTTCTCTCGAATATCCGCAGATTAAACATCTCCCACAAATACTATTTCTATGTGCACGAGAGACTTCAGCCTCAAACGCCATGTCTTCCACCCAACGTGCTCAGTCCAGGCACGCGCAGAACAATACGACCGGCAAGACCACCCGCCGTAGCAGTGCATATTAATTGCTACCGTCAAATACTACCTTAACCTCTCCCAACTCTATAGAGTGGATTCGAGCCGCGAATGACCACCCAGCCTTAGGTTACAAGTTGGAACAGCACAGCGGACAGCAGTTCCGATGCCACTAATGCAATGCAGGCAGACACTTGCGAACCACAGATCTTGCTTTCAATCGGTAAAACCAGGTAAGCATAATACTTCCGATAACTAGTTACCACGTATTGTGTAGTCAGGTCCATGGGTGCTACAACACCTACAGGCCGATCGTCTGGATCTCTCACCGGCTTCTCAATCAAGAATAGTCAAGTTTCTCAAGCCTGCATGCCCGTCCTTTCAGCTTCACAGCACAGCCCAACAAATAAGTCTTAATCTACACAATGGCATTCATAGTATGTGCGACCCCGGTACGCAACCACACATCACTGGGTTCCTGGGATCGTCCCAATCCCTACCGTTTCCAGAATGATCCAAAATAAACTTTTGACACCCACTGAAACGGTTACACTATTGTCTGTATGTGATATCACATGTGGATTGCTCCTATTGACCAGTGCCTGCATGGATCTATCTCCTTAGCATGGCAATAAGGAGATTGTTTCCGCGGAAAATATTCCATGTTCGAAACCTCATGGGGCGGGCTTTGGTTGTACACGCTGGGCACAGACCTTTAAGCCTTGTACACAGCCACAATAGGCCATATTGCGTGTGCCATTTATTAAGGCTGAGGTGATAGTAAGCCCAAAGTAAACCCACTATTAATCAATGTTGAGATGATAGCTCGAGCTACTACTCGACTTTGGTCCTTCATTTACTGGTTTGGCTTTGTATACTACGCGGCAACGCGAGGCACAACGATGAGTGCATAAACCACCTTACTAATTAATACTCGAGCTAAGTAACTAGTGAACTAAGTTAGCTTACCATTGCTTACATAACATCACCACATAAAAACCTCTCCACCAGCAAAATCTTCACCGTTTCTCTTTTTCCCACATGCAGATGCTGTTCCTCCACATTCGAGGTGGCTGGCAACCCAAAATGCCTTGGAAGATAATGCTCTTGAACAGGCTTGGGACCCGATAATCTGCGGATAATTTACGCCGTCCATGATATGCGAGGAGGATTTCTTGGAAAGGGCGTACAGCCTACAGCTTGGTTATGGGCAAGCTTTTAATGAAACTTGGAATTGCTCCGGTTATTTGTTGCTCGCATTGTCTCTTAAACTATGATGACTTCCTTCTTTTGGCATGATGCAGATGATCTGCGATGAGTGCAAATCCAAAAAATATCAAGCTCAACAGTCTGAGTTATAGAGACATGTTTCTATTGATTTGTTATCTATCTATTTCATATCGAATAAATGAACTTATATATACATACACCCACCTTGCTGTATCTCAACCTAAATAACCATAATCTTGACGAAGTCTATGACCCCAACTCTTCCTATTCCCACCCGCTCAGACCAGGCATGAACAAGAAATCAGAAACAGTCCCCTCCCATCCTCACCCAATGAAGTAAAATGTACTACTTATTTCCAAAATCCAAACCCAAAAACACCGTCTCCTCCACCAAAGGCGTCTCATAATACGGCCCAACCTCCACAAACCCCAGACTCCGATACAGCCGAATCGGCCCTTCCATACTGCGCAACGTATCGAGTCTCATCCCCCGATACCCCAGTTCCCTCGCCCTCGCCACAATCGAACTCACTAACGCCCGCCCCAGTCCCATCTTCCGCGCTTCAGGAGTAACATACAGCCGCTTGACCTCGCAGAGTTGCCGCTGTTGCCGCTGTTGCCGCTCATCATCCTTGTCAGGGAGCGGACGGAGAGCCACGCAGCCTAGCGGGGAGGGGTCTGCGCTGCTGCTGTATGCGAGAAGAAGGTCACCGCCTTCCTGGGGGCTGTATTTACCGGGAAGAGAGGATAACTCGGCTTGGAAGTTTTGGAAGGTAAGGTCGATGTTGAGCCATGTGGCGTAGGCTGTGAAGAGGGTGCGGGCGGCGGTGAGGTGATGGGGGGTTGTAGCGGGGATTATATGGTAATTTGTGGCCATTTTGTGTGGTGGTGTTTTTGGTTCTTTGTTGGGTGTAGTAGATGTTGAGTTCTGTAGATACTTTTTGAGAGATGGTCGACAGGGTTTTGCGGGATGGGATGGAGTATAGCGATTTTCTTTCGCTATCTTCAGAGCTCTCCCTGCGGGCTAGCTGAAGGGGACGGTTGGGATCGCAAGTAGTACGTAGAATGTGTATATCTTCGATTGTATATGTCCTCGATGAGCTATGCTGGGTTTGCCATGTAAAAAAGAACGCTGATATAGTTGCTTGAGTCTCTTGACTCAGAACATATCCTTGAATGTCAATCCCGATCGGGAAAAGGGCGCGATGTTGACCTGATCGGGGAAGGTGTTGACACCTCAGGCGACAAGTCCGCTTGGTCGGTATGAGTAGTCATTTCTACTCCGTACTCCTCTCGTCTTTCGGTTGTTCTTCAACCATCTACATCAAACCTTTGGGTTGAGAAAGGCTTTTGTCTGAAGTCGTTGATGCTAGGAGACTGGCATCCGTGCAGGATTCAGTCCACGATGGAGATACGCGCATCTCGCGTTATCTCGTCAAGCCATTAGCGCTCCGTTAGACTAACAACTAGATAGCATGAGCTAACACATCCTTCGCCTTCAACAAATTGATGTCTAATCAAGAACCATAACTAACTTAGTAGGATGCTATCGCTCGGTACTCGTCTTTGAGAGACTGCTGAAATTGCTGGTGACACACGGACTTTTGAATCAGAAGCATCACTGCTCTATACCATCCACCCCTTTTACACCCGGCTTGTGTCGGATAATAGACTGCTGCAGGAACAGGTCGGACATTCTTTCCTGATTTTCCTCCATCCATTCTTTTCTTCATAAGTTGGCTTGCTTCTAATCCTGGTCGTCAACATCAGCCAACACTGGCTCCGGCAATACCATTCGCCCATTGCTGACGGAGAGCCCGGTTCCTGAAATTAATCCATCATCCGCTCCTGCAGATCACTCCGCCCAGAGCGAATCAAAACAATTTTCAGCTCAAAAGCAAGAACAAGTGCGACCTACTGATACGCAACTTGAGAGTCAATTGCCTCGCTCTTGGTTAATTTAGCTGGTCTCCTCACTCTACCCACTCTTCGACCTAACCTCCGATGGCGCCCCGACGGCTCATCCTCCAGACCGGCTGCAGACCACCGCTACACTGGTCAATTGGCCAATTCGACACCTCATCGCCAGCGGAGGTGCGGGTCCTCACGGCGTCCTCCGCTCTCCTAAGGCTGCCTTTCTGATCGATTGCGGCAAATCAGCTCGTCCTTATCAGGGCATGTGCTATCTACAACTTTCGGTGGCAGATTTCCCCGCTACCCACATGCGGTGGCCTGGTTGCTAGTCGGACAACCGAGCACGGAGTATATGGGCACCTAACGCCAGCTATACGCTACTAAGCTATAAATTGGGTCAATTGCACCCGACTTTCCCGATTGTCATTCAGCCATTGAGTTCTCTCCTCACGAAGTTAACGATCGGTTTTTACGCATAATGTCTTTCCTTCCTTCTGTGGGCATGCTCGCCCTGGGCGCAATGCAGCTCAGCTCTGGTGTGCTGGCTACCATTGACACTTGCTCCTCCGATAGCCCTCTGAGCTGTCAGACCGACAACGAAGCTTCCTGCTGCTTCAACTCTCCTGGAGGCTCCCTTCTCCAGACTCAATTCTGGGACTATGATCCCTCCGATGGACCGACCGACTCTTGGACCATTCACGGACTCTGGTAGGACTGACACGTCACATTCCTATATCACCCGCTAATGAGCTTTCTAAGGCCCGATAACTGCGATGGCACATACCAGGAGTACTGCGACGACTCTCGCGAGTACAGCAACATCACCTCCATCCTCGAAGCGCAGAATCGCACCGAGCTCCTGTCCTACATGAAGGAATACTGGCCCGACTACGAGGGCGCTGATGAGGATGAGAGCTTCTGGGAGCACGAATGGAACAAGCACGGTATGTCTGGTCACATCTGTTTCTAGAACTGGCATATTGAACTTGCTAGGAACCTGCATCAACACCATCGAGCCCAGCTGTTACACCGACTACTACCCTCAGGAGGAAGTTGGTGACTTTTTCCAGCAGGTCGTCGACCTCTTCAAGACCTTGGATTCCTACACCGTATGTAAACAACCCCTTGTGTATTCTATAGATATTGACAGTAGCAGGCTCTCTCCGACGCCGGAATCACTCCCTCCGAGGATGCCACCTACAAGCTGAGCGACATTGAGGATGCTCTCGCCGCGATCCACGATGGTTACCCTCCGTATGTTGGGTGCGAGGACGGTGCTCTGTCCCAGCTCTACTACTACTTCAACGTTAAGGGCAGCGCCATCGGCGGCACCTACGTTGCTTCTGAGAGACGTAAGTCACCTATAATTGGATAATATGTCATTAACTAACCCATACTATTAGTTGAGGACTCCAACTGCAAGGACTCTGGCATCAAGTACCCGCCCAAGTCCAGCTCCAGCAAATAGAACTAGACTTGAGATACTCACTCGAACTAGCTTCTTCACTTAAGAGGATAAATGATGATATTGAGGTGTGAATTATGAAAAGTTGTGAATTGTGAGATTATTGCACATTGCAGGGTAGCCTGCGAGGGGAATGATTCTTAGTGGAACATCCGCCGCATTCAATTCATGTATATTGACAATGGTCAACTACAATGCTTCTTAATGAATGCCATTGACCAGAGGATTGTACAATTCCGTGACCTTTACATTCCCTGTAGGATTCGATCATATAAAAGCATCGTCATTTCCCTCCCAACTTTTTCTTCCTCTTCCACTTTTGCATTCTCCAATCAGCTCCTCTGCCACAATACAGAAAACAGATATACGCTTCGATTATCCCAGCAATCTATCTAGATCTAGCAAATCATAACATGAGCAAACACCTATACTCATCATTACTGTCAAATCCGACTATGAGAAAACATTCATACTTATAACAGATACCCACTCAAGATGCCTCGATCTATCCTTGTGCTGTCCTAAAGAAGCCACTGTCACTTCCCATGGACATCGAATCTCAAATACACGGCGGTACGATAGATGCCAAATTTAAACCGAAGCACAACAATCGTTACTTACGAGGATAATTTATAGATAACATGTCGTTCCCCGTTCTACCCAAGGGCACATAATTACCTTATCGGCTATCCACGCCGATGTTCCCCTCGACAGCTTTTAGCTGCACAGAGGAGCGAAGGACAGGGACTGTCAGCGAACATGGAATCGCGTCTTAAGACAAACGGACAGCCAAGGACTGACCACATATACATACGAGCAGTCCCCCAGTCTCCGATTTTCAATTCAAAAAAACACTAACAAGGATCCGCTGGGACACCTATCCTCTGGCGGCCGTCTTGCTCTAACAGAACTGGTTTCAGCTACTAGCATAGCTCAACCCATAAAGTACTATACGTACTTGCATAGACAGCTTAGTCAACTACGATCCCATCGTACACAAAGATACTAGAATATATCCTCCATATATTGCTATACAACACAGTCTCTCCTGGCTCGCGCCCTCGGAAACACTCAACTGACGGGTTGGTTAGAGTCATATGGCTCAGCTTGCGCTGCAGTATACCATTGGAGATCTTTGACATGGCTTATTTGAGGCTCTATTTATTATTATACCGAGCAAATATTAATTATTGTATTGGCCTTATCAACTCAATACTTACTTCAGCTAGTTGCAAACTCATTACTGGCTGGGGTGTGGGGAACTGATGAGTTGGTTGGAGCAAAACGGACCAGCTCACGCTAATGTACACTATTAAGAGCTGAAAAGCGCCACATAAGGTGTTTATTATTGTTGACCCTAGCTCACAAGGGGAGGGGGCAGCATAGAACATATGGTCAAAATCAAGGAACGGGAGTATCTTGCGTCAAGAAGGCGAACTCTATACATCAGCGATTGCCGTCTGTTCTTTGCTGGAATATCTCCTCTGGATCTTCTTGTACATCCTTTCCTTCGTTATTCGAACGCGCTTCGTTGACCTTTCGTCAAGTTCTAGGCTTCGGATAAGCAACTTCATCTAATCCTGTTCTTTGCTAAATTATTTATTAATCGTAATATTCGGACAGTTGGGCTCCGTGACCCTCCTATCACAGACTCGCATGCCATAACGGGACCCCTACTCGTTATGTTTGCCAAGGAGAAGCTTCTTGGATTGTTGATCCTAGCTCCCAGGGAGTATCTGACTAATGTCCATAACCACTAGGAAGCCGCAATAAGTCAAGAAGTCATACCCGTTGCTAAGTATCAGCGCTCTACCTAGCGGTAAGCCTATTACTTATGGCTGAGGCGGTAGATGACTGTTGGAGAATTGATAAATTGGCTAAAGCAATACAGACCAGTTCGTGGGGAAATACACATTGACGATAAAACCGTTGTGTCAGTTCTTTTCCCCCAAATATAGAGCCTCATGCGACTATGGGTGTATAGAACAGTCTTGGTCTGGTTCACGGCCCAGAGAAGACTTGCTACGGCTTGTCTCAGGGGATAAGTATAGATGGGACCCGGTTTGGAAAACGCTTGTTATGGCGGGATATGTTTTGGAAAAGAAGATAAATGTGACTGACTATAATATAATCGTTACTAGTATTAACTATTTAGGGGTATATCCCAAACGACATGTCCTTTTCCTATACACTACCCCAACTCAGCAATACCAGCAATAACAGAAGTATACCTCCCCGAACTTATCGAGGCGTCGAGGACTGCCAGCATGCCAGCATGGCCCTTTAGGATCGATTAAGCCAGCACGATGTCAGCCAGTATCTTCCCTACAAGCATGTGGCACTAAACTTATTCGTTGATCTCGAGAAAAACCGTTCAAGGCTGGGAAAGGCCGTTCGATTTACGTGTTTCGATGATATCGAGACGCTGCTTATAAAAAGTCCCAATACCTCCGCACGAGAAAGCGCATGGACTTTTAGCTGCAGAAGACAGACATTCTGGACTCTCTCCGAATGGTCATGGCAGGATATGCCTTGGAAAAGAAGAGAAAGCGATGAACTATGATTGTCGGTTAGTTCTATTACGGAACTAAGTACAGCTTATCTAGGGCCCCGGTTTGCATAATGCTAGGTCGAACATAACACTCTAATCAAACCTTTATCTACTCAATTGCCTGGCTCAGGTTTGGTACTCGGAACAGGTATATAGGGCAACTACCTGCTTGTTCTGAACGAAGGTCAACTCGAGACCTAATGAACTTTGCAAGTTCAATATATGTTTCGGGGTATAATTCTCTATCATTTATTTATTTGGTTGGCTCTGGCACGAAGATGTTGACTGCCATTGAATACTCGTCATGTTCAAGACAATATGGCGACTACTCATCCGGTCTAATTTTAAGTGGGAAAGTCAACATCCAGCTATATGTCTGCATCGAGAGACCATGCGACTCCATACGGTCACGCAACGCTACTATCGGTCAAGTAACCCCACGAAACTAAACCAGGAGATAATTCTTCCTGCTTTATTCCGCCCCATAAAATTGGCAAAGTTCAATGGATAATGAGTTATCATGCAACAAACTCGGCAATAGTCACTGAAGAGAATGATGGGGAGATGAGCTGGGGAATACTGCCCCCATGTGCCTTTTTCTCGCAGCTAACGCCAATGGACAATATTTACGGATTTGGCCTGGAGATGCTTGTGAAAGACAAGGGAAAATCCAACTGGCAAAGAAAGTATCAATCGGCGAATTTAGATGGCTAAAAAAGACATCTTTTCCACTAACACATTGACGAGATATGGAAGCCATCACTCCTCTTAGAGAGTTTGTCGCTCGTTTTTAAGATAATGAGAATATTCTGTGGTGCACTTAGTTTGCGTGGAATTCATGTCCATTGCAGGCTGATCGAAGGTATCTTCAAGTCATCCATACCTCTAAGAACGCATGAGGGAATCCGTCAGGTTGATGATGGGACGAGCCATCATTGGTGTTAATAGCGGGCTGGATCAAGTCCAAAGATGATGATTCTGGAAAGGAAATGGACATGTGGTATTTATCAGCAGTTTGCTAATCATAGCTTGGGCCGATTTATAGTCCTCATATGTCTGTGATTCATAAAAAGGCATCTACCGATTAATCAAGTGGAACTGTTTCCTCTTATGCTGAATACTTGACCTCAGTGATGAGAGATGTCATCAAGAATCTGACCAGGGAGAAAAACTGGGAACCTTCAGCACGGCGTATGGCAGAAATCTTATAGACAGAAGTTGTCTGCCTTCCTCATGAGTGTACTTTTTGGGTGTCCCACTGCAACGAGCTATACACGTTTCCAGAGCCGTTGAGGCATTGTACAACGCCAATTACTGCATTTATCCCGACAATAGCTAAGTTAAAATGGAAATAGGTACATCGAAGACACGAAAGGCTTTTACACAGAGCATCTGGGGGAAACAGGACTCATATGTGGTAATAAGCGGCGCGATTATACGAACATCGTAATTTAAGCTGTTACAAAATCATGTTGAAGCTGCTACGATCACGCCCTGGAGAAGAACGGGTCATGGGGTATACCAAATCGAGGTGAGATCCTCACTACAGTTGCGACTTATGCTGGAATGCCTGTGCGGCCAGCTTCTATTGTGGGATGAAAAAGCAATTTTGTGGACATACTTCCCCGGAGAAGAAGTCAACATCAGTGCCGCGCTAATCAGGGCTATTAGCAGTACAAAGCATGGGGTTGTGCGTGGCGGGATGGATTTCAGGGTGTTTGCATGGTGCTGGTAAAGTCCTACTTAGGGATACCGAGACTCCTCGGATGTAGTCAGAGATACGTGGGGATTGTTAGCATCACACACCCTTCTCGAGTGCAGCCGACTACGTTGCAAGTTACTTGGATCCGACGTCAGCAGAGGGTCGATTGAGGGAGCTTCGTTAAGTTTCTCCATTTCTTCCTTCCTAAGTCCTTTTATTAGGTAGAGAAATTAATCAAAAGGTACTATGTAGCTAGCTATACAGCGCGTGCAACCAATATCACTCTATTGGATCAACAGGTATTTCCATCCTAACAATATCGTACATCCCCACTAATTCACATGTCATAAGTCATAATATCGCTTTAGCTGGCACTTATGCCAGCCATGCTAGTTCGATGCATAGGTAAATACGCCCATCCAACCAGTGGCATTCATCCGCGTAAGCGAACCGCGTAGTGCGGAGATGAGTATGGCCCGGTGGATCAAGCCGTAGGCACGTGTCCGGTGCTACCCCCAGCTATGGATGGTAGTTAATATCACACCGCATGGGTATCCCGTGCTGTTTGAGGCGTGTAGCCAGCCGGGCTTGCAGACTGGGAAACGTGCCAAGTCGAGAAGTCGAGGCGTGGACACAAGGGAACCAGTGCTGAAGATCCCTGGCATTACTCCGCACCTGCATGTGAGGAAATTCGGAGAAGGATTTGGCGAGGAACCGAGAGGCGAGTCAATAAGCCAAAGGAATAGAGGGACTGAAGTTTAAGCCAGTTTAAAGCCCCTTCAGACGAGCATTTCTCCTCTCCTCGTCTATCTTGGCCCCCACGCGGTCCAAGAAATCCATGCGACCCAGGAATCCCTCCTTCGCTTTGCTGTGCACGTTGAGCTCGTCCTTGATTCCAGCCTGGTCCACATACGCAGCCCAGTCCAGACGCGACTTCTCGACCGTGTTGATCTTTGGTCCCCGGGCGTTCTCCTGTCCAGCCGTCGCCTCTGTAACGGGCTGTTTCTCCCAGCTCTTCTTGATCGAACCGGTGGGATTCGGATCGAAGCGGGAAGGTCGTCGAAGCGGTCTGCGCAGTTTGAGGGCGTCTTTAGCATTCGCTGCGTTGTCTACATCTGCAGCAGTCACGGTCTCCGCATCCTTCTCGCCCGCCAGGAATAGCTTAGCTTCCGCTGAATCCTTGGGCACAATCTTCTCTTCCGTAATCATCTCTCCTGCAAACTTGTATGTGCGCTTGATCTTCACCATCTCTTCGGTATACTTCGTCTGGGGCTCCTGTGCGGAGGGGGTCGCCTCGTCACCACCTGCCGTTTCCCCGTCGGTCTGGCCAGCCGCAGGCGTAGCTTCCTTGCTCTCATCCTGCGCTGAAGAAGCATCTACTCCCGAGTCTGGAGCGTTCATCTTCGCCCATAACGCGTCCACGTCAACTGTAGCGCCGTCGATCTTCGCGAGAGGTTTGCGCTCCTCTCCACTGCGATAGTATTGCGTCAGTACAAATGTATCTAGTAGACAGTCAGACAAATGTATATAATCACGTACATTCGCATCTTCATCGCGCGCGTCCGCACAAAACCTCCCGTTCCTCCTTCCTCATCATCAAGATCCACATCCCCGTCTTCTCCCTTCTTCCTCTTCTTATTCTTCGCCTTCTGGATCATCGCCTCATCCCCAGAAGCCAGCTCGTCGTCATCACCGGCTCCTTGCGCATCCTTGGTATCCTTCTTCCGCCGCTTAGACGCTGGCTCGTCGGCGGCCTCCTCTTCGTCGGAATCGGACATGCCCGAGTCCGCGTCATCTTGGGCTGCGTCGAGCTGAAAGTCTTCGTCTTCGGCAGAGTCATACTGCTCGTCGTCCAAGTCAATTTCGGCAGAGGGAGAGGCCATATCTGGTGGCATTTTGATAGATAGCTGTGAAGTATAGTTCTGTTGCTGAAGTGGAAAAGTGAAACGCTGTGAAAGACGCGAGATTCTGCCAGGGCGGTGGAGGATATGATAGCTGATTATGTAATGAATACGACCAATCGGAGCCGAGATGCGGCAATGGAGATGCAGTGATAACGCCGAGGTTGCTGCGATAAGGAGAACCAGTGGATGACCATTTACAACACCGTCCAGCAATTCAACGACAGATACTTACTCACACCTTGTGTCTAGTTCATTCATGTCTTCAATAAACAGCAGGACATATGCTGTTCCATGAACCCCTCATCTCCATACTAAACCGTCTGTCAACGGGCCGAGCCGCGCGCTCGGCCAAAGACTACTAATCACTCCATCTACCGAGGATGACCGAGCCTGGACCTCTATATCAACTCACAGCATCTCGATATGCCAGTTGAGACCTACTCTTCAACAACTGGCAAGATCTATTTGTCTAATTAACAGACATCATGGCCACTCGCTCGCCTAACCCTGTCGCCCTAGTAGTGGGCGCCTCCCGAGGCATTGGCCGCCAGATCGCTATCGATCTCGCGAAGAACGGATACACCGGTATGCGAGACAACAACACAATTCTCCATATCCATGTTTATAACCCGCCTTTACTAACAAGTGATATCCTTATACAGTAATTATAGCCGCCAAATCTGCCACCTCCCCTGACACCACAGCACCCTTCCCACCAGACCCCAACTCCCCCGCCTCCACCATTCACACCGTTGCCCGCGAAATCGCCCTCGCCGGCGGCACCGCCCACCCCATTCAAGTCGACGTGCGCGACCCCGCCCAGGTCGATAATCTGGTGAGCGAGACTGTACGGATTACTGGTGGTCGGCTGGATGTGCTAGTCTACAATTCGGGTGCGATATGGTGGTCGTCTGTTGCGAACACGCCGCTCAAGAGGTTCCAGCTGATGCAGCGGGTCAATCCGGAGGGACTGTATGCGACTATCATGGCGGCGTTGCCGGTGTTTGAGAAGAATGGGTGGAAAGGCAGAATTGTGGTGGTTTCGCCGCCGATCTATTCGAGGTTCTTCAGGGGAAAGACGGCTTATGCTATGGGTGAGTCTTCAGGATATCGAGTAGGGTTCTGGGCAGTGCTGACAATGCACAGGCAAGGTCGGGATGAGTGTGCTTACTCGTGGCTTGGCTATGGATTGGGTGAGAGAGGGAAAGTCTGATATGGCTATTACTAGTATATGGCCTGCTACGGTATGTTGAGTGCTCCGTTTGGAGTGGTAGCTGGCTAATGGTTATGTGGATAGGCTGTTGAAAGCGCAGCAACCGAGATGAACCCTGCGAATGATGGCGATTCGCGAAAGGCTGATTTGAGGAAGCCGGTATGATCCTATCAGCATGCACGTTCCCTTTGATACATACTAACAATATAACATAGACGATCTTCTCCGACGCAATCCTCGGGATCTTGAACACTCCAGCACAAACTGTGAACGGGCTCCTAGCTCTCGATGAGGACTTCCTGCGCAATTACTGTGGAGTGACAGATTTCTCCAAGTACTCCGTTATCCCCGGGAGCAGCCCAAGACGCATGATGCCGAAGGAGATGCCCGTACTAGAAGTCGCAGAGCAGGACGATGAGGGGGTGAGGATGGATAGCAGTAAAGCGACAGGAGGAGCGAAGCTATAACGCCCCCAGCTTTACAATACATTCAAGTATCTAGTGCATGCCCTATCAAGATGATATCAATTTACCTACCTACATTACATCATACTCCCAGCCCATCCACTATCTACCACACCCCAATCAACCCCAATTCCACCACGCGCCTCCCACTCATCAACTCAAATTCAAGTCCCTGGATACTTCTCCACTCCCCCCACTGAAACCTTACTCTCCCCCTTCATCATCTCTCCGCCTCTCCCAATATCCTCCAAACTTCCACCCCTCACCCCACCAACCTTCCTCTTAACCCAAACCCCCACAGCAACCACACCCCCCATAACAACCTCCAACCCAAGCAACACACAAAGCAACGCGAACCCAGCCCGAGTAACCTCACAATCTCGCTTGAAATGCACCGGCACTGTAACATCCCCACCGGTAGCATTATAACTAGCGCTAGCGCTAACAGTCCCATCTCCACTGCTCGTATAATCATCCCTCACAACCCCCCACTTACACGTCCACGAATGAAGCGTCTCCATCTCACTGAACCCGCTCGGGTGCTTCGCTCCAGGCTGGTAAATCACGAATACCAGGCCCACGAGCGCGGCGATGAAGCCCGAGAGGGCTGTTGCGGCGGCGAGGAGGTTGAGGAGGCGGATGTGAGGGCGGGGCTGGTGTCAAAGCCATTAGTATCATATGCTAAAGGGGGAATGTGAGGGACGACCCACAGAAGGGACAACAGCCGTAACAATATAGAGCAAGTTCTGGAATGCTATCACACAGCCGCAGGCGAGCAAGGCGATAGTGGGCCTTAGGTCCAGGTTCAGAGGCCACAGGTTGAGCCAGACTCGTGCGTAGGGGGAGGTTTGGCGGTAGTGGTGGAGGGCGACGGCTTCGCAGGCGATGGTTGGGATGGAGGTTAGGAAGGTGAGGATGGCGAGGGCGAGGCGGGTGTGTCGGAGGTGTTGGGTGCGGGTGAGGAATTTGGATTCTTCTTCGATGGATGCCGTTGAGGTTATGGTTGTGGTTATGGTGGATTCGGAGGATAGGCTGCGATCCATAGTTTCTTATGTTTTATTTTCTTCTCCTTTTATGGGTTGAGTGGTGTGGAAATGGGGAAGAATCAAGAAGAAAGAGCCTTGCCAGAAGGCTGTGAAGTGGACGAATTGAAAGAGAAAACAGGTCTTAATGGTAGAAGGAATGGAATGAATTGAAGCTATAGAAGGTAAGGAAGGTAGTGTTACAAACAAGATAGAGAAGACCCTGAAAAAACCTGCAGACCTCGTCAACTACTTATGCAAGCAATAAATAGCCCATCTTGACTTCTTCAGAATTCTTCAGCTGCCAAAAATAAAGAATGGCCTCGCACAAAGCGCGAATAGTTGAAACATCTTCACGAGAGCCCTTCAGCCATGAAAGCCAAATAGCCGCCCATGGGAAATGCGCCGCGCCTATTTGCTGTCTCCTGCATGAGCGCGAAGACGCAGGAATCCTTCAAACTGACTTGATGCAGCCTTGTCCCCTTCGGCGCTTAGGAGAGGTCGGTGCATCAAGCAGCGCGAATGGACGACTTGGACTTGGACAAAGGCACTCGGCTTCTGTGTAACACATCTGTCGCTTCCGGTCCTATTGGTGTGAATAAGCCCGGCTGGAAACGCCACTCATTTGTATCGAACATCTTGGATCAAAAGGAGACACCGGCTGATGGGCATGAGAGCTGTCGGGTCCTATCAATGGTACCTTTCGCACCCTTCGTTCCATCTTCGGTGATGGGTTGAGAGTCGGGGCCTGCCCCCCTTCTAGTATGGGGCAGTCGAACAGCAAAGTAATACAGGCCAAAGGGACTCCAGCTTTCACATGGGGCAGCTGCTGCCACTGCTTCCTGTGGCTTTAATGATTCCACCAATGTCAGAGAGACCCGTGGGGGTAATCTATTCTCTATAGAAGCGCATGTATTACTGGGCTACTAGCTATGCCTCGATCTCTCCAGAGTGTGCGCACGTCTTGATGTTCAGACTACCATATGCCACCGTCAATAGCATCCAGTCTGCTAATGTGCAAAGATGGCTTTGCATGTTCTCCACATTTCTTGGATCCTGCCGGCCTGTTGGAAGTCTAGACTCCGCTCTGAAAATTGCCCTAATTGGATATTCTCCGCACCGTCTTCTTGTTCTGCTTCCATGAGTATGCGGCTTGTAGAATTTACATCATTAGAGAGATTCGCTGTAGCAAGGCCCAAGTGAGATGCCATCCACCTCAGAGACGATGCATTCGCCATCCAGGTGCCGATCATCTCCCAAAGATAGCGCGAAGAGGCAGTGGCACGGGGCCATTATCCAGACCATGCATGGGCCATTGTCTTCATATTCCACCAACCTAGTATCATGTCCACGTCTGTTCCAAGGCGGAGCTTAATTGCGCAGGTCTTGGCTAGGCGGGCGATCAGCACTGCAATCTTCTGTTCGGCATATTCGCCTAACACATGTCTCCTCTCAGTTCTCAGCCTACGGCCAAGTGAAGCCGATCAACCGAGAACGAGCGAGTTCAAAGTATCCCTCAGGTCTCCGTGGAGGTCTCATCTAGGGTCCCCACAAGCCACCATATAAATGAAACACGCAAAATTCTCTTGGAGTGGACAGCGGGATCATTGCACAGGAATCATGGGGTCCTTGAGGCCCGAAATTCCTACCAAACAGCGTGACTCACGACCAGGCTGGATCTAGGGCTGCAAGCAGTCTTCGCTTTGCCAAGGCTACGGGTATTGCTCCGTAGGTACTCAAAACGCCTGCGCCGGGGCCACGAGCCACAGCCACCAAATTATCGCGAATCATAATCGTGCTTAATGATACCGGATTAATATTGAGCCCTGATGTGCAGATCATCGCAGTTTCTCTCAAAGCCAAGCCAATCAGTGAGATCTGGATAGTAATGACACGCGGCGTCTGGAGTGGTGGTCTCTTGAGGGACATCATTAGGCAGTCTTGGCGGGCGAGCTTCATCGCAGCGTCCCCGCGGCCAGTGGTCTTGGCCGGTGGGAGGGATTCGTCATCTTCCTTCCCGGCAAGTAGATTCATCACTCGAGCACGCTTTCGCTCATTTTTGGCCCGCAACATTGGATAGAGCAAGCAGGGATCAGTACAAGCTCGCCATTGATTCCATCCACTGCTGACGACTGTACTCGTCTTTGGGATTGGTATCGCTTCGGCAAGGGAACATACTCCGCGCAATGGCAAATTCGTCCGCGCCCAGATGGGTATAGACTGCACAATTCATCGGCAACGCGCACTTTGATGTCAACGCTCATGATGGAGGAAGCAGCGTATAAAGGCTCTTCGTCCAGGAGGCATTTGAGGGACATCCACCAGAAATCAGTCTCTTCAAAGCCTCTCTAGCTTCCATCGCCTGCAAATATCGCCCGTTTCTTTTCCAATTTTCCAAATCTCTTGGACTTCATCTTTTGAGCTACCTCGAAAATGCATCTTCAGAATGTTGTCAAGTTGGCTGCGGCAGGATGCGCGGTCCTTGCCACTGCTCATCCCGGCCATCAGGAGAAGCGAGCCAACTCTGACCTTCTGAACTTCAAATCCAACATGCGTCGTGGCTTGGAGAATTGTGCTTCCAAGTTCGAGCGCAGTGGTCTCAATGCTCGTGCCGAGGCTCGCCGTAGAGCCTTGGTGGACCTCCACCGGAGGCGCCTTGCTGCACGGGATACTGACTCGGTTCTCAACAAGTCCCATCTTGTGACTGGGTCTGATATCACACCCGACTCCTCTGCCAGCGAGATCTTTGCCAATACCAGTACCTGCATTCTGAACCCGGAGGGTGAGACTGGTCCCTACTATGTTCCTGGCGAGTACATTCGGTCGGACGTCCGCGAAGATCAGTCAGGTGTTCCCGTGGTGATTGAAGGCCAGTTCATCAACGTTGAGACCTGCGAGCCAATCACCGACCTGTACTGGGATATCTGGAACTGCAATGCCACCGGTGTCTACTCCGGCCTGGTCGCCAACGGCAACGGAAATACCGACGACACTTCGAACCTGAACGCCACCTTCCTCCGTGGTATTCAGAAGACTGACTCTGATGGTGTTGTCACCTTCGAGTCTCTCTTCCCAGGCCACTACTCCGGCCGCACGACCCACCATCACATGGTTGCCCACTTGGACGTGACTGTGCTTGACAACAACACCATCACTGGCGGCACTGTTGCCCATATTGGTCAGCTCTTCTGGGACCAGGATCTCATCGACGACGTGGAGGCTACTTACCCATACAACACCAACACCGTCACGCTCACCACCAACGCAGAGGACCGTGTCTTCTCCGATGAGACTGAGAATTCCGACTCTGACCCTGTCCTGAACTACGTCTACCTTGGAGACAGTTTGGACGATGGTCTCTTCGGGTGGGTAACTATTGCTGTCAATGTGTCTGCCACCTATGACCCCAACTACAGCTTCATCTACACCTCCAGCGGTGGTGAAGCGGTTGATGACGACTCTTCCTCTCCCGGCGGCGGTCAGTCCGGTGGCAGCCAGCCTAGTGGTGGTCAGCCCAGCGGTAGCCAACCTACTGGAGGCCAATTCTAAGTGAAAGGGTTATCTCGTAAAGATGTCACAGGTGATGACAGAATGATGCGGTGGACTTTGAGATTGAAAGCACTGTGTGTTTCGTGATTGAGCTTCGAGGATGATAGCACTCGTTTGAATCTGACTTATGCGTGATTTTCACAATTCTGTAGCTTTCTCCATTTGTTGTAAGTAGAATATTAAACCGTATACGATCCTAGAAGGTAAGCAAAACTGGTCAATGTAAGTAGAATGCAAAGCCTGTTAATACGCAATCACTTAAAGCCATGCTCATTTGACTGTAGGCTGGGATGTATTATCCCTTGCGGGCCCATTACATGGCGGTAGCAAACAACTGGATCTTGCATCTTCAGAACACCTAGGTTTCAATAAGTATAGAAGCTGGCCGTTGGTCCATGGAACACAACTATTTTGAAGAACGCTTGTATGCGGCGCCCTCCACATCCCGAACCGTCCGGAACGACACGATGTAGAAGGCTCCCTACCCAGGAATAAACACTAGTAGTGAACTAAGCAACTACGAGTCAGGATGTCAATCAGCGCGGGCATCCCCGTGACATCACATGCCTGCCCCCACATCAACCAATCACAATCAAGGCGGTCATGGATCCCAAATTCCCCCGCGACAAAAAATTGGCGGGGAAAACCCGGCCCATGGGAAATTGTTGTTTTATAAAATTATCCAGCTATTTGATTGTTATACATCATTGATTGGAAACAGTATTTAGTTCATGCTGTTTCCTCGCATCTTCAAGCCCAACTTGGTTATACCTCGGTACTCAAAGTTCTACTATTGTTCGGGAAGAAGAATGCCTCTCTCCAAGCTGCAGGGCGTGAAGCTCCCCGCTTCCGCGGACTTTCATGGTGCGTACTATTTTATTGATTGATTGCCAATTGTACCTGGCGTTGATGGGGAGGGTGTCCAAGATTAATTTGGCTAATTGGGTGTTGGTGGAATAAAGTGCATCTTCGCGATGGTGATATGATGGAGCTTGTTACTCCTACTATTAGACAGGGTGGTGTCAACACGGTTTTTGTTATGGTAAATCCAACACTCTATACTACTTTGAACTTCTGACCATATTCATGTGTGGTTGGTGAGTTTGCTGCATTGCAATTGAGATAATATAGTAACGTGGATGTCTTTCACCAGCCGAACTTGGTCCCTCCCGTGACCACCGTTGACCGCGCGCTTGAGTACAAGCAGCGTCTCCAGGCCATCGAGCCTAATGTGAACTATCTCATGTCTCTGTATCTCCATGAGACCGTGACGCCCGAGACCATCATCGATGCCAAGAAGCGCGGCATCACTGGCGTTAAGAGTTACCCGGCTGGTGTTACTACTAACTCCTCCTCGGGCGTCATCGACTACACTCAGTTCTACCCCGTCTTCGCTGAGATGGAGCGTCAGGATATGATCCTCAACCTGCACGGCGAAGTCCCGTCCACGGGTGATGTGACCGTTTTGACGGCAGAGGAGCGCTTCCTTCCAACCTTGCTCGAGCTGCACGAGCGTTTCCCCAAGCTGAGGATCATTCTCGAGCACTGCACCACCGCTGCTGCGGTTGAGGCTGTCAAGAAGTGCGGCCCTACTGTTGCAGGAACAAGTGAGGGCTCTCCCCATAGCTGAAGAAGTGTCCACTAACACCTGCTTTAGTCACGGCCCACCATCTGTCGATTATTATCGATTCCTGGGCGGGAGATCCGTTCTGCTTCTGCAAGCCGGTCGCCAAGACGCCCGCGGATCGTGATGCCCTTCTGCGCGCAGCAGCCTCCGGTAACCCCAAGTTCTTCTTCGGATCCGACAGCGCACCTCACCCGGCTGTGTCCAAGAGAGGAGGCGACAAGATCGCCGCCGGTGTGTTCACTCAGCCCCACACCACCCAGCTTGTCATCGACGCGTTTGAGCAAGCTTGCGAGAACGGCGTCCTGAAGGAGGAAGACATTACCCCCGAGATTGTCGAGGGCTTCATGAGCAAGTTTGGTCGCAATTTCTATGGCATTGGCGAAGAGCAGAAGGAGTTCATCATCATCGATAAGAAGGATGAGAAAATCCCGAACATCTTGAAGTCGGACAAGGTGGACGTCGTTCCATTCAGACGGGACCAGCAGACATGGAGCGTGTCGTGGTCTGCATGAACTCGGTTGATTGTGTGAAATAGATCTCCTTAATGGAATTGGGACGAAAGCCGTCCCAGTGTTTCTCAGTTCACGCCTTTAGGCTGATTTCTTGTCTCCTTGTGTAAGCATTCCCGTAATAGCCTCAAGAGCCTGTGCTTCTGCAATATCGATCTTACGGCCGGCAACGACGGTATTACCATCACTACCAACCGCCAGCTGACCAGCCCTTTCGAGGTGCAGCCTAACTCTGCTCTCAATGTACTCGCGTCTCGCATCGGCTTTGGGTTCCGTGTCCATTTTATCTCCAAAATGTGGTAGAGTTGCCAATTTTGGCCGGAGTTCTATGAGCAGCGCTTGTAGAGCGGGAAGCTGGGACAGGATAAACGTAGCGTTCGTGGTGACTGGTGTGTGTTGAGTATTTGATCCCGTAGCGGCGCCGACACGTAGCTGTTGTGCAGCTGGGCTAGAAGTCAAGAATGACAAGTCCAATTTCGATTGACCGTTGGGTGCGACATCGTTCGCCTGTTTTGCGGTCTGCGTATTCGACAGGATGGAGCGTAACTGAGCAATGACGGCCTCGTTCCGTGCGCTTTCCTGTTTCAGCGCCCGATTCAACTTCTTGGTTTCGTGTAACTTCTTTCGCTGGGCGGAGATTGTCTCTGGAGTAGGGGCATCGGAAGGGGGGTCCAAACATAGATTCTAATAAAGGAGCCCCGGCTGGTCAGAGGAGCATGGGGAGCTTGAAGCTTGGTAGTTCAACATACCTCGTAGTGCTTCAGACGAATCCATCCCATCAGATCGTCGGGTACTTTGAACGTATTGCGCAGCACGAAAAGCTCGAATTTATCGAAAGTTTTGTCGACTGTCGCCTCGAGTAGTGTTTCTAGCTGATGCAGTCCATTTTCAATTTCCAGCTGTGCCTCTGGGTAAATGACATTCCCGTCTTCGTCGGTGTCAGGTATCGTCGAGCCGTTGTTCGCATGTGAAAACCCCAGGCGCTCTGGTGGCGTTCCCAATAGACCCGTCTCGAGACTGGAAATAGCTTGATAGATTAAATTGTTGATTGAGTTGATAATGTCATCTATGAGAGACTTCGCCTAGTCAGCTTGGGTTGTTTTCAACAGCGCGTCGCCAAAGGGCCATACTGACTAAGGGCGTGTAGCTGAAGTGCTCTGTGAGCAGAGAAGTCGTCGCGTCACTCATCCTGATGTCGGTCTGACAGTGATCATTATACAGCTTGCGGATTGAGGGGTGGAGGAGTCTTTGGACTTAGGTAGACGCGTTTGCGCGCGAATGCGGGTAAAATAGTTGGTTTTGGTCCGCCGCGTGAGGAGACCCGACATCCGTTGGAGCCAAGACTGTGTACCTTGAGGACGCGGGGTTCTGCTACCCGCACGTTCTAAGTTTGGTTTCCTCCTTCAACCTTGCTTCTCACTCCGTGTTACAGTCTGGATGTTCTCTCATACTCAATCCTAGTTTATTCAACAACTAGCGTGAAGACAGGGGATAGATGCAACTGCTGTGGGCTATAAGCTAAAAACTATACAGGATTTCCAACAAGATCCGATATGGTGTAGTGGCTAACATCGCCGTCTCTCACACGGCAGCCGGGGGTTCGATTCCCCCTATCGGAGCTCAAATTTCCTTTTTTGTTCTCTGCGGGAGTACTTCGTCCCTAACCTTTCTTTTCCGAAATAACTTATGTTTTTGCAGCTGATGCTACTCAATGTTACTTCCTCTTGAAATTTTCTCCATCGTCACATAGTCAATAGCCAAGTCTGACTCAACATCACTCATAATGAACACGCTCGACTGTGAGTCACATTTTCATCCCGGGAGTGCGCTAAGCCACTCTCGTTTGACTCACTTTCCCACTTATGGCTACAGTTCATCCAGGACATCACCATAGTGTGTAATCTGATGCTATGCGGTGGATCTATCATGCCTTCCATGCAACGTGCTTTGGTCATGTTTGGACAACATGTTGGAACCAGTAGTAGAATGGGCAGCATGGTAGACTTCAAGTTGTTGGTTTTGTGGTTATGTCGCACTGTTCTCTAGCAATAATATATAACCTATGAACATGTCCTCAGCTATCCCAGCATTCAACCAAGCACCTCCAGGACAAAACCAGAACAGAATTGTTTGATAGGCATCGATATCATGGCTTCAGAACCATCGACAGAGACACAGCGGGGAGTTTACGATGTCCCGGAGCAGGACTACGAGCGTAGCTCGACTCCTCGGCCAGATGCTCAATCGAGAACCCCAACGCCTACTTCCTTTGAGGTCGCGGATAAGCCTGTTGATTCAGGCTCACGGAAGCCGGAGCCCGTGGAGAATAGACTTCGTCCTGCAGCAGGTATATGAGAAGACTCGTTTTTTGGCATTGTTGCTAATTAATATCAAAGACATAATCAACCGTATTATCTGGGACCCTGCCTTTGATGGGACCAATTACGTCATTGGGTATGAAGACCGATTCGAAGGCCGTCTGGAGTCTGGCTTCAACGCGTGGAAGAAAGAGACAACCGAGGAATTCATTCCTCAGCACCGGATCCTCTATATCAAACGTCGGTCGGATGGAGAGATCGTGTGGGACAGGAGACGGAGAATCGACAAGATATTTTATAGCGGAAACTCTGCTTTCGACTATCTCGGGTTTCTGGCTTGAGTGTATGCTAAGGTTTCGTGGTTTGGACTGGCGGCTATGAGTTGGGTATGGTCATTCGACTGTGAGCCTCGTACAGCCGGTCGGTGGATATCGGTGTATAGCAAGCCTGACCTATGATTGCCATCTGTGGATATTGAGTGGTCCTACCGTTTAGGGTAGCTAGCACCTGCCTTTCTAGTATTTTCAGATGTACCCAGGGGTAAAACCAGTGATGGCAGGAAGTACTAAGTATCTTCTAAGAGTCCCATATCCCTCATCTAATCAGCGTCAGAACAACCTTGACAAAAGAATCGAAGTCAACCCATACAGTTACTTCTTATACTTTAGCAAGAAACAGCGGTCAATCTTTACCGAAATTCATTTACACCTACGCCGCAATGACCGCAAGGCGCCACAGGATTGACTTCTCCCTGCGAAGACGACGTAACGACTTGTCGAATACGTCGTCTGGCAGTATCTCTCCACCAGTACCTATTCTCCAGTCGCCCGTCACGTTCCAAGCGTTCGCATCAGTCAGCGTCTCCGAGGCAACACTCAAGCAGAAGAACAAATTAGAAAGGGATCCCGTGAGGCCGTCTATGTTCCTGGAAGAGAAGGACGACGATGAGGCCCCGAATTCTGCTCTGACTGGCGGTGCACCACTGGATGTCAAGCCAGTTCATATAGAGCGTAAGAGTGTGGAGGAGAAGCCGATGACTCGAACGAAAAGCCAGTACTTCGAAGACGCCTTCAGCACTAGGGGCCCGTTGACCTCACCCAGAACTCAAATCAGCCAGGATTCTGTCGTGGTGGTAGAGATCAAGACCAACACCAAGGTGCGTGAGGGTGGGCTTCAGTCAAAATTTCCAGTAACGAGAGGACTTTTTTTGGGCTACCATTCTCATGCAAGGCGTAGGTCAAAGAAGTGGAGTCACTCGTCTCGAACATTTCGTCCCATATGGCACGCATCTTTCAGAAATCCGAAACCCTTATGATGACCACCATCCAAGAGGATGCATGCATCCAATTCGGCAGAGTAAACCTGCCAGCCTACCTGATGAAAGTCTTTGCACTGCCGTATCTCATCGCGCCAATAACCAACCTTCGTAGCACTATTCTGATCCAGGCAGCTCTTCAGGAAATTCTTCACGTGGCTCCAAACCGAGGAGTCATCTTATATATTCCAATCCCAGAGGAAAATTTCGCGACCAACGGGGTTACCATGATGGGTGAAATTGCACGACTGGAGCGCTCTTCCCCGGATCACGGCTCCGGTTTATTCAAAACTGTCTCACGAACCATGAGTCGAAGACTGAAATCTACCAGTTCACAGAGCGCTCCTATTTCGGTTGCAACCACCTCTTCGTGGGCCTGTGGGGGCACACAGGCGCCATCTCCCGAGAAAGAATCACAAGCTAGTGATGCTACGGACGGCGATGTCAGGTCGAAGTCAAGTACAAAATCCAGGGGCTTTCGTCACTTCCTTTCCCGTCAGGGAACAGAACGGAATGAAAAGTCCGGGAATACGCAGTAGTAGCCTGCATTGACGTGTCCATTACCCCAAACCGATCCGCTTATCCATTTTGTACTCACACTCTTTGTCATTATCATCATTCACTTTTTCATCAAATGAGCCTGTTGTATTTCCTTAAAAGGTCACTTATTGCCATCATGAGCAGAATGTGCGGGAGTTCCAGCAATGGTCCATGGTATTCACGGTAGTTACCTTCTTTGAATTGGATTTTTTTTTTCTCAGTGTCTATTGACTTCTTTACTACCTCTCATGGCTTCAGTCACGCTCCTGATTGAATAACTTTTGAGTATATATTCCTCGTGTGATAGTTGGTCCTCCTGTTGCTCTTGATAGAAAGAAGAATTCTTCTATCAGATTTAACACACACTCGGTACATATGGAGCCAAGCAGCACCGCAGGCAATCTCTTAGAGATTCAAGGTAGTCTTTTCGACGCCCCGGAGGGAGCAGCACTGATTCGTACGTTTCTCTACCCAGCGAATGTGAAGGTAAAAGCTGATGGAAAGCAGATGCATGTAACTGCCGTGGCACCTGGGGAAAGGGAATAGCGAGGGTCTTCCGAAGCAATGTGAGTCTCGAGTAGCATCTCCCTCGGGATGCTGGATGGATTTGACTAAGAACTTGACAGTACCCTGCTGCATATGAAATCTATCGATCCCACTGCCGACAATTCTCTTCCAAGCCCAGGTACAATACTATTACGACTAGCGTTGGCACAAGAAGAGCTCGACTGCCAGAGGGGACTGCTCTAATTATTCCACCGCAGGAGAAGGACTACGAGAACGACAGCAGGAAACGTCATTGGATCATCTGCCTTTTCACATCGCGAGGGCTGGGAAGGATGGTCAGCCCTGAAAACATTGTGCTGGAGAATACCGAGCTTGCCATCGCAGACATGAAGGAACAACTTGATCGGATTGAAGACCAGGAGGGTAGATTCCTTGAGCTTTGGTCGTGTCGGTTCAACTCCGGGCTATTTGGCGTTCAGTGGGCTCGTTCAAGGGAGATATTGAAGAAGTCCGGACTTGATGTTACGGTTGTGACACCGGCTGATGAGTGAATGTCTGCACGGGGTTTATTGATCGCTGTTGCATGATGGAGCAATATATTTCGTGAGGCCTGTGGTATTTTCCAGTGACGAGGTGGGTCATTGCTCCTCATTCGTTAACGAAGGTACTAAGTAGTATATTTTTGACTTCGATAAGCCTAGTTCAAACACCATCCTTTAGATAGATCTGCGTCTGAGTTAGAGTGTAGCTCAGTGCAAAGAACCAACCTCATCCTGCAGACTCTGCAGCTTATATGCAGTGAGAAGAGTATAGTCTTCTATCATTTACCTAACCCACCATAAATACCACCAAATACTCAACGATGGTATCTATCTTATAGATATAGATAACGAATCACCTGACCACGCGTCACGGACCGCGCTCCGCGCAAGAAGATCAAATCCCCGCGACGAGACGCCTTATCATCATCAATTAACCACCAAAGAAGGGCCCTCAATACAAACAACCAACACACCATGCCCCCCGAGCGAAAACCCGCGCAAAAGCGCAGACAACTCCCCTTCAAACCACCAAGCCGAACCTCCTCCACCGCCGCCCCAGCATCATCATCATCAACCGCCGCAGCAACCACCAGCAAATCCAAAGCCAAACCAGCCGAGAAGCCCAAAACCAAAGCCACAACTAAACCAACAACCAAACAAGCTCCTAAACCAGCAAAAGCCTCCTCATCCAAATCCGCACGCCCCCGACCATCATCACCCAGCCCTGCTGACTCCGAAGAAGACAGCGACAACGATAACGCCTCTTCGTCCTCCGCCCGCTCGGACGCATCATCGCCGGAACCAGAACCAGAACCAGACTATATCCTTGCGGAGATCATTCACAAGGATCAGCCATCTGATGATGTGCTCACGAACGATCCTGTCATTCCGCCGAAGTTGTTGACAAGGCTACTGCATCATCATTTTCAGAATGAGAAGACCAAGATCGCGAAGGATGCGAATACGGTTGTCGCAAAGTATGTGGATGTGTTTGTAAGAGAGGCGTTGGCGAGGGCGGCGTTTGAGAGGAGCGAGGCTGTGGGGAAGGGGGCAGCGGTCGGGGATGGGTTTTTGGAGGTTTGCTCTCTCTTCTTCTCTTTCTCTTCTTTTGTGATTATTTAGTGTATTTGTGTTTGCTGACTATTATTGGGTTAGGTTGAGGATTTGGAGAAGATGGCGCCGCAGCTTGTGATGGATTTCTAGATGGGCTTATGTTTTATATGGGCTAGGATGGAGTTTTACGGATTTGGGTTTATTCTGATATGGCTTATGATACCAGTGTTTGTACTCTAAGTGATACTAAGTTTGATGAGTGTCAAGCGAGGTTGAGAATTATGATTTCATAAACGTAGCTCTATGTACTATGTGCTCTGTATGCGTCTATATCTAACATGAATAGTAGCTATGCCCGACTTGGGTATAAGATGCTGGTCCCAATACTCCGCTGAAAAACACCGAATCTTGATTCGTAATATCAACCGCTCACCAGGTTGTCCGGAGTAGTCGTCGTGGCAGGGGTGGTCGCGTCCACGTCCGACTTCGAAGGAGTGGCAGAACCCTCTGCAGCAGGGGTGGCCTTTTCAGAAGACTCGTCCGCCTTAGGCTTTTCGTTGCCATCGTTCTTCTTCTTCACAGTAAGTGCGCCCAGCTCGACAGCCTCTTCAGGCAGTGGCCGAATGTGTGGCTGGCAGATCCACCAAGGTCTGCCGTACTCGGCAATAGTCGCTTTGGATCCGGTCAGTTCTTGGTTCGGATCCTTCTCAAAGCGTTCCGGGAACTGCTCGTATTCCTTGAGACCCTTCTTGATTGCCTGCTCAACGAGAGCCAAGACATTCTCGAATGCGGGCATATCGCCAGGTCTTGATCTCGCTAGCGCATCACGGACATTGGTATGCACGGAGACCATGGGGCGAAGCAGCTGGAAGAGATGACCCTGCATTACACCAAGACTGGGGGAGGCCGCTCTCTTCGACTTCTCGCGCTTTTGCTTCTTCTTAGGTGGGCCGTCTTCTGCTTCCTCGGTCGTTTCGGTTGTCTGTTCAAATTCCTCTTCCACTGCGTCCGAGGGAAGCCAAAGAGGCTTCCTTTCCGGAACAGGTTGTTCAAGAACGTACTTGTAAATGATGTCCAAGTACCGCCGTAGCATGGCGTCAATCCGATATCCGCCCTTTCCGTCCCTGCCTCGCCAGTATTCCCTTCCTTCACTGCCAACCGGAGGGGGCTTGCTGAAAATTGACGGATCAGACAAGTTGCCTTCCGCACTCATGACACCATCGGCTCCTGTCTCTTCCAGACAACGGTCCAGATCTTCATAGTTCAGGTTGTTGCCGTTCGCGAAGATGACCGTCTCTGGGGGAAGATTATCGCGGAGATAGCGAATGTAGCTCCAATCAGCCAGTCCAGTGTTGTGACCTTTCTGTTCTCTTCTCCGTCCATGCACAGTGATTATGTTTGCACCAGCAGACAAGATCATCTTCGCATATTCGAGCGTTTTCTCTTTCGTTTCCTGAATACGAAACTTGGCAGTGACTGGGATCGAGAGTTCGTTGTGAAGTCGGTTAATCAGCCTGTAAATCAGGTCCCAGTCCTCCTGAAGGAAAGCACCATAGTGACCCCTCTTCGCAATACCTTGGGGACATCCCAGATTGAGATCCACTGCATCGCAATATGGTGCCACATGACGCGCGGCCTCCAAGAAATCATCAGGATCATTGGCGCAGAATTGTACGAATAGAGGCCGATCGAACGAAGGGTTTCCGTCGAGATACGGCGATTCATCCTCGCCTTTGCCGGCGGCAGCGCGAGTTGGGTGGAAGTGCTGTACGCGGACATTCGCTTGCTCACGGAACAAGCGCGCGTGGTACATGGGGGAGTATGCGAGAACCTTTTTCTGGTCTTCCGGTGTCATGAACGACCTAGTGAGCATGCGCCACGCCTCCAGGCCGGTTAGTTGAGATCCAAAAAGTACATTCGTAGGGGAACCTACAAACTCAGACCGGTCCACCATAGGTGCAATAATGTACTTCGGGCTTCCAATACTTTCGTAGAACTGTCTTCCAAGGAGCTTCTTTCTCGGTTCAGCAGCAGCAGCTATAGGCGCATTCTGGTCGGCAACGCTTCCTTGCGGAGCGGGCTGTGTCTCCGGGACCGCCATTGTCACGTTTGGGCGTAGAGATTTGGGAATGAAGTGCCCCAGCCAGGGGGGTAAGAACCGTGGGACACGAATCTTTACGAACTAGGTAGTTCTTGTCCCCGAGAGGAGCAATCGAGTGTCGCGATTAGCGGAGGGTATCTGGAGTCTGGAAGTCGCAAACGATGCGGATGGCGGGCGCTTTTTTGCCGACAATAAAGTTAATTCGGAAGGGATCAATGTTGATCCTCTTATCTTATCCGGGGAAAGAACATGCACACGCCACTCAGCTGCGTTTACAATATGCTGATTACTCGTTGTACAAAAGGTCAGATGCTTACATATTTCATGGGCCTGGGCTGAGTAGAGCCCTTCTTTATTGTCGCCTTTGCGAGGTTTGTTGATACGCATGACTGTCACCAGAAGCAGTCAAAGCTGTGCTTTCATAGTACTGCTTACCTAATCTATTGTGAAGCCTTGGCGCCTTCCAATAAAGTGGGTTCAGATAAATAATGAAACCTTCAAAACATTCCCAGGATTTCGATCCCAGGAAGCCCGTGATGAAGAATAGTGTCTAGGATGCGCATGATACCAGGAGTACATGCACGCGCCACTACCTTTGTACTGCATCTCGACGGCAGTTACTGAACCAAGCTGCAGCTGAAATCAACAATGGACTCCACCGGAGCAGGGGGTGAGTTTGTAGCCGTTTTGGTAGCAAAATGTATCGCTGATGATTATTCCAGTCTCAAATACAATCTCTCTATCTGAGGATGGCGACTATGCCGCGCAATTGAATGGCAAAGATCTAGCCATCCATCTTGACCCGGCATCGCCTGATTTCAAAGAGGTACAGATCGTCAAGCTTAAGGAAATTGCCTCGAAGTTCTTGAAATTCTCAAGATCCAAGCCTGTTCTACCTTCAAGCACGCACTCCTACGCCGGAGTGAGCTCCCCAGGAAGACGCGTGCTTTGTGCCAGTGATTCACGGATCCTGGTCTGGCAATTGGAACCGTTGCAATTACACGCAGAAATCGAAAGCATCGAGCCTGGTGCTACATACGTCGACTTCGGAGGAGATGAGAACGAGGTTGTTTCTTTCCACGCCTGGAATACGAAAATCACAGTGTTCAAATTGGACTCTGGTCGAAGCCAAATCATCAAAAGTCCCAAATTTTCGAACAGCAATGGCTTCGGATACCGGCCCAAAACTAGGCAATTTGCTGTTCTTCTAAAGCCGGATGCAGTTGATCTATTAACTATTCATGAGTTTCGATCTTACGAGCTTATAGGCCGAGCAGTCTTGCCTACAATAGACGCTCAGGGCCTCAAATGGAGTCCGGACGGGAGATGGATAGCCGTGTGGGATGCTGCGAGTGCGGGCACCAGAGTCCTCATTTTCACGGCTGATGGGCAGCTCTTCAGAACGTATAGTGGCCCTTCGGGTATCGATAGTTCGCTCGACCTCGGTGTTAGAGGGATAGAGTGGAGCCCTGTTACCGGGCAACGCGGTGTGTCAGAGCTTCTGGTCGTTGGAAAAGTTGATGGGACTGTTGACATTCTCAAGACGCGAACAGTATGATTCCCTCGAATGGTTGCTCTATGGAAGGCAAAGCTGACGGATTTAGTTTTCTTGCTCCATCACACTGTCCCATGTATTCCAGATAGAGCAAAATTCCCCCAGTGTCTGGCGGGAACGGTATGCAGCTGACGGAGACCTTGAATATGCCGAAGCGTCAAGCTCCTCTGCGTTTGGTATGCCCGTCGAACCATCCGGGGCGCCCCGGGGCGTGTCGATCATGGCCTTTAGCGCCAGCGGGACTCTTCTGGGCACCGTCGATCCGACGCGACCAAATATTGTTTGGATATGGGATTTGGAGAGCACACCAGTCCTGTTGTCGGCGCTAGTCCACGAGCACACTGTTAGACAGGTCGTGTGGCACCATTCCAAGACGCAGTTACTTATAACCACATCGAATACCGCCTACGCTGCTGTTCGGTACTGGTCGCCGTACAGCCAGCCGTTTGTTGCGCGCATCCCCGTTCCGCGAAGCGAAACTGGAAGATACGAAGTGAGATGGCTGTCATTTGATGAGGATGATGATTCAAAGTTCTGGTTTGGTACACCGGACGACTTTGTACTTGGTCACCTTGAGAGTGTCGAAGATTCGCCGCAGTTCAAGGTTACCACTACCATTAATGGCAAAGCCAAGGGAAGTAGTTGTGGACCTGGTACGAGCAGATGATCGTTTGCCGTAGAGGAATGCCACGAACCGCATCCATCCGGCCGAATGATCATATTGCCAGTTGGTCCTCTATACTACCTTACACTTAATGGCTTCGAAGACGGGAATGCTTTTACGAGGGAGAACTTCCTGAGGGAAGTCCTATAATGAACTGATACAATACCTGTGTACATAGCGGAAACTATACTTAATCTTAATTATGCCTTTGGGTACTACCAATGTATAGCAGTTTCTCATACTATACTTCAGTATACTATCGAACAGCCCGCTCCATACAAACAGGGGTATGCCGATCGACCAATCACAGCGGGTATCGCAGCAGCCAATGCTAACCGAGCGGCACCGACAGCCCAGGGCTTAGGGTTCATCCGCACGTGACGCTGAGTCATCCCCCACTCGAATTTCGCACTTGGGCACTCAAACTTCAGACCGTTCGATCTGTTGTGCAGCTCTCCTCCGTCGAACAGCTACATCAGACAGTCAAAATGGTGAGTACCATGAGCCCCGAGTAGACTCGAGTGCAGAAGGGGGAAATGTATCAGTACTAATATTATACGCAGGCTCCTACCAGAAAGAAGTGGTCCAAGGGCAAGGGTACGCTATAATTCCCCGTTTCCATCCTCATCACCATCACCATGAATATCATCCATTTCCCCCCATCGAGTTGAAGAGTCGAAGATCGCCTGTTATTGTATCGATCGAAGAGCAAAAAGAAAAGAAATATATATACCCCGATAGCTATGGATGGATATCACACACACAACGCACAAGATGAAAGAATGCGATCGATCGCGAAAACCGAGACAAAATGAAACAGAAGAGAGATGACTGACATGGCTTTTTTTCTTCGATTATAGTCAAGGACAAGGCCCAGCACGCCGTCGTCCTCGAGAAGCAGGTCGCTGAGCGTCTCAACAAGGATGTCCAGTCCTACCGTCTGATCACTGTCGCCACTCTGGTCGACCGTCTCAAGATCAACGGCAGCTTGGCCCGCCAGTGCCTTGCTGACCTTGAGGAGAAGGGACAGATCAAGAAGGTTGTTGGTCACTCCAAGATGAACGTCTACAGTATGTTCCCACCCCCCACCCTTTGAATCGATCTGGTATATGTGATGGAATGCTGACGTTGGTGTAATAGCCCGCGCCGTCACCGCCGAGTAAACGTATGACGCTATGAATATTTTTCCTCGCGCGTCGCATTTTTCTTTGTGCAACGATATGATATCACTCGAATGAAAATTCGGAAAGTAGGGCTGGGCGATTTGATGGACATGTCATGTTAGAATATGACTGACTGGAATTCAACCAAAATCTGTTCCAACTGTTTCTTGTAGATGTATGGTCTCTGCCATGGTCTGATGATGACTGCGTAGTAAATATCTCTGGAGCCGTAAATGCGTGCACGCACCAGTAGCGATACCGAAAGGCTGGAGTTAAGTCCATATCATTCTTGTCTTCAACTTTCACATGATTATCTTCTAGATAACAAAATACATACAGCGATAACCCCCTCCCTCCCCCACTACTAGCTAACACATCTAGATACCCCTATCAATACCAACCTACGGTGGTACAAAGGATCTACTTCCCCCCCTTCGCCTTCTCAACCTGCTCCCTGGTAGGCCTCTGCTGCCTAGCAGCCGTACAAAGCTCCCTCTTGACCCCCTCCTCCTCTTCCCTCTTTACAACCTCCTCCAAGCCCACGACCTTCCCCACCTCATAATACTTCTTATGGTTGGCAAAGAACCCCATCCAATGGGCCACGGCCTTATGAATCCTCTGCCTGGCGATCCTAACGTCCTGCTCCCTCCTCACCTTCCTCTCCCCGCTACTCAACCGCTTCTCCTCCTCGGGATCATCAATTGGGATAAACATCTCCTCGACGCCGCGCATATCAGGCGTGAGATCCTCCTTGAAGCACCCGGTCACGAAGGCGCGCGTGGCATCTCTCCCCGTGAAGAAGTTGTAGTGGCCGCCGGCGCCGTAGACGAGCGGGTTCGCGGACACGTCGTAGATGGTGCCGTTGATGGAGAGGTAGATGGGGAGGGTTGGGTCGGTGCCGTTGTAGAGGGAGAGTTCGGTGGGGGTAAGAATGAGGGGACCTTGCTGGGGGTTTGTTAGTTGGATATACCTTGAGAGAGGGGGGAGGGGAAGAGGGGATATGTACGATGTAGCGGACCAGGACTGGCCAGCGGGTGAACCAGGGTCGGTAGTTCCAGAGGAGCGATTCCGACGAGGTCATGTAGTAGGATAGACCGCAGGAGGCGATTATAAGTGTGACCAGCACACGGATGATATCGAGGACAGAGATGCCATTTTTGGGCGATGAGGTTGATTTGGTGGCTTTGGAGGGGTTGGATGTATTGGAGGCTGTTGTTGGTTTTTGGCGTTGGCGGAGTTCGGAGGACATGGTTGTTCGTTGTATGTTATGGTGGGTGAGATAGTTTGTTGTAGAGGGTATGGGTTGTTAATTAGCTGTAGGCCATTGGATTGGGAGACAAGTAGAACGAAGAAGGTAAATATAGTAGTAATGGAAGAAGAGGGATAGGTGGAATGGATGGTTAGGTAAAGGGGAGCTGCTGCTTGGCTTACTACCCTTAGTATTTCCGCGCTCTCCGTTGGCTTGTTTCGGGAGTCGCATGGTGTGACAGGTATAGTGCTTTTATTGAAATTTAAGGGCCAGAGATGCAGCTAAGGTCTTGATTTACTTGGGAAGGATAATTGTACAGATCATAATTCTTGCATTGTTTGAATGAATATCCTGACAAGAGCATAAAGCTGCTGGGCGATCAGTAGCCAGCTGCTTCAGTGCCATGTCCATAATAATTCTGCACGCTGACGAGCAAGTCTCAATCTGTTATTCCACCTGACTTTATATCCAAGGATACGTGCTTCTAAAGGAACCTATAACTTTAATCCAGTTAGCCAAGATCAACTACTAGATAATTGCAGAAGTAAAGGCATTTCAATCTCGTCAGACATCCAAGGAAGTATTGCGCACAGAGCACGTCTAGAATGGGTTCTCGCGACGGCTAGCGTGGAAACTGCGAATGTAGGAAAAGTTTTCATCATCGAGATTGGGGGAGGGAGAATTGATCGAAGCATGTGCAATGAATTTTGTCGAACTTACCATGAAAAATTGATGATAGAAATATACCTGTAGTATTGCCGCTTCACAGTTAGTACTGGTATAGCCAGTCGCGAAATCTTCAATCCATTTTTGAAGTCGCAAAAGGCGCTCAAGCTCCACAACTGGTGATGAGAGAAAAGCAAGCGAAGAAAAGAATTTCGAGATGAATTTATCTTGCGCGGGAAGAAAGTTCCGCCGGGCGGGTCCTGCTCACTTCTCTGCCTTGATGCCTTACTACCAGAACTACTGCGGGCGGAATATTTACTTGATAGAATATCACATTATGGTATTGGCTATCAACTCGGATATTATACTATCAAAGTACCAGCCTCAGTCTCGATGTAATCAAGAAAAAGCGTGAAATCTACCAGAGCTTCACAGATTCTCGACGTCGCAAGTTAGAGGGCTTATCCGAGTCGCCATGCCATCCCGAACCGTGCCTCAATACTCCCTGCTAAGCCCCAAACAGAGGGACGATGAAACAGAAACAAAAACAAATCAACCTCGCCAATGCAGTTGAAATCGGTCTTTCACTCCTCGGTAACTACTCCGGGGCCCTCTTGATCCTGTTCCCAGCTGCGAGAGAACACATCATTCAGAGCTTCCTGGAAGGTACGACAATTCATATCGATCAGACCCTTTTTATCCTTGGACTCGGGGTTCCGGATCACGGAAACAAGACAAAGGTACCTTACATCTATTAGTATCGTCAAAGGATAGGCAGCTCGACAACATACTTATTCATCTCCATTAGGTGGATCATTGTGTCATCGTGCAAAACAGCGTGACTTTCTGCCTCCTGATTCTGTTCGCCCTTGGCCTTGCGGTCGGGGTGATCCCAGGAGTACAATTCCGAAATGTCCACAATAACGTCAATGTAGTCGGAGCACATCTCATAGCAGGACATGTCTACCGGACGGGTGTCAGACGCAATGTAGATCTTGCTCAGAACGTCGAAAAGATAGGTCTTTTCGAATCCGCAGTTGTTGGACAAGGTATTGATCAGATTCTCCAGCGTAGAAAGGTTGGGAATGAGTTTCTGAATGACCTTACTAAAGGCCTCAAAAACGGAGTAGTCGTAGATCGAGGTTAGGTAGTAATGAACTGGAGCATTTTCGTACCCAGCGTCACTGAGTTCGTCCGAAATGAGTTGGACGATATCCTGGAAAGTGTCCGTGCGGTATTCATCGGTGATCCCATCGACCTTGTGGATAAAGACCTCGATGTTGATGTTTGGATAGTACTGCTGAACGGTCAAGATCGTGCGATTGAGACGCGCCACCGATTCCATGTAATCGTCTTGAGCGTCAATAACCCACACCAGCGCACCCAAGCTTCCGAAGATGCTTTCCAGATCGAAAGACGGCTCCAGATACTCCAGCTGGCCAGGGAAATCCCAGACCTGAAAGTCCATGAACGAGCTGTTTGCTTGTGTTAGTCCAGTGACGATCGTAGAGAACCTGCATACTTACTGAATTGAATCCTTCTGGATGCGGGTCGTGGACTCTAGGAAAAGGGTTTCATTGGGCGGCATTTTATGAAAGACTACACTAGCGATCGATGACTTGCCGCTCCTAGGTAATGTTAGGATACTGCTCCGTACCAGTCACGGTCAGGGACAGCTTACCGACGCAGGCCCATCAGCATCAGACGAGGCTTAGCATCCTGGGGTTTATTGGCCGACTCAGCGGCGGGCTGCTCCATAGACTGGGTGGTTCCCTGTAGGATATTCTCAAGCATTAGCTGTGCATCAGACTTTGGGGCTGCAGTGCTCTGGCTTGGGGTCTGTTTGGATGCGCTCCCCCAACCAGGTTCAATCTGACGAGGTAACTCCATGACGACCAAGCGCGTGAGAAGATTTCAGTAAAGACAGCAAAAAGCAGAGAAAACAAATGCCCAGAAGGTATCTAGATCTCTTCAACAACATGAAATGAATGCGTGAATACAGGTCACGTGCCCCGAACTCGAATGTGATGAGAACGTGAAAAACACCTGGGACTCGCCGAGCATGTTTGACACGTGCATAGACCCGTACAAAACAGAATTGATTGCTCTGGGTGTATCCGAGCACAGAAAACAACTCATTCCGGGTTGAGCCAGTCGGACGTTGGAGGCCATCTGCAGAAAGCTCACACAACACAGAGTACATTTGACGCGCAGGCAACAGCAGCGACAGAGAAAACAGAGCCAATCTGGGCCAAGCAGTCCAGCACAGCACTCAGAAGACATCTTATTGACTCCCAGAGCTTGACAGACGGTGCAGGCTTATCTGCAGATAAGAGAGAGGGGCATTGGAAGGTTCCTTACATCCATGGCTTCAGATTCGGTTCAACTCTCGTACTATTTCAGAGACGATGCTTTCCACCTAAGAAATCAGCTCAGCAAACGCCAGAAGAAGCTCCAACAACCAAAAGACTTGGCAAAGACTTACCACAAGTTCAATGTCTCACACGATACGATGATATGAGATGAGGAAGAGGACGTGTTTGAGGAGACTGAAGTCAAGCACCTTGAAGCCAAACGAGAGACAGTGAAGTATGAAACGCAGTGTTTGCAATCTCCGCACAAGAACCCTGGAAAGATGATCGGCGGAGCAACCAGGATATGTGCAGAGTGAGCTGAGGGTGGCTTGTTGCACAGGAACGGATGGGAATAAGGAAGGCTCAGCAGAGTGTGAAGTGCATGGCTGGCGAATGATCACTCAATCAAAAGAGGAAAGGAGTCACGGGATGGGAGGCTCAAGACGATTCTCTCGCGATAACAATAATATCAGACCAAAGAGGATGTATAGGTGGGTAGGCACGGGGCAGAATAGGCTGGATTGGAGGGCTTGCACAGGAACTTGAAGGAGATGTGATGCTAAGAACACATACAGATGGTGCAATGGGAGTGGCTTATACTCAGCAGAAGTCTCAATGCCTGACAGTGCGTTCCTGGATTGCCAATCACAGTGGATGGAGCTGGAGGACAGTGAAAGAGATGCGGTGCGTCCAATGCGATAAGCGCGGGAGGTGCGGCTTGGCACGGAGAGATGCTTCTCTCCGCCTTTGTGCGATCCTTTCCGCATCCCCAACCACTTCCGGGGCAGTTATCTCATTCTACTGGTGGACAGCTGTTAAGCATGCAGCTGTGATATCAACATGAATAGGTTCATGCTGAGATACGCAATACAGGGTAATTTCTACAACATGTGGTAATCTGCACTGGAATGATGCCATGACAGCGCGGTGCACATATTGGGCGGCTATTTCGAAGGCAACCATGAACTTGGGAGTAGAATTCCATGGCAGCATTGACAGAAGGCATAAGAAGGGCCAAAAGCTGTATAATTTTGAAGACTTGAACGGGGAATAAATGTGGTCAATATATGCAATCGGCGTGCATGGCAACCTGTTAACCACACCTATTGTGAACTCTGGGAACGAGTTTGAGTTACGGAGTACTACGGGAATGGATGGAGAATCACCCTGGAAATCAACATAATCAACTTGAGTTCGAGTCTCGTTGAAGTGATTGGGTAAACAAGTTCACGGCTTACGTCCACAATTCCCTTGATGTACATAGAATATGGAGATAAGTACTAGCCAGTTAGGACTCCAATAGTAGCAAAAACCGCCCAAAGGACCCTGAAGGAATGATCCACCGAGCACCAAATGAACCTCAAATCGTAAATTAAAGCAGGCGCAGCAAATGGAAATGGAGAAAATCCCCGCGAAAACCCATCGAAACGGGCTCGGGGTTCATTGCCGCCTGTTCATTGGCTCCCCTCGACCAGACCGCCTGCTGGCGTCATCACCGCCTGTCCGGCCGTTGCGCCCATTGTCTCTCATTCATTTATTAGTCGGGCAGGCTCGCTCTTCGCCGTCTACCCTGTCGTTGACTCTGTCCCTCAAGTCCTGCCAGGTGCTTCACTGCGGACTGCCTTTCCAATGACAACTCTGGTCCCCCGTGAGCCTTACTCCCAGGAGGAGCTGGACCGGCTCTATCCTCGGGACTTGAAACTCCAATTGGTGCAAGTGGTATGTGCCGGCAAATCAACCCCCCAATCGCCCAAGCAGGACGCTGGCTAATGCGTGTTTTAGTTTCTCCGCCATGGTGAGGACTATATAACCTTTGCATATTTTATACTATATTGGTGATCTAATCTGCTCTTCAGGAGAACGTACGCCCGTCTCTTCGCGTTTTCAGAATGTATGCGGCCAATTCCCCCCCAAGGTTATCTTCAGGCTAATATTGTTTAGGCAGGACTCGCTCCATGTAATTCTTCCTCCGAAAACCTAACAGATACATCTGATTGTTCTCCGCTGACTCGCTCTTTCCTACAAAGACTGGCCGTACTGCAATGTTGCTCGACAGATGATTCAAATGGCCGCCAGTAACAAAGACATTACATCGTGGAACGGGTTCCAATGGCGGAGAAAGACCGAGGCTTTTGGCGACAAGGACCAGTCCGTGGTTGCAGTCGGAGCAACCGGTGACATAGAAGGCATCTGGCAAGTTGGAACTCAGCGTTAAACTTTCAGGAGGTCCTGCTGACTGAGTCCCAGCCAACACGGTGAGCTGACAGACAAAGGACGGGAGACCACCTTTGCCCTAGGCCAGCGTCTGCGGCACTTGTATGTCGACCAGCTCGGTTTCATGCCCAAGATTAAGTCCGACACCGAGGATATGTATCTTCGTGCCACCCCCATCCCCCGTGCCCTCGAGTCCCTTCAACAAGCTTTCTGGGGCATGTATCCCGCCAGCGCCCGCACCCAGGACTTTCCACCCCCGGTGATCGTTGCACGCGCTGTATCAGAGGAGACACTCTTCCCGAATGAAGGAAACTGCCGCCGCTTCAGGCAACTTGCTAGACTCTTTGCAAACAAAGCAGCACTCAAATGTACGTCCTTTACTCCCAGATTCCCCAGTCCAATGCACCCCATCATGCAATAGCAGACGCGCAGCATAGAACAAAGAATAACCATTTAAACCTCCAGGGAACACCTCCGATGAGATGGACTACATCAACAAACGTATCTCAAAATGGATGCCCGAAAACTCCCCCCGAGTCGCAGTAGACGGCCACCCTCAACTGTGCGGAATCAACGACACCATCAACGCCACCGACGCCCACGGCCCCGCAACCAAGCTCCCCTCCGAATTCTACGACCGCAAACTCAGAGACTACATCGACCAGATCTCCGTCGACGAATGGTTCACCGGCTACACCGAGAGCAATGAATACCGCAAACTCGGTATCGGCGCTCTCCTCGGCGACGTTGTCGACCGCATGGTCAGCACCGCCGTTGACGGCGGCTGGCGCAGCGAGTCCTCTGCCTCGGGCTCCTCCCCAACCAACGGCAAAGCCATCAAATTCGCCATGAGCGGCTGCCACGACACCACCCTCGCTGCCATCCTCACCAGCACGGGCGCCTTCGACGGGAAATGGCCTCCTTTCACCTCCTCCGTAGCCATCGAGCTCTTCTCCAAAGCCGACCAAGACCAAGCACAAGCAGCACCCACCGCTGGTGACGCAGCTCAGAAGAAGGGCATCTTCTCCTTCCTAACTGGCTCCTCTTCTTCCAGCACCAGCACCACTACCCCTCCTCAACCCTCCGAAACAGCCCGTGTCCCTCTGTCCTCTCTTCCAGAATCATCCAAAGAATCCCTCCGCTCCCACTACGTCCGCATCAGATACAATGACAGTCCTGTCCGGATCCCCGGCTGCGCTGCTAAGGCTGAGAATCATCTCCCTGGCGACGAGAGCTTCTGTACGCTGGAAGCGTTCAAAGAGATCGTGGACAAGTTCACGCCCCAGGACTGGAGGTCCGAGTGCCTGCAGAATCTGGGTGAGGGGTTGTATGGTAAGAATGATGCGGAGAAGTCGATTGCTGGGTTCTAGAGCTTACGGAGACTAATGATTGTCTATTGGGGTGTGTATGCAAGCTGGATTCTCTCTGTAACTAGTTCTTTTTATTTCCTTGGCCACTATTTTGAGATGGGGAGATTGGTTGATTTGCTCTAATAGATATAAATACTTACTATGGTCCTTTAAAGACATAAGACATATGCAGTATTGGGCTACTTTGCCTTCAAGTTGTGTTGATAATCTAGTCTTCTGCAACTGATATACCAGGCCGTAGCCAAGCGGTACTTATAATACTAATACATCATGATAATATGCTCGAAAGTTATATACTCTAATAAGATCTTATCCCTTATCTGCACACTCCACTACTTACTGCGCACCCTTGGCAGCACCACCATCATTCCGCTTCCTAGCATAATGCTCTTTCTTAATCCGCTCCCCCTCACTATCACTTCCACTCGTGCTCCACCCACTTTCACTCTCACTCGCACTCCAAATCGACTTCGTCTTAGCACCTGCCCCTTCCGACTTCTCAACCTCCATCTCCTCAACAGCAGCAGCAGGAATCTGCTTATGTTTCTCCTGCTTCTGCTTCTTCGCCTTCTGCCGATTCTGCGCGATCTGCTTAGCAGCCTCTTTCCGCTGCTCGGCTTTCTCCTCGCCCGCGCGTTCCTGGAGATCGAACAGTTTCTCGACGGCGGGCGCGTAAGCCTGGGCAATGGGCATATCGCGGACGCGAATACGCATGTAATCGAAGGCCGCGACGATAGGCACGGTAATCTTAGGGCGGCTGGTGACTTTGATGTCGCCGAACATCTGGTTGCGAGTGGTGTTGTTCTGTGGGGGCTCGTCGTCCGGGACGTCGAGCCCGACTTGGCCGACGTGTTGGCTGGGTTCAGCGGCGGGTTTGTTGGCCGTGCGGGAGGGGGCTTCTTCGACTCGGGCGAGCTTTTGGTAGCGTTGGCTGAAGTGTGTGAGGAGGATGGCGCGGGCGTTCATGAGACGGCCTACTTCGAGGGCTTCGGAGAGGGTGGAGTGTTTCTTGGCGATGGCGGACACGGCCATGTCGTCTTGGAAGGTGGCTTCGTGGATCAAGACGGTGGAGTTGCGGCCGATGGTGGCGAAGCCGGCGGAGGGACGGCAGTCGCCGGAGAAGGAGATCTTGAAGCCGTCTGGGAAGACGAGGGAGACGGCCATGGCGCCACGGCAGTGGGAGACACGGGTGGTGAGGAGGTCGGAGAGGCCGGTGGCTTCGCGGAGGAGAGAGGTGAGGGGGGAGGATTGGTCGTGGAAGCTGAGGCTAGTGGTCGCGGGTCTGGTGGCGTCAAGTTGATGGCCGGGATAGGAGCCGTCTCCACGGCAGTGACGGTAGACGAACTGGGTTCGGATGTTGCCTTGGTGGAGGTAGGGGGAGGCACTCAAAGGAATCACCTTGCCGAAACCGTAGTTCTCGACAGCGGCGTATTCTTCTAGCCAGCCCTTCATCATTTGTTCGGAGACAACGAACAGCCGCTTTTCCTTGAGGATCTTGGACATGTCCATCTCGACCTCATCCGTCTGCGGGATTCCCTCGGGGTAGTTCTCCTGGAACCAGGCTTTGATGACAGAAGCGGTGCCGAGATGGTGGTCGGCGTGGAGGTGACTGATCCAGATCATCCGCAGATTCTGCAGGACTTCACGCAGCTTCTCAGGTGAGAAGACACGCTTCAACTGACCAAGAGTGTTCTCACCGCAGTCGAGCAAGTAGTATCCGTATCCGGGCACGTTGAGAAGAGTGGCGGAGACGTTGCGGTACTTGGATGGTGCGGATGACCCAGTGCCCAGGGTGATAATCTCCACGTTGGCTCCTGGAAGATCTTTTTGGAAGCTCTCAAGCTTCTTCGTGAACGCTTCTTTCTTGACACGCTTGCGGATGGTGCTCAGGCGCTGTTCGATGGCCCAAGGCATCTGTCGCTGCACCTGTGCGGGCTCGAAGTGCGGCTCCACTTCAGAGTAATTGAGCGCAAAGTTAGGCTCCATGTCGATGATGACGCCGGGTACCACTGGTTGCAAGGCAACGGCTTTCGTTGTATCTGTTGTAGGCTCTGCAGTTCTAGTGCCGGGCTGCGGAAGGGTCACATTGTCATGAACAAGAGTTGGGTAGTTGTCAGGTCTCAGCAAGCCCATTCGCGTTGTCGAGGTTGCGATGCTCTTCATAGAGAGGTAATTGGGACAATAGTCCGAGCTGGACACAGTATGTTCGCACTTGGAGAATCTCGCCACAAACTCGTGGAGCCGTGGATGATCACCCACTCCCGGACCCAAAATCCACAGGAAGGTCTGCAGACCGGTAGTAACGGCAGGGGAGTTCCACTCGGGCCGATTCACCAGGTCGTCGACATGTGCTGGGGTGGGCAAATCAATAATTGCCATTCCCTTACCCAGTCGCGATGGACCCAAAACCATGTCAGGAGTAACGATCTTGCCATCCTGCGATGTCACGCTCTCTCCCCTGGTCAACTTCGCATAGTCTGGTCCCTTGCGAACATTCAGCTCTTGAGCCTTCTTCGGGTCGAACTTTCCCCGGACATCGTGGTTCCGGATGATATACGAAACAGATTCCTGACACCAGGTAGTATGAGGGATCTTCTCGACGGCCGCACCGGGCCACGGTTGGCGTACGAGGACCGTGATATCAGGGAGCGGCTCATTGCTTCCTGGGGCAGGTCCCTTGTATTGCTCAAGGTCTTTGGTGACGGGGTTACGAACGAACATCGCGGCCGGCATCTTCACATCCGCCAACTTGGTCTCGTGCAGAGCATCCAGTCTCCAGTTCGAATTGAACATGTCCGTGATCACAGACTGCCTGATGACTTGATCCCGGGTTCGCGCATCGATAGGCTCCGACGCATTGTTGGTCTCTTCAAACTCATCGAGGCTCCGCTTCCTGGGGCTCATTGAGCGGACCTGCGACGTCGCCTGCAGGTGCGGGACGGGGGAAGACCTGATAGGCATAGCCCAGACCTTGATGTTGCTGTCCGACCATGTAGGCTGTTCGCAAGGGTCCTCCGCTCCGAGACGATCGGGTTTCGACATGCCCTCCGAATCATATTCCCGCGTGAACACCGGTGTACCCTTGCGAAAGACGAACCTCCGTGCGGTGGCTAGGGTGTGCGTGAGGTTTCTGCCTCCGTGGATTGTCAGAGTTCCTCGTTGCGGCACCAGCTGTCCGTCGTGAACCGCGTATGACATTCCATGCTCCTTTTTGGAAGTCGCATTGGCCTGTCCACTTTCTTTGGAGCGTTCCTCTTTCTCCCGCGCAAGAAGTTCCAAAGCATTGTTCGAGCTGGCTATCCCATCAGCCAGCGTAAGGATGACGCCAATCAAGCCTCCAGTGTTGCCCCATTGTATCTGGCCGGTGAGGAAGACGTCCGTCAGATAGGTTATTTTAATGCCACGCTCCGTACATGCGCGCTGAGTGCCCTCCGACAGTTGACCGAAGAAGTAACGCTTGTCCGGAAAGTGAAGAAGGACCGTAGTGCCTGGGGTATCGGCCGTGGGCGTGGTCAGGATTTCGTAGTAGAACTTCATTGGGGGATTGCCCGTCGGCGGTGTCGGCGGAGGACCAAATCCTGATGTCTGAAAAGCCTTGGGATTGTAGAGGAGGAAATTCTGTCCGCGTCGGAAAGGTAGTCGAGGGGCAGGCAGTAGATAAGTGCCCGGCTCCACTGAATGGCGACTCTGAGAATTTTTGGACGACGCTGACGGCCCACGCTTCGGGACAAAATCGCGCTTCTGGGATATAGCCTTTTTCTGATAGCTCCGAAAATCTCGAGGGATCGTAGTTCGGAGGAGGACTGGTGAGGGACGTCTGGGAGCGACGGCAACTCCGCGAAAAACACTGGCGAGTAGCGCCGCGGACCGCAGAAGGGAAGCCAACTTGATGGGAAAGGGGATGCAGTTGGGCTAGGATAAATGAAAGCAGCGTCAACGGTCCGTCATCTCATACAGATTCTGGAAGGAAAAGCAAGATAAAAGAGATGGTTGGAGATGAGAGGTTGTCAATTGACTTGGATGAGTCGCAGAGCTTCTCCGCCCGGCAACTTTTTCTCGGGCCTCTGCGGCGAGACGATCGCCACTGTCACCCACCACTGCTATCGTTCACATCAAGCCATGCAGCTCCTCTGCGCCAAATAGTACTACTAGTCTTCCTCTGGTGATCTACGTGATACAATCTATATAAAAGGTTCGCAGATTTTTTAAGGTCATTCTTCAACTTTTGATATGGAGTTAATTTGTATCTTGATGTTGTTCCCTAATAGCCAGTCCGGACAATCCATAATTCCAAGCTCCCAAATTCCAATCCCAAAAGCCTTCCCTCATCCAGACACCAGAAGCCATTCCGTCGAACCCCTGAAAAGATAGGGAAAAGAAAAGAAAAAGAAAAGACGAGCAGCAATAGAAAGAATAAGCGTAGACAGAAATAAGCCACGTCGTGGGCAGAAGTATATAAACACAAGATCATTGACAAAGGAAAGACGTTGGTGTCTACATGGCAGGTTCAATAGTATTTCGAACCACTAGCGAGAAGGTAGATAGGCAAAAAAACGAAGAATCAGCTTTACAGTACTTATAAGGCTCGAAAGTGCGCGACATGGGGAATCATGAAAGATGAGCAGTCATCATGGACACGCGCTCGAAAGCGGCTTCCATGCTGTGGCAAAGATGAGCAAATTGTTGGGCACTGTCCTTGACCTCGCCCTCGACAACAAGCTCAAACGTCGACTTTCCGGTAGCGATACCACCGAAAGCACGAACAGATCCTTGCGATGTAGGGGCGGCAGGCATATCGGCAAAGAGGGCGAAGGCAGGGTCCGACTCGTCCATCACGACATCAGGGTTCTCAACGCCAATGTCCGACTTCTGCTCGGTTTCGGCAACAGGTGGCATAGAGGCGAGAACAGGAGCCTCGTCCTTGGAGCTGGCAACGCTGGGAAGGCAAGAGTCCACGATGCTGGAGGTCTTGCCAGAGAGGGTCTCGGTGTCAATAACGGGCTCAGGGATTTCCAGAACGGCGAACACGGAGGCATTGCCGTAGTTCATGTCAATACCCGAGTTCCAGCCACCGTTGTTCATACCCATGGCTGAGACATCGAGTCCCTGGTTAGGAACCATGACCATACCAACCGGAGGAGCCTGCTGCATAGGCGGTTGCGTCATGGCGGGAGCTTGCTGCTGGGGCGGCTGCTGCTGAGGTTGGGCCTGTTGCGGGTGCTGAGGGTGCTGGTGGTGCTGAGGGTGGGGCTGCGACTGCACTTGGCTCGGCAGGGGAAGACCGTTGGGGCCCATCTCGTCCAGGAACTGAGAGAAGTGAGGGGACGACAGGAGCATGCGGGCGAGGTCGGTGAGACGGGCGTTCTCCTCAAAGAGGGAACGGTTCTGCAGACGCAGTTCGTGGGCTTCGTTGGTCTTGGCGGCAACCTCGCTCTCGAGCTGACCAATGTATTCTAGATAACGAGTCAGTTACTTCATGTTCAGGCCATTACACCAACGACCATTGGATCCATACCCTTTCTGCGAGACCGGAAAGCACGAGCGGAAACCTTGTTCCGGAGCTGACGACGTTCCTTGCTGCTGAGCTTCTTTCCTTCTTCGCTGGCCAAGAGTCTCTCATCCTCATCCATATCCTGCTCCTCCTTCTTGGCCTTGGCCATCTGAGGCAGGAGGGAAGGGGGAGAGGGGGAGTCGTCAGGCGAGTTCAATGCAGACTGGCGCATCTGCTGCAAGAGGCGAGAGATGCGTTCCTCAACAGCGGGGTTGGAGGGGCGAGGGGTCTGGCTGTGGGGGGCTCCGTTGTGGTGCATGTGCTCGTCCATGCGGCGCTGTTGCTGAAGGTGCTGCTGGCGAAGGTACTCATTGTGCTTCTGCTGCTGAGCGGCCTTGGCCATGGCAGCCTGCTGCTGGTGCATACCCGGATACATGCGTCCGACTTGAGTGGAGGGGCCCATGGAGGCCACCTCATGGCCGCCCAAAGCGTTGGGGTCGACGAACTGACTCTTGTTGCTCGGGTTGGGGGAAATGAAGTAGGCAGGAACCGATCCCATGTTGTCGGACTCCAGGTCCATATCCGAGGTGTTGCGAGTCGGGGGGCTGTTGAAATCCATGGGAGGCTCTTCGCGCTTGAGTTGGCTGCTAGGGTAGAGGTCTGCGCCCATGGGGAAACCGGGACTCGGGGCACCATATCCCATACCGTTCATGTGGTTGAAAGTCATGGCATGAGCCAGGGCACCTGGAGGCAGGCCGGTCTGCTGCTTGTGTTCATCATACTGGTGACTGGGACCCTGGAATGCGACCGGGGCTTGTTGACTTGTTGTTGAAGCAAAACCAGCACTTCGTACATCGCCAGCGTTGAACTCGGTGCTTGGTAGGGTGGGTTGAGCAGCCAGGGCGGTCTTTGCGCGGGCAGGCTCTGCGGAGGTGTATGCTAGTTGATCGAGGTCGAGGAAAGACTCGATGTCCTGGTCAAAGGAAGACGGCGCAACCGCCGGATGCTCTGCCAATGTAGCCATGGTAATGGTGATGTGTAGATGAAAAGCTGTTCGAGTAGCGCGACCTGATAGACGAGAGCGGAGACCAGCGCGATTTGGTCAAGTGCACGGTCGGAGTAGAGAAAGGGGTGGTGTGGATTTGATAACGAGAGACGATGAGAGGGTGATGTTGATCCGAGGTAGAAAGGGGTGAGAGAGAATCGATGCAGGAGGGTTACTAGTAAGCAATGAAGCAGAGTGGTCTATGAGGGATATCGAAAAGACAATACACGTAACGATAGCGTTGGAGAGGGAAAAGTGAAAACAGAAAGGAGGATTTAGATGGGTGAATATGGGATAATAGTGATAGTAGGAGGAGTGATTGATGGAGAGGAGGAAGAGGAGATGATGGATAAAATGGGAGGGAGGGATCGACCAAGGTTGGCGGACGGGAGTTAATGAGGGAGGGATAGCGTTACAAGACCGAGTGGGCAGAGCAGCAGCAGCAACACAGCAGAGCGAAGAGACCAGATGGGCAACTCTTCTCCACGCCAGGAATAGAAATCCACCCAGAATTTCAGGTAACTAAAAAGGCTTGCGCGTCCTTTGGCTGACTCAGCGGCTACTGGGTCCCGCCCCACCTCAACTCCATTGCAGATTGGTTGGCCCCTTGAGCACTAAGGCAAGTTCAGTGGGTTAGGGCTTCCGGGGAGCAGCACCCTACTCCACTGCTGGCTACTAGGGGGGAATCCACTCTCTCCCTCCCTCCCTGAGTTACTTGGGTAGTTCGGGCTTAGTCGCACCGGTTTTCGCCCGTCTCCTCTACTCCAACCAGGAACGCTGAATGCTACCAAACAGAATACAGAATTAATTCTACAGTTGGTCCAATCAGGAGATCGTCGATAAGATCCCCGGGCCTTGTTTACTTTTCACTGTGTATACTCCCCCCCCTTGACAGGTGTGGGATTGACCGTATCGGCCACTCTCACCAACCAGCATACACTCTACAGTAGTACACATCCCTTGTGCAGACAAGAAGCATGTAGGCCAACCTAATGGGGTCCTTCCCTCCGCACAACTTTGTGTCGGGTGACTTTGGACGAGAATGGGAGGTGTGAAAGCCGGCATGCGAGATTTTCTTCGCAAGCCGCCCCCTAGATGGTCGCCCCGAAGTCTCTTTTCTCACCCCCATTGTACATGGACGGACCAAGTAGGTATTATTGTGTCTTCCCGTCCCTCTTGCCTCCCTTTCTGACACCTTGCCGTTTCAAGTCTGTTTCTCCGAGGCACTGAAACGGCGGCACAGGTGAGCACAATCTCAATTCCTGACAATGTGCTTGCACCAATCACAGTAGTCTCTTGCAAGATTGTTCACCTGGAGTGTCCAATGTATCATCACTTTATGACGTTAGTGGCTTCAGCCAGAGCCAATGACCGCCATGATTTAAACGACGGCTGCGATCTGTTCACAGCAATTGTGATCACAGTTTCCGCGAGTCCACCAATCCACATCGGCACTTTGATTGATTGGAAAACAAAAAGGGGTGGATAATGTAGCTGAGACTGCCTGGGTCTGGAATGTCATTCAGTCTTCACCAATGTGATTAATCGATCTATGGGACAGAGAGGGGAGGGGAGGCCTCTGGAGGGGACAATGGGGAACAACGAACAACAACCAGATTATCAACACAGTCGTTGTGTGGTCGAGGGGAGCGAGTCCACTTCCAGGGCTCTCTGGCTGATGCATCAAGATGTTCTAGAATGGCCAATAGTGCCGAGCACCTCGATCTCGACTCTTCAAGAGCTGGTCCCCTGGTGTGGATGCGCCGGTGTGGAATTCTGGTGGGTAAGAAACCCGGTTCCTGGCCGACAAAGGTTAGCTCCGGAAGCAAAGCTTGGCGCCGGCCTGCCATGGAAAAGAAAAGCAGAAACCCAGTGATTTGACTGTGAGCCGATGGCCCTGGGGAGAGCCCACTACGAGCCACTCTCAACTCTTTGCCCTTCTCGCTTCGCGCCCAGTAGTTCGGTCTTTGAAACCTTCGGGTCGCCCATCCCAGCACTATCCATGGAGTAGATAGTTTTGAGTATCTATTCTTTCTATCGGCTCTAGACTCCTAGTAGGTGGGCTACTATCTAACCGTTTAGATACTAGGCGCTGAAGAAGGACATGATCCACTCCTCCTCTGGAAGTCCAAAGGATTCTCCCCCGGCTTAACTTAAGGCTTTTTAGGGCCGTTTCACTCCTCGAAGACAGTTGTACAAAAGGGTACTTTTTTAAACAGTGAGCGTATCGCCCATGTCCGAACAGCGCCAGTGGCATCTTATCATTCCGGCGCACATACTCAAAAAGAACATCGCGGGACGGGTGATCATTAGATAACTAAATTTTGATGGGGATAGTTATAGCCTAACAGAGGTGGCCACGAATCGCTGATCCGGCCGAAACTGAACCTGCTGAATTCAATTCTAGGCCTTGATGCAGTTGCAACTTCTGCTTCAAATCCGAATCACTGAAGGACAATGGGTGAAACTCGTCCCAACGGAGAACCACCGATCGCTGGACCGTTCCACCAGTCCCAGAAGGGAGACTGCACAGTTTTCGTCGAGCATCAAAACGGTCCTATTGAATTGAAGTGTGTTCTGCTCGTCTCTAGGCCCGGTAATGCGGCACTCGAGGCTTGAGTTGGGCCTTAGGTTCTACTAGTTCGAGCAAATCTCTTCCTAGTGTCCAGCAACCCCTGGATGGGCGCAGCCGGCACCGCAGCATCACGATAACCTTAATAGGAAACCGAGACGATAAACTATACCGTTGCCATTGCCTAGCGCGCTTTCGATGGCAGATCTTGTGAATAGCCTCGTGCAAATCTTTTGCCTCATGCTACGGATAAAAGTATTTTGTATCTATTTGCAGATCTGTGGCTGAGACTGCACACGACTGGGATGCTGAAGAAAAAATTAGTTAAAAGGTTTATTTTTTCGGCCCGTAGGAGTTTTGCCTTTTGGATCTCCTGAATCCTTGAGCTGGAGGCTTGTTTCAGTTGCCGAGCCTTATAAGGCTTTCTTCGAGGCTGCCTTGGTCTGGTGCAGGCGCAAATTGGCAATACCTAAGGCTAGAATTGAAGACTGTGCACTTGTGATTCTTTTCATTCGCCGAACCAGTCTTTTGAAGCAACTCATCCAGGATGAGTGAGTAGAACCAATCTTCGGTCGATCTGCTCTGTACCATGTTTAGCTCACTGAACGTGCCGCTTAGGTAATTCGCTCAACTTCCACTGCAGCACCGTCTAGGATTTAGGCATCTATTCAAATCGAAGTTATTGTTCGCAGCTCTACTATTTTCAGCAACATCAACGCTGCCGCTTACTGTAGCACTTGAACCATTAGAACTGTAACTATCGCCACCACATACCATTTTTTCCAGAAGTTACGAGGAATATACAACTCCATGACATCCAAGGGGCAATATTATGACCTCACATGATGCGTCGAGTTGAAGCGACCGGAAACGGCAATGTTGTGATGTCACCCCACAAACCAATCCATACTATCCTCCACATTTCATGGTACTGGAAGAAATCAAAGAACAGTATTCAATAATTGTGTGCACACATTTCAGATTCGCCTTATGTATACTGGCGCCAGTACATACACTTTCTCATATAATTAATAATAAACAGGGCCCTTATCCTCTCATATCATAACGATCATAAAAACACAATTCATCATCCCAGCGGTACCTTCACTCAACTGAGTAGTAGAGGCATCATTTACTCCTCAGGTTCATCTTCATCATATTGGTCGTACTGGGTTCTCGATCCGCCCTTCTGGCCAGCAGCACGGGCTCTGGGGTCTCCGGGTTGGAAGCTACCGCTAGAGGCCTGGCCACCTTGGGATGCGATGTTGCGCTAAATATAATATCAGTCATCCTTTCATGAACAATAATCATGAATAAAACATGTGAATATATAACAATAGCATACCTGCTTATCAGGATCCATACTGGCGAATCCGCCCGAGTGACTGGACTGGCCGCCCTTCTTGGCGATATTCGACACTTCGTCGTGGGAGCGGTTGGCGAAGTTTCCGGGGTTGGAGTTGGATGCCATTTTTATTCCTTTATCGAACAGGTGTTCTATAGTATATTGAGGGTAAGTTATAGTAGATAATTTGATTCTGATCCAATTCCAAATCTCAATCTCAATCCCAAAAACATCAGCATATATATACTACGAATCCCCAACCCCATGAAGTCATAATGTCACCCATTTGACATCAACAACTCACCTACGCATCCTGATGCAATTCGCAATTAACTTTTTTTTTCACAAACCTCATACTGAGCCTCAACACTCCAACAATATTATCCAATCATCCTATCCTAAAACAAGTTCTCCGTACCCCATCATGCAGCATCCTATCCCTGATATTGGCTGATTTGGCTCGCCACGCGGGAACTTACATGGCAGGGTTTCCGTGGAACAAGTAGCTCGGGGGAGCGGTTTCGCCCTGTTTCCATAGGGGAGTAGTAGTGTCATGATCACGTACGTGTGTTTGGCGGTCTAGATTTGCGATTGCGCAATTGTGGAGGTTAGATTTGGTTTGATGGTGTTTACGGTGCGGGTTTTAGATGCGCTGCTGTGCTGTGCTGGATTGGATTGGATTGGATTGTTGGGGAAGGGGAGCCTAGGCTAGGCTACGTAGAAGGGGTGTCATTGTTTATCGGGTATGAGGTGGGTGGCGATTGGAAGCTTTATGGTTTAGTTGGGGGTTGATGTAAGTTTGATTCTTCTGGAAGTGGGAGGATCAGGGTTGAGGGTTGGTTCTAGATTGTGTCTGAGGATAGGCTGATCTAGTAATAGTATGTATCACTAATGTTGCGCTGTAGGTGGTTAGATACTCATTGTGCTTCGCTTGCATGATGTACTATTGGACCAGTGAATGGAACCTTTCCATTAGAGAAGATGTGTAGTTATGTATCCTTATTTGAATTGAAGTAGCAGTATGTACGGAGTACTATAAACATATATATGGCTGGTGGAATACCTGGCGCTAGTATTCACTTTTTGTATGTACCTTTCTGTCCTGCTGACGACCTGCCATAGGTATTATTCATCATCGTCGTGACCTCGTCATATAATATCTGGATTGTCCATCTTCATCATCGTAGATATCTTGCAATTATGAGACAAGCTGGAGCGCTGATACAAGGGGCCCAATTGCAGCAAGTCTAGAACAAAGGCATATGGACAGACTTCGTATAGTCAACGTTGCTCTCGACAGACTCGATACGCTCATGGCACGTGCCAAAGATCCGGTCCCATAGGCGAGTCTGCTTGCCATAGTTATGACTCTTCCTCCACCCTTTGCGATGATGGAGGTCGTGATCCTCAATGACAATCTCAGCATTCAGCCACTGCAGCAACCAGCTTAGTGTAGATGGCACTGTCATCTGGACACGAAGACCGCTATGTCCAAAGACCTCGGCAAATGCAACGTATTGATGGCAAATCCACCACTCATAAAAGCCCATAGGTAGACCCATGAGCCTAAGGCTCATGTAGGTCATGAACGGCACACCGACCATGTCGAAAAACTCCTGCTCGTGGTCTGCATAGGCGGCGAGGAGAGGGTTGGGGTGTTTCGTGAGATGGTGGGTGCGATGATACTTCCAGAGGAAGCTAACGTCGTGCATTATGCGGTGGTACCAGTAGAACCAGAAGTCGAGCACAATGCCATAGAGACCGATCATCAGTGGGAGCCATGCCCAGTTCATGGCCATGGGTGATTGGTTGTAGTAGGAAAGGTAGATCGCCATAACTAAGCGAGAGCCGGTCGTCTTATATAGCGAGGCGGTAACTTTCCCCACGCCAACATCGGGAATACCGTCACGCTCATGCTGGTCACCGTCAAGGAAGCCATAGGTGTGTCCGAGGCGACGAAGAAGTTTGACTTGGTAGATGACCGTTGCGTTGAACCAAAAGAAGTATAGGTTGAACAGAGCGAATGGGCCGAGGTTGTGGCCCATATATGAGATGTAGACCTGATTAATGACAAGCGGGATAGATGCATAAAAGAGAACCCATATGTTAAGAGACCACTGAGGCATATAAGGTAGCTTGTCCTGCTTTGAATGGACTGGGACTTCCTGGTCAAGCGCAATGGGATGGACATTGAGCAGCTCCAGCAGCCAGTGACTGAAGCCCCATTCGTCCCGGTTGCCGGTACGCCATGTAGATTTCATAGAGTCTTTTGGGTTTCCCGCAGAAGTCATGATGGCGGTATGTTAATTTTTTGATACCATGGGATGCCTTCCCCAGAAATTGAGGCCATGATGTTTTATATCAGGGCTTCGGAGCTCGGGGGACTACCTTCATGTGAAGGATTTATATCACATTGATAATCTCAAGTATCAAATAGCGGATCAATTTTCCCAACAAAATATCAGATGAACATAGAGGGTACCCTGACATCGATCATGGTGGGAGCCTCCTTCACCCAAAATAGCAAAAGATAGACCAAGAGGGAAACTAAATATTCGGCACATGAAGCCCGGCAGTGCATGTTGAACGCATGGAACGTGTAAACCCCGCATTACTGTGCCTCGGAGAGATGGAAAGCACCGAGGATCACCCGCAGATCCCATACTCGCGTACCTGTCGCTTAGCAGTCGCCAATCAACGTTGGAGAGGATTTTGGAGGGAGAGAGATGATTGACTGTTTGGGTCTGGAGATCTACAAGACACCTGAAGAATGGTTGCGGCTTACCGCTTTCCAACCCAACAAGTTCGCATTGGTTTCCTTTCCAGGTCTAGACTGGCTCTCCTTTAACTTTCAAGTTCAATTTGCTGCATGTGATTGTCCGAGGTGTAGAACATTATGAAGAAATTATGTTCGATAGCAGTATATGTTCGACGTTGAGGAAACTGCTTCCGCGTTAAGATGAGGAATAAGCGCAGTTGGAGTGGGGTTACATTAGGCTTGAGGACCTGAACCAGTATGACTGCACTAATTATAGAGTAATCACCAATGTGCCTGGATTATACGTTACCATTGACGCTTATACTTATCTTGACATACAGCACTTCTCCATGCTTAGAAATTTGTAAATCATGAATGCCTGGTTTGTTGCAGTAGAAGTTTGATTATCAGGTGATCTTTTAAGGCCAATGACGCTATTCCGTGCCTGATCAAGTCGCAATCTGCTCAGGAATAAATTCACGGAGTTAAAGTCAGGTTATAGTCAAATTATGATATCTCGTGATCTTACAGTGACAGGCTCGCTATTCCTGTTTGGGACAGAATCTTGACTGTTGTCACCCCTCACTTCCAGGGATCATTTGCGTGCGGCTCTGTTTTCCTCAATATGTTGTTCCAGAGCTATGTTCATGTCAACTCTGAGTATACATTTGGCTATCTATTGCGTGCATATGGTGGTTCACTTCGTTCTCCTTCTTAACTGTATACAGGAGTTCCATTCAAGTTCTCTGCAAAATGCCCTCAGCTATGAGTGACCAGTCCACAATCATACCCGCCAACAGATCGGGTTATATCCATCACAAGTCACCAGGTGTGGTATGAATCCCATTGATATCTGGATTATTAAGGAATCAAAACTGACACGAGAAGTGCACGACCTTAGCCTCGCATGTGTAGCGGGATCGACTGTCAGGACAACCCCAACCTTGTATGACATTATACCAGCTACAGAATCCAAAGTACTGTGAGATACCCATAATATGACATAATGAGTCCATAACTAATGCAGAATTGGAACACAGGTGTTTTCTACACAGGAATGGGTTGAATCGAGCGTGAAAGTCAATTGCGTGGTTCCCCTGGCAAAGATAATGAATAAGGAAACTGCAGAAGTACTGAGGTTGGCTTCCAACAAGTGAATGTGCGGGCCATGACTGATGACTTGGGCTTGCGATGCATATGACACAAACTGCCCAGGTCACTGTCTCGCAATGTTAGTCTGATATCCAGGCACAGGGTAACATCGGCACCCGTGGCAATCAAGCACCAAGAACAGACCCAGAGAAGAGCGGTGAACAATTGTGCTGGAGGATAGCATGAGCAGCCACCATTCAATTATATGTTTTCGTACAGCAATCAGACTGCAATTCTCATCCTTAGATGGCAGCCCACCTTGAAGACAGGGGGAGGAAGAGCCCTACAGGGAATTATGAAATGAAGCCGAATGCAGTGGGGGCGAAGATCAAATCTCGGCCCGCAAGTGCTTAATCACGTTGCCGTCCCACGAAATCCCAGCCGTTTTTTCTTTGCCGCAGGCTTTTTCGCTCTTTCTTTCCTACAAACACAACAACTTTTGAAACAACCTGAGTCTTATTGTCGAAATGTTCGCTGCAATGGAATAACATACGCTTTTTCGCCGATTTTATCTTTCCAAGTTTGACCATCAGATCACTAAACTAGGAAACCCCGAACTTTGTTTTGCCTTACCCAAGCTACTATCGCGACCCTTGCCGAAGATAAACCCTGTGTCTACTACTATTAACTGCTATCTACTGTAGCACTGCGTCGACACCAAAGCCCTCTAACCACTCATATTGTTTACCATTCAGGTCATCTCACCCTCAGTGACCTTGACTGGACTGCTTATGCCACAACTGATCAGAAATCGAAACATGAATTATCGTACACGTCTAAGAACCCTTCAGAAATTTTTGCAAAACCCTTGTGGCTAGCGGTGTGCGCCCCCCCCACCACAGCCGCCTGATCTTCTTGACAAAACTTGCGCGCGTCGCAGCCTGCCAGCATGACTTGTGAGTCGGTCTTTGCTTAAATGCCTCTTGCCTTTTATTTCCCGCTGTAGTCCTTCAACATGGCCTGCATCTTTGCCCCTTGCATGTCATCATGGCTACGAAAGCAGCCACAAGCATCTAAGAAAGAGGAGAAGGATTACTATATCCACCATCTCGGATCCCACAATCTAGTGGTTCTCAATTACTGACATGACGGATCCCTAGCTCGAGGCTGGCGGCAGCTTCTGAGTCGAAGCATAATTGCCATGCTTCCGCCATTCAACTTCCTCACGCTTCATTATGTATACTTCATTGCGACGTCTTTGATATGCAGCGTCATATTCTGGGGTTCCTCGACTCCGCGGCGCAGTGTTTCATACACAGACTCCCTATTTCTATGCATCAGTGCCATGACGGGTGCTGGCTTAAATACCGTATGTTGCTTTCCCATCCCTCGATAGAGCTAGTAAAGTAACTCGTAACAGGTCGACCTGTCTTCCCTGAATTCGTTCCAACAGTCTATCCTCTTCGCACTCTTACTGTTGGGGCATGCTATTCTCATCTCAATAACGGTGCTCTTCGTCAGGATGGGCGCGTTTCAAGCCAAATTTAAAGGCATATCACTTGAACGTGCCCGTAAAGCACTACAGCAACAACTGGTAGGACAAGACACCATACTTGAACCAATCCAAGAGAGTGTTGCCAGCGAGGAACACTATCAGCTGGCGAAGATTGACGGTGCTACCCTTGATGTCAAGCACGCGGTGACAGCAGGAGCTGCACCCGCAGATAAGTGCAACGACGTGCGAGATGACGACCAGATCCGATGGGTCGACGATGATCAAGTCACCCTCAGCCATATGAGGGCACGTCAAAAGCACCATCATCACCACCGCGTTTTTCCCATGGTAGGCGTTGGGGCCCGTCTTGACTTGAACAACCACCCCCGAGATGCTGCGCCAAGAATGACCCAGAATGATGGAGATACAGATTTACCTGCCCTCAAAGGCCTTATCAAGGGCACACAAAAATACTTTAGGTCAAAAGGATCTATCGCACGAAATTCCCAGTTCCATGGGCTTACCCCTGAAGAGCGAGAGAGACTGGGAGGTGTCGAGTATAAGGCCGTTTCCTTACTACTGGTCATTGTTGCCCTCTACTGGATCCTGTTCCTCATTTGTGGTATCATTGGGATGGGTACCTGGATCGCAGTGAATCATCCAGATATACCTCGATCAAACGGCCTATCGCCTTTCTGGACAGGCGCATTTTTTGCTGTGTCTGCATTTGTGAACAGCGGCATGTCGCTCTTGGATGCGAATATGACTGCATTCCAGACAAAGTATGATCTCCCCTGTGTGCATTGTGTCTGAAAGCATGCTGATTGTTATATAGTGCGTACCCTTTGCTTACCATGGCATTCTTGATTCTGTCTGGGAACACGCTTTACCCATGCTTCTTGCGGTTTATTATCTGGGCAATGAGATGCTTGATCCCAGATAAGCCGTCATGGGCGACATGGAAGGTTACTCTGGACTTCATCCTTGACCATCCTAGAAGGGTATGCCGCCGGATTCCAGGTTTCTTCACAGTTTTCTACGCTAACCTAAGCGCAGGTTTACACAAACCTCTTCCCGAGAAGACATACATGGTACTTGCTCGGTACCATTATCATCTTGAATGCGATCGACTGGGCTGGCTTCGAAGTCCTTTCAATCGGAAACAAGGAGATTGAAAGCTTGCCAACAGGGTATCGAGTCCTAGACGGACTGTTCCAGGCTTGCGGTTCGTATACAACCTAACTTTGCTGTGGGTCAAATCTTCATCTGACACATTGTGTTGTCCAGCTGTACGAGCGGGAGGCTTCTACGTCGTTACGATTGCGGACCTCCGTCAGGGACTACTCGTTCTATATGGTAAGCACTTGTTTCCCCAAGCTTTAATCAGAATTATACTAACGTTCCACAGTTCTCATGATGGTCAGTTTATTAGTAGTTTGTAGTCGACACAGATCAAACTAACCTTATATGTATGTAGTATGTATCAGCATACCCAGTGCTGGTTACCATGAGGTCAGTAACAATCGCTCCTCTCCTTCCTCCCAACCACCCACTAACGACCACAGAAACACAAACGTATACGAAGAGCGCTCCCTCGGAATCTACGCTCACGACAACACGGACGACGAGACCGAAGAGAAGGCCTCACCAAACATGCTCATCCAATTAGTCCGACACCACCTCCTCGGCCGACAAGATGCATCCACCCCCGAAGCATCCCGCAGTTACTTCGTCCACCAGCAACTGCGTTCCCAACTGAGCCATGACCTTTGGTGGATCGCCCTCGCGGTCTTCCTCATTGCCATCGCGGAATCAGGAAACTACAGCCGCATGCCCGTGGCATATTCGACCCTGAATATCATTTTCGAGGTCGTCTCCGCCTACGGTTGCGTCGGCATCAGTGTGGGCTTTCCGAGCTCGAATGCCTCGTTCTGTAGCTCCTGGCATACCATCAGCAAACTTATCTTGGCGGCTGTTATGCTGCGCGGTCGCCACAGGGGTCTTCCGGTCGCTATTGATCGCGCTGTCATGCTACCGAATGAGTCCCTTGAGTGGGCGGAGGAGGAAGATGCTGCTATGAGACGTGAGCAGTCTCGTGCTTGGGGGAGTGATAAGATGCCTGTGGGATCAGTTTAAGTGTTCACTCACTTTTAAATGGGTTGCTTGAAGGTTATTTGTGGATGGGGTGGTATGTTGAAGGTGATGTTTCACAAGGAGGGGAGGTGCAGTGATGTATCGTTTGGTGGCAGTGATTGCTTGTTCTTATTTTTGAGTTGCTATCGTTCTTGTGATTTTACTGTCTGTGTTATTTTGTGTATTTTGTGATCTTATTCCAGTGGTAGAGTATACGTATGCCATCGCGTTTTGCACATGTAACTGTCAGCTCACTTTCAATTAGTGTACAATATGCCGCACAATACGAACATTATAGCTATTGATCACACTTACACGAATTCTAACTTTTATATTGACACCAGCAGACCAGACAAGATATATCCCATAAAGCTACGACTGATATATAACAAGACAGTGAGAAAAGAAAAGAAAAATGGGTACAAAAGGAGATTGAACAGATTAATCCTCCTCTTCTTCAAATTCAACCTCATCTTCGTCCTCCTCCTCTTCTTCCTCTTCCTCCTCATCTTCGCTACCATCATCACCCGAACCAGCCTCGCTTTCATCCTCTACTTCCTCATCATCATCCTCACTGTCATCATTCTCACTAATCACATCATCCATGATGGCATCCTTCCCAGCTTCCTCCTTCTCCTGGGCCCTCCGCTTCTCGTCCTCGCGTCTACCCTGCTCAAGAATCTTAGCCTTCTCCTCCCTCAATTTCCGCTGCGACTTGACGAAAGCTCCCAGCGGCGTGGCCTCCCAATCCAGATCCTTCAGGAACGTCTCCACCTCAGCACGGTTCCTCGGCGTGTAAGAGACGCTCAATCTGCGTTCCTCGATGAAGCGCGCATTGGCCTCCACCTTCTGCACAAGCAGCAGAATCATCTGATTGACCTTAGCATTCTTGTTACCTCCCGACCGGGAGCTAGCCTGCTTCAGCCAGCGCTTCAGCGAGACAACAATGGGGACGGAGAGTTCAGGGAAGGCGATGTGTTTCGTCCAGAGGACAAAGAATTCGGAGAGGAGTTCGGCGATTTGCTCACCCACGCCATCTTGGTAGACGCGCGTGCGGAGGTAGGATTTCGGTGCCCGGATGGCTGTGTTGAAGTCGAGTTGCCTCAGGGTGCTGGATTTCGGGGGCTTGCGCATCTCGGACAGGTTGAGGACTTCGAGGAGACTAGAGGCGAGGGGGATGTAGGTGCCCGTGCTGCGGGAGAGGCGGAGGAGGGAGCGGGTGAGTTGGAAGCGGAGAGGGAAGTACTGCGCTGTGGGAATTAAACGCATCGCACCGATGGTAATCTGCACGACGGGGTAGATGAGGGGGCGCATGGCGGATTGTTTGCCTGCCTTGGCTTCTGCGAGGCCGTCGCAGTGCTGGGAGAGGACGCGGGACCAGAAGTCCAGACTGTGTACGTATTGCCAGTTGTAGACGGTTTTGTAGGATTCCTTGGACGTGTTGGTGATGCTGCTGCGAAGGTGCATGGCGAGTTGGCGGATGAAGTTGAAGCCTGTTGTGTAGGAGACGTTCTGGTCGACGCCCCAGAGCTCTGCGGCGGAGTTCTTCATCAAGTTCACGCCGGGGAGGGTGTGCACGGTGGTGTTGCGGCTGCCCTTGACGACGCCTTCGTAGGAAGCCTTGAGGACGGTTTCCTTGATGCCGGCATCGCCGATAATCATGAGGCGGCGGAGGATAAGGAAAGCCGTGATACGCGTGGCTTCGGTGGTAGCAACGTCCGCCCAGATGCCGACAATGGTCTTGATGAGGACCTTGAGCAGCTTCCTGAACTGAAGGAGGTAGGGAAGCATGGGCTCAATGGAGGAGAGGGTGAGCTTCAAAGTCTGTTCATCGGACAGGTTGGTGAGCAGCTCGTGGACCGACGATGTGTGCGACTTGATAAGCGGCGTGAGGGTCTTGAACTTCTTCGAATCCAGAGACACCTTGATCTTGCCAGAGGCGGTCTCCTTGACGGGGAGGTGGTGAGCGAGAACCCGGGGAATGGTGCTAAGGGCTGTCACCAGGACCTGGTGATACACGTCGGGGTCGGAGATCGAGTACTTCTGCTCTTGGGCGTCGTCGTTGATATGAGCGGCGGCGCGGAAAGCAAGGACGGCCTGTCTCATCGCGCGGATCGAGTGCTGCTCCTCCATCAACTTCTGCCACTTTTTGACCATCGCAATGGTGAGGGTGTTGTCAATCGTCTCCTCTTCCTCCTCCTTGGCGGCCTTTTTCTTCTTCTTGGCCGGTCCTTCTTCCTCTCCTTCGCTCAACTCGTCCACTTCCGCAAGGTCTCCGTGGTCACCGAAATCGAGCAACTCGGCATCGTTTTCCTTCAGGTACTTGTAGAATTCGGGATCCTTCTCCTTCAGGGCTTCGAGCTGGTCCTTGTGTGCTTCGAACTCATCGGCGTCGCTGGACTGGGAGGCGGCGTCCTCGTCTTCGTCGCTAGCGCCTTCCTCTTCAGCGCTGGAAGCAGCAGAAGCCTCCTCCTCCTTCTGCTCATCGGAGCGCTTGCGCTTGCCAATCTTGGGTGTGACATCCTTCTTCCGAGCCTTCTTGCTCAAGTCCGCGGCAGAATCAGCAATATCGAACCCGCCCGCGAAGAAATCGTCGACATTCATATCGGCGAAAGCATTCTGCTTCTGAACCTGCTCAGGGCTCTCCTCGGTAGCCTCCTCCCTCTCGGCACGGTTTTTGGCATTATCGGCCTTACGCTTGTCCTTGAGGTGATTGCGCTGTTTGATCTTCGCATTGGCCTTCCGGCGTTCGAGAACATCCTTCAGGTGCTTCTTTTCGAACTTCTTGGTGGACTTCTTCTGAGCTCCGGCCATTGTGCCCGAGATCCTTGCCTACCCGACCGAACGAATAGGATAAAACGTGTGGGAAAAGTAAAATGAAGGACCACGACGACAGTCGAGATACTTCGAGCACGCGGAAATCCCGACAAGAAAAATCTGGAGACGAAAAAAACATCCCGCGGCAGAATCAGGCGGTGAGTGGAGCCCCGTTATGGTGACCGCCTTCCCTTCCCCTCGCGATGATGCCAGTCGTCTCTCCCCCTCATCGCACCATCATGTATACCCAGCGACCGTTGGCGTATGCCCCTACGCCGTATAGCTATACGCCCAACCCAGCGCTGGCGGCGTCTATCAACCTTGATGAAGTGAGTCGTCTGGAGGTTGGAGAGTGTTGCTAGATTAGGACTGACTGTTGCGGCAGGAAGTAAAACTAGCCTCCAGCGCTGCGGAGCGGGATCTCTACGAGTCGTTGGCTGAAATCTACGGCATCATCGTCACTCTGGATGGCCTGGAGAAAGCTTATATCAAAGATGTGGTTACGGAAGCAGAGTACACGGAGACATGTACCCGGCTCTTGAAGCAGTACAAGTCCAGTTTGGGTGATGAGACTGTTGCAAATGAGTTCGTCGATCTAGAGACCTTCAAACGCACCTGGGAGGTGAGTATTACTATCGTGTGCTTACAGTAAGACGATAGCTGATCACCTGGTTTTCTTTTGTGTAGCTGGAATGCCCTCGCGCCACCGAACGTCTCCGCATTGGCCTCCCCGCGACAGTCGAACAAGCCTCCCACAGCACACCCGCCGCGAACATGGCTCCAGCAGCTGCAGGCCCTGCAGGAGCATCTGGTAGTCTGATATTGACGGCTACTGAGAATTTCATCACCTTCTTGGATGCGCTGAAGCTGAACATGGTGTCCAAGGACGCACTGCACCCGCTTTTGTCGGAAGTGATCCAATCCGTCAATAAAGTCACCGATGTCGATTTCGAGAACCGGGGCAAGATCATCCAATGGCTGATCACCTTGAATCAGATGCGTGCAACCGAGGAACTCGGTGAAGACCAGGCTCGGGAGTTGGCGTTCGACATTGAACAAGCATACCTGGGATTCAAGGCCACTTTGGGTTGAACCGGCCTTGCGGGAGTTATTCACTGTCATTGGTGGGGAATGGTGCCTGGCGTCTGGGGTGCAATACCAAATTCGAGATTAGTTTTTCTTTTTTGCTTTAGAAGATCGCTTGTTCTTGTTTGCCATTCATCCATGCTCTTATCTTGATCTCGATTCAACTTTGGGGCGGCGAATCCGATCCGCGGAACAGTCCCCGCCGGCCTTTCCTCTTTGGGAAATCACGACTTTTTTTTTGCTGCCCTGCATCCAGAACCCCCCAATCTTATTTTGCCACAGGCACACCGATATAAGACTGGAGTCTCGATTCCCCGTTTTCTGCATAGACTTACCACCATCCGTAGTCGGACTAATCAGCCCCCCAGACCTCTGCACCATGATAAGCGCCGATCCCGACGAGCCTCTCCACGGTACGTCTTCTTCCTCGGAAATGCCCCCTGACATCTCGGGCGATAATGTACTGATAAGCCTGCTTCAGTGTTCGATCTCCCTCAGATCCACACTAAACCCTCCGGCACTGAGCTCATTCAAGCTCTCGACCTACTAACAGTCAAACCGCGGAGTTTCGGGCCCGTAGCCCATGTAGCGACAAAGGGCCGGACCGTGCAGCCTGCTGGAGTGACCCGCTATCTGACATCCATCATCGCCAGCCCGCTGGCATGGCTCGACACTGACGAGCTCCGAGAGGCCGTCTGGGATGCCGCTGCAGCCCGACTTAGCGAGCGCTCCGGTCGAACCGGTACGCAGAACTGATATTGTCTTTTTGTAGTGCTCATTGCGCCATTTTCTTGCCGCATCTAACATGATGTCTTGCTCTTCGAGCGAATAGCCATGCCCGCCATGTCCCGAGTCTTCAGCATCCCTAGTACCACATCCGATGGACTCGAAGTCGAGGAATTTACACTGACCCTCCACGAACCCTCCCTAACAGCCGACAACCTGGGCATGAAAACCTGGGTCTCCTCATACCTCCTCTCCCGCCGCCTTCACAACCTCCTCGAATCGCCCCCCAACCTCGTCCCCTCGACCTGCACCACTCCTCAACTCTGTCCAGACAACAACAAGACCCTCCGCGCCCTGGAACTCGGCGCCGGAACAGGGCTCGTAGGCCTCTCCTTCGCCGCTTTGCGCGGCTCCTCAGCCACCATCCATCTCACAGACCTCCCGGACATTGTGCCCAATCTGGCCCACAACGCGGCTCTCAACGTCGAATTGCTCAATCGGACGGGCGGTGCCGTCACAACGGGTGTTCTTGATTGGACCGTTACCCCGGACCCGCTGCCCACTGCACAAGAGCAGTACGATCTCATTCTTGCTGCGGATCCGTTGTATTCGCCTAGTCATCCAAAGTTGCTGGTCGACACGATCACGCATTGGCTGAGTAGGGGGCTGGATGCCCGTGTTGTGCTGGAAATGCCACTCCGGGATGCGTATCTGCCTCAGGTGCAGGAGCTGCGGGATCGGATGGGACGGTTGGGGCTGGCGGTGGTGGATGAGGGTGAGGAGATTGGCTATGATGATTGGGAGTCGGCGGACGGGGGCGCGTTGGAGGTGAAGTGTTGGTGGTCAGTTTGGGGATGGAGCGAGAAGCTCTAGGGAGGGAAGATATTATCCACGACGTCATGATGAAAAACGAGACACGATGATAGAGTCTAGACGTAGACTGATTGACTGCTTAGAATTATACTTAAGATGCTGGAATAGAGCCACGATTCTCTTATACATGGGACACTGTTCGAGAATGCTTGCGAAGTAGGTATATAGAGAAAGACAGTAGATGCTTGGATTGTTCAAAATGAGACACTAGTGAAAGATGACGTGCACCGAGGCAGATGACCACGTCAACTCGGATAAATGCTTTCTGTTCCTGTAGTGGACGCTGTGTTACCGGCGTTTGCGGGTCTTCAGATCAGAATTGAGAATTACTATTAACTGAGTTATCTTGTTTGAACGTAGCCAAGCTCCAGCCAACTAACTATAAGCATTCCGTGACCAGCAAAGTCACCATTCTTTGTCACGTCTAAAGAAAAGCAGTCTCGTTGTCTGATACAGGGGACTCTGGGATGCTTGGTTCTGTCGTCGCTTTTCCTGCACTCCCTCCGTTCTGGCCAGCCTACAATTAGACTTCAATGAGCATTAAGTCGTGAGGAACTGTGTGCTAGGCGAACATACCTTTATACTACCACGAGTACCGAGACGACTGGGCGCTTCTATATCGGTCTGAGAACCCCTCGATACACTGGGCTTAATATTCCGAAGAGCCTCAATGAAATGCTGGGCTTTAAGATGAAGTTTGGTCGGAGTCTTGATTGCGCTACCGGGTGAGTGCGAGGATGCTTCATCCATAGCAAAGTGCAACGCAGCTTGTCTGCAGAGTGACCGCAAGTCTGAGCCAGATAGGCCGGCTGTTTGACGTGCGAGAGCCTTTAGGCTGACTTCAGGGTCGGTGTCTGGTCTCTTAAGGAATGTCTGCAGAATCGTAAGTCTTTCCTTCTCGCCGGGCAGCTTTGTCATAACCTTATAGGGGAATCGCTGCAGGAAAGCTTCGTCTAAATCTGTAAGCCGACTGGTCGCGCAGAGAATGAAGGTTGTATCTTGACTCCGGGATAGTGCATCCACTTCCTGGAGGAATTGAGCCAGAGCCGTTCGTCGCCAGGACTGATCGTCAGCGGAGCGACGGTGAAACAAGGCATCGACTTCGTCAATGAACAGAATACAAGGTGATAGCTTCTTTGCTAGTGTGAACGCGGCATGAATTGCTTTTTCTGCATCCCCCGCAATATCACTCACGATGTCTGCTGGTTTGACCCAGAGCATGGTCGCTTTGAATTCGTTAGCGATAGCACGAGCTAAATGGGTCTTCCCAGTGCCAGGAGGTCCGTGAAGTAAGACTCCTGTAGCTCTTGGTTCTTCCAGAAGTGTCTTTGAGAAACCGTCAATCTGGGTTCTCAACAAGCGCACCAAGTGTCTTAAGTGGTCTTTCACATTTTGCTCCAGAATGATATCGTCGTAGGTAACTTTCTGAGTTTCTGCTACCCGTTTAGCCTAGAGTCGGAAACTGAGAATAGACGCACTTACCTGAATCGGCAATGCATTTCAGAAGCCCTAGCTCGAACTTGTTGCAATTCTTCCTCATTGCATCAACCTTTCCGGTGAAGCTGGGCTCCTCAACTTCCATAAGCCCATTTTTGGGGGGTCCTGGTGGCGGCGGTTCCTCACTATTAAGACGCCGTAAGACTTCAAGGATGTCACTAAGTTCCAGTGCCCCTTTGATGCAAACCCGACCCAAAATTTGGCAAGCAATCAGCGTGTAGTCCATATCATCATGGAAGTTAATTAACAAAGTATCTGGTATATCCAAGTGTACGGCGTCGGATAGCAACTCGGAACCAAAGCCTTTTGGCAGCCTTTCTCGTATAGACCCCTTCAATTTTCTAAACCTGCTCGCAATCTCACGCTGTTTCTTCTCTGTTTCTGATGCAATCCTGTGATTGGGTGACTTTGGATCATCGAACCAAACAATAAAAGAAGGTACGATGTTGAGTTGCCGTCGAGAGTCATGGTTCATATCGCTGACGATGAGCAATACAAGCTCATTATTCCTCCAACGTTCCATGACGGCATTCATAAAACTTCCCAAGATCCCGTAGGAGATACAATCAACCTCATAAGAATTGCGAATGTGGAGTATAACTGGAGCACTTTGTTTCGGAGCCATGCTGTGAGAATCACATGACTTCTGTTCAATCTTCGCCAAAGGAGCATTCAAAATGGACTTTATTGAACACTGACTCCGTAGACTCTGCCCGTCTCCGAACTGATATTTGATCATCCGATCTCTATCATCCATTATGGCGTAATCAGTGTCGTTGTCATCACTGAGACCAATATCTGAACCTGCATGCTCTATCATCTCGTCAGGGAATATCGATTGCTTATTCTCATCCCGACATATGGAATCTGCACAGATAGAGCGGTCATCGCGATGCTGAGCGGATTGGTCTTGTTGATGAAATTCACGAGCAAGCTTATACAGATCCTCGGGCCCTGCTGAGATGCAGGAAGCACCCATATCTCCTGCTAAGCGTTCTATAATGGCTGTCGCGCAGGCAGAACTTCCAACTTCCACTGCCATGCAAGGCCATATGCCGCATCGCTTCACTTTAGGAAATGAAGTCTTACTGAGTAGAGCAGCAGTAGCAAGGTCATAAAGTTCCGCGTACCGCTTTTCTTGGAACATATACTCATCGACGGCTTTCGCTTGGTCCTTGTTGTCCTCATTCTTGCTTCTACCGACTCCGTCAGTATCCGTACAGGGACTCGCTTCCTCATCTCCTTGAGCACTAAGGTTACTATCTCTAAGTAGGCGTATTCCTGTCCGATGTTCTGACTTGGTTTTGACATTCTCAGCTACAAACCAGGCGGGAAGCGCATACGGATGCTGACGGTGCAGTGCTTGGTATAGTCAATCATTGTGGACCTCAAGACGCCAACAGAAAAGCCTAAACAAGGTTCGCACTAGGAAAGGAAATGGTGTTTAAGCTTACCTCTACCTTCATTGTCCATCGTGGATGGCATCACAATCAGGTCCTTATTTGAGCCGCAATCTAATGCGAAGAGTTGCACATTGCGGAAGACTTCATTCCAAGGATATTTTATGGTTTATCTAGACTTATACGAGAGAATGACATGTCTGTCATTGCGAGAGGCGATTAATGCCTGTTTTAAACAATTTTGGGGCTGCTGCCCCTTGCTGCTGCATCACATTCGTATGAATCATGCGGTGGTATTCGCGACAGTCGATACGTGAAGCAATCCGAGACGGCTTGTCAATATATGCATAGGCTCGATACCATGCCTGCAATCGAGCTGATTTGGCTTAAGCTATAATGTTAATTAATTGTATCTCACGACATCTCGCCGAACAACGACCAATTCGCCAGAGCTCCAGGGAATGACATTGCCAGACTTCTGCAGCATTCCCGACCCTGAATGTCACATACCTATGGTGGGGGGCACGACGAATATCAACGGTTCAGTCCACACACATAATTGCGAGTTTGCACCAATTCACCACGACAGTCGAATCTCAACATTGTAAGATGGAATTTGGATGACCATGCCGGTCTTGGGATGAAAGGATTCGATATTAGTGCCTTTAAGGCTTCCACTCCATATATTGGATACTTAGTGATCTTAAATAGCGTGTCTGTTCAACCGCATAACTCCTGCGGAATGGTATGGACTTCTTCAGAACCAGTAACAATTCGCACTCAGCACCCCACGAGTCAGCGTCCATAGTTGGGAGGCCAATGAGCATGCCCCAGTATGACTGAGCACCTAGACATTAAATAGAGCGCATGCCGCACTTTTCAAAACACTCCCGAGAAGCTATAACACACAAGCTATGATCTCTCCGTCTTAACATGTAGAGGGAACTAGGTGTAGATAGATGGATCGCGAGATCGAGACAATAGAGAGTAGTTGCTGGAGCCTTCGATGAGCCAGGCATCAATCAGGCAGCGAACCAGGTCAGCCACCGATGACATATGACGACGCTCGGCACCGCCACCGGCGATAAGTGATATTCGCTTCTACGCCTGTACTTAATACAAACCAATATGAAGCTCAGTGTTTAGCTCCAAGTGTTTAGCTCTCCCAAAATACTGCTTCTTCATTTGTCAAATTGGAAACCCTCCATTTTTATATCGACAAGCGCAAAGTATTGAGCAATCAACATGGTGATCGGCCTCCTAGCAATTACCGCCATCCCCACCGTCACCGGCGTGGCCATGGGGGTGAGTGAACAGCGCAAAGCAAATGAGAGGAAGAATGACGAGCGACGTATGGCAAAATTCAATATCGATGTCGCACCACCACCGAACGAGGAACCTGACGATGAGGTCCATGGGTTACGGGTGGTGCTGAGGGACTTTAAGGTACGATTGGCATTGTCGCTGCGATATAGTTCTTGCTCCTCTTGTTTTGTATTTAAGTGAGTCTGACTAGCTGACTGATTATGTCGACTTGACAGGTTTATCTTGATGATCCTGTTCCCTCGAAGCGAAAAATACCCTCACATACCGCGGCAGCGTTCTATATTGAGTACCCGGAGCCGGAACATACAAAGCACCTTAAGCGGGGCTTAGGATTGGCGACCACCATTTCAGATAACCCGCCGATGTTGGGTTGGATATACGCAGATAGCTACACACATGAAATGAAATATGGGAACCGGTCATCGAGTTGCGATCATGTCGTTGGGCCGTGGGATTGGGAGGATGAGGAGACCACGGTGACACTGGAGGAGAACAGGCAGTTTGTGGCCGTGCAGGAAGATGATGGCTCCTGGGCGCTATACTACGATCGCGATGGAGATGATTTGGAGGGTGTGTTGGAGGAACAGGGCAAATTGGATAATGATTTCCAGCCCTTGCGATTAAAGCGGAGCCTGATTGAACAGCCTGTACAAAAAACAAAAAATGATAATTCATGATCTATATTGAAATGCTGGATTGGGGAATCGTAAGGTAGACTTTTCATATTCGTACAGAAACACCAACGCATCCATAGGAACCTAGTCCTCGAGTCCTTGCCAGCCCTGATTGTCGTCGTCACTGCCAGAGTCTGCGCCTGACTTTGGTTGAGATTTCCTATTGCGGCTGGCTGAGATGAGAGCCTTCTTCTTGTTCTCCTGGCGTCGCTCGTAACCACTCTTGGTGCTAATTCTTGTCTTCTTGTCGTCTTTGGTGCCTTGGGTCTGCCTGGCCTTGACGCCGTGCTTCTTGAGCTCCTCCTTCTTCTTCTTGCTGAGGTCCGGAAGAGCGTCCAACAGCCACTTCTGTACAGACTTCTCCTCATCTGTCCCCCGTAACTTCTCGCTGACGTCAATTACATTGGCAATGCTCTTGACATAAGGGATATCCTCCTTGGTGTAGTATGTGACTGCAATGCCACCTTCACGGCCAGCTCTGCCCGTCCGTCCAACACGGTGGACGTAGACAGCAGCGGAGTTCGGGATATCGTAGTTAACAACCCCGTTAATGCCTCTGAAGTCAACGCCACGGGCCAAAAGATCCGTGGTGACCAGAATCCAAATTTCACCCTTCCGGAATTGCTTCATGATCTCGGAACGTTGGCCGTCCGATAACTCAGAGTGGAGGACAGCTATACGTGACGAGCCACCCGCCTCGGGAGGGATATCGTAGCGCAGTTCTGAATGTAACGCAACCGCTCTGGGAATCGTCTGAGTAAAGATCAAGAAAGGTGGGCGTAAACGAATGTCCGTTGATGATGCTGCGGCGGGGTGCAAAAGCTGCCGAAGACCGAGCAACTTTCCTTGCTCAGTGGCAGCATAAACCAGCTTGTGCTTGATGTTTGGAATAGCAGAGTCCTTGAGGCCAACCACCAAACGGAGTAGCGGATAAGACTTGGTCTCGCTTAGAGTATCTTTCCGCTCCTTGATCGTTGACTTAGCGAGGTCTTCGACATTTGACCCCATCGTCGCTGACCAGAGACTTGCTCGAAGCTCAGGATGCGTGCAGGAGCGCCAGATGTCAAGTGTTTGGTCGCGGAACAGAGGATCCAGGAGAACATCCGCCTCATCCAGAACCACATTTCTCACAAGAGGGAGAGTCGCCAACGGTTTTGTCCGGTTTGCAGAAAGCGCGTTAACAAGAAGCAATGGTGTTGTTACAAGGATGTCGCTCTTGGTAACCGGCGCCTTCCCTTTGCTGTTCTTTGCTGTGGCCTTTTCATCATCTTCAGAGCCCAACGATTCCGAATCATCTTCATCCAGGACGTCTTTGCTATCGTCTTCATCATCACGCTCTACCACACGCATGCCCTTCTTCATCAAAGTGATCTTCACACCAGTTCCCAAAGCTAACTTTCGGCCTTCGTTGACGATTTGGCTAGCAAGCTCTTTCGTCGGAGCAATTACAACAGACAAGATGCCCCGTTCCTCTGGCTTTTCGTGATGGTGCCGGACAATCTTGTTGATCACCGGGATCATAAATGATAGCGTCTTGCCACTTCCTGTAGGCGCAACGACCAGTAGATCCGGTTCGGTGCTCTTTTCAGTGCCCGACTTCTGCGGCACTGATTGGTCTCCGAGCAAAAGAGGAAGACTTCCTAGTTGAACTTCAGTAGGGACCGTAAAGCCTTGCTCAGCAATGTTTTCCGCTAGACGTCGGGAAATATTGTACTTCGTACGCAGCTGTTTAAAGGAGACCAAGGGCTCCGGAAACAACCGCCGGGCTTTCTTCTGCTCCTTCTTAGTGAGCGTCTGAGCGGGCTCCTCTTCCTGCTGCTTTCTCTTCTTCTTTTTCTTCTTAGATTCCTCCTTCTGAGGCTGAGTGGGCTGAAGTTCTTCAAAATCACGCATATCAGTGACCTTGATCTTGTGAGAGTTCAAGATCGTCCGGCGCTCAACTTCATCCATCGAATCATCGCCTTCGGAGTCAGATGCATCTTTCTGCTCGGAAGGTCCATCTTCATCCTTTTTCGATGGGGCACTGGCCGCAGACCGTTTACCTGAACCGAAGAAATCTAGATCGCCAGCATTGCCATCTTCTGCATCTGAATCACCTGCAGCTTGCGTGCGCTTTCTCTTTTTCCCAAAAGCATTTGACTCCAGAAGCTTTTCGGCCTCTGCGTCACGGAAAAGCTGGGGGTTCTCGGCCTTGCCTTTGGAAGGCAGTGTCGAAGACAGGGAATTACCAGCCTTGAACTTGGTGGACCTTGTCAATAACTTAAACGCATCCATTTCGTTAAATATACGGACTATCAGTCCATGCGACTAAGTAATTTAAGTGGACACGAGCGTCCGAGTCCTAGCGATCGCGAGCTTGATTCTGATGGTTGTTGAGTAGTCGGACTTAATGAGGGAAAAGTTTCGATGCTGAAATTCTTTACCGCACGGGCCAATCAGAGGCAAGCAACCCTCACCTCCATCAAACGGATAATTCTCGAAGCTCTCAATATTTAAGTCCGAAATATCAAATTGTCTGGCCTAACGCTCTCTTGCTATGCATTCCGGGACTAGATAATATTTCAATGGTGAACTTTGAAGTTCTTGTGCTTCAGATCTAATTCATTGTTGTATCCCTACTGACAACTAAAGCAGATACCGAGCCATCGATCGTGGCCACGGCCAACTCTTAGAGTAAACTGATCGAACTTTGTAACATCAAACATAAAAGACAGTCATAGCTTCGAGATATGATCATCAGTCACTTAAGACAGTGCCGCTTCAATAGCAGAATGGCTGCCATGGTCTACAACATCCCCCCTAAAGCAGCCAGAATTCCAACCAAATAGTCGTCCCCACGCATGATCCTAAGTCTAAGACAACAAGAATGAGACGTACCCAATTGCTCGTATCGCACAACCTCAGACAACAGTTTATTCCATCGTCTATCATACAATAGTACAGCACACAAAGGAAAACGGGAAAGGGAAGGAAGACAGGCTAAGTCACGAGTGCTTGGTATTTATCTAATGGTGTCCGTGGTGCTCAGGCTGTCCCTTGTAGCCAACGATGTTCATCCGACCAATGATCTCGCCGACGGTGAAGAAACCAACGATCTCCGCAGCGGTGACACCAGCAAGAGCGATCTCCTTCTTGTTGGCGGTACGAACGCGGGCGATGATGTTCGAGGGAGCGAAGCTGGAGTTCTTGAAGGCGGCAGGGTTACGGAAGGCGTTGGTCAGAGGCTGGAAGTAAGCCTGGAAGGTGGCCATGTTGCTGTGATCCGCATTAGTTGACAAGGGTCACGGTTCGTTAAGGTTAGCTGTGAGCGCTTACGGAGGAGTCATGTTCTGGCCACGGAAGACCAGCTTAGCAAGCTCGATTCCAACCTTCGAGTAGTAGACGGTAGGGGGTATCATGGCTGCATTGACACGGCAGATGATTAGCAATGCTCCGAAAGATATGACAGAAATCCGGGGATGGCTCCACTCAAGGAGTGATTCCACGACATGACGGCATCCAGCAATGCCACCATCATAGTACCATCTCAATGGGTATTCGAAGGGGTAATTCAAAGCAGATATCATGGAGCGTCCGCTTACAATCGACAAAAGCGATGACTTTTCCGGTCCTTCCACCGACCTTCCTGAGGGCGCTACCGAGACCCTGGGCGGCGTTGGCGATGGCGGGACCAGCCGTCGAAGAGACGCGAGAAAGACCCTCAGATGCCTTCGAGGCAGCAGAGGAAGCAGTCTCACCAGCCTTGGAAGCGGCTTCGGAGGTCGAAGAAGCGTACCTGACCGCAGACCTGCGGGTCAGGAACTGCGATTGCCGAAGCACGGCACGGGACGCCGTGGCGGGCATCTTGAAGACCACTGGAGGAGATAAAACGCTAAAAGGAAAGAATGACTCTGAAAAGTCGCAGGTGGAGGACAGTAGAGTCCAATGGCGGTAGGGTCAAGAGCCGGTGACACTGGATCGTCGCGCAATTGCAGGACCAGAATTGAGATTTGAAGTTCGGGAAGTTCAGGGAAGAGCCTCCACTTCCGTGTCACGTGCACTCGCGCTCATGCTTTGTTTATCGGCGGCCATCACATCAACTCGATCTTTGCAAATCCAACACACTTGGCTATTGCAATCTTCCATTTATCTAGACTGCCAATCGTGCATTGACGCTACGGATACACTAAGCAGGTCATTCTTCGTGGTCAGTGGTGTACTCACAACATCCGAGACTTCCGTTCTGCCGAATGACCGTGCTTATCACTTTGCAATCGACAATGTCGATTCGAAGTGGCTACGACAATATAGACACACTTTGTCCACCATCTAGGAAAGCGCTTCCGTGCTATACGGGAGATTTTATAGGCGTCTGATTGACCTTTTGTGTCATATCGCACCCATATAAACCTCTTCCCTAACGTTATACCTTGACAGCCAACGAATCAGTCATGTCACCTATGTCCAGCCTCCGAGCGCCATTATACAAGCCAGAGAGTATGGGAGAATGCATAGCGTATCCCGCTTTCTGGGCACAGATCGAGAGGACCAGTCTGTAGTTTCCCATTGCAGCACTCGTCGCGGTCAAGTGGAAAGTCTGCTGAATTTTGAACACTTCAGATGCTCTGGCGTATATAATCACCTGCAAATATCGCTACGTACGGGTATGGGCCGGCATCAAAACTTGACAATGACATGAACACTTGATTAATACGGAGTGCCACGTATTTCTCCGACGAAGGACAGTTCCTGGCGGCGATTATGCGGAGAGATGACATACTAATCATAGGAAAGATAGTTATCGTTATGAGCTTGTTAATATTCTTCGTATTGCACATTGCTTGAGCTATCGATATATGATCCCCAGCTGCCTGTAACCCATGGCGTCATTTACCAATCTGAGCAAAAGTAGCCTACTGCTCTGACAAAGCTTTGGCGATGCTACATTTCATGTTCGCTTGGTTGCATCGAGTAGCAGCAAATAGTTTACTGTCTCTTGGGGGCCAACTTCGTAGTCAATGGATAAACAACGATCATTCAATGGGCTATCTATTCTGACAGCTTCTCTACAAAATAGCATACTCTCCTCGAGTATAAGCCTTTCACTCGGTCGTCTGCGTACAAGCCGCTGGAAAATAGCAACCTAACAGACAATCTACCGATACGGAATGGTTGAAACAGAAGTACATTTTGCTGTCACCCCAACACAAGTACGAGACGTTGTATGTACTGAACCACTTCCAGCTCTGATGTATTACCATGCCTTAAATCCTCCTGTCACCGATTACGGCAGCGTCTCGGCTTCTCTATGGCGAGGCCAAGCCTTTAAAGTCCCTCTTGCCAGGAGATAAAATCTAATGCGATATCGACTTCTGATATTTACTGCTGAAATAATGATATGTCAACCTAGCTTAGGTCCACGGGCTGTGCCTAAGGTGCCTCAACGGGTGTAGTGAATACAGAGATGACAGTACTGGGTAGGAGAACTCAAACTCTCTTTTCCAATGGCAAGGGACCCCGGTATCTGGCTTAATTGCCGGGTTCCACAGCTTTCAAATGGAGCCATCAGACTACGGGTCGTCGACGATCTTCGAACAGACAGAGAAGTCCTCTGGCCCAATTTTTCTTTTGATGACCCTGTCGTTGCTGGGGAGGAAGATGCTAGGCCAGCTTGATCAATTCAATAAGGATGTGAAGGCGCGTGCTGAGGCATTGAAGTAGTATTTGAGATTTTATAGTGGTGAAGACGAGAATGGTATAGTTTGCGTAGGGTCCGCGGTTGTGCAACTAGTTCTTCATGGCTTACAAGTAATATATTATAGTATAGTACTTGATTCATGATAATACCAACACTTGCGGGTTCGGGATCAACTTTGACGATCTTCTCACGTTGTCTGATTTCAGACTACCAAACTCATTTGGGGGTGGTTCTCCTCCTGTAGAGTGCGCTGCCGCAAGCCAGAAGCATTTGGACTCTCGTCAACTGCTACTAGAGCGGAGATCCTAGTACTATACTTAGTCGTACTTGAGCAAATTGCTCTCCGCTACGCTATCAGGAACGGTTCGAATGCAATTTCCCTAGAGATGGGAGACCAATCAGCAAATATGCCAAGCACATGTTTCTACATATTAGGAAGCACGAGTGCGCATATTCGGGCAAACATTGTGATATTAGTATGGACTCTAGACCGAAGTAGCCCTGGTGCGGGACTTCCTGATCAAGAGAAGTGAAAAGATAGACCGTGGGACTAGTTAGTGTCCCAGGTAACGATCCGCAATGTGACTGATTGCTCTAGCCGACCCGTAAATCCGTAGTCTAATTTTTAATTTACTGTGGACTTATAGGGGTTAAAATTTGTTGTCTAGTGTCGGTCTCAGCCTCCTGGGTTCAACGCATGGCTTCTGATCTGCTGATGAGACCCAAAGGTGGAACGATCCATGGAAGGATTTCTAGTAGGAATGGTTGGTGTTCCTGATATAGTCACGTGAAAAGTCTATTGTCGGAGATCCACTTTATATTTGCCGCTTAGTCATGGGGCGCCACCACTTCATGATTTATTCTTCACTTTTGGCGTGTCGCGCCACGACGCAATCAAAAGTGGCTTTGCATTCGCAATGCGCCCTAATTGTGCGACTGGGGCGACACCTACATCATCTCCGGCAGGAGAGCCCAGTTGAGGCTAATTTTACTGCGTGGCGCAGAATCTTTGCTGTGTATACCCAAAACTAAGCCTTCAGAGCCGGATCAAGCTTTATCCTCCATGCCACATCAATAAGGTTCTGGCAGCTGAGATTAGGATGATCTCTTCGCCAGTCCACAAGAAAATGTCCGGTTGATCTGCCCTGCTATTTTTCATCGGCGGAAAATTGAGTTGCTCTATTGATTCTGGGTCCGCTCCGTCGTCGGCATCACTCCGTGATGTTCACAATGTATCAGTCTCTCGAGGCATACAGACAGGCTCAATCCCACCCACAACTTGATTATGCACACATACCTAGTCCAGCCCTCTCTACTCTGTACCAGACAAGCAATGGCAAGGCGCATCCATGATGCTTGCTGTTGGACACTAAATTGTCTGCCTAACAAGTGTATACGTAACGCCCATCGAAGCTAAGATCAGTGGGTCTCCACACCGTAGACCATGGTCCAATTCTGGAATCAGAATTCAGGAAGACAACTCACTTGATTGGGCTATCTAACTCTTCATAGTATGGCTCGTTTCATGGATGTCGACGCTGAATGGATAGCCTTACATAGCTTTGGGCCCCATCTACCTGCTGTCCTTTGCTTCTTAAGCCAGGCCTTCCCCTACGTTTGCTGTCTTTCTCTTGCATTGCATTTCTGCATTTCAAACAGACACAATCTCAAGAAAAGACCAAATTCACAATGTTCGGCGATAGTTTTTTCAGCTGGTTCAAGTCCTCCAAACAGGAGTCGGCCCCCGAGGCCACCTGGGACCCCAACACTGTCACAATGGCCCAGCCCCAGAGCCCTGCCGCTCCAACAACTGAGGGTGTCGTTACCGGTCAACCTGTATGATTTCAGCCCGGCCCTAAGCTTTCGTTGTCTCATGATGCTGACATGAAAATCCAGACCCCAAACAACAACATGGACATGAGCCTTCGTGGTGGTGGTCCTCCCCCTGGACCTGGCGGCGACGAGTAAGTAACTACTACTTGAACCCTGAACAACAATATATTTTTTAGACTGTAACTGACCATGCATCTTCAATAGTTGCTGCTGCTGTCTCGACTGCTTCTGCTGCTGCGGTGACTGCTGTGGTCCCGACGGTCCCCCTGGTGGCCCTGGCGGTCCGGGTGGTCCTGGTGGTCCTGGTGGCCCCGGTGGTTGGTAAAGAATACCAACGTCTACGATCATGTTTCTTTTCCTTCTTATCGTTTTACTCGCCACGTTCGAACTTGATACCACTATACTGAATGTGATGTTGTGGCGCAATGGATAAGCGGGAGCTTGTTTGCCGGACGAAGGCCTTGTCAATGGCAGATAGGCTCTGTGTCATGGTTGTTTTATATGATACTATGTTTTTATTGGTTATGTTATACGCAAAGCTCTTTCAAATTATATGCTACATCATTACGGGGAGAACGTAATATCGTCCTTGCGGCTTGGAAAGTAATCGATGAAGATTGTATAAAAGTCTTAAATCTTGCATAGGAAATGAATTCCGCAGCACTTATGCATGAATGCATGTGAAATTGTCATAAAAACAGTGGAATCATTTTCCTATCTCTGCCAAGTTCAACAATAATGTGAGCCTTACGTGCATTTCTAAACAGCCAGATATTCTGCATACTAGCTCCCCTGTAGCGCAGGGCCGTTCAGAGGCTTCGAGAAGCTTACTATCACATATATAGGACGCGATATGTTGGATTCCGTGGTACATGATCGACCTTGTACGGGTATTTAGGTGGGTTATAGTTATCCAGTAAAACTTTTTATGTTTTACCAAAGTACGTTAGATCCTAGCAACGATAGATAAGCACCATATTATGGTTTCCACTGTGGAATCCTGGGATTCTAATGTGGTAGGTAAAGCGAAACAAACACTCTTCTTGATTGACTTCCGTAAATGATATCCTTGCAGGTGAATGAACCATAATAACCTGGCTAACAATATAAGGTCTACGATAACAGTAAGGTACATAGAACGCGCAACTGAGATCTACCAATAGAGGAAAATCATTTACTATCCATCCAACAATGGCACTTGGCAAACATTACTCCCTTCCGCGGATGTTTATCAAGACATTCGATATCATAGGTGGCTGGCTGCCAGCCCTTGCCGCCTATCAAGCACAAGCATTCCAATCATGTCAGGCCCAATCCAAGTAGTAATGATCATCTTTCACTCTCAACCAACCAGCATTTCATGTTGTATAAAAAATTGTTAATGATATCTCACCGCAAGAAGCAAGAACAAATAATGATCGCCGATGGAGATCCTCGGGGAGATCAATAAATAGCGGCGAGGAGGGCGACATAAGTGGTTGCAGCCAGCCAGCGAGCAGGATCTGACCGGTGCACAACAGACACAGGGACTCCTACGCTTCACAAATCATGCGTTTCTTCAGCGTTTTCGTTACAGCTACTCTGGCCTCATTGGCTATCGCACACCCAGGGCCTCATAAAAAGGCCACGAGAGCCGAGATCTCCCGTCGACAGGAACTCTCTGCTCGTTGCGCCCAGCATTCCGGCGAATACAACGCAAAGAGACGGAAGAGGGCATTTGAGAAGCGACAGAGTGATACGACGATCGAAGCCACAACAGAATCACCTTACTATAAGACAATTCAGAATGACACCTGCGTGCTGACCCCCGAAGTGACGGCTGGTCCTTTTTGGTGGGCAGACTCCCAGACGCTACGTCAAGATATGAGTGAGGATCAGCCCGGCGTGCCTCTAATCCTCGATGTCGGAGTGCTGGACATGGCGACATGCGAGCCCTTGGAGGGGGTCCTGGTGGATCTTTGGCACTGCAATGCAACGGGCAAATATTCTAGTTTTACCGCATTGCCTATGGACGAGGACAAAAATGCCGTACTGCAGAGCCTTAACCTTACGTGGTTTGAGCCGGGGCAGACGGATATTCATACCGGTAATGAGACTTGGTTGCGGGGCATGTGGCCGACGGATAGTAATGGAATGATGGAGATGAAGACTATTTTTCCAGGTCAGTTGCATGACTTGATCCTTTTACTCTGATTTCTCGCATACTGATAATAATCTGGCTACGCGCAGGCTATTACTACGGAAGATCAATCCACATTCATGTGCAAGTGCATACTGACTGGGTGGCAAGAGAAAATGGCACACTCGCCAGTGGAAAGACCGTGAGCACGGGGCAATTCTTCTTTGAGGAGGCACTTTCACAGGAGATTGTATCAATCCCACCGTACTCGGATGTGGTAGGGATCGAGAGACTCGTTAATGGCTTGGATGATACGTTCCATAACGAGAATACCGATGGGTATAATGCGATAGTATCAGTTATTCCTATCGATGGCGATGACTTCAAGAATGGGATGATTGGCTATATTACAGTGGGTGTGGATACAGAGGCTGTTGAGGACGCGTTCCCAGTGTGATTGATCAGAGTCCGCCGAGGACAGGCGCAGGTGGGATTGGGCAGGCTATACTAGCTCTGCCGTTGATGAGAATAGCAGATATGATAATGCTCTATATATTTTCTTTTTGGAAAGGCCTAGCACGAATGATAGAACATATCTAGCTTTTACTCAGGTATGCGAGTCATAAGCGAACTAGTGATCATCGTACTATTGGTATCAGCTTAAGGACAGGGATTGATTTAACTTCTTCCAGAATGATCTGGGGAGCTCCACTGCTGGTTCGTCTTAAGCTTTTAATCGCTACATAATTTAGCCATACTACTATGTCAAGAAAACTGACGAGATATCCTTTTCTTGTTATTGTTAACAGGATAGTAGACCAATCTAAAACACACGCCTCTCGGTTGAATTCGAGAGGATATATCAGAAGCTGAGAATGGAAATACTCTCAAACAACATGGAAGGGCCTGGGACACGCGCTGTAAGGCTGAACATTTCACCTGATTCTTAAACGGTACCTAAAACTTAGTCGAGTCCCATGAACCAAGTAACTCGTCTTTACCCGATTGCACTATACAGCATGTCAGTCCGCAGCTCCAAATGTGTTAGGATCACATAGGTTGCTAATGCTCTCGACAACAGTTCCACTTTCATGGACATCATTGCAGCAACAATATTATACCCGCAATATAACCGTAACTCCGAATTCTGGACGACCTTGCATAAAAGGGATAAACGAAGAGGTGGTGGTGGATACGGCATCCCGTAATGCTCCACCACTAGGTGGAGGATCCAAGTCCCGCCCACCGGAGAATTGCCACACCGGGTAATAAGTGACTTGAAGTGCTCTTCTGGGCCAACAATCCGAAACGAGGTCAAAGCCGTGACTTGCCGGTGTAAAATATGGGAGAGAATGACTATTTAAGAGATTATGTCTGGGGTGGCAGAGGGACTAAGAATAGACCGATCATATAACCTTGTCTGAATGATTTAACCGAGAGTAGATGCTACCGTACCTCTTGGGCCGGATCGGAGAACGACTGGCATTGTCTCATGTAGAAGTATTGCAGCAGGGATGGCTGCATTGTATAGATTGAATATGACAATAGTCTTCTGCTGCTTGGCTTCATTGACAGGCTTTCCAATATTCCATCACTTCCAGTTATTCCTGTTCCTCTACCCCCGGCTTTGCACTGGGGGAACAGAACCGACTCCGATAAGACGGAGATAAGAGGCCCCGCCTGACTTCACGAAGAGCATAAGTTCCTGGCACTTGAGCAAGCGCATTGCAAAGACGGCTGCCGAGAAAGTTCTCTAGGCAAGCCACTGTTTCTCTAAAGCTTACCTGTGCACCAAGCTCGTGTTTATAAGCACGCTATCAAGGGTAGCAGTGCGACATCCTGGCTCAAGGATGGTCTTTGGAATGCGACCGCCGGGCAGTCTGGCCCAATGGGGAGAAATTGATGCCCCAGACCGAACCCCGCGCTTCGAGGGGCCACCGGGTAAATGCCCTTCTTAGCTCTATCCACTTATTGAACCATCAGTAAGCCCATGTTGGCCCCGTCGTGTTACTGCTATTTGGCAAAGCTCCTATCGGTGGCGAAGGAATCAGCTACTTGCAGCCTCTCACGTTGGAGAAAAGATCATCCCTGAGCTTTTTTTTTTTCTTCCTTCTCCCCTTCAACCGTGGAGGGGTAGACCGCTGTTACAAAATACTTAAGCCCGGTAGATCCTCTTTCCGCTTGCTACCCATCCTGCTCATCCCTTGCGTTCACCTCTTGCGATTCTTCCCGTCCTCCCCTTTAGATCGTCCCCTTCATTCGATTAGGTCATCATGGCTACCGCAACTGTTCTCGAGAAGGCGAACATTGGCGTTTTCACAAACACCAAGCATGACTTGTGGGTCGCTGACGCGAAGCCCACGCTCGAGGAGGTCAAGAACGGCCAAGGATTGCAGCCTGGTGAGGTTACAATTGAGGTTCGCAGCACCGGAATCTGCGGGTATGTCTTCCGTTCCTCTTGCAATTGGCTTCGTATTCCCTGGCTAAAGATTGGTCATCGCATCCAGGTCCGACGTGCACTTCTGGCATGCAGGCTGCATTGGGCCTATGATCGTCACAGGAGACCACATCCTGGGTCACGAGTCGGCGGGTCAGGTGGTGGCTGTTGCGCCCGATGTTACCTCCCTCAAGCCTGGCGACCGTGTCGCCGTCGAGCCTAACATCATTTGCAACGCTTGTGAACCCTGCCTGACTGGTCGCTACAATGGCTGTGAAAATGTTCAGTTCCTCTCCACCCCTCCTGTCGACGGACTGCTGCGTCGCTATGTCAACCACCCCGCTATTTGGTGCCACAAGATTGGTGATATGAGTTATGAAGATGGTGCGCTCTTGGAACCTCTGAGTGTTTCTCTGGCGGGTATTGAACGTAGTGGCCTTCGCTTGGGTGACCCATGCCTAGTCACTGGTGCTGGCCCTATTGGTCTCATCACCCTGTTGAGTGCTCGTGCTGCTGGAGCTAGCCCTATCGTCATTACCGACATCGACGAGGGGCGGCTGGAATTCGCCAAGTCGCTGGTCCCTGACGTTCGCACTTACAAGGTGCAGATTGGCCTCTCTGCTGAGCAGAATGCTGAAGGTATCATCAACGTCTTCAACGATGGGCAAGGCTCGGGCCCCGGCGCTTTGAGGCCTCGCATTGCGATGGAGTGCACTGGTGTGGAGAGCAGTGTTGCTTCGGCGATTTGGAGTGTCAAGTTCGGCGGCAAGGTCTTCGTCATTGGTGTCGGAAAGAACGAGATGACCGTTCCTTTCATGCGCCTCAGTACTTGGGAGATTGACCTCCAGTACCAGTACCGGTACTGCAACACTTGGCCTCGCGCGATCCGCTTGGTGAGGAACGGTGTTATTGACTTGAAGAAGCTTGTGACACACCGGTTCCTCTTGGAGGATGCGATCAAGGCCTTCGAAACGGCTGCCAACCCCAAGACGGGAGCCATCAAGGTTCAAATCATGAGCTCCGAAGACGATGTGAAGGCTGCTTCCGCTGGTCAGAAGATTTAAACAGTCGTACATTCGTGAGCACATGCCTCCACTGCTTTATATTGGGTGACTGGTCACCTTGGATACCTTTCGCATTCATGACACATATTTTTCATGACATTTTGATGGATGGTTTATCGTGTAACGTTCCCCTTTTTTATGACGTTGTTAGAGATCCCTGCTGGTTGGAGGCATAGAGATGCACGTAGAATTCTATTCCTTCATTTTTGACTCTCACAACATCTGCATCCGACATATCGCAGGTAGAGAAGCTGTCTCTCATCGCATTGACAAGCCTTTGCATAGAATGAAGCGGCAGAGTAACCCAGAGCTGCAGCTTGACTGAACACTTTGTCTTAACGCATCTGCACACTTCCCCCAGGTCCCCAAGCTTCTGCCAGGGTACCCGGCCTGCTGGAGGAGTGAATATGCACACCTCGAGTGCCACATTAATTAGTACGATGTGGTCAATACCTTATGCCACCTCATTGCTTAATGCTTGCAGCACTGGCAGTAAGCGACCGCCTCTTGACAGGTCAGAGCCACCTATCAGCTACAACTACGTATCAGCAGACCGGATCCGTTGCATCCGACGCTTTGTCTGACTCTTGTGCGGTTTTTGAGTGACCAGAATATTTACTTTGGTCCATGTTCTTTGAGTGAGATCTGATCCTGATCCTTTGAATGTCTCAGTTTGTTTGTTTGCGGGGCGTCAGGCGGGGCACGTGGTGGGGAGAGTGAGGAGAGCCACCATCACTGTCACTTCCTCGATTCCATCTCCATACTACTATTCGCTACCAAAAGCTTACTTGCATAAAATTTGGAGCCAATCATCCAGGGCATTACCGAGAGATATACCGATTAGACGTGCCCAGAGTCTAGGCTGCTGCACGAGATTCAATGAACGAGAATCGGTGTAAGTGACCTGATGTTATTTGGTCCCTGCATCAGCCCCAAGCCGATAGCGGCGAAGATCCCCGATAATTGACCGAGATGGGACGACCTTAGACTCACATTGTCTTCTTTAGGCAATCGTCTCCACGTTTCTCGGCTTTTCTATCCTATAAATATTGCTTTTTGTTTTTCCTCATAGAACTGCTCGGCTCATCCCGCCTCTTTGTCAGATACATTCCTTGGCTTCGCTGATTGAATCTGCGGGGTCCGGTCATACCGCGCAACGCCACATTATGCACTTCGGCCAACGCGCCATGCATTCAATGTCATCAGTCCGTGCCCAAACACATATAAGCCGCTGGGACCACCCAGCTGGGATATGAAGTCACGGCTTGCTGTAATCCGGGGTGATCCCAGAGCCAACATCATAATGTTGGGGTCTTTGCTTTTACTCTTACCCCTTGTGGGCGCTGCTGTCATTGGACCCAGGGCAAACAGTCAGAGTTGCCCAGGGTATAAGGCGTCCAACGTCCAAAAGCAGGCTAGGTCACTGACTGCGGATCTGACTCTAGCTGGTACGCCTTGTAATAGCTATGGCAAGGATTTGGAAGACCTCAAGCTGCTTGTGGAATATCAGACTGGTGAGTGTTGGCTTGTGTGAATCAAGAGTTCCTGACTAAATGCTTGCTCAGATGAACGGTTACATGTTATGATCTACGATGCCGACGAGGAAGTCTATCAAGTTCCTGAATCAGTCCTTCCTCGCGTGGGTAGTGACGAGGACTCTGAGGACAGTGTTTTGGAATTTGACTATGTGGAAGAACCGTTTTCATTCACCATCTCCAAGGGAGATGAGGTCCTGTTTGACTCTTCGGCATCACCACTAGTTTTTCAGTCGCAATATGTGAACCTTCGCACCTGGTTGCCCGATGATCCCTATGTGTATGGTCTCGGAGAGCATTCTGACCCTATGCGCTTGCCAACATACAATTACACGCGGACCCTTTGGAACCGCGACGCGTATGGCACTCCAAACAACACCAACTTGTACGGTAGTCATCCTGTCTACTATGATCACCGTGGAAAGTCCGGAACTTATGGAGTCTTCCTGCTGAACTCTAATGGTATGGACATCAAGATCAACCAAACGACAGATGGAAAGCAGTACTTGGAATACAATCTTCTCGGCGGTGTTCTGGACTTCTACTTCTTCTACGGAGAAGATCCTAAGCAAGCGAGCATGGAATACTCAAAGATTGTCGGTCTCCCGGCAATGCAGAGTTACTGGACTTTCGGCGTATGCCCCCCACCCCCTAATCCCATAACAGTCCGAGTTGTATGCTGACTCTTCAGTTCCATCAATGCCGTTATGGATACCGCGATGTGTATGAACTTGCCGAGGTGGTCTACAACTACAGCCAGGCAAAGATTCCTCTGGAGACGATGTGGACAGATATCGACTACATGGACAAGAGAAGGGTGTTTACCCTTGATCCTCAGAGGTTCCCGCTCGAAAAGATGCGGGAGTTGGTAACCTACCTGCACAATCATGATCAGCATTACATTGTCATGGTTGACCCGGCTGTGAGCGTAAGCAGTGAGTGACTTGACGATTCCCCATCCTTGCAACTTTCAGCTAATGGATACTTTCTAGATAACACGGCATATATCACCGGCGTGAGAGACGATGTTTTCCTTCACAATCAGAACGGTAGCCTATACGAGGGTAAGTATATACACATCTCATATCTCTCAACACGAGCTAAACTATGCAGGTGCTGTTTGGCCTGGTGTCACTGTTTTCCCAGACTGGTTCAATGAGGGTACTCAGGATTACTGGACTGCGCAATTTCAACAGTTCTTTGATCCCAAGTCCGGAGTCGATATTGACGCCCTGTGGATTGACATGAACGAAGCCTCCAATTTCTGCCCTTATCCTTGTCTGGACCCAGCGGCATACGCGATCTCCGCCGACCTCCCACCGGCAGCACCACCTGTTCGGCCAAGCAGCCCGATCCCACTGCCCGGATTCCCCGCGGACTTTCAGCCTTCGTCTAAGCGATCTGTTAAAAGAGCGCAAGGAGATAAAGGGAAGAAGGTTGGGTTGCCCAATCGCAACCTCACTGACCCGCCCTACACCATTCGGAATGCCGCAGGTGTCCTTAGTATGAGCACTATCGAGACGGATCTCATTCATGCGGGTGAAGGGTATGCCGAGTATGATACTCACAATCTCTATGGAACAAGTAAGTCTTTCAAATATTTGCATAGATGATTTGCCATTGACAGGGTTAGTGATGAGCTCTGCTTCCCGCACGGCTATGCAGGCCCGCCGTCCCGATGTGAGGCCTTTGGTCATCACTCGCAGTACGTTTGCAGGCGCTGGAGCACACGTAGGACACTGGTAAGTTGACCGATAGCCTTCGCTAGCACATCGCTGATTCGTACAGGCTGGGCGACAACTTTAGCGATTGGGTTCACTACCGGATCTCCATCGCGCAGATCCTCTCCTTCGCGTCCATGTTCCAGATTCCAATGGTCGGGGCTGACGTGTGTGGGTTTGGTAGCAACACGACGGAGGAATTGTGTGCCCGATGGGCGTCACTTGGTGCCTTCTATACGTTCTACCGCAATCATAACGAGCTGGGCGACATATCGCAAGAGTTCTACCGCTGGCCTACGGTTGCCGAGTCCGCGCGTAAGGCCATTGACATCCGGTACAAGCTCCTCGATTATATCTACACTGCTCTTCACCGGCAAAGCCAGACCGGCGAGCCATTCCTGCAGCCTCAATTCTACCTGTACCCTGAGGATTCGAACACCTTTGCGAACGACCGGCAGTTCTTCTATGGTGACGCCCTTCTTGTCAGCCCCGTGTTGAATGAGGGATCCACCTCAGTCGACGCATACTTCCCGGACGACATCTTCTACGATTGGTACACAGGGGCAGTGGTGCGTGGGCACGGAGAAAACATCACGCTCAGCAACATCAACATCACCCACATCCCTCTGCACATCCGCGGTGGAAATATCATACCTGTCAGGACATCCAGCGGCATGACAACCACTGAGGTTCGTAAGCAGGGCTTCGAGCTGATCATCGCGCCAGACTTGGATGACACCGCATCGGGCAGTCTATATTTGGATGATGGAGACTCGTTGAACCCGTCATCTGTGACAGAGCTCGAGTTCACGTACAGCAAAGGGGAGTTGCACGTGAAGGGTACATTCGGACAGAAGGCCGTCCCCAAGGTGGAGAAATGTACCTTGCTGGGGAAGTCAGCACGGACGTTCAAGGGCTTTGCACTCGATGCGCCGGTGAACTTTAAGCTGAAGTAGTTAGCATATCGAGTTGGAGTTCAGATGAGAGGGGGGTAAAAAGTAGTTAGTGTCTCAGGTACCAGATCGCTTACATAGTGCCCTTACTGCTAATTAAGATGATTGACATATCTCAATAAGCATAAACTCTGCCGCAGCATACAGCAAGCACGTAGCCAGGGGACAGGCAGGAAAGCCAGTGGCAGGGGATCAAGGGATAGGATAAGGGATACACACCAAGGCAGTAAGCATTCAAGCCGCGCCACCACAAAGATACTGTCCAATCCTCTCCAGAGGAAGAAATGACCGCATAATACGCATCAAGCCATCCACATTTACTCGCCACACCACAATCTCATAACTCACCCACCCAACCCAACCTGCTACATAACACATGTACCACAGTCAATACATACATACCATGTGCCAGCCGCCATGCCTCGAACCCGCCACGCAAGGGATACAGACAATCATCAAACAAGGACGGGAGGCAGGCAGGACGCGTCTACATACTACGCACGTACCTTGCACATCCGTCTATCCCTACTACACGAGTCAATCCTTATTTCCGGGGTTATTCAAATACCTAACGGAATCACCTCACTAGCTAGTAGGATTTCACCATCCACTTCGTTTCCTCTCTCGTTTTATCTTTCTCTATTATCTTGAAGTAAACCGGAACAATATGCATCTCAAATCCATCCTCTTCACCCTCGCCGCATCGACTACCCTTGTCGCCGCCGGCAGCGACTACTATTGTCTCATGGCGCAGGACGGCACGGGCATGATCCAGGACCCGTATTGCTGCGATAGTTTCTCTGATACGCCGGGGGATTCGATTGCTAAAGTTGGGAAGAATTGTATGTTTCAGCATACCTTGTGACTGTCCTTTTTTAGTGGTGGGTCAATGCTGATGATTGTGTGTTTGTCGTTGTAGGCCAGTCGATGGATGGACTTGAGTGGACGGATCAGTGTCCTCAGGGTGGAACTGTGAAGTGTTGTTATACTATTGTAAGTAAAACACCACCATCATGACTGTCGAAGAATTGCCTCGACTGGGATATGTACTAATGAAGATGAATGTAGGGTCCCCAGTTCATCTGCACGGCAGAAGCAGAGGAGAACACGGATGATGATTGATTGATTGATCTACTATTCCACATCATGGATGGGATTATACTTTACTCGTCCACATATTCACCCACACAAAGCAATGAAGTATTCAAACTATTGTACACTACACCTATTCCTCCCACACCACCACGTCTAGCTAGTAAATAAATTAAATAACTTTAAACACTAACCATCCTAACAAACCTCTCCCCCAACTCCTCCGCCGCCAACGGATTCGCTCCCGTCAACAACTCCCTACAAAGCGTCGTCTTACCCAACTTCTCCCTTCCCCCCTCTACCATCACAGCCCCAGCATCCCTCAACTGACTCTCCACCTTCTCAATCTCCCCCCTCAACAACGTCTCCATAACCTTCTCCTCCGCATCACTCCAACACGTAATCTCATACCCCTTATACACGAACTCCCCATCCCCACTAACCCTCGTACTCAACAACGCCAACGGCCCATGACAAATCGCCGCCGTGGGCTTATTCTCCCCATGAAAGTACCTCAGGATCCTGCCCAGCTCCTTATCACCACCTAGGTCTACGAGCGGCGCATGTCCGCCCGGGATGAACACCGCCGCGAAAGTCTTCAATTCATCGTCGGAGATGCTAGCAAAGGGGCGCGGTGAGGAGAAGCCGTTTTCGCGGCGCATGCGCTCGATGAGCTCTTGCTCGCGCCGGCGTTCGTAGAAGTTGCCGGCGAAGGTGAGGAGGGATTCGCTGTTCGGGTCGGGTTGAGGGGTTTGGCCCTTGGGAGAGGCGAAGGTGACTTCGTGGCCGGCCGAGAGGAGTTTGGAGAGTGGTTTGGCGAGTTCGGGGAGGAAGAAGCCGGTTGGTTGTTGTTGCGTGCCGGAGGAGGTGTTGTGCAGGGGGAAGGAGGTCGCGTCGCTGAGGATTATGAGGACCTTTTTGGGAGGCATTTTGGATATTCTCTCTAGGGTGTAATTTGGATGTTATGTGGTAGATTCAATTGAGTGTTTGGTAGTAGATTATTGCTAATTAGGGTGGATGTGTAAGGTTCGAGCTGTGGTTGTGGTGATGGTGTTTATAGTTGGTGGTGGTGGTGGTGGTGACATCCCGATGACGTAGGGAGTGGAACAGGTTGTTGGGTTGGCGGTGCTTCGACTTTTACTCTTCATTATGATTTAATGCAATGTAATGTATCATAGATCATGATTTTAATAGTAGTAGTATGGGAGAGATACTTAGCAGCATTGAATTGCGAAAAAAAGTATGCATTTGTCAGTGGGAACATGGTGGTAATAGTATGCTCCCGGCGTGTATATCTCGGACGCTGGACTCTAATATTTTCTCGATATTATCAACAACTAGATCGAATAGGAGTGTATTCTTCGATGCAGAAAAAAGTTAGACCAATACTAGATAGAGACGCAGAAGAGCTTTAGACTGTGTGGAATTCTACATCAAACATGCATCTAATTCAAGTAAAATCCAAGTCTATACTACCCACCCCTCTTCATCGGATCTGAATATCCCACAGCCACTAATAGTTACAAATATCAATTTTTACAACCGAAGAAAACAGAACATAGTATGCCTATCAGCCCGCTACCCAACCTTCACGGAATCAATCCAAGTCACGAGGAATACCCACTTGCAGCACGCAGCTCGTATTCTCGACTCGCGCAAAACGCAGTGTAGTGGCCTTGCAAGCAAGCAAACAGGCAGCACACCTCATACTCACAGCAAGCTTCCTGCAGCCATAACTCCTTCCATGCAGGTGCTCAGACCCCTACACGAGTCATACGGCTTATCAAAGTAACGAGTCATTTGCTAATACACATCCCCATTTACAACAATCCCTAGTTATCTAACTACCAGTCCATCTGCTCGCTAATATTTCCCCCTCCAAGATTAGATCCAGAATAGATACCCCAAGATTCTAGAACCTCCCGGACCAAGTCAAACCTACCTTCAAGTGGATCCAACCCAGATTCGCCTTCTTCAGGGAAGAAAGAGAAGTTGAACCCTTTCTTCTTACTAAGTAAGCAGTTAACTGCTAACTAACTACTCTCTTTTATGTGAACTAAATAACTAACTAGGGCTCGGTACCCGCGGATGAACCTCGCTCGCCTATTCCCGGATCTGATAAGGGTATTCAGAGCTGGAGCGTCCAAAGTCTATCCAACGAAAAATTTGCACTTTTCCGAGGAAAAGCATAACTCCCCCGTCAAACGAACCATACTTGGTAGTATCAATCTGGTTAGCTAGTTTACAGGTGTGAGTTGGTGTTTGTTGGCATACGTATCGGATTCTGTCCGAGGCTAAAGTCGTACCCGTGCACCTTTGGGATTGTTCCTGAACTCCGGGTCATTCTTCCCCGGTTATTTCTATGGGGGGGAGACAATACTGGTTCCTACCAATATTATCCAGTAGGACTTACAATAATCTTTATAATCCGGGGAATTTATTATTTTTATTGCTTGAAGGTGCTCCTGACTCGCTTTTCCGTGCACTTTGCCGGTCTCCACTGTTGCCGACGTCTCGGCAAATTCCACCGTAAATCCGATTACATTATGCAGTCGACTTATACACCTCGGAACCTGGCCGAATTGAACAGCTCACTCGTTTCACGATCTGCAGGGCCGCTTCCTGATGGCTGGGAAAATTCTGAATGACATTTCTTGGTATGGTATGCTATGCGATGTCGTAACTCGTAATAGGGGGGCTATGCGGGCTGGCTGGACGCTATCAAATCAGAGAATGAACTATACCCCCCTCAACATTTCCTCGGCGTTATCTCGAAACACCCGCTCCGCCAATCCAGATTCCTTCGCACATATCCGTAGACATGTCTCGGTGAATGGTTCGATGTTCACGCCAGAGAACCGCGTGTGTGGCCAGTCGGTGGCATATATCACACGGTCCGGAGCTGCTTCAAGGAACTCCTGGGCCATCGCTTCCAGGTCTCGATATTCCTCGTCCTTGCTGAGACGGTACGGGGCGGAGATCTTCACGTAGGTCTCTCCGCCTCGCAGAAGCGAGATTAACGAGGAAAATCCCGGCAGCATGTAGGGGTTAAACGATTCCCCGTCGTGTTGGACTGCTGTCAAATCTGGTCCTCCAAAATGGTCAATACACAGCTTGACTCCGAGCTGTGGGACAACTCTCTCCAACAGGGGAACCATATCCAAGGATACGTAGACCTGGATAGTCCACCCAAAGGGCCGTACTATTTGCGCATGTTGCAGCAGCGTCTCTGTCAGCTCATGCTCGCTGAGCACCTTGCCCACGGACTTGAGATTCACCCGCACGCCGCGTACTCCCAGCAGATGCCACTCCTCTAGGGTCTTGGTGTCTATGTTGGTCGGATCAATCACCACGACTCCTCGCCCGCGAGAAGGTCCGAGAGTTTTGAGTGCTTCAAGTAGACAAGAGTTATCGGTTCCGTAAATAGATGGCTGAACCAATACAATTTTCTCGATGCCAAGGGTAGATTCGAAATTCATCGCATCGTCAACGGTATGTTCGGGAGGCTGATAGACTGCATTCGCGGAAACTGGGAAGCGCTCTGGTTCCACAACGTGCATATGTGTATCCCACGTCCCTCGGGGAATCCGATACTTCAGTGGGATAGGCTGGAGGGTTGTCGTTCCCTCCTTGCATAGTTGTCGCTCCTCCTTCAGATGTGCAGTGCTGAACAAGGCCCGAGGAGATTCTAGTAGGCCTGTCCTGGGCTGGAACGTGGTAAGCATGGTGGGCATCGAGGACGAGAGCATTGTCAAGACGTCATCAAGGGCGAGGTAGAGAGGTTAAGTATGGGTAGGAGGAATAGCAGGAGGTGTAGATGTCCAACACAGGTGTGACAAACTCACAGGACAGCTGAGCCGCAGCGTTCCCACAGCTGCTCTTAAGGAACATTTCTGCATCGATATCATGCTCTCTATTAGGCTAGGTGCAAAGCCAAGGACGACCCGTCTAGTCAAAACTGTGGATAAAGACATTACGGCAGCTCATCGGCTTCCCGATTGTGTTACCGGACGGATGCCAGTAAACGTGAGGAATGAAACAGTCCCTGACCCACCGGTCACCAGCGAAAGGCGGGATGGTGTCGCTGAAGTACGAAAACCGGTATGATGAGGTCGGAATGTGGCCGCAAGGGGGCCACTCACACGTGAGCGACATTGGATATGTCCACTTACTTTTTCTCTGATCGGCAACCAATGACAACCACAGACGTTTGACTGTTGAACCGAGCCAGATCGGACGTGTATCTAAGCGAAATGCAGAGCCACGGGGAGCGGAGTTATTCACAGGCAACGGTAATGGGCCGAGTGGATGCAGGCGGAACGACCCGCCCGATCTGACATGCAGGCGAAGTGTGCACGCATGGTGCTATTGAGAGCAGAGAAGACAGTGGTTAGATCTAGATATATAGATATCACTAGATGAATTCAGCCTCGGAATTATAGATAGTTCAATATCAGACATTAGAATAGATGCATACCAAGTATTGAAGGCGTTCTATTCCCGAATGGTGATAAGAAGTGCATTAGCGTGTGTCCCAAAGAAAAAGGAGAGGAGAGAGAGGGAGAAGAACCTGCGGAAGTTGACCGAGAGGCGAGTCACGCCCCTCTGGATCCCGTGCGTCTCATTCCTCCTCTCTTGTCTCCCCCCCTCTCGGCCCTCCTCCTTCCGAGTGGATATTCTCTCCTTTCCGAGTTTTGTTCCTCGCCTCGCTTGTTCTCCGTCCACTCGTCTGGCCTGACTCGCATCGTGTGGCTTGCCTCCTAATCATTCTCCCCCCTCCCCGGCCCCCTTCGGATACGTACCCAGCAAGGCAGCAATCGGTTCAAACTGGAGCTTCCCCAGATATCTCCATAGTGCTTAATACACGTCGTCTATTATCTCGTCGGCTAATATCCCCAAAATAGCTGATTCCAGCTCCATCGCGGCTCCTCCCGCTTCGCCATCATGGGATGGAAGGCGATTGACTGGTCTCGGTGGACCACAAATCCCTATTATGCCTTAGTGATCTTTATTATAGCCTGTGGCAGCATTCCTAAAGGTAACGTCATCTTCACGCCGTGTTGTTATACACGAGAGATCGCATTCTAACTGGTGGGCGGGGCTGCAGGTTACGATGAGGGTGGCTACAGTGCCAGCGTCAAGCTCGAGTCGTTCATGGTCGACTTTAACCTTTTGTCCTCTAACTGGACTCACGATGCCACTGGCTTGGCCAATCGCAAGGCGAACATAACTTCCTTTAACGTGTTGGGTGCCGCATTTGGTGCGTTGTTCTCGCTAGACTTGAATGATCGCTTGGGTCGAGTACGGACATGGCAAATGTCTTGTTTGGTCTGGGGATCGGGTCTTTTCATCCAGGTCTTCTCCTCCGGCATCTATGGTCTATTATTGTTTGCTAGAATTTGGAGTGGTCTGGGCGCTGGTGCCTTAACAGTGACTACGCCCTTGTACCTGTCAGAGATCGGTAGGTAATCTCGGAGATTAATGTACATGTACTATAAAAGTGCTAATATCGATGATAGCGCCGGCGAGGACTAGAGGCTTGGTAGTGAGCGTTTACATGGTGGTTTTGCTCACCATCCTCACTGTGGGTAAGCTAACGCTCTCGTTAACCGCTAGTTTCACATGTGGCGTTGTCTGACATGTCGCTCCAACAGGGTTCTTTGTCAACTATGGGGCCGACCTGCATATGGCCCCTACCCGGGAACAATATCGCCTGGTCCAGTCGATTCCACTAATCCCTACGGGCTTAGCTTTCTTTGCCTCCTTCATCGTACCTGAGACACCTCGTTATCTGGTGTCCAAGCAGCGGCCCGAGGAGGCGCGAGCTGTGCTAGCTCGGTTCCGTGGGAAAGACATTTCCGATCCCGAGGTTGATGAGGAATTTAACACAATTGAAGCTCAAGTGCGCGCCAAGGCAGCAGACTTGGCGTCTGTCAGTCATTGGCAAGCTTTCAAGGAATCCCAGTTAAACCCTAATTATCGGCAGCGGTTCTGGCTCCTGATGACCATGCAAACCATCGCCCAATGGACAGGAGGCAACGGTATCACCTACTACATTTCTAATATTTTCCAGTATGCTGGCATCACTGGAAACGCCGAATCTCTTATTTCCTCAGGTGCATATGGCATTGTCAAGGTCGTCTTCACCATGGCGTTTACTTGGGTTTTCATTGATTACCTGGGCCGACGTCGCTGCGCGTTGATGGGGCTGAGTCTCCAGCTAGCTGCCCACATCTACATGGGCGCTTACATGGGTCTGCAACCGGGCGCCGCTAAGAACGAGAACGCCTCCAATGCCGCAATTGCATCCGTCTTTATCTACGCCGTTGGCTGGTCCGTCGGCCTCTGCACCATCCCTTACCTGTATGGTACAGAAATCTTCCCCACTCGCATTCGCAACATGAGCTACGCGCTCAGCATGACTTTGCATTGGTTCTTCCAATTTGCCGTCGTGCGCGTGACACCCAACATGTTCGTCTCCCTTAACGTCTGGGGTGCGTATCTATTCTGGGCCATCATCTGCTTTCTGGGCATCATCATCCTCGGTATCTGGATGCCCGAGACCAAAGGTGTCCCTATGGAGCGCATGGGCGATCTCTTCGATTGCCCATGGTACCTGCGCTGGCGTGCAAAGCCGAAGGATGTTGCCTCGTCCTCGGCCTCCACTGCCGGCGAGGGCAGTGTCGATGCCAAGCAAGTGGACAGCAAAAGTGTGCCTCTGTAGACTTTCCGAACACATTACATCTCAAGAACGTTTATTTTCGATATATACCCGCCATTTTTGATACCTCACCTTTTACATTACCTTATACCTATATACTTACACCTGTGGAGTCCCCATCTCTGGGTTCCTGATGGGGACGATGTTGCATAATTACTTTCGGATGGAAACTGGGGATGATGTGGGTTGGGACGGATACATAAACATAAAAGCATGCAGCGTTATTACCACTCAAGCCACTTAGATAGCTTAATTTACACGTTCGATTGTTCAATTATTCAACTGTAATTCTACACATGCGTAATTCCCGATAGTATCACATACAGGTCGATAAGTACCAAAAAGTACAGTCATTCAATTAATCTATCGAGATACTTTGGAGCCAATTCGCCTTAGGTGGTATATCGTTCCCTCGTATCCTGCAGCTACATTCTGCCTCTGGTATCAAGTGTGTCTATCCCACCCGTAATCAACTGTAGGTGCCATATTCGTCGTTATAGGCTCCGCATAGGAAAACGCCTCGAAAACCTCAGGAGTAATCTCGTATGCACCAGGGTTATCCAGCGTCAGCATGGCATTTGGCATACCGCCAATTAGATGTGTGGCAGTCACCTGCGGCATATTGGTCTGCGACAGCTCGAAATCGGCAATGGGCGTTTGGTAATTATAGCCTGGTAACATTGAGGCTGCAGAGCTCATGCCAGCAGTGTGCATGGAGGTGATAGGATGGTCGGCTTGTGGTGGTTGCTGCTGTACAGGGGAGACGCGTTGAGAAGTATTACTGGAGATATTCGAGGGGGGTGGTGTCTGATGTTGGGAAGGAGAATGGCTATGATGGGTTCGAGTTCGCTGTTGAAGTTGGGGTTGGGGTTGGGTTTGGGTTTGACTTTGTTGTGGAGGCTGTTGAGGTTGGGCTGTGGGTAGAACAATATGAATGTCGATTTGAAGCTTTTGCAGCTCCTGGTAGATGAGACTTAAGGCTGTGCTGATGACTGTTGTACGCATTAGCTGCAGTGTTCACTTTCAGTTATCGGCAAACATACCAGGACTTGTCCCTTTGACTCGCTCCAGTGCATAAATGCAGTACTTCAACTTGTCGAGGGTACCCGGAGCAGCATACTTCAGAGCCTGGATTTCGAGCAAGAAAATGGATGCTGCAGTATATACACTGTAGGAGAGAGACAGTACGACATGACTGTCACCAAAAGTACGGCGGTACAAGTCGAAGAGGGTCAGAATCGTAGTCGCAGATGTCATGCATTGGATCAGATGACTTTTGTCGTTAGATTCGCGGTTCGATTTGGAGCAAAGGACGGGTCGGTGGAGGAGGATGTTGATGGTATGGTAGAGACAGCTAAGCAACAGCGTTAGAATGACGAGACGTGGCGAGAAAATCAGGCAAGGAAAAGGTACGCACTTCAGGGTCACAATATGACTTGGAGGGGAATATGGAGGAAGATCCATGGGCAGTAGCTTCAAGTAATCGGGAAGCTCCTCCCACCAGTCAGCCAGATTAGCGGCTTGTTCCTGGATGCAGTTATAGTATTCTACTTCCGAAACCTGTCGAAGAGGATCATAGATATGGATTAATATTTGGTTAAGAATCTCTGCCAGGCCGCACATCTTCATGAAGCACGATGTAGAGTGAGCCTGGGTGGGCGGATAGTGAGTGCCATCAGGGAATTCGACGCCATGAGGTGTCCAAAGCTCGACCTCGGCTGTGTCATCCAAGATCATCCGAGGAGGGCTGACCCGGGAGTGTTGCATCGTGGGGGAACGGCCGAAGTACAATGAGATCAGTTTATCCCAGAAATAGCAGCTCCAAAAGAGACGGTTCCTGAGCTCGATATCCTCATCAGTCAGGTGAGCGCTATCAGAGTACTTGCGACTGTCGATGTTTATTCCAAGGTCGTCCAGTATCCGGAAGGCCATTCCGCTGTATAACCACGCCTGACTCCGGTTGCCTCGTCCGAACTCCTGCGCACTCAGGAGAAGTAAGGTCTGAATCGTTGGAATGCCGACGTAGCCGGCTTTGAGCGAATCATAGAGGCCTGATACAGCACGGTGAGAGAACTGCGCCCCGCCTTCGAAGGAGTCCAGAATTGGCCCAATTTTAGGCTCCAATTTGCACCATCGTACCGAGTGGGCAAGAATGGCGTTCAACAGGGCGTCGGTGTAATAGGGGCCGTTGACTTTCATATCACCTGCAAGGTGTCAGAGCATCGCCAGCATCGGCTAACGGAGAGGCAACTAACGAGTGAACGTAGGTCGATAAACGAAGCCAAAGAGCGGTTGTATCCAACACCAGTGTGAATCGAGGAGGTACTGGAATGGTTCCTGTCACAGCGATAAGATCAACATTAATACCATCCTTTATATCTGAAGGTTTGACCAAAATATACTTACGGGCATAGTGGCCATCTGCTCAAAGGCCCGTTCCCGCCATGCATTGTTGATAAGCCGTTCCTTCCGTCCCTCCAGTTGCATAGCCAAACGGGACGTGGAGGAAGTCTCGTTCAAGAGGCCGCTTGGTAGCTGGAATAAGCTGGTTGGGCCGTGGAATGATATTCGACCATCGTGTTCGACCTTGAGACCCTCAAAGTCTCTGGCGAGCTCTTGTTCGTTTTCGTCTTCTTCTTTGATGCGGGTTCGGATACCCGGGCTGGCGCTAGACTCGCCGGGAGATGCAGGGGAGGCGCCCTTCCGCGACACGGATTCCGGGGGTTGTTGGTTTCGTAATTTGGAGAGAGCATCTTCCAGCTGAGCGACGCGAGCTTCCAGCTGCTTCGTATAAGATAAGGTTGGAGCTCTAGCAAATAAAGAGTCAATAGTGATCGACAATTTTGCCGATAGGGCAATACAAAGCGGGTCGGGCTGGTGGGGGGGAACGCAAAAGTCCCAAGAAGCGAGGGTGAAGGAAAAGAAAAATAAGCCACACTCACAGACTATAGACACACACCTCACCGCGTGTCGCACATCGCGAACACGACGGACTGGCTCCGTTGCATTTCACCTAGCCGGTCCAGTCAGCACAGCCAGCGAAGCGAAGATGATGACTCGACATGTTAATCTCGGAAGTCATCCGAGTCACGAACGTAAGGGGGACAAAGGAACCCACCTTTCGCTTGCGACAAGCCTCGCAGGAAAAGGCGCTTTTCCGGGGAAGGTTGGACTTTGTAGGCACGTCGGCCATGCCCGACTGCTTGGATTCTACGACCATGGAATTGGACAATCCAGGAAGGCCGTGGGGGACGGGACAGACGTCGCGACAGCCTCCATGGAAGAGAAGGGAAAAATCACGATCACGCGAAAGGGAAGGAGGAGGGGGAAGAGAGGGGGGGCGAGAGGAGAAAGGGAAAGGGACGAGAGGGAGGGCGAGTGGGGGTCAAAGGGAACCAGAAAAGTGAGACGACGATGGCCACCACAAGCTTAGGGGCGCACCTTAATTCCAGCCAGAAGAGTCGAACCTTTCCCTGGGTCGTGGGGGGGAAGGAAGAGCGGCGCGATGATGATCTGATCAGAAGTGGACCGTTGAGGAAAGCTTGGGACTCGTGTAGAAAAAGGCCTTATCGTTTGATTCTTGCGCCAAAGAACATCCTGAAGATATGCCATGCCGATGGGAGACAACTCCAGCCATCTTGGCTATGATAATTCGCGTCCTAACGAGTAATCCCAGCAGTCGACGGACACTCCGATGGGCCGATCTTGTAGCGGGAGAGGCGGCGCCGGAACAATTGGGAAAGATTGGAACGCAACCGGCATGACGATATCTCGGGCGAGTGCGACTGCAACGCGGCCAATCAGGAGGCCAGACACCGGGGGCTCTAACCCTTTGCGGCCATGGAATTCAGGCAGCGGTAGATGGATCAGGCATGCAATTTAAGCTTAATCGGACAGTCACGTGTCGCCCATACACAAGTATACAGAGGCCGCGTGAGGGCCGATCATCTCCCAGCCAACACCCACAGACAACTTGGGTGCGAAATAATGGTTTCTATTATACATGATTTATATCTACACATCACCGTCATAGTATTATACAAATTGCTTCTCCAGCTGCACCAGAAGTTCGTGCACGTCATCTACGGGTAGGGGAATGGCCCGAGGGTTCTTCAAGGCCTTCTCGCCCAATCGTTGCGTCAGGATGTCTTGCAGCTTCTGCACCCCACGTTCGGGTTTGCTCTGCAGCTGACCTGTCACGTCCACCGTGATGCGAGAGGCAGCGACGTCCTTGGGTCCCAGGATGAAGATGAGGTTGTACTTCATATGCTTGGCTCGCTGGATTTTCTTGTTCAGCGATTGGCCACTGCTGTCCACATCGATCAAGAATGTGGAGTCAACCGAGGAGATGGGCTGGGGTGCATCAGTCCCCATTTGGCCGGGCTGAAGGGCGCGGAATCCAGAGATTTTGGCAGCCGCTTCGTGAGCCTGCTGTACGACGGCCTCATCTTGGTTCACGGTTAGGACGATACCCTGGCGCGGAGAAAGCCAGAACGGCCAGCGACCAGCGTATTCCTCGATGAGCAGCGCTAAGAACCGCTCCAGAGAGCCGAAGTTTGCCCGATGGATCATCACCGGGGTCGCCTTGCCTGGGGTCTCCGGGTTGTAATCCTCCTCACCTTCAGCGACCTGGTACTCGAGCCCAAATCGCTGAGGGAGATTCATATCAAGCTGGATGGTGGAGAGTTGGTGGTATTTTCCTGCTTTGTCTTGAAGCTGGATGTCGATTTTGGGGCCGTAGAATGCTCCGTCACCTTCGTTCATGGCCCATTCCCTGCCTGTATTGTCGAGTGCCTCGCGCAATTGGGCTTCGGCACTATTCCACAATTCCAAACTACCGATGAAGTCCTTCTCTGGCCTTGTGGAAAGGACTAAGCGATACGGCCCCAGTCCGAATGTTGTCATAACCAAGTCCACGAATCCAAGTGCCGAAGCGATTTCCCCCTTAATCTGCTGCGGTCGACAGAAAATATGCCCATCGTCTTGATGGAAACGGCGGACACGGGTAAGTCCGCTTAACGAACCCGAAACCTCATTCCGATGAAGCGGACTGAAATCGGCGTAGCGGATGGGCAGTTCCCGGTAAGAATGCGTCTGCGATTTGAATAGCAGGCAGTGGCCGGGGCAGTTCATCGGCTTCAGGCCGTAGGACTCATCCTCTCCCGCTTCTCCGTCCGTATCTCCAGTAGCCCCCCTACCGCGCACCTCGTACATATCATCTTTGTAATTCTGCCAATGGCCGGAGACTTCCCAGAGGGAACGTTTGTAGATCGTCGGGGTCAGGACTTCGCGAAAACCATATTGAAGGTACTGCGTGCGGAGAAAGGTGATGAGTTTGTTGATGATATGGGTGCCATTGGGGAGGAACAGAGGCGATCCGGGGCTGTAGACTGAGGTTGTGAAAAGGTCCTGGGAGGTTCCCAGGGCGCGATAATCGGCTGGGGTCGAAGATTGAGCCTGAGGCTGTCCGGGCTGCGGGTCAGAGCACGAGCAGAGCCGGGACGACGTCGATGAGAGCCATTGCGCCCTCACTGATGGCCAAGGGACCAATCGTCCCCTGATTGGAGGTTTCCGAGAAAGCAAAGGCTGCCGTAACAAGGGCGACAGTCGACGCATGGTGGGATCTAGCGGGCAGAGACAGCGACCAAATCGTGAAACTGGAGGATTTTCCTCAAGTCGCCCGTGACTGGAAACGCGAGTTCCCGATTGGGAATCGCGTTCCCGTGATTGTCCCCCACCGACTTCATCGGGTGGCTGGACGTTTGGAAGGCCGATCTAGATATACTATCGTCGACTAGTCCAACTATCTGCCTCTTCTACCTTGGGATCGGCATCCTGGTTCACCGCCGCTCACTCACCGTTATCGTGAAACTAGCTCGTCACTGAAAATCATACGGCTATTTCTGTCTAAGTACCTTTGCTTCACGTGAGTTACAGCAGTGTTGGTTCTGTCGCATTTTCTCTTTACTGGGATAGCGCGGTGCTACAGCTGAAGAGAAGATTAGCTGACCTCGCTAGTATCACTATATATTCGGATACCGTTCATATGCGTCTGGGCTATCTTTTACAGTATATGGAAACTTACATCATTATCCCTTGCTATTAACGGCTCGCGTGCGCGTTGTCTGCTCGCCAACATCGTGTAGTGACTCAAGAGACTGAAGCTTCTATTAAGCTACCATTAGCCGGCCTGTACCTTGTGACTACAGACCTTGATGTCTACCAGAAAACCTCGTCCCCAGGACAGCTCAATTCTGGGCGAGTCCTGGGTTGTAGCTTTACCTCATGAGAACGAGCAACAAGATGAACATCAGCCATCTGAGCCTTCAAGCCCAACACCTCGACCAGCTAGAAGGAACCGCAACTATGGATCTGAGTCCTTGTCTACCTCCACTTCATCCGCCTCGGGACCAGAACTAATTATGCCGTCAATATACGAAGCGCCTCTATCAGAAGGATCTTGGGTTGCGCCCACCGCTCGATCCAAGCGGCCTCTTAGACGGAGGCCTCAAAAATCGCCCAAGGATTCGGCGCAAGAAGGGAAACAACAGTCTCCCTCGCCCAAACAAGATGTCACGGCGGCAACGCGAACACAAAGATCTCGCCAACCAAAAGCGACCCAGCCTCGCACATGGAAATTCGTGGAGTCACTCCTACGCACAATTCTCAATTGTGCGCTTATCGCCGCCATCGCTCACATGCTCGTCCTTCCCGAAATAGTCCAACAATACCAAACGCTTTGTTCTTCGGAGAAAATAGCAACTCTATACCCAGCCAGTTGCATCCCACCATATCCCCAGCCACAACACCCCCGCCACCAACCAGCCCCCCGGGACACCATCACTAGTTCACAATCGCGGCTCGAGACCCTGCTCAGCTCTACCCTGAACGAAACAGACCCTCTCACCAGCACACTAAAACAAAGTGAATCCAAGCTGCGCGACATCCACACCGAACTCAAGCAAGCCTACCCAGGCAGCAAACACGAACTAGACCTCGAGTTCACGGGATGTCTTCAAGCCACCCGCATCGCAGCCGGCAAATTCGACTCGCTCCGAGCCGACATCCGCTCAGCGGTAGATAGTCTGATCGCCAGCGGCGACAACATTCAAACCTTGACTCAAGACGCGCGTCATGCCACCCAAATGGCCCGACGAGAACAATACCTCGACCAGCTCACCACACGCATGCAGTCCAAAGTCAGTTCCCTCTCCAACGACCTCGCCACGCTCGATGACCATCTCGAATCAATCGGGACCATCGTAGCCCGCGAATCAAAACAATCAAAGCCAAGCTCTTCTATTCATGCGCCCGGGCCTAATAATCCAGGGCCCGAACCAGTACCACAATCAGACCAGCCACCTCGTCTGCGCACCTTCGTTAACTCACTCTTGGGCGTCAACTTACCTGCCATGCTCCGCCCAATCACCGCGGAGCCGGAAAGCGCCGTCTCCAGCCCGGATCCCTCACTAGCTGACCTTTTTCGAGAAGCGTCCACCAATCATCGCCCGGTCATCCAGGTCGTCCGAAACCTATCGAATCAGCTTCAGATACTGCAACAAAGAAGAAATATTGTTATCTGAGCGCGAACTATTGAAAAGCTAACTAACGTCAATATGAGACATGCATATGATGGGTATATTAGTTTCTGATTATGATTTGAACTGGCCAAGACAGAGAAAGTTGGGGTAAACATGCAAGTCGGCGTTTAGTTTAGTTTTAGTTCCTGGGATGCGGCGCGCGTCGCTATTTTTCCCTTTGTTTTTTTCTTTTTTTCTTTGTCACCTGTCTTTGTTACAGTCACACGTGGGTCTCACGTTACACATGGCTTACCACCTACCTGTCAGGAACGGTTGTCTAGTCTGGGGACTGTTTACCCCGGGCCAAGAAACACAGCGTAGCATGGCGCGTAGTATTACTTACATGGGTTGGGTTGCATTGGATATGAATTAATATCATTAAGTTCTGAGCTAATTAAGTCTTTGATTTTGTCCCGCAAAGGAACGTCCGGGGAAAGACAAAAAAGAAGACCCATTTCGTTAATATCGACGCGTAGAAGAGCGAACAAGCCAGCAAGAGATTCAATCCGAGATAGACCAACGGCAATAATAGTAGCAATAGTATTGTGGTAGGGTAGTAGCAGGAAAGACTTTCTGTCTGACGGCCGGTGGGGGTGAGGAACGCCAACAGACAACTCCTCTCAGATAATATGTACTTCCAACGGTTCCAAATAAGCTATGCAGTGAAAGCAGGGGAAAGGGTGGGCGTAAGTTTCCAAACGACCCAGAAAGAGAAGTGAAAAGGTTGCATCAAGGACTGATAGTGATTATATCGTCGAAGATGAGGAGGGGTAAATTTACAAAAGGGCGGCGAGGAGACCAGCGAAGAGAACACTGGTGGAGGCGCCGACATGGGTGGCAGCACCGGTGTAGACGGGGGAGGCGCTGGCGCTAGCGCTGGAGGAAGCAGAGGCAGAGCCCGAAGCAGAGGCGGCGCCAGAGCCAGCGGCGGAGGAGCCGCTGCTGGTGCTGGAGCCAGATCCAATGAGGGCAGAGGAGGAGCCGGCGGCAGCGGCGCTGGAAGCGCTAGTGCTGGAGCCAGAGCTGGTGCTAGAGCCGGAGCTGGAGGTAGAGCCGGAGCTGGAGGTAGAGTCGGAGCTGGAGGTAGAGCTGGAGGAGGAGCTGGTGGAGCTGGAGGTAGAGCTGGAGGTCGAGCCGGTGGTGGAGCTGACGCTAGAGCTGGAGGTACCGTTGTTGACGACAATGCTGGTGTAGTCACCGGTCTTGTCGGAGTAGGTGTAGGAGGAGCCAGGGTTATAGTTGGTGATGCTGACAGACTTGACAGTCATGGTGAAGGGACCGTCGGAGTAGTCAGTCTCACCACCGGCCCATTCGATGGTACCCTCGGGCTCAGAGGAGTCACCAGCAGCCCAGATACCAAGCTTCAAGCGCATGGGAGTCTGGGGGTAGCGAGTACCGCTCTGGGCATCGCTGTAGGCAAGGGTGCGCACAACAGTGCCGTCGATGCTCCAGGTAGTGGCGGATTCAGTCCACTCAACGGTGTAAGTGTGGAAGGTCTCCTGGGGGGTCGACACGGTTGCCCAGGTAGCACGGTCGTAGGAGGATGTGTCACCCTTGCCGAAGTAGTTGGTCTCAATCTGAGTGGTGTCACCACCAAGAGCTTCCTGGATATCCCAATCTGGTTAGCTTACTATCCCATGCATACTGGGTGATAAGGGTGCAGCTAAGCGTGCATGATAGGGTTGGCAGGGGCAATAGGGGCTGTCGAATGATAATTTATGTGTCCGAGGGGATTAGAGAGCTTACCCAGTCAATCTCGTCGAGATCATCCGACTCCAGGACAACACTGCTGCAGATACCGGTACCACTGGCGGCCTTCATGACAACCTCGGCCTTGCCGAAAAAGAAGTAGAAATCGGTCTCAATGGTGGGAGCTTCACCCTTCTCGCTGATGACGAAGTTGGCACCCTCATCGGTAAAGGTGACATTGTTGGCGGTAGCAATCCAGCCACTGAAAGAGCCAGTGGTGAAATCAGTGGTGAAGGTGGTGGAGCTCAAAGCCGTATCAGCAGGGCAGGTCTCTGTTCACTCGGTTAGCTCTGAACAAATATGGGTATGAACAGAAGAAACATACTGTTGAGAGGGTCACAGTCTGTGTAGGTCTGCGCGGTGGCCAAGGGCAGCACCGCAGCCAACGCAACAGCAGTCTTGGAGAAGTACATGATGTTGTTGCTGTGGGGGTGGTAAATGCCAGAAGCGACAGTATCAAAAGTTCTTCAATGCCAACAACGAGGGTTGAAGCAAGAGACAAAACGAAGGAAGAAGCTCCTGCTTGTGTGCGTCCGGGGTATGAAATTGAAGAGGCGGGTAGAGACGGGGGACGCTCAATGTATTAAATAGTAGTGAAGTAACTAAGAGACTCTAGCAGAGAAAGCGAACGACAGACCCAGGAACCCGGGCAACCAAAAAGGGAAGAAGAGGGGAATATTAGACTTCCGTTACTATGGAACGGGAAGTGGGCAGAGTACTGGTACTAATAAGGTCACAGTGAATGATGCTAGCCAAGTGGATGCCGCCATGGAGACAAAATGTATGATATTAATACTTTTCCCCTGAGGGAGACTTCATCCGCTATGGAGTAGTCATGTTGGACCAACGAGACCCAAGGATGATAACTGGGGGCAAAAAAAGGTGTATCCCCTGGTTCGGCCTTGCGAGGATTCTGGGCAGGCACTGGACAAGGTCTGCGTCACGGCTGAGGTGGTCAGACACGGCGACTGAAGGAGGAGCAAAGGACGACATCGATCTAGTGGAGTCTCGACTGGAGACGGCCCCAGTGTGAAAGCCAGTGTTGGCCGCTGTGATAGGCGCATGCTCATTCGCAGAGGCTGGTGTTATCCACTTTTCGACTCGGTCGGGAGGATCGTTCGTTGCGCTGACCGGCCGGGGAAAGCAACGAGGGCGTGTGCACTGTGTGCACTGCGTAGTGCGTACACACTGTACAGTATACGAAGGCGGAGCGAGAGAGGAACAAAAGCTTGTGCCTTCCGCGTGTCTTACACGCTCTGATTTGCTATTTTCTTGGTTTTCTCCCTCGGTCCCCTGCGCCGCTTTCATCCTTCCTTTCCACACATGCTTTTTTTGTTTTTTGTATTTTTTTCTCAGCCCCCTTGTTCTCGCCTGTCTCTTCCTCCTTGAAACCGAGGGTCATCAACGGTCTAGTCAAGGGTTGGAAGGGGTCCAAGATGTCATTCGCTTAGGGTCGGACGAAGGAGTGGATAATTTCTACAAAGTGGTAACGATAGGGTCACCGTGGAGCAAGTCGGTGTCGGCCCTTTTTAGGCAACGATGCAATAACTCCGAGAGCCAAGGGGGCCAAGTATTTAACCACGATTTGCCACGGTCGCATATTCGTGCACATATAGATAATTTCCGCGCATCTGTGATCCAACAGTTGGATATCCCGCTTGCTGATCCTGTCAGAGAATTGTCGCAGCATTGACGCTGCGATGCCATTGAGGCCAATCGATGCGAGCCATGGATCAGGTACATTGGGCCTGTGGTTCAACCATTAGAACAGACTGAAATTGTAAACATATTCGTCCAATCTAATGGTCACAATGCACTAACATCCAGTGGCCGTACGTAGTGCGAAAGTGAAAATAATAAAATAAAATAAATAGAAATGAGGGCAATAATCAAAAGTCAGGGTGCAATAAGCACGACACTCGCCCTCGGAGGGACCGTTCTAAAACTTTCTACCGGTGTCGGATGACAAGTCCGGAGAAAATATTATAAGTCTGGTAACTGAATAAAATAGAAACTTTGTCTAAGCGCCAGCTCGGTTGGCCAAATGTTATGGAGGTCAGGAAGAGAAGAATGTCTCAGCCGGATAATGTTATAACAAAGAGCTTGAAGGCGACTCGAGAAGGACCATGTTCTGTGGCACTGAGAAGGAATCAAGAGAGTCAGGAACTAACTTACTTACCCACTCGCTCAGTCCATCAGCGATAAGCAGACGCATTCGGATAGAGGGTCCGAACAACCGAGCGCTTCTGGCTCAATTTCCTGGAGATTAAACCAGGGAATGGGCTAATAACGTGCAGGAGTCAGAAGTACGGGTGGACAGGGTAATCAAAATCATAGGGAGTCTGTCAGGTGCATCAGCCTCAATCTGAGACAGACAGGGGAGGTCGTTTAATTCATTTAATTATCCCGTCCGTCCCCTGAGGGAGGGAGGGAGGATGACATGAACCCCTCCTCCTTCACAGACGAAGCTAAAGGATGCAGTGGATGATGTAGACTAGTAGTGGATGCGACCTCAAGTTTGTTGGTTTGTTCGGCCTTACCGAGTTCTGCGAACCATCTGGTCACCTGCCGTAATCTATCTTTGGGGGCTGAACTTCTGCAGTTACCATACCATACGGGCTTATCTAACCATGTGTGTTGATACATCACGTGTCTGATTATCTCACCTCTTGATGCCTGGGAGATGCCTGGTGTCTGCCTGATGAAAGGTTGGGGAAGGCGTGCCTCAGGATGCGCATCTTGTTGGGCGAATCCAAATCCAGCGCCACGTTGATCACCCGACCCTTGTTTTCCCCTCTTCTTTCCAGTTCACCCCCCCCTTATCTTCTCCCCCTCCCACCTTCTTGTCAAGGACAACTAACACCCCCCCGGTCCTGCAAGGCTCAAGCCCTTGACTTTCCTCCATCAGAATATGGTTCAGAAACCTAGCAAATCCATCCATCGCGCTAATCGAACTCGTTCTATCGCCGGCGCTGCGTCCTCCTCTTCCCCGCTAGATCCAGATATGGACCGGAAAGTCTACATTCCGCTTTGTTTCTGTCTGATCTCCTTTGCGGTGATGGTCTATATCAACTAATCGGAGATTGTGGGATCTCAATTTACTTCGGCCTTCAACGGACATACTATCATCTCAGATTTACGGCATAATACCTATCTACTCAGGTCGTAAAGCCATCGAGTCCACGCTCTTTTGACTCCCTGCGATATCAACGATAGCCCACACCGCATGCCCCACCCGAACAGCACCTCGGCATCCCAACGCCCCATCCAGGCCGACAATTCTCACTCACTCGAAAGCCCTTCTGGGTACTGCTTTCGCAAAGCTCAGAGCTTAGAGCCACCACTCATCACCATTGTCATCAGCCAGGCAAAATGAGTAGAAGGATCGCACCGTATGGGACCGCAACGGGAAAGAGCCGGTCGATCGACTACGCAAGCGGGAACGCACTACGTATCCCACTTACGGAACCTTGGCCGCGCCACAGCGATCAATAACAGGTGGCAGCCAAACCACCTCGCAAACCCGCGCTATATGCAGCTGCACCTGTCTCGCAATTCTCCGAACAAAGCACGAGAAAATCCATTTTAGCGCAACATGTCGGCCTTAAGTCTTCGTATTCCACATTAAGGAAAAACTACCTGCATAGTGGCGTACGTACACACGTACGCTGGACCGCCACTATTGCTTGTTCGTGTTTTGCTTCTCTCGATGCTAGGCCAGTTGCCCCGCATAAAGGGTGACAACAAACAAGCCAGCAACCAGCCTCTCATTTTCTTTCCTATGTGTGATGCAACTTCGCATTTTTGTTATCTACTATACCCAACAAGGTGAATGAAATTCAACCTACTGCGCCATAGCAATCAGTTACTATTACCCTCAAAGCCTACAAATAATCATATAACACCACTACTAAGAATCAGTCTTTTTGACTTAGCTCATGTTACCAATATCGTATTTCAATACTCCGTATTCCATCTCCATATGCACTCACTACTCAAAACGTTAAAGTGTACTCTTCCCAGTCGCCCAACCCAGCCCGAAACAAAACTAACCAACTAGTCTAAGCATGCAGTATATTCTAGTCTAGACTAATAAAAGCAACCTCTGCAGGAATACTGCCGCCATCACAAACCGGACCGATAGCACGCGGTGCCCTAATTCCCCACATCATAGATAAGACAACCGCCCAAAAATAGCCGGCATAGCAGTAAGCCCAAAGAAAACATGCCAGTGAAGAACGGAAGCAAGAGAAGCAAAACTGGACTACCCGAAAGCTTGAACTTAGACATTTTTCGGGGGCAGTGCTTCTGTGTCTTAGCTACTCGGAGATTGGGGTCTATACATAGATTCATTAGTGTCGGAGGAAGGCAAGTTTGGTTCGGTGATTTACTAGTAGATAGTAAATAGATAATGTTGTCTCATGTAACGTAAGACAAATTTCGACTGAAATAAATACCTGATTATATTATTATTACACATGGAGAGTGCCAGAGCAATGTACATCTCCCCTATCTTTTTATTAAAGAAAAAGCAAGCAATAGGTTCCTTGATAGCCAGATCGACATGTCAGCCCGTTATATTGAAATCATATTCCTATGTAGCAACCAGCTGTCTATGTGGATAAAGCTAATTTACACCGGTAGGCGTCGCAGGATCCACGTTGGCCCTGTCTTTGGTTTGGTCGGGTTTCGTTCTGAGAATCTTCTCCCGGAGTTCTAGTGCCACAGTCTAGTTCGTTGGTTTATCGGTCTGATATGACAAGAACGAAACTGTTATCGATTGCTATGCTAGATAGTATGTTTGTTAAAATAAAAGCAAAAAAGGAAATCAGATCAGGTCGTGCCCGGGATCGAACCGGGATTGCTGGAATCAGAATCCAGAGTGATGACCATTACACTACACAACCTTAGTTGTTGACAGGGCGATTATTTTGACTATATGATGCTGCAATGTTGAATGGAATTTGTTTGGTAGACATTCGGATGCGTGTATGTTGGTAGGAAGAGTTTCATGATATGGTGGTGAGTGATATGTTAGGCTGTTCTATGTTAGCCTAGGGACTAATGAGCTTAGTTTTCAGTATTCACTACGGTTGATAGTATATCTGCGGGTGGTATACTTTTGCTGTATTGTTAGGTAAACATAATTAACATTAGTCACGCTATATCTTCGCATTCGGTATACTTACCTTTAATGGCTTTTGCTCAGTCTGACATTCCCCTATGCAAGGTACCTAAATGTATGCGGTCAATCCCTCCACTTTCATTTCCAACGCTCGTTCAATCGTGTTCTCCGGGCCCTGGCATATCCCTGGCCGGTAAGGGCAGAACTTGATGACCTTGCATCTGTCATTGATCCCTTCTTAGGGTTCGAACCTTCGACATCGCAAGGTACAATTATGCGTCATTTATAGATGCAGTCACAGCAATGGGCACCCAAACCGTCGGTGATATTTCATGTACGTGCTAGTGACGGTCCAGGCATTTACTTGGTGATCAAATCAGTCGTTGAGAAAGCAACTACGCTATATCTACTATGCATGATACATCACCCATCCAAACTACCTACATATCCGCACTCACCCAACGCATCTACAAGTTACAAAAAGACACCACGACCCACAACCTCCCTTCCCTCGCCCAACTATCCCAATCCAAGCCAATCAAGAAGCAAAAAGGTCGTACCCGGGATCGAACCGGGATTGTCGGAATCAAAATCCGAAGGGATAACCATTACCCCATACGACCTAGGAGTTTCGGAATTTCGCAAATTTTGGAAACTTGGAATTATGGCGCTTGCTATGCAGGATTGGGGTGTTATACTGGTGATTTTTTGTGCTTAGGACTCTCCTGGTGGTGTATAGACCGGGAATATATAGTAGATGTGTTGAGTATACCCGAGTGCGCTTATAGGTGATGAAGCAGAGGATATTGATGGTTGTAGCGTCATTATTTGCAAGGTCACTGACCATCCTACCGGGATATATATAAGCGGCGTACTGATGACATCACTCATTGAGACGTTCAACGAAATCAGTGACCTGTTAGGTATTGGGGCCAGTACTCGTCTCATCGAAGATATCACCAGGTATATCCGTCAATGAAACGCTCGCAGTGGGCTGCTGCCTTTCATAAAAGTCCCGAACAAGAGGACATAAGTCATAAGCAAGCCAATACACCCGCATTACTGCCATCAATCACACCTCCACGAGGTGACCCAAACGAAACACCAACCCTTTGTCCACCTATTTAACACAATACCGGAAGCAATCGGCATTGTATCAGAACAGATAAATATACTTTCTACCAATTCGGCCCAAAACACATATCAGTAAATGTAGCCGAGCAGTGGAACCAAATCCTGAACATACTCTCCGAGCAAAGTGTGCATGCCTTGCTTTGTGCGGACTCAATTTCGAAGAGTCTAGATCAAAGGCCGCGACCAAATTCTCATCTTCTGGTCAACAGTGGAACTGCCTCATATGTGGGGTACCGCCCTGGCCAGACACATGGCTATCCATAGATCGTAGAAAGATAGTTGACGTATCGTCGGTAGGTGAGCCGTGGGACTGGTGGGTATGAGAAAGACCGTTGGCTAATGGGTCTGGACATCCTTAGATTGGGGTTCCAGGGTACTGAGAACCAATGTCAGTAGTCTTTTGTGGTTGGCTGTTGGGTTGAATGGTTCAGTTTTGTAGTCTGCTGGAATTTGGTGAGTTGGTTAAAGTTGCGAGTGGGTGTGAAGGGTTGTAGAGCATGGACATGCAAAAGGGTGGTAGTTGATGACAGTGGATTGGGCAAAGAGGCAACATGGATTAGAACCTCGAATCTCCGCTATTATCAAGGACTCGCAGAGAGAGGGCATAGTGAAGAGGGAAAAAAAGAGATACAAAAAGGTCGTGCCCGGGATCGAACCGGGATTGCTGGAATCAGAATCCAGAGTGATAACCATTACACTACACAACCGTATTTGTTGAAAAGACGGTGCGTTTTTTGTTACATAAGCACAAGTCATTTGGAACAAGCCTTCAGGAATCATCAGGGAGGCAACGATCATAAGATATCTTGGAATTATATCACAATTTTGACCACACTGACATCCATAGTGGCACTACTCATCTAACGATGCGCCATAGCCATTGTCAGCAGGGCAGTCCCCAAACAAATGCAATGACCGTTCCAAAACGCGTCAATCGAATTTTATCTGTCAACGATAATGCCTTCAGGGTATACTCACCCTGTCGAGAACATAGCCATCATTACAGACACACCTATAAATGCAGGACATGGGGTATATGGATGGTGGTTCTGGTATATCACATGTAAGATTGAATCTGTCTCCTAAATTGCATCCGTATGTTTGATTTCGGCCAGGCTGAGCAAGTCAAGTTCGTCAGTATATAATCATGCTTTGTGTATATCTCCACGCATTGTAAGAAAATAGACCCTTACACAAGAAGGTGCAGCGAGCACCTGGGTCCCCCAAAGCTAAGTGCGAGCAGGTAGGAAATGGTCTTTATTCTGCAAGCAGCAAGCTAGGGTTTCGTAGCGTACTAAGCAGAGGGATTAGCAGGGCAATTGCCAGTTGGATTGCTGTGAATTAGCATGGGCGATCTCGAAGGTATTTATATGTTGGAAAGTATGAGCAATGTATCCTTTCATCAGTATTGCTTCTTCTTCTTCTTCTTCATAACGCAGGCCTCACATCATTGTCCATTTTTCTAGTTTTTATTCCATGTAACGCCATTGATGCAGCACTACCAAATGAACCATTGAAGGGTCATTGATCTAGGTGATGCAGTCATCAACAGCTAGAAACCTTCATATGTGATTGTCGCTTTTCTGAATGTCTAGTAGTCATACGGCACTATACTATATTCAGATACTCCATTGGACTGAAATTAACTCGGGTTACACGATCTTCCTACATATATCAACTATCACCATCTATTGCTATTTATCGATAATCGTACCACAAGTCTGCAACTGTACCGCAACAATAGTATAATCAGCAAGATAATGAATGTATAAAGTCTATCAATGAATGCAATCACCCGTGTTACCCAATCGTGTTCCGTCAGAAAAACAGACAATGTTCTATGAAATCCTCTATAATCTGAATTCGAAAAGCCAAAGCAAACGAGCAACACCCCTAAGCCCCCAAAATCTCCCTCACCGCATCCCTAACCTCCTCCTCACCCATGAACGTCAACCCCAGCCTCTCATTCCAGTTAAACCGCATAAACTCCCCACCCATATACCCCTCCCTATACATCATCTGGAAATAATAATTGATAACAGCCGACATATCACCCCGTTTCAGCCTCTCATCCGACTCCTCGATAAGCTTCTTAATATCAACATCTTCCGGCGTCCCAAAGTCAATACCCAAGATCTCAGAAACCATCTTAGTCAATTTCCGCTCCGTAATCACAGCCGAGCAAATATAAACCGGCTGATTAGCCGCAGCCTCGAACTTCGTAGGCTCCAGCAGCTTAACGATAGCAGTTGCAATATCACCCAACAGGGAAACGGCGATTTCCTTATCGCCTCCATCATGGAAGGTGGCTTTCTTGGTCATGGGATTAGGTCCCAAGACGCCGTACTTGAGAGCCATGTCGAAGAAAGCGCCATTGTTAATAGAGGTCCAGGTGGTGGGTGAAGAGGTGTCAGGCATGACAGAGTTCAGGTACTGTCGGATCAGAACCTTCTCTTTGGCGATTGGGAGATTGATGGTTAGAGGGGATTCCATCATCGTGGTGTATTCGGATGGGATGAAGCGTTTGACGGAGGCGGCGATGCAGGCGTCGATAATGATCTTTTCGGAGTTGAGTTGGGGAAAGGGGACGGCGCTGAGGGGGTTAGCTTGGGTGAAAAGATCAATTGTTGGTTATGGATGCACCTGATGACAACTTCCTGGCCGGTGAATGTAGAAATCAGTTCGTCTTTGTTCTGGTAGTCGACTCTGGTGGGCTTGAGACCTTCGGGAGCAGGCTTGGTTGAATCTTTTCGCTGGATGGCGGTGACTTCGTGACCTGCTGCGCTGAGAGCGCTTGAAATGCGTGATCCGAGGGTACCAGTGGCCTAAAGTATATACCCTGTTAGGAATGATATTTGTATGGGTTGATGGTATGTGGTATATGGCGTACCCCAAGGATCGCAACTTTCCTGATAGTGGTCATATTGATCGAAGTGCAATGAGCTGAAGCTCAGAAGGGACCAATTCGATTGAACCAAAACAAGTGAATGTGAGTAATACTTGGGTAATACTGCCAAATACTACACAGATTAACTCCATCATAAAGGCTTCATTTTGCATACTATATACTTCGTAATGGTGATCGCCTCCAGCGGCGATGGTTCCAAGTCGGCGCTCCGATGTACCGACACGCCGACCTCGGGGTTGAGATCAACCCCGACTTTGCTCAAAGTGCAATACTGCACCTGCATGCCCACAGTAATATGGTAAGCAATCCCAGTCGGATTAACTAATAAAGTCGGAGTCTCGGAGTGTCATTTGTTGATCAGCCAAAAGCGTATTCTTGAGTCTTCGAGAAGAGTATCTAGAGTGTCGATGCCCGTCTGAAGTGGTACGTCGACAAGGTCGCGTCCACATTCATAGCTTCTGACATTGGCTCAGACAATCGAGCATTGCACTCTGGGTATCTTCAGACCCAGGCAAGGTGGTATGACAAGGAGATTGAGAAGGAAACATCCCGAGAGTTGATACCTAAGCAGACCAAATCACATGCTTTCCACCAGAAAGGACGTGATGCGCCATGAATACCTTCTCAATTGAAAATGATATGCAGAGAAAGAAAGATACATCGTTCAATAACCTCAAATTTACCGGACAGCCAGGCCGTCACTGTGCCGTGGGGTACTCATCATCCTGAGCATTGCACCCTCCGGTCTGTATCCCTGCCGTTCCTATAAAGCTACATGTTGTCACTTATGCCTTGTCTTGAGTCAATTTCAGTGAAGACAGCAACAGACAATCACAGGCATTGCCTCGAACTCTACTCAAATCCAGTCTCACACGCATGCGATGTTTCAACATTGTCATCATGACATGTTCTAGCTAGCTAGCGTATTATGTCTCTACATTCGTTATACATCAATAGTAAGGAGCATGAACGGCGTAAAGCAGCTGCATTTCATCGCTACCCTCCGAAAACAAGATTCAAACCCGGGAGATATCCAAGCTGTCAGGCACACCCTAACGCGTGAGCCCTATGCGACAGCTTGGCTAGACGGCGCCAGCGCCAGCGAGTGCCATCTCCTCACGCAGACGCATGCATGTTGAAAACAGGATGATAGCAGAGAATGAAGGCCGGATCTTGTGAGAGGCCAAGGGACCGTGAAACAGTTAACATTGAGCGGAAATAGTGGAGGGGTCATCAAGGAGGGGGCTCCCAGGAACGGCATCCAGGGCGACGGCGTGTAGTGCAGGCTTGCTTGCGTCTTGAACCAAGCCGCGCTGGCGACGGTCTAGCTGTTCCTTGACCCACGCCGCCACTTCCTCATCTTCCGTTACATTGGACGCACCCTCCTTCGCCGAGCCGTTGGGTGCATCATCAGCGTCGGTGTTTGTGGGAGGCTGCATGAGCGACGACAGCCAGGGATGTCGAAGGAGCATGCTGTACGATGGACGGTTGTTCGGATTTTTGTCCAAGCACGCGCGGACAAAGGAGTGTGCTTCTTCAGAGTAGCCCGTTTCGGGGAGTGTGGGCGCGTCACCGTGAACAATGGCCTTTGTGGACGGTTAGTATCTTCAATGACGTGCAAGATGTAATGAAAACAATGACTTACGTGTAGCTGGCTGAAGATGTTATTGAATGTCTCGGGCGGATATGGATACCGACCAATGGCACACTCGATGATGGACAAGCCCAAGCTCCAGACATCGCTCTGGACGCTGTAGGTTCCGCCTCCACTTGCTCCGGACTGCTGCACACCCCCACCTGCAATGCGCTCGGGGGCCATGTAGCTCTGACAGCCAATGTTCGTCTTGGCAATACTAGCGACCAGGTTGCCGCTCACACCGAAATCGCAGATCTTGACTTGTCCGCGGGAGTTGACGAGGATGTTTGTGGGCTTGACATCGCGATGTATAATATTGTGGTCGTCCTTGAGGGTCTTCAAGCCCATGACAGTGGATAATGCTACCTTGCGAAGGATGTTCTCGGGAATTCCCTCCTTGTATAATTTGTCGATCGAGCCGCCATCCATGTATTCAACGCAGATATAGACGGCACCCTCTTGGAAGAAGGCACCGTAGAAGTCGATAATGAATGGGGACACGCAGCGGTGAAGAATCTCCAATTCCATGATAATCTGAGCGAACTTGCTCTCGTCCAATTCCAGGCGAATCTCTTTCATCGCCATGACGACTCCAGAAAGATTACCTTCTGACTTCACTCCGGGTGTCGTAGTGCTGTCTCCATCATCATTGCGGCTTATTATCCCCCGTAATCCCATTCCGGGTTTGCGCATGTGAGGACGGCTATGGCGAACCTTGTACACTGTCCCGTAGTTACCCTTGCCTAATTCGTCCAGACGATCGACCTCGTCTAAGGAGATGCTGAAACTGTGACCTGATGAGAATTCGATACCGCCACCGTGGAGGATAGCCTTGTTCTTGAAATTTAGCGTCCCCGATTTTGTATCGATAAATTCCGAATATTTGCTAAATGCGGTTTCTGTAGGAGCAGGTCCGCCGTTGGCGGGCTGGCCTGGCGACGGTGAGCCGTTCAGACCCGTAGCGTCCGATAACTTCAGCCCCGGCTTCATACGTTTCGCGGCCAGACCACCGGGCTTGGGAGAACTGCCACCGGGAGACCCATGAGGCACGGAAGGCGACGAGACCCAGTTTTTAGTAGTTGGACGAACAGCGCCGGGGGGTAAACGGCCGGCAAGAGCACCTGCTAAGGGGCCATTTGCGCCTGGAGAAGGTTGTCCTGAGACGGGACTTCCGCCCGACACCGACGGAGAGGCCCTGGGCACCAAGCCAGTCGTATTGGCATGCGCCAAAGAGGGTGGGGCGCCCTGTCGGGACAAGGAGAAAGCCTTCATCTTCGCTAAAATATCTTGATTCAATCCTCCAGGTTGCGCGCCGCTCATTGAAGCTTGTGGACGAGGAGGGGTTCCCGCACCGCGGCGGGCGGCGTTGAGTTGGCCGAGATGTGTCGACGACGCAGTAATACCGGATTTATCGAGGGTCGGGCGGAGGGAGGGCACTGAAGCGTACGATTGTGTCGTCGCGAGGGAGGGTGAAAGGTCGTCGTCGGTCGTGTCGGACCGGTTGTCCATATCTGACAGGGGTCTGGACGAGATGTCCGTGATGGGCTCCCCTTCTGTTGCCATTTTGGTGGGAGGTACTCGAACGGCTCGATTGGTATCGGAAACTGGAGCGCAGTGGTCCGAGAGTGCCGTGTTAAAACAGTCTGACGGAGGTCGGGGCACTTGGTGCATGAACGGAAGAGGGGGGTGTTGAAGAGAGAGGGAAAGATTCGGAGCGATCGGAAAAATGAAGCTTTTCACAAATTGTGTGAGGATAGATGTTGATAAAATTGCCAGTAGAGAGGAAATTCGATGTTGGTGGAGACAGAACGCTTTTCCAGAGGGGGGAAGTGGAGGAGAGGAAAGCAGGTTTCGTCGACGCGGGGCACAGCTCAGGTTGTGCTCAAACAAGCTGATAACAAGGCACAACAGGGACGAGGGAAGATGGAGAACAGATGGTGCGATCCCTCGCAAAAATATTGGTCGGGCGGCTTGAACCCCGTAACCAATGAGAAGACAGAGAAAGGCAGATAGAAGCCAGGACTTAATAGTACTAGTGATAGAGGAGGGAGATTGGGTTCGACCAAGGTGAACGTGAGACAGAGAGACAGAGAAAGAGAGGG